GTGTGTGAAAAGCGGGGACAGCTCGCAATTGGTCTGGTGTGCTTCTTATCCCGGCTAAGCATCGTGTGAGGATAATCGGCTGCAGCAGTTGTAACGGTCTGATAGGCGAGGAATCTTCTTAATTATTACATGTATTCATATGCTGTAGTTACGTACTGCTCGGCCCTCCGGTCAAACCCTCACGTGTGATCATCACCTGACTATCTCCATCAGTGGCCATGTCGGGGAGTACTGCCATCGAAATGATCGCAGGATAAAGGCGATCGTTGTACGGAGTCTGAGCCGAGGTTCCCGCAGCTCTAAAGTATAGATCTTAAGGCATGCCAAGCTTTCCATTTTATGTGTCACTGGCTTGAAAGTACATGTTTGGGTGATCAGCGGGACTTGCTTTCTCTAACAGGCCCCCTTTTCGCCGGGGAGCATCAGCCAACGTGATTAACATGCTCAATATACATACTTTGTTTTGTTTTTGTTTTTTTGAAAAAAAAAAGCCTTCTAATGTAATTTTATTTACGAAATAAACAAAAACACAAAAAAAATGGACTCGCGGGGAATCGAACCCCGGACCACTCCCATGCTAAGGGAGTATTATACCACTAAACCACAAGCCCAGTTCGATGGAAGATGCAGCAGATTAATGTTTTATAAGCCTATAAACAATTTCATGCATGGAACTACGTGACATACAGGATTCTACACCAAGTAGGAGTTCTAGGGTTACATTTTACAATATTAGACATTTTAAGCTTTCTGCGTTTCTAACATTGAAAAGTTATACGGGATTTACATAAATCCAATAGCCGATAACAGTTGGTCAAACAAACGAAGCATGATCGTAGTGATATATATCTACCCGCATTATCATCTGGTTTCATGCGATTTCAGATATAATTTGGTTTTTGATATTGTATGTGCATCAATTCAATCCTTTGTTGTGTTTTTTTTCGTGGGAAGCGTAATTATATATATTCAAATACAACGTAACCCATATCTACCTACGAATGATTAATGTTATGCCTGGATGTAGATAGGTGCGTATGCGCTCCGCATGCGTTTCGGGTAGTCAAATTGTTTCACGGATGTCGGAAGTTCGGAAGTTCGGAGTTTGGCCACGTTTCTGAACGTCATAGCTATAGCCGACAAATACGTTGAATTATATCCCGTACACTGATAAATCTACATGTAGATAAATAAAACAAGTACCGACTGTCATTCTATATGAGGCCAACAAAGAAAACTGTTAAGTGATGTATATTAACCGTGTTATGCTGCTCAATTGAAAACGAATAGTAGTTCTGAAAATTCCCCATCTAGTATAGAACAGTACGATGTACATAGACAAAATAATTCCCGAAGGTGTTTGGGTCTGGATCGGGACACGATAGATCCACTTCCTTCCCTGCCCAATGATCACCTGCTCCGAAATTTTCGCTCTTAACTATTACACTTGAACACCAATGGGAATAATTCCGCGGAAAATTCTCAGCCTGGGCACTTTTGCATATGACTCCTTTGGAAGGTTTGATTGCTAATGTGCTAATACGTAACTCCAGTAATTCCCCTCCTTCAAACTTCTCAGATATCACCCCGGATCCTCAACTTCAGAAATTCGGGAATTCCTTCCTTCTTAATGCAAGTGGAGAGAATATAATAGCTGCTCTCTCCACATAGAATGTCTACCAATGTCGGGTCTGTCAACAACAAGACCGGCGACCATGCATTTGATATCGTGAACACCACCCAGAGCACCACAACAGCCCAAAGCACCACAAAAGTCTTTGACGAGAAGACTACTGTTCACATGGACAATGAGAAATTTGACGCGGAGGCTGCACCAGAGCAAGAACCCAGCCCAGGAGATGTATACCGGACAGCATCTACCGTGGCACCATCTCAAAGGTCAGCCAGAAGAGACCCCGTCAGTCGAGTGACTACAGACGCCGAAGGGAACATCTACCCGGAGGGGGGGTCTCGAAGCCTGGCTGGTAGTGCTGGGCAGCTTCCTCGGTCTCTTTGGATCGTTGGGCCTGGTCAACACCATTGGCACCTTCCAAGCATATATCCAAACCCATCAACTGAAGGAATACAGCTCAGGAACCAATGGTTGGATTTTTGGAATGTTTGCCTTTCTCACTTTCTTCTGCGGAGTGCAAATTGGTCCCATCTTCGATGCTCGAGGCCCACGCCTTCTCGTCTTTGCGGGTTCCGTGGTTGAAATGGCCATGATCATCCTCCTCGGCTTCTGCACCCAATACTGGCACTTTATGCTGGTCATCGGTGTACTGGGTGGAGTGGGAGCGTCCCTCATTTTCACACCGGCGATCTCGGCGATTGGGCACTATTTCTATGAGAAGCGTGGACTCGCAACTGGGATTGCTGCCACTGGTGGCTCTGTCGGGGGCATTGTTTTCCCTCTCATTCTGGAAGACCTCTTTCCCAAGATTGGCTGGGCTTGGGCCACTCGGGTTGTCGCGTTGATTTGCCTAATTGTGCTATCAATTGCAAATCTCTTGATTAGGTCCCGACTCCCGCAGAAGCCATTTTCCAAGGAGAATGTGCTTCCTGACTTCCGCATCTTCCGAGACCCGCGATTCGTACTCACTACCGCCAGCGTCTTCTTTATTGAGTGGGGTCTTTTCGTGCCAATTAGCTACATCTCATCCTACGCTCTTGACCATGGTTTCTCCACCAAGTTCTCATACCAGATCATTGCCATCTTGAATGCCGGCTCATTCTTTGGGCGATGGCTGCCCGGCTTCTTTGCCGATTTCCTTGGTCGCTTCAACACATTGATCGCAACGGTAGCGCTCTGCGTGCTCTGTAATGCTTGCCTGTGGCTTCCTGCTGGAGATAGTCTGCCTTTGCTGATCGTTTACGCTGCTATTTTTGGATTCTCAAGCGGCAGCAATATCAGCCTGACTCCAGTTTGTGTCGGCCAACTCTGCAAAACCGAAAACTATGGCCGGTATTACGCAACTGCCTATACCATAGTGAGCTTCGGGTGAGTGTTTTTTCCCCTTGTGATGTCACCTGCGTATCCATAACTGACATACTTTTGCCACCAGTACTCTCACCGGAATCCCCATTGCAGGTGAGATCCTGGCACGCTGCAATGGATCCTACTGGGGCCTTATCACCTTTACTGTCTGCTGCTATGCGGCTGGCCTTGCATGCTGTACTGCCGTAAAGGTCATCCAAGTTGGCTGGCGTCACCCTCTCGCGATCTATTAAATGTTTGGATTCAGTATCCGGGACTCCGACGCTGGTTGATTTGGTAATCTCGACACGATTTCACGATTTCAAAGATGAGTTTAGATAGAAAAGTTGGTTTTTTTTTTCTCGGCTTGCATTTTCTATCCAGCGTTCATGACTGAGTGATTTGTTATACATAGTTACTACTAATGTTTATATTTATCAATCTGTGATTGCAATTCTATAATTCACCACCCAGTCGGATAACGTTTCCGACATGATCGGTTCGGCCCTTCAGCCGTAAAAATAGCCTTCGCAATCGAATTGGCAGTTAGAGAAAATAATTTGCCGCCATTGAGGCAATATAAAAAACATAAATGTTGGTAACTCAGGTTCAGGTTCCCTGCAGGGCTGAACAGGGCAGAACACGTCGCATAAGATATCCGACAGGCACCGGATCTATGTAAACATCTAGTCACAATGATGCCTCTGTGCCTTATCCAGCCATGGATTTCACCACTGGGAATGATTTCCAATAGGAGCAGACTCAGCTCTCACCATGGAAACTATAAAGACACCGAAAGTTTAACTGAAAAACAAACATCGACATCACCCCTGGCCAATCCTGTCGCTGTGATGACATCGAATGTTCATTAATCCATCACCATTGAGTTTTCTAGCCTCTCACTACATATACGACGTTATGCTCGCATCCTTCCCTATCTTCCCTTTGTACCCGGGACTTTGCTTTCCATTCACTCGTCTCGAACTCATCTGGTGAGCATTTGCTTCGTTGCTAAACTTGCTATCTAAGGAGTCCTGAAGGTAGAATTGTCTTCTACATCAGTTCATCCAACAAACTCACAACGCCCGGAACCAACGGCGAACTTGAATTGGCCCCTGTTCTCCCCAAATCGGCCACATTTGCACAGTCGCCCTGCAAATACTTGCGTTGGTCCGAATCATGTTTCCAACAAGATGCTTGGTTCTGCTGGCCTGCTCCTGGACTCTCCTGCAGAGTGTCGTGGCTGTCCCGGATGTGGCGCTAGAGCAGCCCGGCCTTGAGGATCGTCGTCGAGAAGAGCGTGACTTTGGCCTGCAGGAGCGTCACAACCACCCTGATCTTGAAAGCTCGCTGCTTTCTGTCTTGTCCGAGGAGTTAGCTACGACACATGGCCCGAAGCCTGAGACCACTCCGGGAGGAGGTGGTGGTACTACGGCCCCCGGCGGAGGTGGAGGCACTACAGTCCCTGGAGGAGGTGGTGGCACTACGGCCCCCGGCGGAGGTGGAGGCACTACGGTCCCTGGCGGAGGTGGAGGCACTACAGTCCCTGGCGGAGGTGGTGGTACTACGGCCCCCGGCGGAGGTGGAGGCACTACAGTCCCTGGCGGAGGTGGTGGCACTACGGCCCCCGGCGGAGGTGGAGGCACTACGGTCCCTGGCGGAGGTGGTGGTACTACGGCCCCCGGCGGAGGTGGAGGTACTACGGTCCCTGGCGGAGGAGGTGAGTAAACTAGTACCGGTTTTTTGAAAGCACTCTTCTTACTCTTCCTGGTACTCAAGGCGGCACTTCACCCACTGGCGGCGGTGGAGGTACGACTGCCACCCCAACTAGCGGTGCTACTACGACAACCGGGCCTTCTCTTTCAACTGGTGGCAATGTTAGTCCTCCCCCAAGCGGCAGCGTTGGGCCATCACCCAGCGGCCCCGCTTCCTCCCCCAGTGGAACCACTCAGTCATCCACATCCACTCCCAGCAGAACCCCTCATCAGTCCTCTCCTGTCGTCACTGAAACCACTAACACTGGTCAGACTTCTCCCTCTACTAGTGAGCAGCCAAGCACTATCCACACATCTCCAACTGGAGGCGGTAGTGTGCCTCCTTCCCTATCTCCCAGCGTTACCAGCGTTGCCACTGGAACCGGAGGACTGGTTTGTCCCACTCCTTCTCCACCGGCTTGTCCCACTTGTTCTACATCCAAGGAGACGACGGTGGTACCAGTGACGGTTACTTGTCCTGCCGCCATAGTGAGCACCACCACCGTCACTGTCACATCTGGTGTAGGCTCGGGACCAACGGGTTGTCCTTGCCCCACTGAAGGTCCCGGAGGAGGTCCCGGAGGAGGTGCTGGAGGAGGTGCTGGCGGAGTATCTCCAAGTGGTAGCGCGACAGCCTCAACGACCACCTCTGGCGCAGTCTCCCCAAGTGGTAGCGTGACAGCCTCAACGAGCCACTCTGGAGTAGTCTCCCCAAGTGGTAGCGTGACAGCCTCAACGAGCCACTCTGGAGTAGTCTCCCCAAGTGGCAGCGTGACAGCCTCATCCACCAGAACCAGCACCAACACCCTGACTGAGACCATAACCCAGACCCGAACATCGACGCCCCTCGTACCAACCAGCACTAGAGAGCGTACCACAGTCACCACAGCCTCGCCCACCACACCAGCTACCCTCGTGACTTTGCCTACAACATCTGCACGTGTATCCCCCGGAACGCCAGGAACGCCAGGAACACCCGGAACGCCAGGGGCGTCGCGTATCACTCCACGAGCAATTATAAACCCCAATGTTGTTCGCCGACAGATATTTAGCAACACGACAGCGACGGCCCACTTCACCAACACGACTGTTGTCTCGAATGCCACGACTAGTGCAGTGAACATTACCCGTATTGCAACTAAGCCTGCCACCGAGCCTGTACCTGCTTTCCTGCCTCGCTTCCATCGTGAACGGAATCGTGTTTAGAATGTTTGGTTGAATTGAGAAAGAGTTGACTGAGATATTGGTTGGTTGTTTCCTGAAAACTTTTAGATCGGTTTGGTTATTGCCAGTTTTCGATAATTTTTCTGATAGTTTAAGAGGAGTTTAATGTATTTGGTGGTAATCTGATGTTACTAGTGTTTATCGAATTGGCCGGCTTGTGCGTATGGCCTTGGGATTTGTTTCTTCTACCATTAACGCAAGTGTCCCCAAGCAAGCCTTAGCCATCAGAGCCTCTGCTAGAAAGTACCAGTGACACTTCAAGACATGAAGCTTATGATACCTTGCTTGTGACAAGTCACGATCCACTCCCTCGAATCTATTTAGTTGGTGGAGCAGGGTCGGATATCAGAAAATACATGTGACAAGCGCTTGTGTTGAATGATGTATAGAAGGAAGAAACTACTTGGGTTATATGAGCTATAAGGACATAAATCTATCATTGGTTTGTCGTCTCTAAAACAAAATCACAATTTGGAATGTAGAAGCAGCAGCAAATTCACGAGAACCCAAAGTCCTCCAAACCCCTGTCAGGCATAAAGCTCATTCTCAATTTTCGCCTCCCTAGAGAGCCAAACCTATCTGCGATGCTGACGACGTCTATTTTGCCGATCAAACTCCTCCTCGTCAGAAATCTCTTCGACATCTGGGTCCCATTGAGTAGGTTGTTGCAAAACAGTGGGGATACAGCTGATGAGATCCTCGGCAACGTCTTGGTCAGTCTCCCGGTCGTTATGCTTCCTGAGAATCCTAATCGAGATAGGTAGGACAAGCTCAAGGTTACGGCACAACCGCTCAAACTGGGGATCACGTTCCACAACCGCACTTGTGATAGCGATATCAATTTCGCCAGCAATCTCCTCCTGTAACGTGGCAATGACATCGTTACGACGATGAGGTCCATGGCGAAGATAGTAGATTGCATCGTGAAGACATGACAAAACAAAAATACGCCGTTCGTTATAGGGATCATCGGCTAGTACACGATCAAGATCACGACGACGAGGCATCGTAGGCAAGTATCAGATTGGTGACAAAGAAGCTTATTGAAGTGTGACTTGAAAGTGGAATTTCCTAACAATTCCTGGACAAGCAAGGTGCAATCATACAAACTGAGTGTCCGATGATGCAGAATCCGAGGGGTTCCCAGGGATTGCTTGCGGGTTATGTTTGTATGAGAACTTGAGAAGGTGGTGGGGATAGGAGTTATTTATGCATTTGCATGGAGGAAAGTAGACACTGATTCGATTTCCTGGTTAATGTATTTGACAAAGACAGCAATGACGACAAAGATTTTATTTTTATTCTCTCAAGGAAGAAAATGAATATCGAACCTTTGACCACATTTCGGAAGACTCCTGGTTATGTTTTCGTCAAGAAAGAAATTCGTCTTCTCCGCCGTACTCACAAAGACACTATTTATCCCATCAAAAGAGAGAGTACGGTCCATGACAGGGTCTAATAATTGTAAGCTTTTGACTTGAGGGGGAAAAAAACAGATAGATCTTTTTATAGTTGCGTAGGAGTTGGAATACTGAGAGACTGGGCACAGCTCACAAAGCAGTCGTGACACCATTGCCATGACCTCTATGTAGATATCTTTTGCTGGGATTGTTAGGTTTTAGCAGTCTCATCATTTTTAAATTCGTATGTCAAATGTATGGACTCGATGAACAAAGGGGAAAGTACAAAGGGTAGGGCATGGGGCTAGTTAAACCAGGCAAGAAAAAACGCAGGTGACCATGTATTACCAAACAAAGGTTAAACTGCAGGTTCAAAAGCCAATGTGCGTGAATATTTTTCCTCGTATTTTCATTGCATCTTTCCAAAGAATTCATAGAGGTATGTTACTTGTCCGCTAAGGCCATCAATAGGAATTTTGACATTGGTTTGGACATGTTTTATATCACTTTCTCAACGTGTCCCCTATGAGTACTTTTCTAGTAGGCAAGATCAAATTCCAGCTTGAATATACATTACGTGATATATGCGCACAATTTTAGACATTTATTTCTCGTCTGATGGAGGCGCATTCGGTCCGATTTTGCATGGCTTTTACCGAGTTCATGATCTGCCAGTTTCCGCCGGAATCATTTTCCGTTGCTTACATGTACTACGTACTTGCTAAGGAATCTGGTCCCTGAGCTATAAGGGAGTAAACAAATAAACTACACCCTACGAGACTTTAAACAAGATCAACCACAGGTATACTTGTGACTATCTCTTATCAGTTGCCAAGGTTGAACTGATAAACCTGATACGCCCCACAATCACTTGAGCCAATGACGCAACAACCTGCCTTATTAGGCTTAGCCTTGGATTGGCTTCTCCACATGATCCAGTACGAGCCCGTCCCCCGCGTTTACTTTGTAGTTAAAGCACATGAGAGATCGATAATCTTGTCGAATTATTTGAGGTATTCGAGCACATCCACGATGTACTGTACATTCTTGAACTACATAGTCATGCGGTCTGTACTAGACTCGTCTAGCCGCGGTTACTGCCGGGGCTACGACGGGGCGATGGTCTGAGTGGAGGGACGCTGTGTAGCACCTCCACAGTGCATATGTACTTGTCCGGTTGGAGCTGCCTAGAAAGGCTAGTGACATGCAACCTTGGAATGTACGCCGAGGATAAGATAAGCGTGATAATAATAATCAAGCGCCCAGGTGGCCCCCGGGATCATTATCGAGCTCAGCTATATGAGCCCCGTTCCTCAGCCCTGGAGGGCGAGTGACTTTCTACTCATTATTTCCTCGATTGCTGACACCCTTACAATAAACAAAGACCTCGCTTCCCTCACCCTTCTCCTCCATCAACTCGTGGACTATCACCACTTCAACTCTACTTAGATGGCGGTTGTCTTTGTCTCTCACTGTCCCCAACGGCTTCATTGGCATTCTTATACTATATCTCTGTGTCAAGCTATCCGCAGAGCCAGTAGAAAAAGTATCCGGACGTCTAAACCCGTTCGCTAAAACAATTGTCGCTATTCAAGAAAACGTAGTGACAAACCAAGAACAAGAACAATGTCAATCGAAATCGTCCCGCTGGCTCAGACCGACATACCTGGTGCTGTAGAATGTGTGCAGAAAGCGTTTGCCGACGATCCCTATTTTCGCTGGGCGTTTGATGATCCATCTAAGGTATGAAATATCTTTTGCGCAAGCAATGTCTCCGAAGACTTCGTTGTGGCTTTGAAAAAAAAACATACCAGAAAAAAAATAAAGAAAGAAAGAAAGAAAGAAATAATGAAATAAAACGAAGTGGATATCGAACCAAGTAATAACGGGGTCTGACAGTTTAACATCCAACGAAATGCAGCCTCCCTCGCTGCTCACCTCCGATATGGTATCAACTGCGACTGCCCAATTTCTGTCGCCAAGATAACTCGCGCTGCAAATGAAAGCAAGAGCGATGGCGACATCCGCCTACCAGCCGGTACTGTGGTTGGCGTTGCCTGGTGGTACTCGCCACAGGCGCCTTCCATGACACAAACCTGGTCTGTTTGGGCGCAGGACTGGCTTCTTTCCTTCCGCCAGCTCATGAACAATATCCGCTTCCTGGGTCGTGGTGGTCTGAATGTGCACCGGTATTGGATTTGGAAGCAAGTTCAGCAAACCGCGCATGATGCCATCTGGCAGGATCCCCGTGGGTACTATTTTTGCAATGTCGTCTGCGTTGATTCAGAGGCACGTGGTATGGGAGTGGGAAAGAAGCTCATGGAGGATGTCATGGAGAAGGCCGATCGGGAGAATATGCCGTGCTACCTCGAGAGTTCCAAGGGATATCCAAACGTGGGTATTTATGAAAGAATGGGCTTTGAATTAGTCAAGGAGATTGAATGCGTGGATGGAGGGGATGTTTGCAAGGTATGCCCTCTTAGCTGGAATGTTCCCTGTTAAATGACTGACGCACGCCATCCCAGTTATATTGCATGATTCGCAACCCAAAGTCCAAAGAATAAGGCTGTGATAAATTTTCCAAAGCCGACACCGTTCATTAACACAAATACACAGGGAGACTGTGTGATACATGACTTAATTAGTAGCATTTGAATTGCAAGCATTTCGGTAACTGTCATCTTTGATTGCTTTAATAGCGTGTGCGAGATGATGGAAATAATCGAATATAGCATTTATGAGCTTGGCTTTTTCAAGAGTTAATTTATTTTCCAATCGACTCTTTTCTGGTTTTCGGCCAGGAAATGTCACAGCAGGGTATGAAGCCCTCTTTCACCCACTGATAAACTTACTGCATCCCAGAAGACTTTGTCTGGGAATTCATTGACGCTCACCATCATTCCGTATCAAAATATATCCTCTTTTGCTGTCGTGGTAAAGTCGAACACTGAGAGTGGGAGAGGCACCCGACCGTTGCCCCTCAAGTGCTGCTCGAGATGGCCCCTGGTACACCCGAGGATCGCGACTGGAAAGCAGTCGTAGATGAATCCCCCAATTTTGGGGACCAATCCATAGCTGTACCTAGATTGGGTAGCTTCAAGCTTTCTCGGGTTATGCCTATTTGAGAACAAGAGGACTTCTACGGGTCGCTCGATACTGTCGACAAACGCCTGCGAAGCGATAGCCCGGAATTCAGATGAATATGAAGTACGGATGGTGAAATTCGGCCTAGGCGAGCCGCTTATGATGCTTTATGTCTCACTCTTTGGGATCAGCCTAATCATGTACATATGGAACTGATCAAGCCCATTTTCCTAGCAGTCCCATCAACACCAGCCCACTGATCAAGGAGATCCCACCGGTCAAAACTCTTCCTAACGTCGCGTCCAACATTTCACCTCCCTCGATGACCCAGTCACGCGCCCACATATCAACGACACCAACCCACACCAGAATACCAGCAGACAGCGCGTCCAATGTTCCTAGTGCAATCAAAGTGCCCTTCGAATTACCATTGAAGGTGTGAAGAACACCAAGCCCAATAGCCATACCAATAGGCGTGATCAAGGCAAATGCCACCGCCATAGACGCTTTGGAAGGGAATATAGCTCCCGGTAGGGTTGCAATACGAGCACCGAGTGCCAGCCCTTCAAAGAATTGATGAAACACAATCACCACCAGAAGAGTCTTGTAAAACGAGTCCCCAGCAACGACAAGGGTGAGGCCAATCAAGATACTGTGGAAAAGTATACCCGCTTCCATGACCATGACCGAAAATTTGCTGTTGGGTCCGGTAAGATCGAATGAGCCGTGACTGTGCCCAAGACAAGCCAACGTGGGCTGTTGCTGTTGCTCCGGGGAGTGGTCATGCTGTCCCTTTTGCTGTGTTTGCTGAGACTCGGATTCGGACGGTATAATTTCGGCGGAGCTCTTCTTGCTGTTGCGAGCAACGATAATCCTGTGGCCAATATATTCCAGCAAGAAAGCAATGAATATACCCGCCACGACTACCGCGGAGGTAGTCGCTTCGTACTCGAGTTCCCCCAAGCACTCGTTGGTAAACATGAGGTTTGCATGCGTGTATAGCTAAGAAAAGCAGTCAGCAAGTGGTACATCTTTCAATGCCGAGATTACTTACATGGATGAAACCCGTGGCGATGATGATGCCAGTTCCGAATTGTTTGATGACGGTCGAGACCACCCCATTGATAGAGGCAAATGGAAGTTTCATCAGGAGAATAGGGGCAAAGACACCAATTGAACTAGTGACAAGGACAACAAACAAAGTGCCAATTCTCAGAGGGATGTCATAGTCTCTTGCTCGGATACCACACGATGAACCACTGCTTTCCTCTGATTCACCTTCACCCACGCAATGTCTGGAATGGCCAAAGTCAGTAACGCGCAAATTTGGGGAAATGGTTATCAGCTTACTCGACGCCAGCATGGAAGTGGCAGTTTTGTTTGGCTTCGCTTGAGGATTCCTCGTGGTCATGTTCACTGTGACTCTCTTCGGACCCGCTCTCGGCTTCCGTTCCTTCTTCTTGAATCAGGACATCGTTTCCATCTTCATCCATGCAATATCTTCGAATTTTGTAGGTTAGTATATGGTCACAAAGATACATACCTGCGGACTTACGACTCGCTTCCGTGAGAGTGACACCCAGTGTATTGCGCTGGTACTCCGGTTGTAGGGGTAGATGTGGCTGAAACTAAAACTTCGTGGCCATCTCCATCAATACAGTAGATGCTTGAGCCATGAGTATGACAGCCAGTTACAGATGATGTTTGTGCTGATGTTGTTGCTGTGGCTGCATGTACCCTGGCAATGCCCAGTGATATAAGGAAAGGCGTGAAAATGAGCATGACGAAGGTGGTGCTCTACCCCTTTCGCAAACAATAATGATGGGATTGTGATTGAGATTAAGATTGATGCAAGAAATATGTCACAAGTGAGGAGTTTTCAGACGATGGATCCTGGGAGCAATTCTCTCTAAATGGCCGCTTGGTATATGAAAAAAGAGCCATACATAGGTGTCTCACCCCCAAGGTTCTCGATGCCAAGCGGAAGACCTTTCCATCTTTTCGCCAAGAGCAGGCCTGAACTTTCAATTCGGGTTTTCTCCGGAGAATATCGCCTATGCAATTCTTGTGCTCTCAAGGTACTCCCGCCTAAGCATCTTGGCGACCCTCCGCCGAGCCTTTGTCTTGGCATCAGTCCGAGATCTTCTGCGCTGATTGCTGGAGAAAAAAACTTTTAGCGAGAGAAGTGATCGAAGAAGCTCTCAAGGTCCCCTCTTGGCAGGTTGCATGATCTGTGTACCGAGAAAGATGGAGAAAACATCCCGTTTTCTCTCCTAGGTATTGCGTGGATTGGATCATCCGCAGACACTGCGAAAACGAGCATAACAAAAGCCACACTTGGCAAACAGTTGGGAAAAACTAAAATCGTCGTGTATAGAAGCTTTGGAAACTTTTTAAATCATATAAAAGCAGCTCCGTTCGTTGTTGGAAATTTGCCTTCTGTAGTTTCCAAGCAACTTGCCTCGATTATACAAAAATGTTTTTGTTCAATCTCATTATCTCCTCTGCAGCAATTGCTGCTGCTCTACCGACCCCCGAGAGCTCTGAAGTCAACCAATCCCAGCCCTTCTCTCAGAATGGAGTTGCACCTTGGAACGCCGGCGCTGTGAATCATTTCCCCATCCATTCAAGCTGCAACGCAACCCAGCGTCGCCAGATTGAGCTAGGTCTTAACGAGACTATCGCTCTCGCTGAACATGCACAAGACCATATCTTGAGATGGAGAAATGAGAGTGAGATCTACAGGAAGTATTTCGGTGATCGCCCATCCATGGAAGCCATCGGTGCATTTGATATCGTAGTCAACGGGGAGAAGAAAGACCTCTTGTTTCGATGTGACAACCCGGACGGAAATTGCGACCTTGAAGGTAATGCACTATGCTCTATGTGGGAGATGATATACTAAATATCTGAACCAAATAGGCTATGCCGGACACTGGCGAGGCGAAAATGGCACGGATGAGACAGTTATCTGTGACTTGAGCTACCAAACTCGTCGTTCTCTCTCGACCATGTGCGGCCTTGGATATACAGTCTCGGAATTTGAGACCAACACCTTCTGGGCCGCTGATCTCCTGCACCGCCTATATCATGTTTCTGCCATCGGACAGAACTGGATAGACCATTTTGCAGACGGATATGAAGAGGTCATTGACCAGGCGAAGAAAAATGCCACTCTATCAACGCGTGACTCGGAGACCCTTCAGTACTTTGCGCTGGAGGTATATGCTTACGACATTGCTGTGCCGGGAATTGGCTGTCCAGGTGTCCAGCATAAGCATGATGGACCCGATGTTGATCAGACAACATCCGAGGCTGTGACTAGTCAACCAACTCCTACTGCAACAGATACCGATGCTGCTTCAACAACCTCCGAAGTACCTCCGGTGAGTTGCTCTATGGGTTGCATTGTGGTGATTAGAAACTGATTTGAATAGAATTGTCATACACATGAAGGAGGCGAGCTCCACTGCACTTGAGGTTTCATCCTATTGGAACGGCAAAAAGCCCACTCAGGCAATCGAGACAAAGATCAAATATTGGCGAGATAATAGCCCTGACGTAAAGGGAATTGATGGGTAATTTATACCAGGGAGAGACGGAAGAGGGGTTCTATTGGGCCAAGGCACCAGCCTTAACAGATTAAGAGATTGTAACATAATATGATCTATATTATTACTGAGCCTATTTGCTTCCATATGCTGAATAAAGGGAGATATGTAAATTGTATGGTTTGCATCTGGGGCCCTCGTGGTCTTGTTCGTTTTAGACACCAGCTGGCATGATCATGAGGCATGCTTGGCTGGTGTTACTCCAAACATCCGCCTGATGCGTGAAACCGCATAATTAAATGCTATAGGCAGAGTAAAGTCCGATAAGGAGCTTAACTAGCCGAAGTAGAAAATTTCTCTATCTGGCTGCCTTTCCGTTATCTGTAACATGATGCAGGTGAGCATATTATATATTCCTGGGTATTTGAGTGCTATCCGAACGCACTTCGAGGTTTTCAGACAAGTAGATGTCAATGCTACGAGTGAACCGATAAATGAATATATCTTTATGTGCTAAATACCTCTTTCGAATCTCGCATGACCTTGAGACGTATTCAAGTTGGACATACGCGTGTTTGGTTCATATATGTATTTTGTTATATTTTGTCCTACCTCAAGATATATATCATGCCGGATTTGTATATTTTTTCCTTCAACCCAACATGCTTATCATAGAAAAGCGCCTAGACAAAGCTTTTAAATATTACTTCTATATCCCATCGAACAAACCTTCTTCGTTAGGTGGTCGACTTAGTGCTAGCTAAACATGGGAAATTTCTAGCTTCCAGGTAAGCGTTAGTTGCTGGAAGGCGGATAGACATCAACTCAACAGTACGACAACAGTAGGTTTTGCCCAGAATTTTCGAAGCTTGATTATGATCATTTGTGGCTGTGATTGATGCTACCTACTCTACGGGGGCAAGCTTTGCCGGCGTGAATTTTACAATGTAATGCAGCTTGTATGCATATTCAAGATGCGATATGTTGTGAACTATGTCGAGATAGAATGATCGAGGCACCCTGATTTCAAATATGCCCCTGTCGCCCCATAGACTGTCCCACTGAGAGGTACAACACAATGGATTTTTCCCATATGCTAGGGTGGAATCCACATATTGAAGTGGGAAACAGGGTTACAAACAGAGCCTATGGAGAGAGGAGATGGAACAGGGGATTGCATGATCGACCGATAAGAATGCCATCCAAGCAAAGATTTACCAATAGTAGGGTTGCTTTTGCTGCAGGGGAAGGTAATCTATACTATAAAGGGCGTGGGAATGCTCGGATGCGCACGAGATGCCAATCCAGGGGTGAAAAACAGCCCTCAAGCCAATGAGGGCCATGCATCCCTAGAGAAACAATTCATTTCACCACAGGGCGTTCCCGAATGTACCTAGGACCCTTGTTAAAGAAATTCAGACTGCTGTTGCGGTGAAGTTGCCCCAAAACCGTCCGGGTGCGCTTCAAGAGGAAACCACCACTCATTCCATTTTATATCAAATTATCTTTTTCACGGGCCTACATTCGCCCCTCAACTATCTTAAGTAATTATATTCCTTATTGTGATCAGTCCGAGTGATGAAACTGCCGCGGTCCGCCTGGACTTGGAGCGCATTCCAGGTTGATACGGCATTGTTTATGTACGGCGCTGTCTCGACTGTCGCCATTCCCGTGGAGGCAATCACAACACCAGCACCCAAGGTCAAAGAACCACGCCCTGTACAACGATCCAAGTCTAAGAGAACAAGCCTGAAGAGGTCACTCTCCAAGATCTTTTGATTTGGGAATTCGCTATCCTCCCTTCCAGCCACATTGGCACATCGCTATGAGTTTGCATGGACTTGGGGTAATTGGGGCCCAAGTGGCCGCATCGATCAAAATTGCCGACGAGAAAATCCCTACCACGCCTAAGATCGCGCCCCCACGATGTTCCATTACATCTTCGCCTGGGGCTCACAGCCAGGAGTTTGATCCATCGATTGGTGCAAAGCCATGCTCGCCTTTCTATCCTCATTCAAGCCCAACAATCTCACACGAACAACTCACCTTCGAAACAAAGAATGCCAATCGGAGAAGCCATATGAGAGACATCGAAAGCTTGGGCCCATACGCGAGCTGCCGAACCGATAGTCCCCGACGATCGAAGTTGTGGGAGGAAGAGAACAAACCATTGACATGGTTGCAGAGCTTGAGTAACAAACAAAGAATGGCACTGAAGGCAGTCGTGGCTGTGGTAACAGTGGGGACTATGATTGCGATCGCGTTGGGAATCACTGCGGCGGTGGGAGGAGCAGGTTGGAAAGCGAGTGCCGAAAAAACGGCATCTGGGGGATGAGGTGAGTTTCGAGTCCCTTGTCCGATTGGGTTGGATTCATTGCTGACAGGACATGCAAGGTTCCGATTACTATTTTACAACTTTTGATTCGGGGCGACAAGAAACCCGATCAGCGTTATGATTCAATTCCCAACTTCCCCGACCTAAATTAGGTGACCCTGTTTGTTTCTTCTTTCTCTTGGAAGATGCTACGGAGAGCTGGAGTTTAGGGGGAAGCATCGGTTATTCTTAATTGGAGGTTATCCTACTAGTCTACAGCAATGGCATGTCTTATTCCGGCTTGATCAGCATCTGGCGAATATTGAATTGGACATGTCATAGAGCTGGCCAGAACTGCTGTATCATATCCTAAGTTATTTCTTTTTTTTTCTGTTCATTTGAATACTGTGGTGAGGTGTCATTGAGAGCCTTAAAATGCAGGAATGTAGACCGGGTCGGACCGACCTCGGCACCGAGAGGAATATTGTAAATCCGACCCGTGACCCCACCAGTGCTATAAAAGACCGCAAACTTTTTCGGCCCCTTCTTCTTTTTTCTTTTCTTTTTCATCGAAAAAAAGCAACTGAGCCTGCCACGACCATTGTCCTGTCTTACGACAACCCCACGACGATGTGTTGCCTTCGGTCCTACGGACTTCGGTCTTACGGGACTGATCGGCTCAGGAGATAGATGATCCTCGATAGGAAGTTCGTTTCCCCTCTGTGTCCTCTTCAGTGAGGGCGGTGGGATTTGAATGTCGAAGACGGGACACATTCCTTTGCCTCAACTACTTACTGTTGTGGTTGAGCGTGAGAGTAGCGACCAACGCATTAATGCATGCGAGGGTAATTTTGAGTAGATTGTGTAAATATAAGACTCGGAACAGATCCAGCGTAACCCTGCATCAATGCTACAACCTTGGAAGGCTCAGAGTCACCACGCAATGCTCCCATTGTAATGTGGATTGAGCTAGGTCTATGTGTGCATAAATGGCTAGCTGGATCTCAGTTGATTGACATCACTGGGAATCCCATATTGTCCGGTCGCACGGTGGTGTAGCCTATCGCAGGCCAACCCGAATGAAGGACAGTACCAAGATCGTCCATACTTCAGTCTGTTTGGGAGGAGTCAGACGTGACTATGGCATTACTTCCATACGACTTATGCAAATTTGGCAATAAAAATATCCTGGACCAGCCAAGGGGCTTGCTTGATCTCTGAATGCCGCTCCTTGCGAGGTGGTGATCACTCCCTTTCATCCCGCGGAATGCGACATCACCACCTTTCTAGGGATTGCATGGCCGCTGTTCACGATCTGACCTTGATCGAGGGGCATTTTCTCACATGTTGGTGTGTTTGTTTCCCATTCTTGGTGACATTCTGATGGTATTACCCACGCATTGGCTTCATGTGAAGGTGCACTCCCTGTTGCTGCAACGGCATTCCCGCCTGCTTGTTGAGTTGGCGATCATGAATGCGAAGAAACTACTAAAGGTCTGAACATCTCCTCAAGCTGGAGTACTAGTTATTGTTTCTAAGGGAGATTATTCTATCAGTCGGCCATTCTTTTACACTGCTCCCGTAGCACTCGCTTCCAGTCACTCTTTTAACTCCTACGCGCAAGAGCATACGCCTTTTTACAGTAATATTTCTCAAGCACCGCAATCATGAAGGGCTTCATTGGCGGAATCCCTGTGGCGCTGCTGGCAGTTGCTGCCCAGGCCAAGTTTGCTGAACGTGTATGCCATCTTCCTTTCGATATACTAAGCCATCAGCTAACCTAATGTACAGCAGGAGCATGACTTCCACCCCAAAGCCGGTGGAACCGCCATCGGCGGTCCTTCCGGCAATGACGGCGGTCCTTCTGGCCATCACGGCGACTTCCATCCCCAAGCTGGTGGTACCGCCATCGGTGGGCCTTCTGGGAATGACGACGACGGTGGCTTCGTCAGCCCCTACTCCGCCAACATCAAGACCGATACCAAGGTCAACGAGTGGAACAAGGATAACCACTCCATCAAGCTGAAGCACACCGATGTGTACTCTCATCCCCCGGTGGTGGCATATGGCCACCCCGGCGTTCCCCACGGGCCCCAGGTCCCTGGAATGGGACCCTTTGAAAAGCGTGGTGCTCCAGGTGGAACTGCCATGGGTGGCCCCTCTGGCAACGATGAGGGCCAGAGCTTCGATATGTCTGTGACTGCTATCTTCAACACTGAGACCGAAGAGGAGAACAAGGATGACCATTCCATCGGCATCAAGAACACGCACGTCCACCCGCCTTCCGAGGATTTCGCGAAGCGTTTCGGGCCGCCCTATGGCCCGCCCCATGTGGGTGGCACCGCGATTGGTGGCCCCTCCGGCAACGATGGTGGCCAGAGCTTCAGCGCTCCCACTAACATTCAGACTAACACTGAGATCAACGAGCACAACGAAGATGACCACTCCATCCGCCTGAAGCATGAGGATATCTACACCCACCATCATTTCCCTGGCCACGGTCCCTTCCGTCGCTCCGAGAACTGTGGCCCTCATTGCCACGGCGGCTCTCCGTCCTCTGTTCACTTCGAGCCTCACCCGGAGTCTCATTACGCGCCTCACACCGAGACACACTATGAGCCCCATTCCGAACCTCACTACGAGCCTCACCCCGAGCCTCATTACGAGAACCACCCCGAACCGCACGTCGAGAACCACCCGGAGCCTCACTACGAGCCTCACTACAGCCCTCACTATGAGCCTCACTATGAGCCCCACACCACTCTGGACTATGAGCTCACTTCGGTGAAGAACAACAACAACGGTCCTGCCGCTGGGGCTATCGCCTTTGGCCGCCGTGGGTTCCCTGGCCTTGAGTCTCACTTCGAGCCTCACCCGGAGTCTCATTACGCGCCTCACACCGAGACACACTATGAGCCCCACTCCGAGCCTCACTACGAGCCTCACCCTGAGCCTCATTACGAGAACCACCCCGAACCGCACGTCGAGAACCACCCGGAGCCTCACTACGCGCCTCACTACAGCCCTAGCTATGAGCCTCACTATGAGCCTCACACTACCCTGGAGCACGAGATCACTTCGTTGAAGAACAACAACAACGGTCCTGCTGCTGGGGCCATCACCTTTGGCCGCCGTGGGTTCCCTGGCCTTGAGTCTCACTTCGAGCCTCACCCGGAGTCTCATTACGCGCCTCACACCGAGACACACTATGAGCCCCACTCCGAGCCTCACTACGAGCCTCACCCTGAGCCTCATTACGAGAACCACCCCGAGCCGCACGTCGAGAACCACCCGGAGCCTCACTACGAGCCTCACTACAGCCCTAGCTATGAGCCTCACTATGAGCCTCACCACACCCTGGAATATGAGCTCACTTCGGTGAAGAACAACAACAACGGTCCTTCCGCTGGCGCTATCGGTTTTGGTCGGCGCGCGTACGCTCCAACCCACGAGACTAGCGTCGGCGGTGGTACCGCTATTGGAGGTCCTTCTGGTGATGACGGCGGCAGTGGATTCTCCACCCCCACCAACATCGATGTTACCACCGGTGTGAACGAGCACAATGAGGACAACCACGCCATTGACAGCGAGTACACCCACGTCCACCCTGATGGTTCCGCTAAGTACGACCGAGAGGAGCATGTTGAGGCTCCTCAGTGCGCTGCTCAGGTGCATGAGGTTGTCCACACAGTGACCAAGACCCAGTACCAGACTGCTGAGGCGACGCAGGTGGCGTACCAATCAGCTCCCACGAAGTCCGTTGGGGCTGATCCCTACGCCGACTATCCCCAGCACTCCGCCGGGGCTGATCCCTACGCTGCCTCTTCTTCCGCTCCGTACGACTATGATTCTGAGGATCCCTCGTACTCTGCGCCTTCTGAGGACTCCTCGTACTCTGCGCCTCCTGAGGACTCCGAGGTTCGCGCGCATGCCACCCCCGCCGCCGGAACTAGCGCCATCTATGCCAACTATCCCCAGCGCTCCGCCGGGGCTGATCCATACGCTGCATCTGCTTCTGCTCCGTACAACTATGCTTCCCAGCATTCGTCGTACTCCAGGATCCCCGTGCATGTGCCTATGGCCACCCCTGCCTCGTATGGCGCTTTCTCCAAGGCTACACCATCTAGCAGCATGGGTAAGATGATCCCTAGTGGCGTCTCCGCCAACCAGAAGGCTTCTCCTTCTTCCTCTGCGTCGGCTTCTGCCTCTCATGGAGTCATGTTCCAAGGTGACGCCGCCCGCCTATCCGGGGGAATCGTCTCCGCCGTCGCTGCTGTCATGGGTGTCCTTGCCTTCATCCTATAGACAGTTGGTCATCAGATCTAGGTGTTTGGTGTATCATTAGCTTCTTGTCACTCGTTATGGCCTCTGCCCTTGATATTTTAACCATTCATTTCCGTACTACTTTCTGTACCTTACCCATTGGACCCACCTTTAATGATCAATGTTTCCTTAAGAAAGTTACACATTCACAGCACTAAAGACATGACTCCCGCTTTCTTCTTCTGACACTTAACTTAACCTGTAATAATTCGGACAAGATAAGCTGCATACCATTCTTGATCGTCAATTCATATCCACCTTATTGTAGAAAATCATGCATCATAAGTGCAACACTCAATCTCAACAAAGATCTCATTTGCGGTTCGTGATCCCGAACATCCAGCCTCCAGTAGGGTGGGTCAGATCGCGTTTATAACAAGTGGGCATTTGGTTTTGCCACTGCGAATGCTCAAGCTTGATGACAAGAAAACCCACTTGGATTTCAGGTAAATCGACTCCTAATGTCCATCAATTTCCAGTATTGCATATTCATCGAAGCCATTTTCTTAGTTGTTGTATGTGTTCTATGTAGGTAATATGAACCACCAATCAATACTATGTGATATCATTGCCCATCATCTCTAGACGACGTCCAACGATGTGACATCAGTACCAGTAGTACAGGACTTGGGCTCCAGAGCGGAATATAAGAAAGTACCAGTGTAGTTTGGTCTCGTTGGATCAAACCACGCTATCCCAACCCAAATCCCTCATTCATCCCTTAATATCTCAAGTTTCACTGGACACCAAACCGCTTCGAATCCAACAACTACTTCCGTCTCCAAAATGGTTCAGCAAGACCCACACCAAGGCGGCAGCCTCTCTGAAATGGCCGCCCAAGGCACATCAATGCCCAACGATGCCGGCATGATGAATACGATCCCCTCGGTGCCACGCCCAGACCAGCGCGCCGAGAACATCGGATTCGAAAACGAAGGCATCGGCAAGCCCTCAACAGCGATGGCTGCTGACCACACTACCGACCTGCCACGCTCGACCCGGGATGTGGGTCAGACCGGCGAGGTCATCAGCGGCACGGGAAACTCCATGGATGCCGGCGTCGAGACTAAGCATGCCTACATGGGCACTAATCACCACGCTGGCCATGGTGATACTCGCGATCTCAAGCATGCCAAGTATAGCCGGAGTAAGTTTGAGCGCTATCAGGAGGAGTAGAGGGTCTCCTCTCAACCATTGGTGTGACCATTCGGCTTTTGGAAATGATGGCTGGATTCTTTTGAGTTCGTGCTATCTGGTGCATAATGTTATGAACGGCGTTTGTCAGATGTAAAACAATTCAATACGATTGAAAAAATGTCCATTAGACTTTCTGTGTAGAGTACGGCTATTCAATCGTTTCAGATTCGTAGCCCGGGCTGGTCAGGCCCGAGAAATCCTTGATAGATCTCTTCAAGAACATCTCGCTTCCTCTTGCGATCGGCCTGGGCTGCTTGCTCGGTTTCAGTAGGTTCGCCATCAGGTTCGTGAGATACCCATGTCCGGATCGTTCCATCCCCGTGTGCAGAGAACAGCTCTATCCCCTCTCCAGAGGCACCGTTCCCTCGCCAGACAAGATCATTGATACGCCCAGCGCTCAAAGCACTCGACCGACCCCGGACATTCTGCGACCCAGCCATGAGACCCGGGACGCGGAGACGCTTAACGAATGTCCCCTCACGGAGCTCGAACATGAAAATCTCACCACGATCATCCTGCTCATTGAAGTTCGGCCACATCAGTGTTTCATGTCCTGGATTCATGAAGCCTTTCGGCACGATTAAGGGTGCCCGTTCAGCTAGGTGCGAGGAAGAGCTATTACGGACCCGAGGACCGAAATGAACAAGTGTATTGGCGCCGGTTGCGGAGTCCCAGACTCGAATTCGGGAATCCTGTCCCGTCGTCACGATGTGACTGCCATTAGAGGTCCACCGTACCCCGGTCACAGGCCCATTATGGGCACGGGCATGCCGGGAGAAGGCTGGACGACTCTCGTATGAGAGCGGTGCAGATCCAGTTCCTGGGGCCACTAGTCCCACTGGATCGTCCATGTCCAGGGTAGCGATGGCAGAGTTGTGACCTCCGCGACGCACGTCGAAAATGATTACTCGGTTGTCAACTGAGGCAGAGGCTAGGAGATGCGGCCGGTGAGGTGCCCATGCTACTGACAATACTGCGCCATTGTGTCCCGGCAGGCCTTGTGTCGATAGTCCAGATCGTAGGTCTATTAGTCGGACCGACCTCTCAGACGTGCCTACTGCGACAAGCAGTGTTGACCCAGGCTGAGAGGAGAACGAGTGTGAATATGGTGTACAATCCAGGCTGAATGTATGTACCGGTGTGATAGAGGGAGATTGTAGCGCTGACAGCTTTAATGTACCATCGTGTGCAGTCGAGAAGATCGTTGATGGGACGGGATCAAACGGGTAGATCGAGAGGGAGGTAATCGCATGTGTATGGGCATCGGGGTGAGAGGATTTGCTAACGGACGCGCAAGATTGATGAACGTGTTCGAGTTCTGATCCTCTTGATTCAAGGTCCCAGAGATGAATCGATGGATCGGCACCTCCCGATATCATACTACCTTCATGTTAGAATGATAACTGTCGGATGCTAAGTGGTTGCACACGCACTATCGGCCCTCAAACTGATCGACAGCCAGACAATTCACCCCGGATTTGTGAGCAAATACCTCCGCCGTAGCACCTAGTTCTTGATCTAAAGGCGCCACATCGTCTTCGGACCGGTCCGTTGGCGCAGCTGCTCTGCGGCTGGAGAACCGTATGCCCGGAGCGGGCTCAAGGTTGTGCACTAGCCGGGTGGTTTGAGCAACATGAAATTCATTTGGAGTTACAGACCCAAGGGCTCTGTTGAGGAGGTAGGAATTCATTCATTCATCAGCGCTGGTGCTTTTGTATGAATAAGTCGATAGCCCTCGATGATGCTATGCTCCACCGGATTAAAGTTAGGCCGGCGCATTTATCGGATTTGGCAGCTGGAGACCCTCGACCTTTATTCACTATCTGCTGCACATCACTGTTTGATTTGCCAAACCTTGATTGGTCTTCCTGGCAAACCTGAAGTATGTCTGTTGCCAGGTCACCCGGCTTGGATGAAGACAGTTTTGTCGAGTCAGTCGAAGATAAGCAAGAACCACTGGACGATAAGCCTTCCAGGCACATAAAACGCCGCGCCAATGTCTATGATGCGGTAGCTGGTATGCTTTCCAAGCTTGCCGAGCTTTTTATACCAAGCAGAATGAAATCTAATTGCAACTAGGTCGTGTCAACCCCCGCGGTGTCCACGCAAACCATCACATTGCTTCTCAATACCGCGACACAACCTCCTCAAGCGCTCGAACTTTGCGCCCAGAGGAGCTTCTTTATCGCAAACAGAACATTACAGCGGAATCGATTGATGAGAAAACCTATTTCGCGCATGAGAATCTTCCCTCTGATCAAGCTCTCCCGAACTCCGAGCTCCTTGAGACGATACATGCCTATGCGGCCGACTATTACGAATACGCTACGGCAGACAACGGCAAAGATGACCATCAAACCATGGATGAGACAGCATTGCTTGCAATGGGGATCCTGATCGAAGAGATGGCCAAGGAGGAACTGGGTGAAACCGGGGATCTGGCCCTGGTTGAAGGACAAGAGTTGTCGGAGGAAGAGGACGATAAGACGGGCCTCGAGAGCGACACCACAACCAAATCAGCAGCACGAGCAGCACGAAGGAAACGAGCAAACAGCATTGTCCGTCAGAGATCAAAACGACGCAAATTGGCTCGTTCTGTTTCTGTTACAACTGATTTGGACACCGAGATTGACGAAAGACGATGACTGGATGAGATGGCATTAGAATTTTCTTGTCAGGTTGCATCCATTTCTCCGCGGTCGAATTTTCTCGAAGGCTTTTGATGCCTTCGTTGTATCAAGCCACGCGCGATCTTGCAAAAGCTTCAGTCAACCCCTTTGGAAGGGACTCGGGTAACCCCATGTACTGCCGTGGCACAGCCACGCTGCACATGGTATCGGCACATATCCCAGTCCCTGCTACGACCATGTGGCATGCAGAGAGGCAACAAGTCAGACTTCAAAGGCTTTAATCTGTAAGACAATAGTTCTGCTGCGCCTTCATGTGCGCCTCCCGCTACACCGAATGTTTTCAATGGAGCTATACGCAGAGTGATACCTCCAGGGAGAGAACTTGCGGTGATTAAACCGGCCAATATCTAGCCGGCTGGCAGCACTATCGAGAGCCCTCTCTAGCCGAATCAAAACACAACCTTGGATATGCTGTGCATCCTGCAGCAGCTTCAGTTTAATTATGGCTGGCATCGGGGCGACATCTTGCGAGACCTCATTTCTGTTGCCCCAGAACCTTGTCTCACTTGACACGTCTAACCCAAGTAGGGTCTTCCAGGAATGAATTGGCTGGATTGGGTTCCCAGAGAATATTAGCTCGGATTTATCTAGTCGTGAGTCTAGTCTTGTGCTGACTCCCAACAAGGCTATGTTGAGCAGCGTTAGTATCAGTAGTCTCTCGACAGTCGTAATTTTACAATGTGTTCAAACAAAAGAAAAGCAGTTGTCTGGAGAAACCCCTAGAATAAGAAAGGTAAGCCAGTGTCAAATAGAATATGGGGTTGTATTCTCTGAGACACGAGTTTCCAGGTTTGTGTTTCGTGACAGGTAAGCACCCAAGGGAACTGCAAGGCTGCTGACTTTGAACTCATCCATCACTCCAGGGCTGCGCCTCCACCAATGCTTAGCTGCCTCATACTTGTCCAATGAGCGAACGCTGGATTGATAAGCTTTTCTGAAGCCATTTGACAGTGCGTGCAAGATGGTACGTGTGCCACATTCCACCTGGGTACTCCGTAGGGTCCAGATCATTTAAATGAGACTACTGACGCACCACTAGCCCAAATTAACCAAAAGCGCTAAACAAGATTTGATTTTGACTCATCTCCGCGCCACTGGAACCTGTCACACGCTCAAAGATTTAGAGAAGACGCTACCCTCTGTTGCATCCATCAATGGCATCCAGGTCAAGGAATACATCCAAGCTTTGACCGATGAGGGTCAACTACGAGTCGAGAAGATCGGCAGTGGGAACTGGTACTGGAGTTTCAGTAGCGACGAAAAGCACGCACGCGAGCGCCAGTTGGCCCGAGTGACCACGGAGGTGGAGAAAGTCCGGAAGTCTTGCGCCGATGCGGAAGCGGCGTTGGCCGCTGAGACCATGCGCCGAAAGGAGGAGCCGGATGATGACCTTGAAAGGGAATCCCTCATGGCCAAAAAAGCCGAGCTTCAGGTTGCAATCGATCGGGTACGGACTACAGAGGCCCAACTCTCCGGACCCCTCAATTCGCTCAGCAGCAAGGGTGTCAAGCAGGTCCAAGAGGAGTTAGCGGGATTTCAACAGCAGGCACTGCAGTGGACAGATAATATCTATATGCTAGAGGAGTATTTGCGCAAGTTAGCGGGTGGAGACCGACAAATCATCGAGGGTGTTTTGCGCGATTGTTATGGAGACGAATACGTGGACGGAGAGGGTCTCTGTGAACTAGGATAGGATAAAGATTTGAGAAGAAAAAGCTTAGGTTTGCTTAGCACATGGCAAAACCACGGGGAAAATTATGTGAAACATAAAACAAGTCAGTCCTAAATTCTAAAAAGTGATGATCAATAAAATTGCCCAGAAAAAGGGGGAAAAACTAGCTGAGCCACCTGGGACACCAAGAGAAGCTTGACCGTGCGACACGCGAATCGAAAGCCATCTGGTTCGTTCTCCGCCTCTCTCTCTCTCTCGGAAGCTTATCGCGAACTCCCCTCTCCTCTTCCATCTCTCTTATTGTATCTCCTCTCCTCTTCCCCCCTCTTTGACTACTACAAACCATTCCGATCGTCTACGTTGGCTCGTGCGTTCTCGAGTCCCACATTCCTCCGGATCTCGCGCCATCTCCAGTTGCGCCTTTCACCCTCTCTCCCCGGTCCCCGACCCCCCGACCCCCCCCGGTTCTAGACTCTCGACTACAACATAGTATCCCGTGATACTGACCCATTGGTCCCCTTCAAGCCCGTCATTCTTCCCGAAAATATCCACTCCCTTATCTTGCAACCTGACCTTGCGTCCCGATACGCTGCGAGTTCCTGGCGGGGGTACCGTCGAAATCCTGCCTCGCGCTTCGATGTCACAAGAAACAATGTGGTGCAGTGGCCCTCGATCATAATCCCCATTCCTTTCTTTGGACCCGGGGAATCTATCGCGCGTGGAGAAGGATACATTCCGTGTGCATTTGGAAATCAGACCGTGTCCAGTGCATTGGTCCTGGACGCCAGACCCTTCGACAAAAGGATTGATACTTATTGTGTCGCTTGATTGGATTTCTTGACGTAGGCTGACTGCCTACTGGTCTGTCCGACCATTCCCCGCCATTCCGTGCTGCCCCAGAGAATACCGGCGTGTCTATCCGTCCGATCGGTGCCAAATCAGTTGCAGTTTATCATCCCCACCCTCTCTCTCACTCCTGCCACATTGTCTTTGTATAGATGCAGTAAACAGCGGCTGTGTGTCATGTCCACCAACCCTCCAATCCAACCTACGTTGCCGGCCAGTCGGAATCGCAACTCTCTCCTGTCCAAGTTTCGCTCCCCGCTCGGTCAAAGAAATCGAGGCATCACCGACTTCTATATCGAACCGGATGACCCATGGCGCTCCTACTTCCCCGGTGATGTCATCAAAGGCACCGTCGTCGTGACCGTTGTACGACCCGTTCGCATCACGCATATAGTCGTATGTCTCCACGGCTATGTCAAGGTGTTCAAGAATGCGATTCCGGCAGGAGAGACAACCCCCGACTTGGGATTCTTAGGACCAGGGCGGGGCCGACGAGGCGCAGAATACTTGGGCAATGGGTTAGCGACCTTGTTTGAGGATGAGGTTGTTCTCTGTGGCGATGGACGCTTGAAGGAGGGCATCTACAAGTTTCATTTCGAAATGGGGCTGCCTCCTTATGCGCTTCCCAGCAGCATCAATGTGCGTTTGTTGATGCGACCTCTCTTATTTAAAATATGCTAATCAAATGGGTAACTGCAGTTTGAACGCGGAACCATCGGCTACTCGCTTACCTCTACCCTTACCCGACCGACCACCATGAATCCTACACTCACATGTAGAAGACGAGTCAATCTTCTAGAAAACATCGACATCGCACCCTTCCCTGCACCCAGGGCTCGCATAGTTACGTTGGAACCGATCTCAAGGCGCTCAAAACCGAGGGGAAAAGCCAAATCAACAAATTCCGACGCAACCGCAGGGCCGGACACATCCTCGGTCGATACCCCTATTAGTGGTGCGGCACCCTCAGTAGATACCAGACCACCGCTGAGCCCCTCACCAAGCAATGTCAGCTCATCCAGCCGGCCTAGCGAAAGCAGCCAAAGCTTTCGAATCGCTAGCGATCCCAGTTCATCCGCAAGCACGAATGGACATAATAGCGAGGGTCGCAGTGCGACCCCGTCTGTCTCAGATAAAACCATAACCGCAAAGGCTGAGCTTCTGCGCGCCGGCGTGCTCCCCGGCGATACGCTACCTATCACAGTCACGATCAACCACTGTAAACAAGTGCGCAGTGCGCATGGAATTATGGTCACATTATACCGTCAAGGTCGCATTGATCTTCATCCTGCAATTCCCATCGGCACTACGGCGGCCGGGAAAAAGCCGGTATACGAAGACTGCTATCCGCGATCACGAACGGGACTTGGAGGACTTACCTTGGGAACAAGTCGGACAACCAGCACTTTTCGCAAAGATCTGTCGCAGACATTTGCCCCGCTGATCGTTGACCCAAGTACCATGACTGCAATTATTAAGACTTCCATCCGAATACCCGAAGACGCATTTCCAACTATCACGCGAGTACCGGGAGCCATGATCAATTTTCGGTACTATGTGGAGGTCGTAACTGACCTACGAGGCAAAATCACTTCCCCAGACCGCTTCATCCCGCGTTTCAACATGGTCTCCGGTGGTACTACATTTTCGCCCAGCGGGCAGGTCCTTAATCCAGCCGATTCGAGCGGCGTTACTGCCAACTGGGCTGGCAACATCCTGGACACGGATTCAATCCGCCGTGAAAAAGGTGTGATCTCAGTGGCATTTGAAGTCGTGGTTGGGACGCGTGATTCACAACGAGGAAAAGCGACGAAACGTACATCATCTACGGCTGGCGACTCGACCAAGTCACAAACGGCGGCTCCTGCATCTGCAATACTACTTAACCCTGTTGATGGGGAGGAGTGGCCAGAGGCGAATCCAATGCCTAATTCCCATGGCGAATACGGGACACAGGAGGGGTATTACCCCGAGGAGACGGATTGGGCAGAGTACCCTGAAGAGTACACTGAACATTTCCAGCCAATGGACCCTATGGTTGCGCCTCCAGAAGTCGAGGAGCCCGTTGACGAGAAAACACGGGTACGACGTCACGAAGAAGCTCTCTTACCCAGTCAACCGCCCGAGGAAGATGAGGCAGGGCCGTCTACGGTACCAATGGAGGTCCCGACCGCGCCGGTTTTGCCAGATGATCATCATCTTCAAGACTACCAGCATGTACCTTCACCAGATACAAGCGGAGGGCCGCATACTGTCCGCTCTGCGGAATCCATACAGACTGTCTTTGCGAACGGCGCTGGGCCCAGTGAGCCACGTGTATCAAGCGATGATAAACAAGAGCTTGAGCGCCACCGACTCCAGGAGCAGGCGAGTGCACCTCGAGATGAGCCTAGTAGCCAGGAACCCAGCGACGGGCCCAGTGCGCCAGTCTTTGATGAGGATGACCAGCTCGTCGGTGGGACAGCCCATGCAGACGAGTCGTTGCCTCGATACCAGCGATGATGTTGTTATGTACATTTGCATTTACGGGATATTCTGGAAGATACCACTGTTCACATCATTTATGAAACGGCGCTAAAGGCGTTGAAATCTGTACCATACACTTATTTATCAAAATCGATTCTCAAATCTTACATGAAATGTTCCAATTTTCCAATCTCATCAAATGCTTGGACATCCACCTGGCAGAAGTCTAGGATTTGTAAAAACGTCCTTATCTCCCGCCCCCGGGGCTTGGCACCCGCTTAGCGATACCTGGGGGACTTCATCCTTGCCCCTGGTCATCTCCTTTCCCCTCAAAACAATTCCGTCTACTTTTTCAATTTTCACAATGGCCTTCAAAAGCGGGTCGTTCGCGACTTTCCTCATCGTCTGCCGTAAGTCCATCACATCGCGAACTTCCCCGGATCCCAACGGCAAAGAGGCCACGAGACTGTAACAAACTAACCCCAAACTGCCCAACCAGCAACCTGTTTCTTCCTGGGCATTATCTTCTCCCTCTTCCCTTACGACTACCCGATTCTGTGGTCCACGGTGTTGACACCCGCCGCGCACTATGACTATCTCGAGGCGCATCTCCGCTTCCTGCACGCCTCGCCCCCGCTCATCCCACGCATCCTGCACATCGTAATCTTCCTCGGCCTAGCCGGCCTCCTCACCAAGCTCTACAAACCCTCTGAATCAAACATGCTCTTCGACGGCGCCTCGCTGGTCCTCTACATGTGCGGTGTGACAGTCTACATCGCCAACATCGTCAAGGGCCTGCGCCTCGCCTCTGCCGGCCAGTACGGCGCCGACCTGGGTTCCTCTGCCGACGATAAGGAGCAGATCCTTGGTCGCGAGGACTCGCTCAAGGTTCTTTCCGCTAGCAATACTATTCTCGCGCTTGTCCTCGTTGGCATCCTGGTTCTGCAGGCTGGGCAGTGGTACGCGGAGCGCAAGGATGCGCAGGAAGATGAATCGTTTGCTACTAGCAAGAAGAGTGAGAAGGAGTCCGGCGACGCTACTGCCACTACTTCCGGTTCGTCGACTGCGACTGCTGGTAAGTCGGGTCGGCAGGGAAGTCAGCGTAAGAAGAGCAATTGATCCTAGTTATTGATTCGTTTCTCTTGCTTTCGTTCGTGTTTGCCTTGGGGATATGGATACTAGGTGTGGGGTTGTGCGCCTGATTACTTGTTTTGCTTGGTAGCTATTATTTTCTTTCTAGTCGCCTACGCAGACGGGGATTTGCTGTCGCAAAGAAAATCATTGGAGACGCCTTTTTTTTCTTAATTGTCCAGGAGGTCATGGAATTCGACTTTCGTCTCTGTACATATGTGATCCATAAATATGGTATGGTACATCCATACAAGAACAAGATAGGATGAAAATGCAGGAATATGGCATGATATGCACCCGAGTATGGACAGAACAGAAAAGATGGACAAATGATCATAGATGCATGTAATGTGGACATATGGTATGGCACCGCAGAAGGGGAATCATTGCGCAAGTCGTGAAAGATGGTGTGGTATCATATCATGCATGAGAAATTCAAGTTCAACGGAATGAGAATGGGCTCCGAGGGAGATCCGGTGAGCGTGGGCTCAGTGCCTTGGCGAACAATTCCTCGCCGGAATCATTGCTCGGGGTGCGCGAGATTGCGCCCATGGCTGCGAACCCGCTGGGCCCGCTGTTATTCTGGGCTTCCTGCAGAGCCGAGGGTGGGAAGACTGCAACCGGCTTAAGTGTTTCGGGGCCGGAGGGGTTGGCATGAGAGCTTGGAGTTGGGGTGGGATTGGTATCTGGTGTTGGCATGGAATGGATGTGCTTATGCGCGACGTGACGGAAGGAGCTGAACGAGGGGACGGCAACGTCAGGAGATTGAGGCGAAAGAAGATGGGCGGTATTGGGAGCTGAACCTGGGTTTGGTCAGTTTCAGCGATATCGAATATGATAACAATTGGGACCAAGGATACATACCATTATTCACGGCTAGGTCCTTCTCGCTTGTCTGCAGCTTCAGTCCCTTAAGCTTGTCGCTCAGCTTACTGCCGCTGATAGGCGATACCGGCGTGGCCGGGTAAATGGAGGATGAATTCGAGGAGTCGTGGCTATTGGCAACCGAGTCGACAGCACCCGCCCCGACTCCAAAGTTTTCCTCAATCCACTCTTTTTCTTGGATGGCCATGTGCAGGGCAATGCCTTCAATGTTGTTGCGAGTTTCAGCGACGATCTCCGCCTCAAGAACCCGAAGCCGTTTCTTTGCCCAGATTGTATGCAACACGCCCTTCTTGCCTGCTGCACGCCCCGTGGCACCTAATTCAGAGGGGAAGATAGCGGGGAGGGGATTGAGGCGGAAAGCGTCCCGCGGCTTCGAGGGCGGAGGGGCCGCGGAATCAGTCGTATTTGACGGGGTTGACCGCGGCTCATAGCAAAGCGTAACGACAGGCGGAATGGTTGTATTGGGCGGGAGCAAGAAGTAGAAGCGGCGTAAACTATCACTAGGCCGTTCATCGGCGGGCAGGATGGAAGTCTTTCCGGCCCAAGAGACATGCCACGATCCATCGGTTATCGATCGAGTGAGATCGTCGTCCTCCCACTCAATCATCAGGATTTTGGTGCCATCGTTTCCCTTACCTGCCTCGAATTCGAACCGAGCCAACGCATTTATTGACAGACTTCCGCCCTTGGGGTCACGAGGGGTTTCGAGCTCAGCGAACTCGCTGTCTGGTGTGAAAGTGGGGGGCGCTTGAGCCATGGGTATGGACAGATTGGAGAGAAACACCGTACTTTCTAGGCGTGGGGGCGCACAGAATGTGGAATCGGTTGACTCGGAGGGTGCTTAGGGTGACGCACGGCTCAAGGGATAGGGATTACAAGAGATGCAGTAACAGTTCAAGTGGGAAAGGAGTGAACGAGGGACGAAGGACTTTAGGCGGGTCGATCACGGGATTTTGGGAATCCCTCTATGTGCCCTCCATTATTGTCCTTTTGCCTGCCCGCTTCGATTGGAATACCTAGCCGGTCTAAACAGGGGGTGATTTTTATCTGTTGTCATTCGCTGGCTCGTCACAGAGTACAGGGGCATGTCACAGACATCAATAATCGCATCACATCGCATTACAGGCTTTGTTTCCCCCGCCTCTAAATTTAGAACCAAGTCGGCTGCACCGATTTCAAAGTCAATAACAGCCAACTCTTTTGAGAATAATCATCAATTAGAGGGGGGTCAGCCTTTTATGCCCCAGAAAACAAAGTATGATCTTCAGAAAAATCCCTCAAGGGGCCATGATATCAGCAAAAATAGATCATCCATGGATGTTTTGAGGCCCATGTAAGGACACATGGTCGAGGCGAGTGTGATAGACCCCGCACTAATGCATAGAAAATGCATTCTATTTATATCCACCACCAATCGAAGGCTTTGATTCAAGTTCATCCCTGTATCGCCTTCGATATGATCATATTTGCATCTTTGACTGCGAAAATGTGAGCCAGCTCATTCAGCAGCGAGCCATACAATATGTTGAATATGAAACACCTAAAGAGCGGAATTGTTAGCTTGTACTTGCCGTAAGCCATCAGCAGAAAGACTTTGGACGGAAAAAAGATGCTTGGTATGAGCAGAGTGAACGGCGAGTAGACCAAAGACTGCAAGATATCCGTCTCTCCAGGTTGCTAGTACCACCCCATTGTAACATGTCCTGATCGCAACGTAGACGAGCATGCATGATGTCGTCGATGATATCCTTAATTTAGATTCTTTATTCCATATCAGGACTTCATCCGAGTCAACAAAGGTGTGTGTATCATACTGTATGGTACAGAAGGATGGAGAACGGCTTTCAACCGGGAGAAATACACACCAAGAGTGTATCAGAAGAGGGGAAATATCAAAAATAGAGCTTCTAATATTGCAGTTCTGTCACGTAGCTCGCACACTAGACACCTGTAGGTTGATCATTCGGTTTCACGGATGATGGAATCGGCGGCAGCGAAACCTGTCAGTTGAGGGTATAAGGCACTAGTGAAAGAGAAAATGCAACCTATTCATAGCTCAATGCTCTAATTGGTCGATTCAATAAGAATGGTAGCGTAGATCGTCATCCGAGACGCAGGAACTGTGGTAGAGGGCAGAAGATATGCAATTGAAAACCCCTCATTGCTAAGTTTAGTAACTTCAACTCCCCCGAAGCGGAGATGAAAGTGATCAGACGTGACGAGTCTTCATAGACCAATGATAGAGAAACATTTATTGACCAGAGGTGCAGATAGCATGCAGTTCGGATGTTCCGCGGCATCGCTGTTAAGCCTATTGAATCCCTTGACAGGGCTGTAAGAGCTGATGAGCGTAAAGTCTATCTTCACCTGGAAAGAAATAAGCATAATAACTTGATGGGTTCTATTCTTGGAACGGTGGACATTTGTGCTAATCTCCCAAGATGAAGAACGGGACTCATCTATGAATAGTCTTTCAAGGAGCAATGATGTACTCCACACGCAAGGGCATGGCGCTTTTTACTGGTAAATGTTTGAGCCGATCCCAGGATATTTGAAATGATTGGCGCACAAAGCAGGACAAGATACCGAAAAAAGAACATGAAAAGCTAAGAAAAGTCAATAGTTGATCAGCTTTTGCCGCTGTCACAGATGAATAGAGTGGTGTGCAGTATAATACTGATATTGGTATACTAACCGGAATAAAAGGGAAAAATTCGCGTCACGTCAAATCGACACGGTTATTTGCTGTTTAGCCTGTCCTAGAGATGTTATACATAGTTTGATATATATTGAGTACAGAATATTATGGGTGATATGGAGTTGACGTCTCGACAAGTTGGTTCCAAAAATAACACTATTGTAGGGTAAAATTAGAACATTCGCTTGGCAAAATTTGATCACGGGTGCCCCAGGGCCTGGGATTTGGGCTCATCCCAAGGAAGCTAGTCAACCGACGCACAGATAGCCACAGCGTCTATTCTCTCATCATCACTGGCTAGGATATCCCCATTTCCTCAACATGCAGCCTGAGTTGGACATCTAATAAAAGAGTCTTCACGCTACCTACAGTACGGTCAGTATGTACCTACAAGGGTGATGCATGGTGGCACACCGGCCTTTGCTCCGAGATCAACATCATCAACCTCACCGTTGCTACAGAGTACTTATCATTATTTACTACTTATGTAGCCAGGGAGGACATGAATTATCCAATGATGACATTGTGAAAAAGTCTACTAATACAGCTAGTACTCGAATTAGAGCCACGGGAATCTACAAAGTACTACCTAGGTACATTTACCTCACTCGACCCTAATCTACATATGTATGTAAAGTTAAATTGAGCCAGGCTTGAGCTGTGATACGCTCTAAGTATGTATATAGTACTATGTATGATATGGAGCATATCTCTTGCCACGTTACGGAGTACACCAGATAAAGCAGTCTAGGCTGGAACCTTGGAAGGCACCTAACCTTGGAAGTACCTAGGTATTGGAATACATTACAGTGGGCCCAAGGGGCTTCATGGAGCCAACCAGGGTCAGTAGCGGGGCTCGACGGGTCCCGGGCCCGCAAATATGGACCTTTAGTACAAATATGGAATAGCGTAGGCGCTTAAAGGTTACAGGGATATCACCGGGCATAAAGCCATATGTGGAACAGCGCGCAAGTATCTTTGAGTAGAATGATTCAGATGTCCTCCTGTGCATCCTTAGTGGTCAGTTATAGCTGAGCATATCACTTGCTTTAAGTTGATGTGAAAAGGGGGAAGCTTCTGAGAGTGGTGATTGAGTCTTGATCCTAATCCTTCATCACTGCGTAAGAGTCTGTATGTATCAATACATACAGTAACAGTACATTTGAGCAGCAGACTTGAACCGAGCGTAGATTGGGCCATATCCCACCCACTGATTATTTGCCAGTTGTGAATTGATTCAGAATCAGCTTTACTATCTTTGTATGTGTAAGACTTTCTCAATTGACTTAGAGTGAATGTATGAGATCGAAATTGTAGTATAAAAGTGTTTCATACATTGGTGTATACATTGGTATTTTTCAACCCGCTCTCGGATACGGGCATTATTGTGCGCAGTAACTTGAATGGAGGGGCAATACGGAATTCAAAAAGCAAACTCATAAACCAATCTCCTTTTTTTCACAAAAAGCGGGGGATAGCATAATGCTAAACCATGTCGAGTCATGAAACTGCGATCGACTCGTCTCATCTAAGATTAGTTCCTGCAAAAATAATCGCCATATAATACATAGTAGCATACACATCAAATAGTCTTTGTATCTGGGGTTCAAGACTGCACAATGAGAGACATACATCGATGTAACTATGTACTATGTGTGTATGTCGGTAATTTGGGGTTTAGGCTGGTTTACTATAATACATCTGCCTAGAGTCATGCCTCCCTAGATGCAGTATTGAAATACTAGTGCAAACCAGACGTTGTAAACTGATGCCTGTGCGCTGAGCCTCACCACAGCTACAATCCTACGAGTCAGTGTTTAATAGCTGATCCATTGACAAGTTTGGATTGTATGTTGTGTGGTGCAAGGCAGACAGTAGCGGTCGAGGGCTGATTTGGGAGAAGGAAACCAACCGCTTGGCGCTCTCAGCCTCAACAAGGAAAGGTGCTAATAAAGATCATACAGACCATTAAAAATGCTCATAGCTGTTAGAACCATGCTCTGAGATCTTAGCGAGCTACTCAATGCCTCTTTAGGCATTAGGCATCTTTGAAATCACTTTCGTAGCGCCAGGATCTGGGGGCGGATTAACAAGGAAGGGCCTATCTACGAGTCCTGTGAAGCCATACAACAAGAACAAAACTGCGATGTATCCAGACATTTTAGATCACAGCTTACTATCTGAACTTCTATATTTTTATGAAGTCGAGACCAACAGGATTGCTAAGGCATTTTCAATATCTTGACAATCTGGGTAAATAGGTAGGTATACGTCAAAGCATTTGCATTTGATTAATCACAATAAAATCTCCGAGGCTCAGTGAGCACACTCGAGACCCCTTGTCTAGGTCAGAATGTAAGCCGGCATAGCGCTAGTGGGCATGTTCCCTGTCCCCGCGGATGTTGGATGTTTTGTTGGATTTTCCTGCTCTATAATTAGTTACCGTGGAATGCACCCGACACGTGGAGGGGGCTGGACGTTAGCCCTAGTAGGTTGTCGGTGATAGATCAGCTCATGATAGGATAAGACTCGAGCAGGGTATTCTCCGCCTGACGGATAGCCCCAAGGTATCGGCCTAAGACAAATACATGGGTAGATGAGGCTCTCACGCTAAGCTTCGTGGACCTCCATAGCATACAAAAGTACCGTATCTAGAGATGATTCGGTTTAGAGACGTACTAATGTACACTATATGGCGATATATTTTTCTTCATGTTATATATGTATGTATGTTATGGTGTATAATTGGAGATTATGTCCAGTGGGATTTGCAGAAATTATGCAAAATACTAGCAGTAAGACATGAATGCACCAAGATATATTCGCCGTAAATGCTACCAGGTTGGTCCAGTGACCAATGTTGACGCCTAATATTAAAGAGCCAAGACAAAACAAAGCCCAAATCGTGTACCCCCAAACTGCCAATGAAGCCCTCCGATGACAGACAGTACAGTACAAGACACGAGTTTGTTTCCCAGACTAAGTTTTGTCATGTCGCCCACACAAACAACAACGCCATAATTGTAAATTCAAACCCAACCAACTCCGTATCCCCGATTCCTCCTTGTTCCTGGCGCTTGTAAGGAATTCACTTTCACAATAGAACGTAGAAATGAAAATGCCAAAGCCGATCCATCAAGGGCCAACTCATAGATTTCAACATTAGGCAATAGTGTCTGATGTGGTTTTCAGAGCCCAAAGAACTTCCAAGAACCGCTTTGCCCCCAAAGCCGAAACGCAAATTGCACATATAATCAAAATTCAAGATAAAACGCCGCACATGAAGAATGGAGAGTAAGATGCCAGCTCAAACATCTCGACATTCTTGAGTCTTGCGTCTCTTACCCTTTGGCGGGGGATCAAGCGGGGTACGCTTGTATGTGATCGTGCGGGTCACAACTTGTCTGACACTGACTGCCTTCGTGGTTGCACTTCTCGGTGTCTCAAGATATCGAAGCTTCCAATCTGATGGGGAGAATGGCGATCGAAGACTGGCTGCACTGCGAGGAAGTGCGCTCCATTGGGTCGCACTATAGGGACCCGCGCTGTATGGAGTTGCACTACACGGGGTGGCAGTTCGCGGGGAGTCTCTTGAAGAAAAAGACTTGAGTGATTGGGGAATGCGTAGTCGTCGTAGCGCAGGCGGGGCCTTGGCTGACTTCACAGTGCAAGGGGAGGGTGGTGGGAGGGATATGGCTGGCGTGGTAGGCGACTTGACAGAAACCTCGGAGGAGAGTGCGGGACTTGTTGCAGTAGACGGCTGCGAGATTGGCGATGGGTCACTTTTTTCGATTGGAAATTTTGGAAAGCCTCCAGCGCTGATAGGACTTGTGAAGACCGGTGTTAAAGCGTTGAGGAAATCGGTATATGCCAGTGGGGGTGTGATAGGCGTTGCGCTTCCATCTTCGCGCTTGATGTCATCGACGGTGAGGGTCTTAGAATCCTTGTGTATTTCTGAAGGGAAGATGAAGGTCTTCGGAGTCTTCAGTGGATGCAAATCAGGCTTTCGGGCCGGCATCTTGCTCAATAGGGTATTTGCAAGTCGGAAGAAACGAGCGCAGAAAGGTTGAGGTAGGCTGCTTGGGAGGGATGTACTAGTGACGCAAGTACAGGACGAGAGCGGGTCGGCGAGAGCGGGTCGCTCGCGTCTTGATCAAAGAGAAACGACAAGATATCTGAGTATAGATGGAGTCAGAATAATGATCGAGAAGACAGGGTCGAAGAGGGAAATAAGTAAGTCTTACCAAGAAGTAAAGACTCAGGAGGGCTGAGGAGATCTTTTTCTATACGGAGAGTAGGACACGAAAGGTGGACCGTATTGTACAAAACCGTAAGAGCTGTACCGTACTGGACAGTATCAGTCAATACGTAGGTGATCGACTAAGTCAAAACGGGTTAGCGTAGCCAATCGCATATTTGGCCCCGAAGGACTCACCAGTCCTGCTGTCGGAACTTAAAGGGGGCTGAGCAAAATGAGAGGATTCGCCCCCAATTTAAACTGCAAGCCTCAACGATGGTTTGGTTTGGATGAGAAATGTATACAAGCGACCAGCACTTGGTTAATAAAATGAATGAATGAACACCAGCAAGGTGAAAGATGACAGACGAAAGATGAAAGACAAATCAAAGAAAAAAGGAGTATTGATAACTATGTAGAAATCAACTAGGAGGAATACACAAGACTATTATATACACCAACAACCCCACCTGGGCAGATAATAACCGCTTCTATAATAAAAAATGCTTGAGATAAAACAACGGCCGCATTATCGCGCGCCTCCTGGATCAAGAGCATCAGCCTTTCTCTATTCCCAAAATATCCTCCACACGACGGCGTCGACCGGCGGCTTGGTTTCTTCAGCAACCGTGCACTTGCGGCACATCGCCCCTCCTGGTTCGCTACCATCAGAGCGCGCGGCATTCATGACATTAGCGGCTCGATGTTGTACAACAGACCAGAAGGTCAAGATGCCAATAGTTGTGAGCTTCTCAAGTCAACCGAAGATCCAGCGGAACAAACCTCAAAGTAAACATAGCAATTGTTTCATCAATCGCCGAGGCAGTCAATCATAGTCTCTCTGGACAGCGGTTAGTCTGCAGACACCAGTTCTGCAGGACCTTGTTTACACCAATCCCTTGATGCTACCCTTTGAAGAATTAATGTACACTATCAGCGTTTAGCTCTTTGCATGCTTCACCTCCACAATGGATCGCTGCAGGACATGACCCTTGTTTCATGACGAAACTCTGCGCTGATAGTATGGCAAGTGCCAGATGAGCATCGCTTTCGAAATTTGTATGGCCATAATCCAACGATAGGGCGCTATTTTTTTTTATTTACCGCCCATTGACTTAATTACAAAGTTCCGCTGTTGGTCGAGGTCAAAATCATCGAAGAGCACCTCTCATATTATGAAACAGGGGCATATTGGCAATGCAGGAGCTGTAGGATTGATTCAATGCCGTGTTGTCTGTTGAGGCCGAGCGCTTGCCCTTGAGAGTGTTTATTTTGGTATTGACATGAGTCAGTAGAAGCGGACATCTATTATTTAATCTCTAGACCCGCAGAGTGAATGGAGAGTAGAGACATATCCTCTCTATGACAATCCTATCTATGACCAAGAATGTGAGAGCTAACGCTGCATAACAAGAAAATTCATGTGTCTAGGCAAAATGATTGCTCTCAGAGAAGCGCCGCGATTTCTAATGGGAAGAATTCGTCAGGAATTATCTTGTTTCAAGCCAGGGAAACGAGTGACAAATTTAAGAGAGATACCTAGGTAGTTGGAAGTCAGGAAACGCACATGAACAACACACAGAGAACCCGAGTTTATACAAAAGGTAAATTTGATTTAACCTAACTGTATACCACTAGGCAACGCTCGTAAAGGTCACAAAAACAGGAAAGCGAGAGTCAGGGGATATAATCCAACACGAATCCCAAACGCCCGAAAACAATAACGAAAACACCATCTCTTTGCTCAACTATGTAGCATATATGCAAAACCGAGTATTTCTCCAACAAACAAGACCGCTTGAGGGAGCCTGGGAGATACCACCGAGCGATCTAATGCCTTGACTTGCACATGAGGTTAACCATAGAGGTTGCAACTTGTTCTTGCGACACATTCAAATCAGAAGATGGCGCCATCCATTTCGGTTCATGACATCTCGCCAGTGAACCTGCTGCCTCTTAATTTCTCGCATGCCAGGCGACAAAAGAGGAACAGAAGGGATGGCATCCCGTCTCATGTCCGTGGATTGATATCCTGCCTCGAGCTCGTTCTCTTCCAAAGGGAAGGACGGGCTGACGGGATCATCAGATAACCGCCAGTAATCATTCAACAATTGGTACATGCGACCAATACTTCCCAATTCGGCAAGATCGCCCAAGGCAGTCACTCGATCATCCAAGACTTGACGGAATGAGCTCGAGGGAGTAGAGAAAGCCCCAGCGATAAGAAGTGGCCAAACAAGAGAGCGGTCAAAGCCAAAAGGTCCTGCTGGAATGTAAGACATGGCATCTGTCAGTGCATTAACAAGATTGATGGTGCTGGTCTGATTGCGATCGCTTCCAGGAATGAGGCTGCAGAGGTAGATGCGGGCGGCAATGCGGAAGATAGCAGTCATCGTTTTTGTCAATGCATCGGGGCGAATTGCCCCAGTTTCCGGTGAATACGGGCTCATTAGCGTTGTATCGGCATCTTCGGTGTATTCCAACTGACTGCCCAAAGCCGAGACGTGTGTGCAAACAGCAATGGAGTCAATGCGACCCTCCATTTTGAGTGATTCTAGACAGGCAACTTCAGAGATGAGGTACATAATACGGTCATCGCATCCCATGAGTTCTCGGAGACCAGAAGATGTTCCACTTAGGTGCTTAGCGCGATAAGAGTGAGCGAACTGGGGTGTTTTCCCAAGCATTGTGGCACCCAGAATGTCAATCCAGGATGTCAAAGACATGCTAAAAGGGGGTACTGTGTGCATTGGACCACATGGGATTAATTGGTTGGTTAAATCCAGTTTGCTGACTAGGTTTGATGCAGCTTGGAAATGGTCGTTCCAGGGGATATCAGGGAGGTAATCATCGGGCGCGCCAACCGAGCAATGAAAGAAGATCATGGCAAGAGTCGCATCCAAAATGTGCTCATGATCAGCGTCCTTATTCAGTGCCTTGCACAACTCGGAAATGGCTTCATAGCGATGACGCATAATATCGTGGTCGATTTGTTCACCATTTAGTCGACTTGTTGTTTTGAGATGAATTGCGGCGACACTAAGACAGCAATGGAAGTATGACTTGTTTGTCTCCAGAGACTGAAGAACAGCCCGAGCCCGCGCAGAACCACGCTGATGAACCTCCAGGATTGGGAAAATCATACGCAAGACATTGTCCACGAAATGATCCAGAAGCGGTCGGTCATAGTCATCGACGGGAATATTGGCTTGTAGGGAGGCGTGAGATTGTCCAACACGTTGACCACCTAGGACTGTATTTCCCTGGGAGAATTGACGAGAAGAGTCAAAACATTCTTCTTGAAGCCACTCATCTGACGGGAAAGTGGGAAGTGTGGCGTGAAGTTGTGGCGGGCCCATCGCATTGAAGGTAGAGACCGAAGAGTCATGTCGCAGAGGTACATCGTTCACAAATGTTTGGCGTTCGGTTTTGACATCAACTTCATAAGGATAGTGCTGCGGATAAGATATCGGTACGAATCCAGGAGTCGAAAAGTGCGCTGCGAAACTTGGATCGTATCTCTCAGCATAAATCGGGCGGCTGAAGTCGTTTTCTCCAGAACTCGGCGATGAGAGGGCGCGGTTCATATGCTCTGAGGAAGATATTAGAACTTGATCGGTAAACACCGAAACCAACCTTGGAATCAATAGTTGACTCGACGCACCCTGAAGAGATCCACTTCGTTCCAATGACTTGGTCTGCTTTATTTTGATTTTGATCCGTTCTTTTTGTTGCCTTCTTTGCTCTGCATTGCTCCACCATACGGGTCGTTTATATTCACATTTGATGCAAAGATTCGCACAGGCTTTGCAAGCGGGATGGCCTTCATCGCACTTTTTTCTTCGCAGGCGACAGGTGAAGCAACCTATGGAGATCGTCGATGTTAATAATCCAAAGAAGGCAATCGACCATAAAGCAGTGTAGATGTTCATACCAGAGCGTGACCTTTTGTGCAATCGTCCAGACTTGTCTAGCTGCCCGTTGAGGGACCCCTCCGCAGAAGAAGAATTCATGTTGTTTGTTGAAGCATCGCCGGAAGCGTTTGAAGTAGGCATTTTCGCAAAATAATCCTCAATATCCAGTATTGACGACAAGAAAAGGTCAATCAATGACCAAAGCGATCGAAATAATTGGAGGCGGGGTGAAATAATAATATAGTTGATGAGGAGGACCAGCCACCTTATTCGCAACTAAACAGACGGCGCAATGGCAAAGCTGAACCGGCAGCTTATACACTCTATTAAGGGTATAATATAATGGAAGATGGAAACGAAGGTTGGAAAACACACTTCTTCGAGACGGGTTCAAAGGATATCTTTTATCTTGAGATCTCGGATGCGGCTAGTTATAAGTCTGAGCTACGATCAGCAGCCCTGGCATGCATGCTTCTAATTTTGTTGGCGGTAGAGGAGCCTAGTTCGAGCCGGAAGAATATGCGAACATCAGGTGGGGAATAAAACCCCAGCGGCAAATCAATTTCGAGGCACGGGTTGTTGGCCGGGTCCTCAAACTAAATTTGGGACACGACAGGGGTGCAAGCACGAAGAGTGACGGACGACAGGTATCCAGGGCCGATCCTCTAGAGTGGCGTCTGCAGCTAGCAGATAGTGATCTCTGGTAGGACGACTGGGGCCCCCATGATGCACAAGAGTTACAGCGGACCTGCGAATTATCCCTGCTAGTGCCCAACTCTTTCGGGGTAATCACCAACTCTCAAGCACCTCACTTACCACTTAGTGCAACTCTGGGCACGGCGCGTTTGGACGCTGATAGGCTCTTCACCGAGAACTCACTTCATTCTTGCTTTTTCGACGTAGAGACTTTCAGCCAGTCAAACTTCTATATTTGGCTAATAAAAACGAAAAAAAATGGTCCCAATTCTACAGCGCACAAACATTTTCTCACAGGACCGCAATCAACCAACAATATCCGAAAATACCCTCGGGTTAGATTATTTCTACGCTTACTTGAGAAAGCGGGGTTGTTGGTTTGTTGGAATTGGAAAAATCGATACCGCCAGAATGATAGGTGACTAGCCCATCTTTGCGAGTCAGGCAATTTTCACACTAAACCCAAATCAGTGGGAATATTTGGACAAGATTGGATGGTATTGGTCGAACAGTAAATGGTTGGTGAAAGCCATGCAGATTTAGACTGTGATGAAGAAGCAGCTCTTGCATGCCAAGCTTCTATCTCCGGCTCCTGATTCGCTGATTGTTCATAAGCCCAAGGCCGACTAAATTTTAGTGTCATCGGTGTCGTGCAGAACGGTGGACTCATAGCCAACCGTGGGGCCGGGCCGGGCAGGGACTGGGAAACGCTAATGTGCCAAGTCTGACGCTCGGACTGTGATAAGGGCACATCCAGCAAAATATCCTTAATTAGCAACACTTAAGCGCCTTAATTAAGCCTAATTATACTGTTTTTGAAAATGAGACAGCATATTATTTCCTATTTCTGATAGATCGGGTGAGCAAAAATCCCTCCAAAGTTCTATTAATAATTAGATGAGGCATTATTAGGGGAAACTATAGATTATTTGTCCCATAATTAGCAGCCAAACCACAAACAGAAAGACCCCGTGGACATAATTAGTATCAATTTGAGCGGGGTAATCAGAGCAATATGCCCAGATGGAGTCTGCATCCTCTAAAGTCCGCATTGATCCGGATACTACGATGAATGTATGCGATTTCCGAATCAGAAAGGATCTGCTTCGTACTCTGGTTCCAACTAAATTTACCCTTCTAAATTTGGAATGAATTGGATTAGCCATGATTGTTTATGTGCTTAATTTAGACACATGTAGTAATAATAGGGAAAAGATGAGTCGCGACTTGCGCGATAATTGATTGAATACGGCTAGTGAAATAATGCATAACACCTCTTTTATGAGAACATTGGCTCGGTCAATTATCTCCGGCTGAGGCTAGCATGCTGTGACCACAACCGATATCAAATTGCTGTTTTGATTGCGGCCAGGTATCACTTTATACCCACCGTAGGCTGAACTACTATCGGTATTATCATATCTGCAGGTACTTGATAGCTATGTCATACAATGCCAGGGGATGCTTTTTTTAAGAAAAAAGAGATAGGGCTTATTGTCTTCCCAAGGAGCAATCATATCGTTACATTGCGATCAACACATTTTATGTATACTCCGCACACACAGATAGTTCAGGACGTTCATTTGCCTAAGGTCCTGAGTAGAATCAAGACCATCATTTTTCTTCCCCTAGGGAGCCTTGGAGCATTAGGCGTTGTTAAAGTGAGAATTAACAAGACGGAGTATTCTCGATCGTAACCCAAGTACAAAATGTAGACCGTTGCCAAGAGAAATTTCGAGGCTACCTGCATAAGGTACGGACCAATCAAACATCAGAATTGATATGACATGGACCAGAAGTCGTCACATGGCCCCAAAATGACCTGTGCCACGGGCACGTGCACCCTGGGGCACGAGGATGTTCCAAGGTGTATATTCATCGGCGAAGAGTTTGCTTGCCCGTATTCATAAATCTCTAGTCCAGCCGAAACATGGATAGGAGACTAGAGCTCTACTTGAAAAGGATAAAGTAAACTATACATACGAACCCTAGGTGTTGATGGGGAAACATCCGTTCTGCATGATACACATGGAATAAAGAAACCATGCAAGGCTAAGACCCACCCGCAGAGGAACACAATACAATATTTCCACCTTGCAAATAGTTTTAAGACAGACAAGCAATAAGATACATAAAGTGCTCGTGGGTGGAGCCGAAGTGCATACTTACTCGTAAGTATTAGGTATCACTACTCCAACAGAGTAGAGTAACGAGATCGAAACTCTACTATGTACGTTAATATGTGGATTTCCACCTGAACTACATCGTCCTTCAAGAGGCGGAAGACTGGGTCATAAAGGAATGTCGAAATGTGGTCAATGCTAGAAAGGACATATTTTTTAGATTGATCGAGTGCATTTCTCACCAATGCCACCAAGTCCCTTATGCGACGGGAGTACTCCGTAAGTAACTTGGTCCAAGTATGGCGAATGCCTGATGTACATGAGCACGCGGTGTGATTCATGTTGGCTTCAAGTGAGACTGTACATAAGTAAGCCATTAATGGATTAGATACGGAGTAGAGAGCGGTCTCTACAAAGTAGAGAAAATTTGATTTCTGAAAGTAGAGGAAATGGCATGAGAATCTAATTTCAACTGAGGCCAGGAGAATCCAGTTCAAACGGAGTACGTGGATATGATTGGGCCTATGACCGATCCCGAGTTTGGAAGATCAGGAATACGGGTAGCCACCGCATGAGGCGGATCTCATACGCAAATTGCATGGATCAAAATGCGCTGTACCTAAATAGTTTCGGCTGCGGTGTGGTTCTCGAGGCACGCAACTATAATATTTTTAATTTTGTATATACACCCGGGGAGGATTTGCTTTTTTTTTTATCAACAAATAAGCGACTAATATTCCGTAAAACAAGCCGACTTCGTTCCATCAAAAAACATCCAAGGATTGAAAATTAAGAAAGCTACTCCGTTCTATGTATTGCATAGTACTAGGTATCCCTGTAGAGGCTTAATAATAATCGCTTTTTGGGAAGACAGTACGAAGAAATAATGATCTGCAGTGTGATGGGCGGCGGATGGGTACGGGTGATTGTGTGACTGTTAACCACTTGAATCCTTCTCGAGCCATATCCCTGACTGGGCAGAAATCCTAGTTAACTGTACTCAAATGAACTAATTTGGGAACATATACTCCGTACTGAAATTCCTAGTAATATTTATGAGTTAGCTTCAGATCATTCTCTTATCGAATTGAGGCGAGTGTTCCGACTCAAAGAAAATGGGCATGCCAATACCCCCGTTTCTATGGACTTTATTTTGGCCCCAAGCCCCTTGAGCCGTCGAGGAAATGCCATCAATTTATAGAAATGAACTCGAAACCTCTCTACGCGCCAGGAATTCGTAGGAATCTCTGCCCAGCCCGTGGAATTGTTGCCAAGGTTATCGTCACAGCAGTAGCGCCGTGATGAGTAGCCTCTCACAGACCGCCATCACCCGCTTTACTCAACCCCTCATGCAGGTTCGATGTGAACTGAGTTGCGTCTCGCCCAACGAGCATGAGAAGCACCCAGTCCTACCAGATGAAAATATGGGTCTTTGACCACCAGCCTTCCAAGCTAGTGTTCCAGGTTAGCTTGTCGGCCACCTAGATGCATCATCATGGGCGCCTCGCGGTGCTTACCGCTGAGCCATGCCCCCAGTCGTTGTCTGAGCTACACTTGTTATTCGTCGAATTTGTGAAATCGTCTGAAGCACTTATTACCGAGCGATTCTACTGGTGGCCCACAGAGGAACAGGTAATAATTCCCAGATGATAACTTGGTACATAAACTCATCCAACACCCAAATTACTCGTTTCTGAACTTGTTCCCCATTATCATATTATTCTAGCGTGCTTGAGTACTCGGCCCCGCAATTATCAACATAAGCCGCCCAGTCTTATCAAGACCTTTGGGCTGGTCATTCCACTGGTGGCTATTTCACTTCCAACAATCTGAAGTCTAGTGCCGGCACTCCAACTAGATTGACCCTCGGTGACAATATGGTTCGTTTGGTTGGATCTTATGTGAAATTCCATATCTAACCCGAAATAAAGGAGGCCCAATATACATATCACATGAACTTTCTAGTGAACCAGAAAGAGGAACCCCTGCCACTTTTCCCTCCAAAGACTGCAATCCATCGGCCATTTTCGGAGGCGACAGAGATCTTCGAGGAAGATGGATACCATACCTACTCAGATAGCTCACCTATGAGAAGTGTGGCTTCCGTGAGTGACATTCATTCAAGTCTTCAAATATGCCATGAATATAAATACTAATACTCTCCTTTAGTTTGGAACTGGGAGCACATCCACAGCCTCGACCCCGGACAATGTCACAACCCCGAACTCGACCGGACTGACAGCTTTTCATTTCCATATTGATGACAACCATGTTCGAGGCCCAAACGGTCCCCATTTGTTTGGGTCGTTTACTGGGTCTGACCTCCAATCAGCCACAGAAATCGACCCAGTGCTCCAGCAAACACCCATCAGCACTACGGGTCCCTATTATCATAAAGCCTCGAAGTTTGACCCTTTCCGAAGGGATACACCAGTTCCAAACCGCTCGGCAGGGCCAACCCCTGAGCCCCTACAGCCCACACCTATCGCTAGTCAGGCCTTAGCATTTGGTCGGACTGGGCCCCAGGACTGGACACCTGCAGAGGTTGTAATATGGATGCAAAGTCTTGGGCTCGAAGATGATATCGTGGATACATTTTTGGCTAATGACATTTCCGGCTCTATTTTGCTGGAACTTCAATCGGAAGACCTCAAGGAACTCGAGATCGCGTCTTTTGGCAAGCGACACAAAGTAATGAGCTCTATCAAAAAGCTTAGAGACAGCGGCGTGTTCACTAGCACAGACACTTCTTCTTCACGCTCGCGCAACTCGAGTGTCTCCAGCGATGCTGCGTCTACTCGACAAACATCAGTGATTTCGAGCAATAGCTGCAACACGTGCTCCACTGCCGATAAAAAAGCGAGTAGCGCGAAGCCTCGGGCTCGTCGCCAAAACTCGGATGGCAATGCCCGCAAGAGAACTGACCTTGTTCCTGGTGATTCCGTCTCTATTGTTGCCATCGAACAACTTCTACCCAAATTGCATCAGTGCCCCAAGGGTGAACAATGTGGAAAGTGGCAAAAGCAACAAGACAGGCTTGCTCGTCTTGCTCGAGATTTGCCATTCGAGCATTTCGGCTCTCGCTGCATCGTTGCGGGAGACCCCGGGAATCCGAAGACAGCCCCAAACCTGCTCAAATCCCCGAAGTCCGAAGTTACCCCCTCGATCATCGCGTCCTCGGATATAATGGGACCCGGTAAGCCATCCGCCTTCCAACTTTCCCAGGAAAAGTTGAAAGACGTAAAACCTAGGGATCCTCAAGAGAATGTGCGAAACTTCTTGAACTTCCAGAGCCTCGACCGATTGCAGACAGTCAATCAATCTGCAACACCCTCGAGAGGAGTTCTTTCGTCACCTGGATCAGACTCTTGTGATTCAGCGAAGGTGACACCTACACTTGCTGAACATCTTCGGCACCTGCCCAAGCTCAGAATTCCGAGCATGCATGATTCCAGCGATGGGTCTGTTTTTACTGAAAATATGTCAGCTCTACGTACTATTACCCCTTCTATCCTGTCCAGAAGAAACCATTTCTATGATCGCCCCACCGTCCCTGGCGGACAAGCGCCCATCTCCCGTGATGTGGCAGCCTCGCCGGCAGACTACTACCGAGTCGATCCTTGCTATCGGTCGGAAACACCATTTTCAGATGTGGATGTGGATGCACCAATAACCGCAATTCCAATTGGGCCAGTGGCACGAGAGGAGTCGCAATCAGTGCCTCCTAATATGCGCTTTGGAAATAGGAAATACGTGGCAGAGGAGCCAATCACTCGGCCATTCTCAACCAAGGCAGAAACCAATTGGCGAAACCCTTCAATTCAAAGTGTCGCCACAATGGATCCTCTCAAAGAGGGCCGTGCCATGAGTCCAATTGAAACCCCAGAAGATCTACAAAGAACACCCCGTGCACCTCAAATGCGCAACAATACCTTGATCCCCTTCACTAGACGTGGCCAAGACGATATAACCCACAGTGGATGGATGAAGAAACGGAAGACCACTAAATTGCTATGCCGTGACTGGGAAGATCATCATTTTACGCTGAAGGGCACACAGCTCTTAATGCATGATGATGATGCGTCTATCCATAGAAACTCAAAGGCGCTGGAGTATATTGATGTCGATGACTACGCAGTAGCCTGCTCTTCATTTGCGTCGAGGTCCAAGCTGACGGCGGCATTCAGGAAGACTGTTCTCAAACGCAGTGATAACCCACTAGAGGTGTCGGCTTTTTCATTCTCCCTGATTCCCACACCCAATGGGAGCGGTTTTGTTGACCGCAAGACCATGTTTTTGAATAGTGGGAAGTCGCACCACTTTGCTGTCAAGTCCCGCGAGGAACGTATTGACTGGATGCGAGAGCTTATGCTGGCCAAAGCTCTCAAGCGTGGTCGAGACAGCGGCGCTGAGCTCACGTTCAATGGGGCCAATATGATATGAAATCTTTTTTTTTGTTGGCACCCCTCATAACAAGTCTCAATTTTTCTCACTCCTTTTGTTTCCCCTTTGCATCTTTCTTCTTGCGATACCCGTGGTTGCAGGACCAGGAGTAGACAGTACTCTTCTCGCACCTTATGATTTTTGAACAACTTAACGATGTGTTGCCACGAATTTCCTTTGCTTTGTTATGCTTTTTTATCCTGATTTCTTTTGTTATATTATCTCTTTTACTAGTTAGAATGAGAGGAATACCCGGCAGACGGTGGAAGGCTCGCGCTATCCTAGTCGCCTTGAGAGTTTATTTACAACGATAAATACATCCCTAGTATGGAGTACATTTATCACAGATAATTTATCTCAATTTTAGTATTCCGTATAAAGTATAATCTCCAAAGTTCCGAAGATAGAATGACCAAGAATGATGCCTTGGGATGCTGGCATTCGTCTGTGGACATTTGTCCCCCTCTTACGTTGTAGGTAAATACAACATACAGCGTAGGTAGCAGAGGTGGTTTTTTTTTTCTTTCTATTATTAACTTGACCTCTCTACTTTGTAAAATTTCTGCGTTTGTGGCGGTCAAGTATGTGATATGCATGGAAGTGCACATATCACAGCCCCCGGCGACTAAACTACCATCGTCAGTGGACAGGGCCCCGCACCCCGTGGACAAGACTTGAAATGCAGGCGCTAACGGCTCTCCGCCCAGCCCTTTGCCAATCCCTGCTTTGGTGGCTTCAGCTCAGGCTGGGTTGCCTGCTTTGACCTAAACAATAATAAATGTTGTCTTTATAGGCCACAGTTATTTGCGATACAAAGTAGCGGCGCTGAAGTATGTTTCATGTCGCGCGATCAGTGGGCGTCGGCGCTACAGTGCACAGAAACGTCCCCCTTCGGCTATCATATCTCTTTGTGTACATGTTTCCCATCACAGTTCGTACAGGGGTCCCTCACTCGGCCCCTCCAAATCCAACAATACGTGCTAACTCCATTAGGAGTGGTACAATTTCATGGAATTAACAGCCTGCCCCGGGTTTCCGCAGTCATTTTCGAAACTGACACCGCGTGCCTCAGACTACACTTTCTTTCTACAACGTATTTCTGACTGCGAGTATGTTACCTTCGGCCTCTTTATTACTCTGATATATAGATATATTCTAGTTCATGAAGCCTCCCAATATGGTCGATCGCTCTGTGATTCGGGTTCGCCTGGCCCGAGTTGCGCGGTCCATCCGGGCAGTCATGCGCTGCCTGGGTGGAAACAGAGAATCCCAAGAAGGTGCACAGCGAGCTATGTTGGTTATGTGTGAGCTTCTTGATCTATTATGTCGACTTCAGGATCAACTAAACTGGGCGGAGGATAAATGGGTCGTCGATCCATCGCGTCTGCGTAACCTCGACGAAGTCACCCGTTATTTCGAGTCGACGATTGGGTCAATCGAAATATATTTCCAGCCGGGTGGCATCAGCGCTCGATCTTTCAGAAAGCGCTTGCTGGAAAATACCTTCATCCCCAGATTGGAGCATTTTAAGGTCATGATGATTCTAACCATGCAACCCGAGTCTCGGTATGTGCTACCCAGTGGCCTTAGCGGTCCATATATTGTCCTGGGTTATAGACCAAGACTAAACTCAAATTCTTTTACATAGAGAGAAGTCCCGAGTCGAAGCAAAACTCCGAGGTGTACTCCGGCAATTCTACGAGATGGACTCTGGTCAGTTGAAACAAGCATGCCCCTCAAATTGGTTTTTTGGCTGAACCTCTGTTTTTCAGATTCAATAAGAGCCAGCACACCAAAAGCGGAGGACTATCACAATATCACAAGTCGTATGACCACCAAGAGCTTCATGAGGCTGGCAGACCTCTGCAATAGACGGCAAAAAGGAACATGTGAATGGATATTTAACAACGATACGTATACAAAGTGGCTTTTTGGTTGCAGCAGAACGCTTTACTGCGTTGGACCAGGTACTTAGTCCATCCAAATGATGTACTCAGATCGAAATCCAAAGCTAACCAGATTGAAAGCCGGCGCTGGAAAGACTTTCCTCGCGTGAGTCAACCACAAAATCAGACAATGTTGAGATTCTAACACAACTCTAGATCTACAATCATTGATAGCCTGCAGAATGCATTCACATCTGCAGATGTGGCTATAGTTTTTGTTTTTGGTCATGATGAAACAGATGATAACGCAAGCTCTGTGGGATTCCTCGACAAGATACTTGCGCAGCTTGTATATCGGAAACGGACGCCATCCCACACTACTGCTTCATTGTACAACTCCAAATCTTTCGCGGAGGGAAAGGTTTCAGCAAAGACCTATCAAGATGCTATTCGCGCCGAGGTCAACAGATTCTCGCGAGTTATGTTCGTTATCGATGGAATCGACATGCACATGGAGAAGGAACGGATTTTGAATCGTCTTCAAAAACTCCCGGATCATGCACAGCTTCTTGTCACAACGAGAGAAGCAAAATATGCACCCAAGGACGAGCACATATCCGTTTTGGCCACCCGTAGGGATCTTGAAACATACGCATGCTGCCGCATTGAGCAAGATGGGGGACTGAGCACTCTGTTGAAGCAATACGCCCCTGAGTTGAAGATTGCTGTTGTTCAGCAAGTTGCTCAGAAGTCACATGGCTTGTAAGATTATCATCTCCCTTTGAGCAATATTGCTTTTCGGGCTTCAAGAATTTCCCAGTTAACATTTTACTATTTCGACTTAGATTTTTGTTGGCCCGGCTACAAATTGATCTTTTATCCCGATGCAATGATGGAAACTTGCTACAAAGGTCTCTCTTCCACCTACCCGAGAGTTTAAGCGATGCATACGGCGAGTCTATGACCCGCATTGTCAGCCAGAATCCCTTCGCCAGTCGTTGTCTTTACTGGACATTGTATGCCCAGAGGCCTCTGACTGTCTCAGAGTTAACCTTTGCAGCAAGCTTTGAGTTACAAGGCAACGGCAATTCAAAAGAGTCCTCTTTCTCTGCGCATACCATACTTTATGAAGCTGCCGGGTTACTGACCATTGACGCCATGAATGGGACAGTTCACTTGGTTCACAAGACAGCTAAAGAATACCTCAGCGGACCGGCAGCTCGAGTATTCTTTCCAACTGCCAAGGCAAATATTGCAGATGTTTGCCTCTCGATAATAACCCCAGATGAAGTGATTGATGATTGCTACGTCAATCCAGGAACAAGTCCTCGCAAGCCCCGTGGAAAACTGCTCGACTATGCCACAACTTATTGGGGAAACCACGCCCGAGAAGTTGGCGAAGATGAACAGGCGACGCAAGTTCTCATCCGAGCATTCTTAAACAAACTTTGCTGGAGACGACCCCCCCAAACAGAATCTTGCACTCTTGGGCTAGAACTGCCGAAGGAGTTGGGATTTGGAAAATACTTTCCAGACTGGACTTCTCTGCATGTGCTTGCTTACTTTGGCATCACCGGAAAGGCAAATCGCTTGATTGAGCAAGGTGCCGACCTCAATGACTGCGATAATCAACTTGGCATCACCCCTCTGCATTGTGCAGTATATCGAGGCAATGAAGAGATGGCTGAATTGCTTCTCGATGCCAAAGCCAACATCAATGCGACTTGTAAGAGCGGTAAAACTGTTTTGCACATGGCTGGGGAACAAGGACACCGGAAATTGATCAAGTTTTTGCTTCACCGACGAGTCAACTCGAGGACACCAACCCAGCAAGGAGCAACAGCTCTTCAGCTAGCTATTGGGACAACCCATGATGAAGCAACCGTTCCACTTTTGATTAAAAGCCGATTCGACATGGATGTTCAAAACACTGTTACTGGAAACACTGCGCTCCATCTGGCAGTGGAATTGAGACGGCCACGTATCCTAGCTTTCCTTCTGGAGAAAGGGGCTAGCGTAAACGTGCTGAACAGAGACGGTATGACTGCCCTTCAACTCGCTTGCAAAACAGACAATTGTGAAGCCGTGGCTCTTCTCCTTGAACGTGGCGCTCAATTAGAAACTCGCTCTTCTCGAGGAAGTACTGCTTTACAACTCTCTGCGTCGGAAGGTAACTGGGTCGCATTTGATCTGCTGGTAATTGGAGGGGCAGACATCAATGCATGGGATAGCGAAGGTGACTCGTTGCTTCACAAGCAAGCCCGTGCAACTTCGCCTTCCGCGACTTCTATTGCAGCACATCTACTCGAACAGGGTGCAAACATAGAGGCCTGTAACTCACAGGGCTATACGCCATTACAATCCGCCGCCGCATGTGGAAACAAAACAATATTTCTGCTCCTGGTAGACCAGGGAGCAAGACTTGATGTTCAAACTGCCAAGGGAGAAACTCTTCTTCACATCACGCCTCCTCTCAACCAAGACTGCCTTGACATTGTCGAAACACTACTGGAATTTCGTTTCAGTGCCAATGCAACAACATGCAGTGGCTTGACACCTCTTCATCATCTTGTAATCAATGCATTCAACTCCCCAGATCCCTTGTCCGAAAATACTGCCATTTTCCTTTCATTGCTCTTGTCCCATGGGGCTAACATCAATGCCCCGACGGCTTCTTATAAGGCCGAGACGGCACTTCATATGGCAGTGACTGCCAAAATTCCACGCGAGTCACTGGTATCGCTGCTCATCAAGAATGGCGCATCACTTGACGCAAGAACATCTGACGGCAGAACGCCGTTACATTTAGCTGCGGAGCGAGGTCGCCATAATCTTTTCCAAATACTGTTAGATGCGGGCGCAGATCCTTCAATCAAAGACGCTGGAGAAACACCAACCAACGACAAAGTCAAAGGAGATGGCCAGACAGCAATAGACCTGGCTCGTAAAAACCCAGCCAGTGTGCTTTGGTTTGATAATACTGGCAAGTTGGAGTCGCTGCCAGCGATGCACCAGCGCAGGAGCCTTGCCACAACTATCGACTCAGTCGATATTGGATCTGACGTTGGTGAGATAGCGGGATCGACTTTGGTTGGTGAGGATTGTTCGATCTGGGGATCGAGGGCATCAACCACTTCCATGGATCTTCCGTCTATCGTTTCGTCTTCTTGCTAAGATACGTACCACAACTGATTCGACTTTTGCTTTTTCCTTTTGTTATATTCCCCTTGTCTGTTTCATTTCCCTAGTCTTTTTTGCTCTCTCTCCCTCTCTCACTCATGCCATCTCACTGCATAGCGCCAGCGTTGCTCTTTGTTAGGCCACGGGTTTGTTTCACTTAAATCTATTCTTTTCTTTCTGATTCTGTTCCCAGGGTGTGAGCTGTGTACATAGAAAGCATGTTCAGACCTTGATCACTTGGGAAAATTTCAATCATCTTACTTCAGGCCTGTCTTCGCAGGTTCAATAGATAGCCTTGTAGCTCTTGAAGATGAGTAGCATATACGTATAAGATTCGATATTGCAAATCAGAGAAAGTAAAAGCTCTGTATATCTGTTCTTAAACAAACAAACACTTCGCACATATAATGTTGGTTTAACCCATCATACGAACGACTAGATATGCCCACCCATCTCCATAAGCAGAGCTCCTCACGAGCTCCTCGATCGGAGCAGACATGGGTATCACAGCACCGTGTAAGACGGGCTTTGCAAGGACAGGGGTTCTCCGACTGGGAAACAGATTTGGTAGCAATGTGTGCAAAACAGTCCCGACCGTTTGAGGCTGGAGGGTAGAACCGCTCCGCGAGCTCAACATTTGACTTGACTGCATACTCGATGCTGGTATTGAAGAAGGAAGTGGCGATTGCACCACTTTAAGGGAAGAAGACTCGGCGTCTAGTGGGAGTGGTAGAAAAATCCGGATCGGGACGTTGCGGAAAGGTTGTGAGAGCTGAGGAAGAAGGATATTTGATATGCGCTGAAAGGAAGGAAGATCGACTGTGTTTCTTCGCGTTAGAATGGTCTCTATCATTGATGCAGTAGAGGAATCTCCACACGAAATGCTTGACTCACGCTCTTGAACGGCATTCCAAAGTCCCGATGAGTCTTCTTTTGAGAGACTCATGATGCCTTTGGCTGTACCGTTTCTTAGGAAGTCCGCCTCCTTCACACTGTTTATGAACGCGTCGTTCATGACCATTCCATCGGCATCAAGGCGAACAAGGTCATTCGGCCAGTCGCTAAAGTGCACTATCAGACGCCAGGGCCGCGATGACCCGTCGTTAGGGGACTCTTTATCTCTGGCGGCGGTCTTTGATGCTGGGTCTACTCCTGCATAGAGGTCAAATAACAACCCGACTGGGTAGTGCCATTTCAGGGGCACACCCTCAAACTCAAACCAGCCATCATGAGATTGGGAGTTTGGCTCTATCAAAAATTCCGAGAAAAAAGCTCGAAGCTTGGGTAGCAGCGAGGGAAGATATGATATGCGCGGATATGAGATCTAGCAAGTAAGATCAGGATTTGTGCATATCAAATGTTTGAAGAACAGACATACAAGATATGGATCCGTCTTGTCGAAGGTTCGACTTTCTGATGAAGCTAGAACAATCTCCAGTGGCAAGCGCCCGTCCCAGACGGCCTTCTGGATAGATCCGAGAGACACTCGGTTCTCCATCCTGATGATCGATAAGGCGTTCAATTCTTTCTTCCAATGTTTGATTTTCTGCTGATTTATTAGGACATGGTTAGCTCATATAGCTATTTACAATATAGAGAAACATACTTGATCTTCACACCCCGTGTTTTGAATTACTAGACACGCGCTGAGATTCGCATGTCTCCAACCGATAAGACTCGCAGATTTGGAAATGCCCCGCTTTAGATGTGGTCATGATCCGGGAAACGGCGTATCCACAAAATTCCCGAGACAGTCGGCCACTCTTGGAAAATCAAGCGTTTGACGTGCAAGGAGATATCGGCGGTTCGTGTTGACATAGCGTGACTTGAAGAAGCGCCAAAGGTTGATGGCACGTGTCGCTGCCTCAGGCAATAATCCTTCATAGTTATGCCTCAGGTTCCATAATTTATCTCTCCAACATTCCAAAATTGGGGCAACAACGACTTATGGACAATTTATACACAGGCTATATTCGATGCGATAGGACTCAAGGTCCCTCCAGCAAGCAGATCTTCCAGGACACCGGTATCCTCCAGGTTCCCGGTATCCAGCACTACTTTCATCGTGTTTGTTGACCATCAGGTCCTTTGTGAGACTATATACAAAATATTTTTACACGTCAAAAAGCTTCACAATCTCGTCCGCATTAAACGCGGTCCTGGCGTGTTACTCGCATTTCTTGCCCAGCTCTGATACGTGGAAATTTTTTATTTTATCCCAAAATCTAGTCTCTATCGAGAAAGTCAAATTAGAACTACCATGTTGAAACCTGTCCATCCGTAATCCACAAGCTGGACAGCAGTGGAATAGGCACAAAACAATTGAATCGCCTCGCCAACTGGTGTTCCGTCCGCCATGCTTTGCAGCTGCCTCGAACTTTTGGAGCTTTATATTCTTGGCACCACCCAAATTCGAAAGCTTCTTAACATGATGTTCCTGTAATGCAGTGACTACATCAATACTGCAGTGAATCCTAGCTATGGAAGCATATCCTAAATCTTCGAAAAGAATGACCAAGCAACCAAGCAACCAATGTAAGGAGCAAATCGATGCTGCACACGTTTCGCATCGCTTCCAAGCTGGGTTGACATCGATCTACAAGTTTGGGTGCAAGCTGTGCCAAGGGACTCACTGAAAAAAATTAATTCTTATAAGCCGAGAAGTCTGGAAACTGCCGCCGCAGAAGCTGCTGCCAACACGGCAAGCAATGTGAGGGAATTCGAATATAAGCCTGCCAAGATATGCCAGTCATTCAACTCCAAGGCTGGGACCTTTGCACCTTTCCAAGGGCCCTCAGGTATGTAACAGTCCAATTTCTGAAAGATCAGCCAGACTGAGCATGGTCCCCGCAATCCGTGATACACCATACGTTTTCATCCCCCACACCGCGTAGTCCCCTGCCGGTCCTACGGCGAAAACTGCATTTGTGCCTCTTTTGTATCAAGGAAGACGGGCACCGGCACCCACAAGCGCACAGCAAAACCTATTAAGCATCAGTTATTTTACTAAAGTTATCCGAAAGACTTTGAGCGATAAGTTGTGATTTTAGCAGCACAATTCCTTGAACGCCCCTGGGATATCGCTGATGGGTCGGGACAGGTTAGTGCCAAGAATTCATTTATCTAAAAAGTTGGTTTGTATAACTCTCTGGGTAAAGGCTGCCCGCCATTTGAACGTCGATTTCAATACATAGTGCATTTTTGAGTACCAAGGCCGGGCGGCAACGCCACGGCATCCTTCCAAGCCGGAAACGGGCCGAAAAGAACTTGTATAGTTCTTGTCATTAAAGCACCACTGACAACAAGATCAGGATTATGTAGTAACCGTGTAGCTTTATTGGATCAGCACGTTCGCTCATATATCTATTTGTTGGTAATCCGGGCCCGACGGCCCCTGCGACGTAAACCCCGGAGTTACGTTTAGTGCAAATGTGCATTAGGGTGAGTGACTATCCCGGGCGGGGTCTATGCCGCCACTTCCGGGGGATATTGTGAGAGTGTAGGATTCCAGGTAGGGACAAGTCATGATGCAACTTCAAGGATTTCTCCTCACAATACTCCGTACGGAGTACATATGTACCAATCCAGTTGAAAATTCTTCTTTTTTTTTTCTATATCTGTCTAGCTTACTTCGGTTAGTGTCCCGAAATCGGCAATCAAATAGACTTTTACCCCTTCTTCCGGTGTGCTTCGTTCTTCGGACACGGCATTCGTCTTCCCGAGAGCTCGGCAAAACTCCGGCTCCACACGTGGTTAAGGGTTCTCCCCTATAGGCAAATGAATATTTTTGCATGCTCCTAGAACAATTGGGGAAAAGAAATCCAGGGTATTCACTTAACAAGCGGGACTTTGCTGTGCCAGTCTCTCCACACTGCTTCAGTTTGCACTATTGTTCCGCCCAAACTAGAGAGAAAATCAATCACTAGGGGCGATGGGCCTCACCGGTGCCCCAATACAATAATATACATGCTCGAACGGCTAAACCCGTAAAACTCGTCTCCGGTGCAGAAGCAACAGTACATGTCACAAAGGTGTCTACCATTTATTGTACCCAAGAAAACACTCTTGAATAGAAGGAAACAAGAATTCCCGGTGATCTCATCCAGTTTGATATACGTTAGAAACTATATAAAGCTTATTTGCCGGCTGAATGTTTGCTCCGGGGAAAACGTTACCCCGGCCAATGTTCCCACTCGTCCACGGGTGGACATCTTCATGCATCTGTAATCATCGCCGTATGGTAGCCTCACGTTTGAACCCCATATTATGTTGCCCCAGTCTATGGGGTTTTAGGCGACGTGTGTTGTGGGGAGCTTAGTTGGGGAATTTCCACACCCACAGTCCATTAGGATAGCGGGTATTACTTAGGGCCCCGTTCTAGCACCCCTTGACTCTCTCTTTTCTCCATCTGCTTTCGAGCAAATTTTTTTGGTCTTCTCGCCCTGGCCTTCAATTCTACCTCACACAGCTTGAACTGTCACATCTTCAGCCATGGGCATTCTCACACTTGCGGAGGATCGGCCAACGCCCAAGTCCGTTTACAACTGGCGTGTATATGCACTCGCCGGCATTGCATCATGTGGTTCCAATATGATCGGTTATACTAGTGCTTTCATCGGTACAACTATCACACTCACCTCCTTCATGAAGGAATTCGGCCTCGACGAGATGTCTTCCACACAACGATCTCTAATTAGCGAGAATATCGTCTCTCTTTTCATTGCTGGTGCCTTTTTCGGCGCCCTGGGAACATACGCCCTCGGTCACTTCATCGGCCGCAAATGGAGTTTGGCTGTTGCTGCCACCGTATTTTTTCTCGGATCTGGACTACAACTCGGTGCCAACAGTGCCCGAGGGCTGGGTATTCTCTACGCTGGTCGTGTGTTGTCCGGTTTGGGTACCGGCATAGCCTCGAATATCATTCCCATATATCTTTCCGAACTAGCGCCACCTGCCATCCGAGGACGGCTCGTCGGTCTGTATGAGCTTGGTTGGCAGATAGGCGGAATGTTGGGTTTTTGGATTAATGTGAGTCTCCCTGCTTTTCGCCAGTCTTTGTTTCCTCCCGTGCCATCGTTGCATTCAAAGCTAACCTAGTTATGGTAGTATGGTGTTGAGCAGCACATGCCTCAAGAGCACGAGCAATGGATCATCCCCTTCGCTATCCAGCTCGTCCCGTCTGGTCTACTTTTCATAGGCGCCTTGTGGATCAAAGAATCCCCTCGTTGGCTGTTCCTCAAGGACCGTCGCCGCGAAGCGATGGAGAATCTTTGCTGGATCCGCCAATTGGAGGCCGACGACATGTATATCACCGAAGAGGTGGCTGCGATCGACCAGGCCCTTGAGCATCAGAAGAGTTCTATCGGTATTGGCTTCTGGAAGCCCTTCCAGGCTCTCGCCACTAACAAGAGCGTCATGTACCGTCTGATGCTGGGCTGCATGCTCTTCTTCTGGCAAAACGGCTCCGGTATCAATGCCATCAACTATTACTCGCCTACCATTTTCAAATCGGTATGATTGCGCTTCATCTGATGCATTTCCAATGATCAATTAATTGTGCTAACTTACGTTCCTTAGATTGGTGTCGACTCCAACACCGTTAACTTGATGACCGGTATCTTCGGTGTTATTAAGGCCGTTATGACCTTTGTGTGGCTCTTGTTCCTGGTCGATCAATTCGGAAGGCGCAATCTGCTCCTTGTTGGTGCCGTGACTGGATCGATCTGTATGTGGATCATCGGTGCCTACATCTGTGTTGTCAAGCCCGAAGATAACCCCAGCACGTCTCTGAACGGCGGAGGCATTGCGGCCATATTCTTCTTCTACCTATGGACTGCAGTCTACACTCCTACCTGGAATGGTACCCCTTGGGTTATTAATTCCGTAAGTCATTGCTTATTATCATCCTCAATTAAACCTTTTCCTAACAAGTTATTAGGAATTCTTCGATCCCAATTTCCGTTCCCTGGCTCAGGCCGCCACGACCGCGAGCAACTGGCTCTTTAACTTCCTCATCTCTCGCTTCACCGAACAAATGTTCGAGAAGATGCACTACGGCGTGTACTTCTTCTTCGCTGCACTGTCGTTCTTGGCATTCTTCTTCGCCTTTTTCCTCATCCCTGAGACCAGCGGTATCCCTCTTGAAAAGGTCGACCGCCTGTTTGATTGCAAGCCCGTCTGGAGAGCAAACAAGATGCTCAAGACTGCCCTCGCGGAAGAGGAGGAGCAGTTCCGCTATGAGGTTAAGGAGGCTTCGTACCATGAAGAGAACACTGGTTCAATTGCTCCTGCGCCTTAAGATGAAGAGAGAGAAAAATGAGCGATACGGTTATACAATGGATATATATAGATGCTGTAAAGATTGGTGTACATTTTCATGGACTTATTTTTCAATTGCACAAAAACATACAGTGTGCTGACCCAGTTTTGAGTATATACCTACCTAGGTAGGTAGTTCGCGTTGTGTAAATTTTTAAGTTATTCGCACGTTTTTGGGAGCTCAGGCCAGTAACAGACCCCCCCCCCCCTTCCCGGCCCCCCTTGTTTTTCTTCCATTTTTTTAAATAGCTCCAAAGTCCGGATATTACCATGCAAGTTCTCTATTAATACATAAACATCATCTTTAGAAGAAAAGAACTTGAAACAATTACCGGTGAAGCGCAGCAAACTGGGGACATTGGGCGTTCTGCATCACCTGGCCCTGCCCCTTGGTTTCTTGAAGAACGACTTTGTGACTATTCCCACGCGCATATGGTATAACCTAACACGAATCAACAAGCGAACTCCTGCACCGTCTTGCCAGTAGCGATAGACCAAGGCGCTCTGGTTGCGACCACACCCATATCACTACATGCCCGCGTAGGAATAAACAACATTCGGGTGGAGTCTTGGTTTGACGAGTAGGCGGAGAAAGGGTGTGAAAGAATTTATGATAGACATAGGACACACCCATTGCTATGGCAGCATGTATAATGATTTTGTGGATTGGCGATTCCTGGTTCGCTTGGTCGATGACGGGTCTGATGGATAGATAGCATGCATATTGTTGGGCAACAAAGTAAAATCTATTCGTACCCCCATTTACATATGATATCACCTGGCGTAAATGGCTCCTCGGATCGTCCCTTTGCTGATCCTTTGCCGATGAACATTACGATTGCTGCCGTCCGTTCTTGATTCCTGTGTTAGGGTTGATGGCTACGTCATGCCACGAGATGGCCCTGCAGGGTATAGATCAGCAGTACATGTTATTGAAGACGAATTGAGATATGTCGGGCACAATGGAATTTCGTGGTTCTCAATCCTTTCCAGTGCATATTTGACCTCGGAAAGCTGTCGCTAATGACAAAAAAAAGTTAAATTGGAGGTATGGCGATTTGTTGTAGTGTAATTTTTAAATGAACCGTCTTCACCAAGTTGTACGTAGCACAAAACCAGGTTTTGCATATATTATTGTAGACGCAAGGAATCGCAGGGATTGTCAACCGGTCAAGCGAATAGATTCAAGCTTGATTCTCCTTTCCCCGCATCGCATAGCTGAAATATTTTGATTTTAGCGATGTGTGGGAAAAACCCAAGTTGATTGGAATCCGGGGCCTCAAATATATGTATAAAAAGAAATACTGGATCGATTTTCACAAAATCGTAGTGTGGTCTTGTCGACTCCATAACCTTGCTAAAATGATGGACGGGGTAGCTCTAGATCATAAATCTCCCCAACGGGTGCAGTGAACTTGATTAAGTTACAGATGTGAGATCATTTCTATTGGTTAGACATTGACACCAGTTTTTACATTGCCCAATGAGAGACATGAGTGGTCTCAAAACGCAATCGCTGACCCATTCTAAATTTAGGAAGGGAATCAGATCCTTTGTTGATTCCTAAAATGGGAATGATCTCCTGATAATCTGGAAGCTCGCGGAAAGAGCAGACGAACGCTATATTGTATAAACTCAAAGCCAAGTGTTTCCTTGGAATGTGTCAACTGCTACTACCTAAGGTAGGAGTTCAGGAGATGTTGACCTCGGGAGTTCGGAAGATGGCTGTTTGCGGAACTGGCTTGGGCCTCGTGCTGACCGGTGGCGGCCTAGAGTTTTTTATGCTGCATTGGCTGATTCCCGGGCCGTGTGCCTGGAAAACTGCGCGAATAAGCCGAAATAGAGATTTTCACAAGGAATTGACATGATCGTCCAGACTCTCTTGGAGGCTGGGGCAGTGTAGAGGGGCAAGAGGCTGGGATAACCAAGGTAATAGGGGAACACCATTGTTGATCACGACTCCAATGTACGGGGTACATCATAACTACAGATAATAAACCGAGTCCACTCCGCTGATTTGTGAATGACGGTTGCCTGAGAGTGCTGTTTCACTGCGCGACCCTGGACGATCTCTTGGCTCCACCAAGCGCTTACGTCGTACTGTGGAGTTGAATGATATCAGGAAAATCGAGGAAAAGAAAAAGAAACTCCCATCTTCTCTTTTGACACTCACTCGTTTTGTCGCCATGCAACTGAATGGCTCCCTTTTCGGAGCTTTCATGCTCCTCCAGAGTCTTCAGCTTGTACAAGCAGAAAATCTTATCCAAGCCACCGGGCTGACACAATGTTCCGACAGTACCGAAGTGACCGTGAATAACTTCAATGCGGTATTCACACCAGCCAACAAGTCCATCAGCATTATCTTTGATGGCTATTCGGAAGTGGCCGGAGATGTTCTTATTGACGTGGACCTCTTGGTGTACGGATACAAAGCGTTCACCAAGTCGTTCGATCCGTGCAGTCTTGATTTGGCGGTATTTTGTCCTATGAAAGCCATCGAACTGCAAGTTCCCACAATCACCCAAACATTGGGCGACAGCGTCCTCTCGCAAATACCCTGTTCGTTCACACTTCCTTTCCTTTCAGGGCTTCGATCCGAGAACCCCGGAAATGTGGCTTACTAACGGTTACGTCATAGCGATCGCCTACAGCGTCCCCGACATCGATGCAGTGATTCGGCTCAGGCTCAAATACAAAAATGGAGGTAAACAGATCACTTGCTTGGAGACCCGTGTTCGCAATGGAAAATCAGTCTACCAGCCTGGTGTGTCGTGGACACTCGCCATCATAACCGGTCTTGGTCTCATCACCTCCACGGTCATATCACTTCTCGGCCATTCGAACACGGCAACCCATCTTGCTTTCCGATCGCTTGCTTTCCTCGGATTCATCCAAACACAAGCAATGGCTGGGATGAGTTCAGCGAAACTGCCACCCTTTGTGCAATCATGGACTCAGAACATGCAATGGAGCTTGGGAATTGTGCGGTCAGATTCTCTGCAGACAATTGCAACCTGGTTTCAACGCGCCACTGGGGGTACACCCTCGAACGTGATGACATCGTCCAGTTCTGTATCTGTTGTCCTGCAGAAGCGTTCCTCTGTGATCCAACGCAGAGCCGCAGAGAAAGGAAGTCAAATTCTTCTTCGCGGCATTGAACGGGTCGGAATTCGTGATTCCATCGAACTGACCAACATCTTTATGACCGGATATCTATTCTTTTACTTCGTCACCGCACTCATCGTCGCTTGTGTAGGTCTGGTCTTGCTGGTCCGAGCTGTTCTAGCCAAGAAACAGACATTGCTTCCAAAATTGGATCGCGCCATCAGTGTCACCGCAGATTGGAAAACCATTCTCCGCAGTACCTTCTTCCGACTGGCGTGCATCGGATACCCACAGATGTGTATACTGTGTCTCTGGGAATTGACTCATCGGGACTCAGCCGCCGAAATTGTACTGGCCATCACCATGTGGCTGGTGACGACCGCCCTCTTAGCTTTTGCTGCATTCAAGGTGTTCCAACGCGCGATGCGATCGAAACAGCTGCACAACACACCTGCGTACACACTCTATTCCGACCCTGCCACTCTGAACCAGTGGGGATTCCTGTATATCTACTACCGCGCTCCGGTCTACTACTTCCTTGTCCCAACTCTGGTCTACACCATTGTTAAAGGAATGGTTATTGCCTTCGCTCAGCCTTCACCGGTTGCACAGTCGATCGTTCTTCTTATTTTGGAACTTTCCATGATGCTTGCAACCGCCATCATCAAGCCGTTCATGAGCAAAGGGGCAAATGTCGCTGCAATCACGATGACGGTGCTTAATTCCCTCAATACGATCTTCCTGCTTGTCTTCTCCGATGTTTTCGACCAACCTGAACTCATGACTGGCATCCTGGGAGTAATCTTCTTCATCCTGAATGCACTATTCACACTTGTGCTCCTGATCTACCTTTTGGTTGGTATGGTTTACGCCATTTTCCTCAAGAAGCCCGACACCAAATACAAACCTCTTGGCGACGACCGTGACTCTTTCCGCTGGTCTCGTACCGGAACAACGACCGAGTTGTCGTCCCTCGAGAAGATCGCAAGAGGCGAGGAGGATACAGAAGGCCACCCCCACCCCGCGCGCGTGGTCACTGCTCCGCCCAGCGACGAAGATGTGTCAATGGCAGCCAGAAGACCATATAATGATGTTGTGGACCCTTCGCTGCCACTCTTCCCCACCAGCTATGACCACACTCGACGATAATCGTGAGGATTTAAGAGTCAATTTCTCTCTCTTTTCTTTTTTTCTTTCGCGCTCCCATTTTCAAATGTTTTGAAGCGAGATTTCTTTAACTACTGCATTCGGTGCGTCGGCGCTTCGGGTGGCTATTGTACATATTCAAAAATTTGACGTTTAGGCCTCGAGCCAGATACTATATGTTTCCAAAAGTTCCTTACTGTAGTTGTTTTACATTGACTATGAGCACCCCTTACTACTTATGTCTTTCATTCTCTGATGTTACCGCCACTATATTGGGAAGACATGGGAGTTAGGTCAGGAGTAGAGCTACTCAGATGATTACCTAGTAAATATGCAGACCCATCCACGGGTGGACTAACGGAAGAAAAGATCGCGCCTCTTTACTATCCACTTCATGCGGCTGAATTGCCGAGCTAAACCCCTTTCTGTTTCCTCGTATTCCCTTAAATCGTCTTTCTGCATCTTTCATCGCGAAATTTAGGCACACCGCATGTTTGCGCTTCTATTATTGCTTGGCTTTGTCAACCAACCACTCGCCCAGTCCAATTCAACGGCCCTGGAAGGCTGGCGGTTGGATGACAACACACGCTCAAGTTGGGACATTTTCTGGACTTGTGTTTCAACAATCCTTGCTTGCACATGGACAGCCCTGCACAGTTCTGTCCCAACCCGCGTTGAGACACAGGCAGTGTATCTTTGGTGGCAAGGCAGCCGCGTGGGTAGGCACGGTTCTTGCTCCGGAGTTCATGGCTGGAACTGCGGCCGAAGAACTATGGCAGGCAAGATCTGCAGTGGCACGCTGTACTGCTGCTTTCCGTATAGTGAATAGGAAACGAAGTGATCTAGACTTCTCGGAGGTTCCGAAACCACTAAAGACAGAAGAATTTGACCGCCGCAGGAACAGTATCGGTTTTGCCTTGGTATGAACGGTGTTCTTTGGTGTAGACTAAGGATGATTGGACATATCTAGTACACTGTGGTAATGTTGTGGACCTGATTAAAACACGCGTTATCAAGCCATCTCACTTGAGGACTAGAGACATCCAAGACCGCGCCAAAGCTGACTCCTTGCCCAAGGTTTTACTCTGCTCCAAGCCTTCTGGGCGACTTGCAACGTTATTACTAGAAGAGCGTACAACTTGCCAATTACGGCTTTCGAGATTGCTATAGTGGTTTATATCTCTTGTGCCGCCGCTACGTATCTAATTTGGTGGAATAAATCGAAAGATATGGTAACACCAATCACAATTTATCTGTTATACGATTGCGATTCCGAGAGTATACCGCCTTAAGTCAGAGATATCCTAGACGAAGAAGTTGGGAACTAGGTCCACTCGGATGTTATCGCTAGAGACATTGGCTCTCCGGTATGGCATATCATTGCAGCATGTTTCCATTTCCAACTTATTGTGTTATCAATTATTTGCGCACCTTGGCCATGGAATAGAAACTGGGAAGAGTTCAAAAATAAGTTGGAAATGAGAATCCGAAATGCATCAGCCAAGCCCTCTGATGCCAGCAATGGAGGCCACAAAGACGAGGAAAGTCCCCGGGAGACTGAAAAAGCATCTCATACCAACAATGGTAGCCATAAAGACAAAGAACTTTGCGATGGGCCAGAATCAGAGCCAGTGATCCTCAATGGTGACTATCAGGATGAGGAAATTCCCCATGGTGTCCCAGCAGTACCAGGGTCCCCACAGCAGAGAAATGGACCAGAAGTTGACGGAAGATTGATCGCAACGGAAACTTGCCAAGGAAAAGAACCATTGATGAGGTCCTCTGAAGCCAGCAGAAATGACCACCGAGACGTGGAAACCCATCAGAAAACCGAGCCAGCATCGAAGCCACAAAAGCTGAGGAATTCGGTAGAAGACGACGAAAGACTGACGATCATGGAATGGACCAAAATCGCTCATTTCTACATGTTTGGTGGGGTGGTCTTTTGCGGAATATATGTTGCTGCGTACGTACTATTATATCCTTTCACATTCTTCTCAATACTGGATAAAGCTGATAATTGAAACACGTAGATGGAGCTCCACGTTCCCAACACAGGAGGAGCAAATAGTATAGCGAGTGTTCTCGCTATTTGCACTCTTCATAGCCTGGCCTCTGTGCTTGAAATAACTTTGGTCATTCCATTGCCTCCGACGTATATTAGATGACAAGGAGAAGAGTGTCTCAAGTGCTAGCTGGTCAAAGGCATCTGACCTTCTTTTCAATTTGGTGTGGTTTTGCTGTTATGCAACTGCACGCTGGGGAAGTGTCATTCTGATGTTTATATCCCTCCGGGCATTGCCTGCTGCTTCTTATATCACCGTGAATTGGTTATCATCGATTCCCCACATTTGATTCCCATGGCATATGTTCAAGATGTGTTGTGGTGACACATCCATGGATGTTGTCAGGTTGAGCAATGTAAGGATTGGATTGTCACCTTGATCTCTTTTTTACCCTAGCTTCTAAAATAGAAGCAAAGAAAAGAATTGCTATCAGAATCATTTTCATGGTTCTAGGATTCGCATAATGAGTTCAAGGGGGCCCCAGGGATGTGGCTGTGCCGTCATCCCTTGATTCATGCTACCAACTTGCGAGCCTAGTATCGAAAAGCATGCGTGTTAGCCTAGGCTGAGCATATTACGATCCTCGTTTATAAACACCTCGACGATGTCATTCTAAAGCCTAGAATAGACACGTCAGCTAGACCAAGACGGATTTTGCGAGTACCAGTCCGATTCCGAGATAGGTCCCTTAATTGCAGCCAACTCGAGGGGGTGTGACCGGGGTCTGTAGTTTGATAAGGTAGCTTACCGGCAAAGGCACAACCGTTGGATAAAATAAGCCGTCTGCATTGGCCATGTTCACACGCGTGGGAAAACGCTACTTGTCCAATATCAGTCAGCTGCTTCAGACTCAACTCGCTATTTCGACCTCGTAGCATAGCTATGTTAGGAACGGGTTGCGATGGTAACAAGGCAGCTACACTTTCGGCATCTATACCGGAACCCACTGTGGATGAAGCTGAACTATTGACTTGCGTTTCAGACTGAGGGTCCTGTGGTGATTGGCAAAATGCGTCAAATATCCCAAAGAGGAAGCTGTGTGGACGATCCCTTCCTCTTCTGTCAACGTTCTTGTCGATTTCCCCCTTGGATGATCCGTTTTTGGACAAGTTTTGCTTTTCTTTTTATGATAGGTAAAATCAAGGAGAGTAGAAGAGTCCCATTGAGTTTCTGTAAGCTTCAGGGGCTAAGTTTCAGTCTAAAAAAAGGGAGTTCTCGACCTCAAGTTCTCCAGGGCTGAGATCGCTGTGGGGTCGAGAGAATATCACGAACAAAACGCCATCGCAATTTGTACCACCGGGTCAGCTCACCTGAGACGAATGATCGGCTTTAGGGGGTTCGGTCTTAGTAAGCCAAGTGATCGACGCAGTAGCGTATGGAGAGATAAGGTTGCTGGGATTCCGGCCAGACGTGCCTTGCATATCCTAACAGGGGACCTAACATTTCTTACGGGAATGAGCAAATTCGGACACGCGTGGGAAAAGCAACCTTATTATCCTGAAACACTGGTTTCCATATGGCGATTGTGGCTTGGGCTTAGCCAAGATTTGAAAAAGCCAATAATGCGAATATATCTGCATAGTTAATGTACGCGGTACGGTCCTCTACCCTCGGTCCGCAAAGTATAGCGGAAATCCGTTATTTCCGAGGATGCTTCGTTATAATATAGGGGGATCAGCGTCAGCACACTCGGTAGCCTTTAGCCAGATGCCCAAGCTCGTTGCCCTATCTCGTAAACAAACGGCTTTGAGGATTGAGTCCTTTGATCGGCGAACGGACCTTGGTCTTAGTGGCACTCAAAGGCTAAATGCTATTACTGATGCTTACCTTCCTGAGATGTCCCAGTCTTTGGACTCGTCATAATTGGCTATAACAAGGCAATCCATGTGCCCCGCCTTTCTTAAACACGCTCCAATTTCAAGTTTCCGAAAATAAGCCACTTGCATTTCGGAGATACTTCGGTTTTCTATGCAGTATCTAAGCATTCCTGTATTTATAACCATGGCGATGCAAAATACCCTTAGGGCTCAAGGCTGGCAACGCATGACTGGTATGGACCTGCTAGTACTATCAAATATCTTGCGCCGAGCGTGGCGTGCCCTAATTCCGACTTGCCGTTGAGAGATCTGCAGGGTTGGTGTCAAGAAAGGGAAATGAAGGAAACATGCAGCAGACGCGCGTGGGCCGGGGAATGCAGTATCGTGAGCCTTGTTTTATTTTATTTTCTCTTTTTGACCAGTTAGAGCTGAGCCCCTGGGTCTAGACATGACCATGTGATCGACCACGTTAGCCCCCGACATTGTTTCACCCTGGAGGTTTGCGTCGTAGTCATCCCACGCGAGGATGCCGGCATTGCGAAGCGCTTTTGCCGCCAAGGATGGCTCGGGATTTGTTTGTTTCATCGAGTTCTAGACTCTTGAAAAATGACGTCTGTCTCTTTTCAAATGGAGATCGTGATCTTGTCCCTTGTTTGATAGCTCTGTTGAATATCCGTTTGCAGAAACTCGAATTGATGTTTACTCCGCCCCCTCGCTTCATTCCACGGCACATATGTCGAGTCTGGATATTCCTAGACCTGAAACATGTGGTTGGCCATGTGCTGAAGAAGAATGTTGTATTTACGCTCATTTACGCTCAGGATGATCCTAAAAGCGGGTCTTAGTCCACGCATCATTATGCGGCTGGTACCTGCCTCCTGGCCCCGGTCACCTGCATGTCAGCCAATAACAACGGGCTTGTCGCTTGTTTTGCATAGATGGGCCGAACGGGTATGTGCTTTTTGCTATGGACCCTCGGACTTGCCCGCTAAACTAATTCCATAACTGGCATGGTTCATGCGGACTCAGCCTTGGCGAACGTTGAGCTCAAGGGTCGAGATGCCATCACAGGCCCATGGCAGGTGGAGTTCATGCAGTCGATGAAGATCTTTTCCTCGTTTCCTCCTTCGTTTAACTTGTACTGTCCATGTGGGCTATGATGCGAAGCTCAAGCTCGCGTGTTCGGCCTGGCATGCCGTCCTTATGCATAGCGTCAGACCTGCAGTGTATATATAGGAGCTCCCGCTCAGTTGTATCCTGCCATCATCAACTCAGAACTCAGCAATCCATCGTCTACACGGCTCATTTCTAAACATACCGATCAAAGCCAAGCGCATACCTCGTTCTTGAACACCACACTATCCCAACCTTCCTTCTTTTTACTGAGCCTCCTCCCGGTGACTTGACTCTTCGATTCCTCTGAACCGCCTTTGAGAACCTCACATCTATCACCAACAACCTGCAACACTCACCATGTCTATTCCAGAGCCAAGAACCACAGCGTGAGTGTAACTATATTCAGATGCATCCTTTTATCAACCAACTAACCAGTTTTTCCCGCAGTGTTGCCAACGGCACCAGTACCAACGCCGTTAGCCAAGGCAACGTCAGCCAAGTGCCGGGAAGCAGCCGCAGCAGTGTGGACCGATTTGCACGAGCACCAGCCTCCGAGGGCCCTTACTTTGCCGGTGCGCGGATGCCAGAGAGATCGGCACACCTCACGGGACTATCAAGTCAACTCAATGCCATGGAGGAGATCCTGAAGACTGGAAGCTAGGAAATCAAAGCAATTGAATAAAAAAATGAATAATCCAACACAAACTTCTATGTATAGTGCTATGTATAGTGGATCTAGCAAATGGAACTGAACCAGAGATCAATGAACGCGGATATATCCCAAACCTCCCGCTCAAGAGTGAATATATTCTGTGCAACCCCTTGTTCACAGTAACTCGAAGATGTAAGATGCTACCTCCTCGTACTTGGTACTGGGGAACTCATGTCCCGCTTCGTAGAACTTGAAGACAACATTGCCACCCAGGGCAGCCGTGGCATCTGGAACAAGCTCACTTTTGACAATGATTGGATCATTGTTGCCACACAGAATGTGGACTTTGTTGTCTGCCAGCCTCTTATTTTCGTTGCTTGAGGCGCCGTTCTGTGCAGTTAGATACTGGCCAAGACGCGCCCAGCTGTTCCATTGGCGCTCTCGTAAGATTGGGCCGTAACGCATGCTAGACATGAACGCGTGGACAAACCCTGTATGATTATTCACCTGCCACGCCACAGTAGACGGGATGTTGATGTGGGGGTAGTCTCGGGACAGAATTTGGGTTGCTGCAGCGCTTTGGGAAGGCAGTTCCTCGGTGAGTACATCCGCGGCATTGAGCTTCCTATTCTTAGGCTTGGGCGTGACCAAGGGGCCTGCTCTCAGTCGACGGTGAACCAAGGACGCTAAGATATTCTCAGGCATAAGGCCCTTTGAGTAAAGAAGTCGACTCTGGAAACTGATTTGGGAATCGCGGAGCAAGCCCGAAGGGGCTAGAAGCACTAAGGACGACAGAAGCTGAGGAAAATAAGATGCAAAGGCAGCGGCGATGCCACCTCCCAGAGAGTACCCGGTAAGGCAGAATTTACCGGACTCCGCACCTGTCCAAGAGATAGGCGATGATGTTAGAGCGAGGAGGATCTGTGTCGAGAAGAGGCGGTCATCTTGTGGAAGATCAGCAGGGCAGTCGGAATATCCTCTTCCAAACCTATTTTCTAAGGGTCAGCGATAAATCGAAGTGTGGAATGTTGTGTAATGCCTACAAGTCAAATAGCATCACACGGCAGCCGCGGTCCACCAGCGCATGGGCCACCCCGCCGAGCGAAATACACGGTGTGGTGATACCGTGGACGAACAACACCTTGGGTCCGTCTTCCGGGCCCCATTCATATACTCGGATCGACCCATACGGGCTAGCGACATCACGAGCACCGGGTAGGGCGTCAGCCGGGAGAGGCAGTTGGCGATTCTCCGACTCAGATATGCCAGGCAAGACTGTCGATCGAGGCGAGACCAGAACAGTCTGGGGCAATTCGTTTCGAGGAAAAGCCGATCGAGCGAGTAGACCAAGTGTGAATGAAACCCCAGTCACTGCTAGCAAGGGGAGCTGAGTTTGGTTGTTTGAGAAGGAACCAGAGAGGAAATCCACAGTTTGGTTGTACAGGCCCATGGTTGCGATTGCGGGAAGTCACTTGGACACCCCTGGAACAAGCAAGTTCGTCGAAGATTGGAAAGGTGTTGTGATGCAATATTGACTACCTGAACAGATCCTGGAAACAATCAAGGGACCGACTAGCGAGAGTATACGAATGCAGGGAGTTGGAAGAGACTGTTTTGCTGGGGAGGAAGTGCCCGAGGGTTGAGACCGAGGCTGACCGCGCTGCCGTATTGACGCCATGCCGCAGGTCTGCCTGATAAGATTAGATAAGATAATGCCGGGTAACCTTCTAGTACCCGACAGCTCGGGTCACCGGTGCTCCAGCGCTCAGCTCACCCGTGACTCGAGCTGTGTTCTGTCCAAAAGGTTCCAGGTCCACGGTTGGTTTGGTCTCAGGTACTCCATATGCGCAAAGTATAGAGACTTATTCAACACCTATTATACTACCGAATATAAGCAGCAGGATCTCTCTGTATATGTCTCCTAACAACTAATATTATAATACAGCCCTCCTTCCCACAGAATGGGTGACAAGTCCGCCCTCACCGGTGCCAGCTAAACGCCGCCCTAGCCAACCAATGACACTAAAATTAACACATATGTAGTTGATACCACTTAGTTAGTTACCTAAATTTATACAATGTTGTTCTATATTTTTCACAACAAGATATGTCCCTTGGTTAATATGAACCGTACAGACAACTATACGATGAAAGAAAGAGGACTTGCCGTCCGCTTAGCCGTACTCAAGCCTAATCTGCATGGCGAATTGTCAACCTTGGAATATACCCATACATAGCACATAGGCAGCACTTTAGGGCGAGTGATGGTGGTCTAGCGGAATGAAGTAATAACTTATAGCATTAGCCTCCCTTCTACATGTATGTAAGCTTGTGCCAGATAAACCAAGAGAGAAGATCACCTCCAAAAAGGCAAAGCTCATTCATTCACTAGGGCAGAAGGTTGACATCGGCATCCCTTCCCATCTTCACAGCCCCAAGTGCATTATCAAACCCTTTCAATTGCATTCCTAACTGCATGATCTGTCGAGTAATATCTTCACAGTGACATAATGACCAGAAGCTGCCGCTACGAATGCCCTTGGAGACTATAGATAAACACAATTTGGGCAAGAACGAGACAAACCGAAAGGCTGGAATGTATTTTTCTAATTCAGTCGAGAATATCTCACGTCGTGGCTATCTGTAGACGCCAAGAGATTGACTGTTTTTGAGTTCAAGCAGCCAATCCAATGGTATTCAACGATACGGTAGTTCAGCGAAGAGGAATGTGCGGTAGTTGGAATTGTGAAACTCACTCTGCCCGCCCTTCTATTGCACACTCCCGAGGTCACCCAACAACGTACGCGAGCAATGAAAGGATAAATTGGACTCATAACTCTCCTATAATCTACCAGGTTAGCAAGAGCATTCGCGGACCAGGGTCTAGACATAAAGAATGGAGTGAAATTTGACCAAGAAAATAGTACGGAGAGAGAAAGGAAGCACTCTGGTCCTATAAAATAGAAATGCCTATAGGCGGCCTTAGGGACCAAACCCGGGCCTAAAGAGAAACCGTGTGCTCCGTACAAGCGAAAAGTTCCGTATTATAGATGTTGACTTTTGTATTCAATCTTCTTCGGGTGGACATTATGAAGACATGAGCTAGAGGAATTACAATTTGTGATCTAGTCAATCCGACAACGGGGGGAAAGGTCGGATAAAACTTGAAAGCGATCAGTTAGCAACCTGATCAAATGAAAGCAGAAGGACAGGGACACATACTGAGCAGGACACTCATACCCAGCAGGGTTATTCTGGAGATAGAGCTGGTGATACTCCTCCGCATCCCACCACTGGCCTGCCGGCAGGACCTTGGTAGAAAGTGGCGCTTTATACCACTCCTTGCTGACTTTTTCTGTAATCTCCTCCGCAATCTTCTGCTGCTCTTCCCCGTGCGTAAATATCGCACTGCGGTATTGTGTGCCAACATCCGGACCCTGCCGGTTTTCTGTTGTGGGGTCGTGCATGCGGTATAAGAATTCCAGGAGCTGGCGGTAGGTCACAATCGAGGGATCAAAGACTATGCGGAGGGCCTCGGCGTCTTTGGAGAGCACAAAAAATAATAATTAGTATTTGAAGATGCGATCGCGATAAGGAACTCCGCGTTATTGTTTTGTTTCAGATAGCATAGCACTTACGGCCAGTTGAACCAGAGCAGACAGCTCGGTACGATGGCGACGAAACGGCGCCACCACAGTAGCCCACCTTGGCATCGAGGAGGCCTTTGCCATTGCCGAAATTCTTGCGGTACAGGTGCTCAACGCCCCAGAAGCAGCCGGCGGCCACGGTCGCGGTCTCTGTGCCTGACATTTTGCGGGATTGTGTTTCTGAGGTCAAGGGAAGAACTGAGCTGGTGGAGAAGGAACGGAAGAAGCGTGAGAAAAGAGTCGAGGCAAGCGGAGCGGCGAAAGTCATCTGCGGAAATTCTGGTGATGGTGGAGACGTACTTGATAAGTGGGGATGCTCGCGGGTTCGGATGTGAGAAAGACCGTACAGGGTTTTGTTGCAGTAATGGAAAGGGAGCAGTTTGAGGAGAATAGATGTAAAAATAAATTCAAAGCAAGACAGGAGAGGAGGTAAGAGGAGAAATAGAAGAATTGGAGCTTCGCGATGGCGTCATTTTAGGATTTACAAAGCAGCGCGGGGAATTCGGCATTGAAGATTAGGGCTTCCGGCAACCCTATCCGATTGTTATGGTTATTGTACAAAAGCTGCCCTCTAACTACCAACAATGCAAGAACAGAGAGAAAGAAATGACAGGCCGAAAATCCAATAAGAATTCTGTCGTACAAATGTATAAAAAAAATGTGGTATCTGCTACGCCAACAAAACGCCAATTCCAAACAATGGAAACAATTGAAAACAAAATCAAAGCCATTCAGGAAGAATGTGAAGTCATTTATCAGAGTTCACTACCACGCTTGTGAGTTGTGGTCAGCAGGGGGCGCTGCCATCGCACTGAGACGGATGGCATCTCTGCTCGATAGGCTGATATTTCGAGGTCGACCGTCTCCGCCCAAAGTTGTGCGGCGTCCCGTGTGTTTCATGACTGGGAGGGTATGAGGACTCAAGACCCGAGGCTTGGCATCGTGTTCTCTCTCGCTCTTGACCATGCGCCGCGCTTGTGATGCGGTGAACATGTGGTTGTCTGCTGGCGGGGTCCCGTAGGTATTGGAAGTCGGGCTGCGACGGCGGTGAATTCGCAGGGCATTGGAGGATGGATTGTTAAACTGGCCACTAGCAACCCGCCCACTAGACATACGTCGCATGGCTGAATTGATCTTAATTGCTTCTTCCTTGTCCGACTTCCAGTTGTCCCTGTTTTCAGATACCGGACTGCTGGAGAAGGTCCCGCTGGGACTACGAACTGCAATCCGTGATGGACGATCCGTCGAGGTGCGGTTCATAAAGCTGCTTCCTTCAATATCACGGAGGGGGGAGCTCTCTCTTGAACGAGGAAGGCTGGATGACGGCGGTGGCGCCAATGGTGAGCTGCCATTTCTCTTGGTCAAAAATCCCGCCTTAAAGCGACTGTTGTTCTTTTGAACGTTCAAGGCAGGCGCAGTGGATTCGGCAGGCTCATCAGGGGTGGGAGAGATAGAACCCGACGGGCTGATGACTCTCGGGATATTTCGTGGAATGGGAGATCCCGATCGAGGTGGCAACCATGACTCTTCGAAGCTGGATTCATCGGCAGAGTCGACCTTCTTGGGGGTCTTTTGGAACTCGGTCAAAGTGCCGTCTTCCTCATCGTCCTTCCATCGGACGGATCGTTTGGGAACCTTCACCTGGACTTTCTTTGGCGTAAAGCTGACGCTCTTCCGACCGGTGGTGCCTTTACGGCGACGTGGGGAGCCTTTAGTTGGTGAAGTAGGAGCAGCAGGGGTGAGTGTGATTGGCGGGTTGGCGGTCGATACCGGTGGCAAGCTCACCAAGCTGAAGCGCTTCTTTGTTTTCGTGGGGCTTGCAGGCCTGGCAGAGCTGACGTTCGGGACAGACGGCATGGTGCCATCTGGTTTCACGAGGTTGGTTGCTGCATCTGAACAATCCTCTAACATCTTTGTAAGGATGGTCCGCCCCTTTTTAATAGCCTCGTTTGCGTTTAGCTGCATGATATCCTCGATGGAGTTCATCATCTCAAACTGTGCTTGCAACAGAAGCTGTACAGCGGCAGCTTCTCCAGCCTTGTCCTGTTCTATAACAGCTGTCAAAGCTTCGCGCTCTGCATTGGACCGAAGAAGATCTGCTTCTCGGTTCAAATTGGCGTAGTCGCTGTTATCGGTAATATCAAACTCTTGAAGCTGCTTTGCCGCGTTCTCGACCGCCGAGTTCACCGCTCGGTCCCAAGTGCTTTTTGATAATTTCTGGTTGTAATGATGTCTACTACCTTCCAGTTCAAGGAGGATCCCCTGTGCAGATTTGCGAACGGCATATAGGTTCGATAATCCCTCCTCATTTTCACGCGCGGCGCAAACATTATCAAAAGCCGCAATCCAAGACGACAAAATTCCAATTCTGCGGCCGATTTGCCTTAGTTTCAGCATGTTGTTGGTCTTTTCTTGCCTCTCGGGCAACGTGTGTTCGTAAGCATTGCGAATCCGGGCAACACCCTCGCGCAAAACAGCGTCTTTCTTCTCACCCTGCTTGCGGAACTTAGCAAAGGCCAACTTTTCTGAGTCCTTTGCCTGTGCTTTGAGCTCATTGATCAAATTCATTTGCTCATCGATCTTGACCAAAAAGTCCTTCACGTGTCGGTTAACATTGAACACATTCCGTGTGACCTTGGTCTGGATGTTCTTCGCTCGATTCGCATATCGAAGGGTATTTTGGGTCTCATCAAAGTGCTGGCTTGAGGGACTGACGCAGACAATCATGACTGTCTTGCAATTGCCGCCAAGGGCAAATTTGAGTAGTCGAGTGAGCTTTGAGTTTCGGTAGGGGATGTGGTTGCGCTTTCGCGGGTCGCAAAGTGCATTGATGCAGCTTCCCAGGGACAGCAGGGACTTGTTGATATTGGCTCCTTCGAACAGACGCTCCCCTCTGTTTTGTGTCGCGCTGGCACGCTCACTTCCCGCCAAGTCAATGATACTAAAAGTGGCCATGGTGTGAGGCTCATTGACGTCCGCATTTCGATCTTTTTGCGCGATGTTGATTTGAAGGACGGCATGCGATCGGGACGAAGTAGCATTTGCTGCGGTAGGAGACATGGTGCGGCGCTCATTGCCTTGCATGATCATGTCCATTACCTCCCCAACATTCTGCGGGTGGTAACTTGATAGCCCGGCAACCGAGACTGACTGGTTGGAATCCTCCCGCAGCATCAATCCACCCTTCCCACTGCTACCACTAGGGACAAGCAAGTCACGAATGGTTTCGTTATAGATCTCGAGGTAGGAAAGAGAAATTTCGGTCGACTTTTCGCTTGCTCGTTCGTCAATTCGCTCAAACAGCTCCTGCATAGTGAGAAATATGATACCGGGCTGTTGGGCAGTTCCAGTGATTGTATGGGTCTTTCCACATCCTGTAGCTCCATACGCAAATACTGTCGCATTGTATCCATCGAGCACGTTGTCGAGGAGGCTGCGTGTTGTAGATTCGTATACCTCTCCCTGGGAGGCATTTTGGTCGAAGATGCGATCGAAGGCGAAGGTCTGGTCCTTGACGCGTTTACCATTTGGCACCACGCTCCTAGAGAACTTTTGCACAGGATTGTCCTCTGGGGGTCAAACACCCTAGTCCAGTTAGGATGTTGGACCCAATATTCGAAATGCATGGAATACTCACAAGCAGCGGTCGTCAATTACTTTAACGATAGATCGTATACCCTTCTGGTTCAGCTTCGGTGTCGGCGCACCCGCAAGGGAACCGTCGCCGAGGAACAGGGGACCCTCGTCACATCGTGTGATCTGGGCTGCCTCCCTGATAGTAAAAGGACGGACTCTGACTGCAACGCTGATCGAGGAAGCGCCGTCGGAGGCAGCCATGTTGGAAGGTCGGGTCGGATCAACCCCAAGTCGCGAAGCTGTTTTGCGGGGCCGGTACGTCAGGCAGTTGGTGACACCCTGCAATGGCAAGGCCAAGGGGGAAGCTTAGCTGTTTGGTGTCAAAAATAAGGAATGTAGAAGAGTCGAAGAATGGATCTAAAGTCGTATGGGGTAGGGGTGCAGGTATTCTCCGAGGGGGGCTCCTTGAAGCGATTTCATTTGTTGATGCGTGTGCATGTTGTCATCTAGTGGTTGCTCCGAGCAACCGTTTTATAGTGGTGTTTGGTCATTTGGGCGTGGCAATACCAGTCATTCAATACTGAGAGTTCCCAGTTGCACTGTATGTTGTGTGTTTCAGGTGCAGTACACGTCCTGCCTACTCTGTTCACACCCACTATTTCTATGTTCAAGATCGCCGGCCAAATTGTGGTTATTACTACGTAGGCTTTCCATAGTATTAGCCTCAGGGTGCTAAAACAAAAGCTGCAGGAGGCGATCATGATACTATTTCAAAATCGCCTATCGCTGTAACAGTTCCCCAAAAATACTTACGTAGCAACGCCATTTATTCTTACCATAAAGCGTGTATATTCGCTCTAGAGTTATGGACAAGCTATGAATGAAAAACATCGCTTTCGGTGTTGCTATTGTCCTAATAACATTTCCCCCTGAAAAAACGCCATATGATGGGTTGAATCACTAAAGCCCTCCCCCTGAAACGCCAAAAGCCACAGACATGTATTCTCTGACCTAGTTCTTTCTCACAAGTCCACGGCCCCGGGGGTGGCTTGCTGCGTTAGACCCTGTTCCTCTGGATCATCCTCGTAGCTCGGCATGACGACATCCCAGCCTGGATCCTCACCATCAAGCTGCATATCAAGATCCATATCAAGACTGCCATTCTGACCCTCACTGGATTTGTAGAAGCGGAAGGCGACTGCATGTCCGTTCTGAAGACCCGCTTCCATTATAGTTGCTGAGTCATTTTGTGATTTGCCCTTATTTCTCTTCGGGGCACCCTCGTCGTCTATTTCTGGTGCATCTGCCTGGAGGCGCTTCCAGCCTTTCTCGAGGTCCGCTCGGTCGACAGGCTCACCGAACTCAATATCGCAGGAGTCGTCAGGAACAATGTCGCCATTTATGTTTTTGACTTCTCGCGATTTCAAAGCATCCAGAAGCCTTTCTTTGGTGAAGTCGAGGGATTCGTGGGGTTGGAGCATCAGAAGGACAGTGGTTTTATGCTTTTTGAAGAGGATGGTCACAGCGCGCGAGTCGTTCTTGGATTGTCTGGGCGGCTGCTCGGTAATTAGCCATCCTGTATTGTATAATATTCATTTGAAAAGGTCAATTCACATACCATCTTGAAGATTGCGGGGGAATTAAGTCGTAGGTCGCGTCTATGTAATACCTGATTTGGGAGAGTGGCGGAAGGCGGAGAATCCAGCGGAACCCCGACTTCCACGCGCCGAATTTCTGAGCTTTGCCAGCATCAGTTGCTCACATTCACCACATTCTCTATAGCCAACCCTTGAACTTTGTTACTAGTATCCTCATTATTCTTTTACAAGCAACTTCATCATGGAGACAAATCACCCCCCATCTACCGACTCCTCACGGCATAATTCCATCGTCCTCAAGATCGTCCACTGGGACAAGCTGTTTGAATCCGACACCCCTCCACGGTTAGGAATTGAGTTCGGCAAGCGGCTACCGTATGCTACCATGTCCGCTTTGTCGACTGGGATGGCACTAGGGTACTATCACGGCAGCAAAAAGGCAGGGCTTGTGTTTCGGGCGGAGAATGCGCATCGTTTCCCCACGACATCGACAGGGTGGTTCCAGTATCATAAAACGAAAAACTATATTGGTGTGGTTGGAGGGGTCAAGGATGGCATGAAGATGGGATTCAAGCTCGGTGCTGGCGCACTTGCATTCTGTCTGTTCGAGGAGACAGTGGACTATGCTCGGCATGACGAGCGAGACTTTTTATCGACAGTCACTGCTGGGCTGTCATTCTCCGGAATATACAGCTTGCTTGGTAAGGAAACTATTCCGCTTGGGCAGGATTACTGGAAGAACCGAAGCTGACTAGCTTGCCCACACAGCTCGTCACGATGTCTACACTGCCGCTCGCACAGCCAAGCTTGGGCTGAAATTGAGCTTGACCTATGGTCTTTTGCAAGATGCCCTTGAGACTTTGAAAGGAAACCGCCCTGCCTACGTTGATTTCTTCCTCGGTAACCGTCGGTCTAAGGTCCAGAAAGAAGGATCAATCTGATCGTAGGTGGGCCCATATCACAATGGCTCCCTAGATCCCTCTGTGTGCGGATGTCCCAGTCTCGCTGCAACATTGAGAGGTTCCCAATGCCGAGAACCAATATTATAGGCTCTCACACTTCACTCCCTAGGACGCTCTTCGGCGTTCGATCGAGAAATGGCTGTTATGTATGCTGCTGCAGGCGGTATGCATTCGACGCCAGCGAGATGAGCCACATATCGGAGTCAATGCCGCCCCAATTACTATGTCTAGGCCCTGATCGAGCCACTCTGAGATATCTAGTCCGGTGACCACTCCAGCCTATCTCCATCTGATCGTGTTTTCCGGCAGCAACGCTCACGCCATACTCTTGGTTACTTGTATTATTTGCATTTTTTGATACCCACTTGTCCAATTAGCATCAAACAAGATGAACATTTTTGCCCTTGGGGTGCTACATAGGGCCACGTGACCCATCGCCGGATTCTGTGTTGGAGTATGATCATGCCCCAAGTTGATTGGCAACGCCATTGTGGCGTGACTAGATCGCATTTGGACTAAAATCTTATGGCATTTAACAAATTAAACGATTAAATCTAGGAACTACCGTGTACATAGCCCTGGAAGTAATATAGTATAATGTAAAGACAAGTCCGGTGCCACGACACAAAGATGTATAAAAAAGAGTCAACCAGCGGATTCGAGACCCTGATAGCGAAGCCTACGTATATTTTCCCAATTGGCGTCCACGGGGATTTTCTTTGTTTCCGGGGATAAGCAAGAAGATAGAGAGAAGATCGTGCCGGATGCTGCAGGTTCAAAGAATAATGGTGATTGACCGCTCAGTGCTGACGTTCCCCCACTTCAAAAAAAAAAAGGAAGAAAGAAAAAGGCGTCAAGGTCGATACCTATAGGTATGTATCTATATTGATCTATATTGATATAGAAGATTAGAATAATTCCGCCAAATGCCAAAGTGGAGGTTCTCATAGAGTTTCCGAAGACTCCCAGGTGATCGGTGGAGAAACCGCATTTGACGTCGCTGATTCGGAAAACCCCCCACCTCAAGACCTTAGCTCGAACTTGTCGTCTCTGACCTTTTTTTTCCATCTTTGCTTCTCCTCTATACCCTACATTCATGTCTGTCTGTTAAACTCCGCGATAGCAATTGGGCGCTGAAGATGCCGATGAGAAGTTCGACGCTGATTTCGTCGACGTCATCGATTTATTGACCTCTTTATGTCTGGGAGAAATTATTGAATCATCCATTTTCATTCAGAATCGCGATCTACATCACAATGCGTCGCCATGGCAGGTCCAGTGGCGGTCCAACCAAGGCCGTCTCGCCCTTGTCCGACACTGTATCCCTCATACGTTCATTCGATTCGGTCATGAACCCAAACCGACCCGCGCGACCCTCGCCCTTGGCCTCCTCCCACATCAAAGCTTTGCCCTTGGAACTGGTAGATCGGTTGCGGTCTTTCCCGCTGTTTCAAGCTACTCCAGAATCCTTTTTGATCGAGGTCGGACAGCACCTACGCCCACAGCTCCACGCACCCAACGATTATATCTTGACGGAAGGCGATGAGGCAAAGGCAATATACTGGCTGGTGCGGGGTGCCGTCTCGGTCACATCCCGGGATGGCGAGAGTATATACGCCGAACTCAAACCGGGTGCGTTCTTCGGGGAGATTGGATTGCTCATGGACCGTCCTCGCACTGCGACCATTATCGCCCGGACTCGATGCATGCTGGTCGTGCTGACAAAGGACGACTTTCGGAATATATTGCCTCGGTTTCCGGAGGTTGAACAGGCGATCCGGGAGGAGGCAGAGGAGCGATTGATGATTTTAGAAAAGAAGAAAAAAGAGACCTCCGCGCCTGCACTGGATCTGCCGAGCCCGGCACGAAGAGGTTCAAAAAGACTGCGCGAGAGCTTTTCAAAAGATCTAGCTGTTGCAGAGGATGATGGGGACTTGAGTGGCAAGTCTGTGTACAAGAAGAGGAAGTCACCGAGTCCCGGTCGGCGGGATGGCTCCAGTGCATTGGCAAATGGATTAGTGAACGTACGTCTCTTACTTAAAGAGCTGCCGCTTTTTTCTCGGTTACCTGCCGATATCCTCCACTACCTTGGTCTCAATGCGCAACCGCGATCTTTTCCTCCATTTACCGACATCATACAACAAAATTCCCAGGGCCGTGAGCTCTACTTCATTGTTCGCGGCGAAGTGGAGGTTCTTACGGAAAAGGCGGAGATGGATCGCTCGTCAGCAAGCAAAAACAGTGCAAACGGGCTCATTGAACGGTCGGGAATTGAGGTCAAAGCTAGGCTAAAGCAAGGCCAGTACTTTGGCGAGGTGGTCAGCCTAGATTTAGCACCTCGGAGAACTGCTACCGTTCGATCTGTGACTTCAGTTGAGTGTTTGATGCTCGGCGGTGACGTCCTTGCTGAATTTTGGGAGAAATGCCCTTGTGACGTGCGGGAACAAGTCCAACGCACTGCCCAGGCAAGGCTCCAGGCGGCAGCCGATGGCGATGTTGTCATGTCTGACGAGGCGGACCCGCAACCATCTATTGGTGATCTTGCCCTTGACGACAGAGTAAAGATCACATCATCGCGGCGACGATCAATGCCTCTACTTACCCTCACTGAAACCGAATTGGATGGACCACATCAATCCTCGCATGCTGAAGACCAAGACCAGGATGTGTTGCGGCCCTCCGATCCCGATCCATACTTCAGCCTTGGTCTGGATAAAGTCCGGATGCGAAGTCGACGCGGCTCGCTGGCACCATTAACCCCCGAGGAGCTATCAGGGGAGCAGCCGCGTTCATCTCCTACGGAGCCGCGCTCTGCGAGTTCTTCAACCCTCGCCCTTCCCGAAACTGCTAGCCTCTTCAAGTGGTATCAGACTGAGCGGCCCCGGATCGACGGCTCCAATGGATTACTCCCGGATAGTGTACTGCTGAGCATTTTCCGATTCCTTGAGCTTCACCACCTTCTTCGGATTAGGGCGGTATCGTCCCATTGGTCAGAGCTCTTGACCAGATCTGCGGACGTGATTCGTGATCTAGATTTGAGCGTCTACAACCGTAGGATTACAGATGAGGTTCTTGTTAAGATCATCTGTCCGTTTGTCGGCAATCGAGCCCGATCGGTCAATATCAACAATTGCTTTCACATCACCGACGAAGGTTTTACGGCGTTGGCCGCGACTTGCGCCCCAAATACCACCGTGTGGAAGATGAAGAGTGTGTGGGATGTAACGGCCTCTGCCATTCTTGACATGTCCAGCAAAGCTACAAATATACAGGGGGTAGACTTGAGCAATTGCCGCAAGGTCGGAGATACACTTCTCGCCCGGATCATTGGATGGGTAGTGCCCGCCGACCAGAAGCTGGGTGAGAAACAGTCATCGATCAAACCCACAATCCAGACAGCAGAAGTTACAGTGTACGGCTGTCCAAAGTTGAAGAAACTCACTCTCTCTTACTGCAAACATGTCACCGATCGATCTATGCATCACATTGCGTCTCACGCCGCTGGTCGGATTGAGGAAATGGACTTGACTCGTTGCACCACAATCACAGATCAAGGGTTCAAATACTGGGGGAATGCTCAGTTCACCAACCTGCGAAAGCTTTGCTTAGCAGATTGCACGTATTTGACGGATAACGCCATCGTGCATCTAACTAATGCGGCCAAAAACCTAGAGGAATTAGATCTGGTAAGTCTAGTCTTTGCCTGGCTCTGTCAACCTAAAAGTGAGGTATCATGGTTTACTAATTGCCACCAGACTTTTTGCTGCGCATTGTCAGATACGGCAACCGAGGTCCTTGCCTTGCAGTGCTCACATTTGAAGTATCTCAACATGGCGTTCTGCGGCTCTGCAATTTCCGATCCCTCCCTAAGGAGCATCGGTCTTCACCTACTTTCTCTTCAACATTTATCGGTCCGTGGCTGTGTTCGAGTCACTGGAGTTGGTGTCGAGGCTGTTGCGGAGGGCTGCCACCAACTCCAGGTTTTTGATGTCAGTCAATGCAAGAATCTCGGACCCTGGCTTGAGGACGGTGGTGCTGCCCACTACCAGCCGAGAGTCGAATTTAAAACTGTTGCCTCGAACAAGAAGCTTCCTCGATCAACAAGCAACCCAGACAAAGCTTGACATTTTCGTTGCACTCCCCTACCCTGGTTTTTATACCGTTACTTTTTCCCTCCACGACGACTCCTGGCGTGACGCCCGCTCATCCTCCATCCTCCAAGTTGCATGGTACATTTATTGGCACATAATGTATGCCTCTCTAATCTTTTTTGTTATTAATTTCTAGGCTTATTGTTTTCTAGTTTTTGCTTTTTCATCGTTGCCTGATCTCGGCGTTTGAATTTACCAGGATAATCTTTTTCACTTTCGGATTACATTCCCGCGTCGGGCTGCAGGTTCTTGTTTTTACATTTTGGTGGGGGTTTCGGGTCGAGCCCGTGGGCAGGTCAAGCATGGCCGGAGTTCAAAGATTGAAGGCATCTGCGAGTTACATGGTGTTTGTTTCTTTTCCTTAATACTCAATGTTCTTGGGCTATCTTCTATCTTTTCCTACGACATAACGCTGCACATCATAACGCTGCACATCTATCTGATTTGATCGAAATTTCTTGCTGTATTTTAGGGTGTATCTAAAATCAAATGCAGATATTTATTCCAACTATTAAAGCCGTAGGTCTTGTAACCCCTGCTCTCTCTCTGTCTGGATAGAGGCAACGCCCAGTTTCTGTGACATGTAACCTCTTGCACACTTCTTACATTACACCTACATAATCCATATATATCTCTATCCTTGGAATTTGTAAAGGTAAACTTCAGCTTATAGCCTAACAATGATGTTTGTGGCGTCTTTTCTGCCGCCTTTGTTATCCATTTTCTTTCTTAGCATGTTTTATAGGGCCTTGTTTCAACCCGTTTGAGGTCATGTATGAACATTCATTGAGATAAAGACAAAGAGCCCAATAATACACTATATCATGTTCTGCTATACCTTTCTCATCGCTATCATGCTCTTCCTATTTATCCACCAGCTCTCTCTATTCTACTTGGTGTTGCCGTAACCCATTTTATATCGACCTTTCCAAATCTGAGCTCATTGGCCGAGAACTACGTGCTGTATGCTATAGATATATGATAATTTATTGCCATCAATCCCTACACTGGCTTGAAAAACAACAGACAGCAACCAGTCCCGCCCAGTTATCATGGCGGCTGCTTTGATATCTAGCGCACTCAGCATACTGTCTATACTCTGTCTTCGGCTTATATGTATTTCGCAGGGCCTGGATTTCTTTTCTCTATGTCCGTCTTACCCTGTTTCGGGAGGTCATCTCAACATTTTCTCACTGTTGGTTCATATCCTTTCCACGGTATTTACTTGGTAATCTTATAGATAGTGCCTCTTGCGGTCCATGGGTCAGCTCATAAAAATGCGGTGCCATTCGAGCTCAAACAGAGCATGTCCTTTCCAAAAGCCCAGCTCGCTGAATCCCAGCGCTTTCCTCATACTCGGCAGAATGGTCAGTTTGAATCATCCTTCTCCTGGTCTCCTTAGTAGTACAATAATAACAAAGATCCTTCTTAATACGTTTAGGTGATTAATTCCACTTTCCTATATCGGATTACTTGATTTTACTCTGGAAGAATTGACCCGTGTTACCAAATGTAAACCGTTTTATCGATGGACGGTATCATGATCTGCATTGATCAGCCCAAATCCTACACTTGTCATCTTCTTCAACCCCTTTCCGTGTTCAGTCCTACGAAACCATTGGCTTATTTGGCCCCGATGGCATCTTGCCCCTCTTCGCCTAGCACAGTATATCCATATCATCTATCCATGAAGTTATCGTCGAGCAATTCTGGTGCCACTTGAATGAGGCCTAAATAACTGATGGCGATTTACTAGGAGATATAAGTTACATATAGAAACAGCAAAGGGAATACAAAAGACGAAGACCTCTGAAAAAAGACTTGAGAGTTATCACAAGCCAAATATAGAAACCATGAAATCTCCCTACCACAAGCACCCTGATATTCTAAGGTTGCTCGTACGCAAGAAGTTAAAGTCAATAAACAAGAGCAAAAAGAAACTGCCCCAGTACAAAAGAAGGACAAATCTCAAGGAAACCATAACGTGCTTTTTTTGGCCTTTCTTATTTCGAATAACTTGGAAAAGAAAACAAAATGCAGAAACTGATGTAGAATGCAAAAGAAAACGAAAAGAGCTAGGAAAATGATCATCTGCAAATTATCACTTCAGAATATTTCTCGAAAATTGCTTTGAGATCAATAGCACGAGGAGCGGTTTGAGAGTCATCATCCGAACTGACAAACAAGGCTTTGAAATCCCGACGGATGCCCTTTGCTGCATCTCCCTGGAAGATGATTTGATCGTCTTCCAAATCCTCTAGCTGAAGATTGTGCCCAGCCCCAGAATCAAGGCCAGCTGCAAGAACATCCTTTTCTTCTGGATGAGCAGTGGTGTCGGTATCTGCGTCAGCTCCAACTGGAAGGACAACAGCCAGATCGTCGTCAAGATCAATCAACATGCCCTCCGTAGAACCTCCTGTGATGGTCAACGCAGGGAGCTCCTCACAATTCGTGGAATCGCCTTTTTGGCTCTCAGCAATCTCATGGACCCGCTGGTATGTTTGCGATTCATGAGGTGACCCAACCTCAAGGGAGCCGGACGCGGGCGAACCTGGTAACTGTGGTTGGGATGGGACCGGGACAACACCTTCTTCAACCGCTGGGGGAGAAGGGTAGCTGCCAATGGGGATTTCCAGACGTGCTGAGGCGGCATGGCCTGCAGTAGCAATGGTCTGGTGGAGAGACATATCGTCACCGTCCACCCGGACCGAGACCCCCGAAACTGGCTCATCGCTGCCTATAGCAACGGGCCACTCTGGCAAGCGCTGCTTTCCCTTTAATCCGAAACTAACTGTTTGTGCTGTTTCCATGTCGGCCACCATATTTGGTGGCAATTGGACGAATTCCACGTCGTGGTTGAAATCCAAGAGCACGCCTCTTGGCCGCGATGCTCCTGTCACTGCAGCTTCAACTCGAGGGGGGCTCGGGGTCGGCATCAGGGCCGGTAGAGTTGCTTACTCTTCCCCCAGAGGTGCTTGCTGTTGCCTGAACCCGGGGATTTTGCCCGCTGCCGGCGCGACTTACCGAGGCTTGGGTCCCGCCCCTGTTAGTTGGATGAGGTTTGCGGTAGCCGTTGTAAGATCCGCGGCGGTTTCGGTGTCTGGAGCCATGAAAGGGAGGCTGTTGGTGACATAATGTCAGCATTCAATCCATATTCACTTGGCATAGAGTACTCAGTACTCACAAGGCGGGAAAGCTCCTCGTCTTGAATCCCAGGACAGGGGGAATTAGCAAAACATCTGTTCTCAGAAAGTATTTCGAGCCTGCCTTCCATTTGACACAACTCAGCTGCTAGCAGGAACTCGTTTTGCACAAGCTGTTCGTCGAGAAAGTTAGCGTAAAATTTGAAGTGAAACTGACGAAAGGAGTTATGACTTACCCAGCCATGGCATTCGCGAAGGAGGGACTGAGCGTCACGAATTTTCGCCAAGACTCGAGCAGCCATTTTGTAGAAAGTGTAATGTTATGCGGAAGTAAAGATGTAACGAGAAGATCGAGATATGTAGGTACTAAATGCTCAATGGTGAGAAACTGCACGGTGAAGCTGTTAGTAACAACTTGTGGAAGATAATAAAAAGTGAGGAATTGCAATTGATGGATGCAGTTGTTGAGGATTATTGCTGAGAGTTAGATACATGTGATGGAAGGCGATGGTTGATGAGAAAGTTGAGGGAAGATCTAAAGAATGCTTGTTTTATACCTCAATTCTATAATCTCCCGAGGTCGTCACGACTGCCGTCTTTTAATCGAAGTATGATCCAAGACTCTGCCTATGTAATATTTCCCAAATGCCTCTAAGGTTATGCCCTTACGTTGTCATGTCCCTTTCATCCAACATATTCTTCCTACTTATAAACACTCCTTATAATTTGTTAGCCCTGAGGTGTGATCTTAAAAGCATCCATAGATCTTATTATAATAGTTGTTCAAAATAACTAGTATACATGTCACGTCAGACATTTGGTTTGTAGTCTTCCATTGGCAGTTCTACCTTCTCTCAATATCAAGCATCTGCATGATCTCCTGCCTGCTTCATCTCCAACAATAGCTATGGTCTTCGTTGACCTTCGTTGACCTCCGTTGACCATCAGCACTCTGATCTTACACTTATCGCCATATCAACTTTCATTCATCTTTGCACAGAACCATGCTTCACATCGCTGTCTAGTATCATCTTATTCGATCCCTCGGTCACCTTCTAACTTCGCATCTAAATCAAATCTATCTCACTTCAGAAATACCTCACTTCTCAACCACCCGTTATACACTCCACTGCTCTCCGATTGACTGCTAAGCAGTCAGACACTCATACTCTCTGCCTCATATTCTACCTATATCCCAGCACGATGCCCTACAAAAATGGACCAATGGACCATTGGACCCAGCAAGTCATGAAAAAAGTGACCAGGGCTCGATCCCTGGTCCGTGAGAGCCACAAACTGGTAAGTCATACTTTTATAGCAACATCCGTCTCACGAGTCATGCTAACGCTCTCAACAAACAGCTTGCCAGAAATGACGAGATCCAGTTGAGCGCTGAGCTTCGTCAGATTGAATGTACCCTCGTCATGGTTCTTGAGGATAGCGGCCTTCGACCTGCGCTCCCTTCAACATACCTTACCCCATCTGTGAGTGATTTATACGAACCCAACATACATTGGATATTAATGCCGTCTTTAATAGCTACCACCAACCGGCCCGAGACATGGCAATCGTCGTGATCGCGGACGATTCACCCGTGGGCACGGTAATAGCACTTCGAGGCCCCAGGCAGCCGGGGAGAGCCAGGCTCAGGCTTGCGCGAGTAGCGCTATAGGCATCCAAATCGTACCGGCTGGACCTACCTCGACTCAGAATTTTCGAGATTCAAGCATCCCTACTTGTGTGGAAGACGAGACAATTGTCATCAAGCCCGCCGATTCTATTACTACGACACCACCGCCACAAGGAGTACTTGTGGACTTCGCTGAAGATATAACAGTCATTGAAGTGCTGCCAGGCATTGTGGCCGCCATGGAAGCATTGCAAATTGCTCACAGCGAACCACAGGGCCAGGCGGAAGTGTGTTGATCCGGTAGACGGCAATCAACAGGCCTAGGATTTCTCATGGTAGTGGAGCACATTTGTTTTTTTTTGTGTTCTTTCGCTTTGTTTCTTGACCGAGCATGTAATTATTCTAAAGCATGGGTGGGTGCTCCTGGGGAAGTCATTCTTTAGAACTGACAGAGAGCAGAGTCCACGGGCATGAAGAATTGGAAAAAAAAAAAGACTGGTATTATTAGCCCCCGATACTTGCTCGGTAGAGAGGAGCAATGCGCTAACTAGTCAATCCATATGAATTGTGCAAAGCCATGTAATCTTTTTTTTCATGGATTACTGCTTCCTTATTTTCCAGCTGTTTTCAATAAGAGTTTATGATTCAAAACAATATATACATCCATGGATATAATCTTAAATCTATATCAGTACGGACCTAAGCCAGAAGAGGCAACTCAACACACTGACTCATGAAATTTGACGCAGAAGTTGAACATTGGAGAAAACGTGTCATGTATATTTTAAATTAAGTTGTAGACAAGGTCTGCTCTTCCACTAAGCAATGCCATCATACAATGCAGTCTGATGAAAGCAGTTTGACTGCAGCAAAAGCAACCAATAACCAAATCCCCTTACATTGCCCGGTGACACATTCCTTGGCTGGCTTCCAAAGTGTACATAGCAACATTCGAGATATCATACGGAGTAGATCTAATGACGTGTGCAGTGTTATGTAGATCGGAGATTGCCACATTCCTTCTAGAAGGATACCTCCTGAAAACAATTGCTGGCAAGGGGTGCCCAGGTGTGATGAGGGCTATGCTTATCTTCTGTTATCAGTTCCCCTATTATCGCCGCACTCAGTCACGCATAACCGAGAACGAGAATGGAGCAAAAGAACCACGATCTCTCATTTTACGCGCCCGTGCCCGACACTAGCGATCAGCGTTCCTGCCCAGTGCTTGGTGTGTCCGCTGGTGTCCGGTGACTGGCCAACAACGGAAGCAAATAAGGTTAGGTAGTCTTGGATCGCCGTTCTCATAGGCAGGGGGAGATTCACTCTCTGGTCAAGTCTTGGGGGCGAAAGTGAGCTTCCTAGTGCGGAATACGGGTTCTTGGTGCCGAGCGCGCCGAGAGGGAATTAGTGTAGCGAGCTCTTGGAAGCTTGTGGCAGCCTAATTCGAGACCCATGGAGTAAGATTGTCGAATTTTGGGGCTGATTCCTACTCTTTGTCCCAATGGCCACATTTATTTTCGGCCGGCCTAATTGGTTCGGCTCAAGACACCCATAGAGCGGACATCGGAAGTCCGATTCCAGGGGTATCAAAGTGTACAACATACATTATACATCATATAAAGCAACAAAAAATGTACTCTGCACTCCATATAGTACATTGTATCAAGTACAACACTGTACATCGATGTATGTAGACATTGTCTGAACTGCATGTCGATCAATGTAAAGTGCTTTCTCCGCAGAGAAAGGGAAAGTGGAAAGTACCAATGCCCGCGCTAGTATTGTATTCACTTTACACCAATTTCCCACTACAAACACCTGGGGCTGTCTCACTTCAACGGTCACGCATGGACTTGTGTAATTTGGGAATCATTGGTCAGACAGATTAATTTGGCTAAAAGCTAAGATTGGTTAACTTTTGATCAAATTTACCTTGTCATACCACATTGAACCCGCCTATTATTATCACCTGGGCAAGATTATCAGCTGTTCAATACTAACCTAAAAATACTAAAATTACCATCCAATACTATTCAATACCACGCACAGACGGTAATCCCCCGAACCACTCCACACAAAGAAATTGAAAAATAAAAAATAAAAAATAAAGAGGGAAGGACAGCCAATAAGAACCATTTCTAGATTAGAAGATTGACCCTTTTAAGCCCGACCCGTGGACCCTACCTTCCTAGGGTTGACGGAGTCCATCCTGATTAGGTTAGCCTCACTCAATTCATGTTTTTGATGTTTTTGATGTTTTCATGTTTTCATGTTTTCAGCCCGAGGGGATATCATATTAATAAACTATTCGCCTCCCCTCCGTTTTCATATTCTCTCTCCAGCGACCACAGAACTGTTTTCGTTCGGATAATTCTCTTGCAGTGAATATATCTTCACTTGCTGCCTTTCGTTTTATATCAACACATTTAGCCTACATTATTACCCCTTTTTTTGGCTTCCCCACACTTTCCCTCGTTTCCTGTGGCTTGGATTCAAATTCTTCTATATTCTGTCATTTTTGCTGTACATACCAACAGTACATAAATAATGGTTCGCTTTGTGACACCTTTGGTCCTGGCCTCGCTGTCAGTGACCGCCCTCGCCGCGCAATCCTGCAGCTCCAGCAAACAGTGCAAGGAGGAGAAATACCCCTGCTGCTCTCGTGAGTGATACCACCCTCCAGATCACAATTCATAGCTAACGGACCATTTAATACAGAATATGGTGAGTGCGGTACTGGCGCCTTCTGCCTTGGTGGTTGCGACCCTCTCGCTTCGTTCTCTCTCGATTCATGTGCCCCTATGCCCGTTTGCGAGAGTAAGACTTACAACTGGGACAACCTCGACAATGCCGTCACCCAGGACAAGTACCTTGGTAACGCCACCGCTGCCGACTGGACCTACAGTGGAAAGGTTAAGACTCAGGATGGCAATCTGATCATGACGATGCCTGCCAAGAGTGTCGGTACTCTCTTCGCCAACAACCACTACATCTGGTACGGCAAGGTTTCCGGAAAGTTCAAGAGCTCCCGCGGCAAGGGTGTCGTGACTGCTTTCATTCTTCTGTCTGATGTTAAGGATGAGATCGACTACGAGTGGGTCGGTGCTGATTTGACCGCCGTGCAGACCAACTACTACTGGCAGGGTGTTCTGGACTGTAAGTTGAGAGAAGAGAATAAAGATCTGATCCGAATAATCAATACTAACTTAATGAACCAGGGCATAACAGCGGCAACATCAGCGTAAAGGGCGAGGACACCTTCAATGACTGGCACACCTACGAGATCGACTGGACCCCCGAGAAGGTGGACTGGATCGTCGACGGCTCCGTGCAGCGCACCCTGAAGAAGGCCGACACCTACAACGCGACCTCCAAGCAGTACGAGTTCCCCCAGACACCCGCCCGCCTTCAAATGTCGCTCTGGCCAGCCGGCCAGGCCAGCAACGCTCAGGGCACCATCGACTGGGCCGGCGGTGAGATCGACTGGAACAGCGAGGACATCAAGACCGTCGGTTACGACTATGCCACCGTCGGCGAGGTCAGCGTGAAGTGCTACGATCCTCCTTCCGATGCCAAGAAGAACGGCAAAAACGCCTACCTCTACACCAACTCCGCTGCCATGGAGAGCGATATCTCCATCACTGACAACACCACCGTCCTTGCCTCCCTCGGCGCCACCGGTCTCAACATGGATCTCGGTGCTGACAAGGGCTCTAAGGGTTCTTCATCCAGCTCTGCGTCCAACAGCATCCCCACCAGCAACGGTGGCTCCGGTGGTATGACCAGCAACAACACTTCCTCTGGTGAATCCAGCTCCAGCTCCAGCTCTGGAACTTCCACCACCGCTGGCTCGGAGACTTCCACTTCGGGCTTCACCCAGGGAACCCCTACTGGCAACGGTGCGGCCGGCCAGAACGAGCGTGTCCTCCGTGGCTCGCTCTTCGGCGTCCTGGTGGCTCTTGTTGTCCTTGTGACCCTGTAAATGTTTTGCTGGTTTGATCTATATATCAGCGTTTTATCATTCTTATCTTATTCTTTCTTGCCATGCTTATTGCCCAGCATTGAGTATATTTTTTTGTTGACTACTGTGCAACTTCGCTTCGTGTCTATCTCTGACTGACCTTGAACAAATCACCTAATGAATAAGTTTGTTCCTTGTATCTTTTTTTTTCCTTCTTCCTTCATTAGGTCGTGATGTTCTACGGTCGACTGCATACACGTCTCCACTTTCCCTCCATTTTTCGTTTGATATACCTACCCGGCTTTTCTGGCCGATTCATGCTCTGTCAATTTATTTCTGATTTATGCGATGTATCGTTACTCTGGTAATGATTTGTGATTCCCTGCACATGACTGGAAAATAGCCACAAGCTCCGTGTAATCTTTTGTTCATATATACCAGACTTTGTACTGCGCTCCATGTTCCGCTTTTTGATCACTGAGTCCACGGATAAAACTGAGCCCTGGAGCACCCGTCTGCCCCTAAGTAGTATATAATCAATAAGCTCGCCCGCAACTACCTAGGTAACTGGGTAGTCTGTCGGGAAGCGACCAATCCTTGGATGAGAGGCGTTGTTTGAATATGTAGGCATCTCCTGAATATTTAAGTGTAGATGTCGAGAGTACGGAATGAGAACAAACATCACCGAAAACAGCTGGTAACTACGAAAAAAGTGGCTTCAAGAATCCGCGAATGCGAAAAACAAAAAATACTCTCTCCACCTGCAAGAAGATTCAAAACAGCTTTACGGCGATGTCTCGACCTTGATCATTGCCTCCTTCGCTTTCAATTCCTCCCTAGTAGGCTTTCTTGCCCACACGCGGTTCCTAAAACTTATCAGCACGAAATAAGCCAGCGATGCGATGAAAAGAAAACCTACCCGGGTTCATAAGCATGAATGTGCGGATTGTTCAACTCCTTGCGCACTTTGGCCAGAAACACATGCACCTCCTCCTTTGTCCATGGCTCCGGCTCGCCAAAGTGAGTGAGAAGCCACATCACCCAACCTTCTAGAGCGGCGTTCCAATGGGCATACTGGAGGTGTCCAGCCTCCTTCAGTGTATTATCCCTGGCCCAAGGTCCTATGGGAATCCTGTACTGTTCCTCATGCACGTCCACGAACCCGGCTTCCTCGATTGCGCTGCGCATCGTTTCATGGGTTCTGAGTGACATTCCAGCTCGCTCGGAGATTCTGATAAACATGTCACCCCACCCATATAGCAGGTGTTCTTTCTTCAAGGTGCCGTCATCGCTGTAGATTCGCACGTCTAATTCCATTTGTTCGATCCATCCACCAGGCTCGAGGGCACTATTGCAAAATAGAAACGAAATTAGGGGGCACGATTTCTCGGAAAACCGATCAATAGGGATTGAAACTCACTCGTAGGCCTGTTTGTATAGCTTGTGCCATCCCTCGGGAAGGAATGCGCCATACATTAGGCGCATATGGATAAAGTCAAATGGCTCTCTCCATGTCCACTCGCGAAGCACATCATCCACCTCGAAGATGCAGTTCGGGGGCGTCCATGACACGGGTGGGGGAAAAATATCCACTCCGCGGACGGTAGCTAATTGGTTTTAGTCAAGAATAGAAGGAATCGTATCAAGAAATCCAGTACCTAACGGATAGCGATCGGCAACGTCACTAAGGATTTGTTAATGGGTTTTCTTAAAAGGATTTACCCGTTGACTTACATTGCCCAACTCCCTTGGCCAGTTCCGATGTCTAAAATATTCTATACTGCGTGGTTAGCGGAACGTGCAAGCGAGGATCGCCTCAGTATAAATCCACCTTAGGCGAATCGCCGATAGGGGCGCGGAAAAGAGGATTCGGCTGCTCGTGATCTAGCACAAGAAACATCATATGGCTGAGTGAGTTAACACCACGGCTCTTCTAGCTAGTGAGAAATGAAAGGTATAGGGGTGGGATGCGGCTTACCCAATCTCAAACGCCTCGAATTGCTGCTCATCAGAAGGACCCCTTGAAATGGTTACTTTATGTAAAAACAAGATCATTGCATCGCAACCAACCAGTAGTCGTCTTCTTTAATGGCTTGGTATCTACATACCGGGTTAGTCTTAGAAAGCGATCTTTGACTGAAGTATACTGACCTTCGGCCGTTTTCCAGCCGTCCCCTCGCGATCGTAGACGAAATAGAGGTTGTATCCCTACATACCGCAGTAAGAACTCGACCCCATATATGATTCGGAGTGGCGCTTACGACTGAAGGTCCTGCGGATCCATGCCGTAGCCAGCGACCATAGAGTATAAATCAGGGTCCTAGGCAAGAGGTGAGAATGACCACATCAGATTATGAAATCACTACTTACCACCGTGATTTGTTCCATTTTTTCCATCTTCTCGGCCCTCCAAAGGTTGGAAGGTAAAAAGCTGTCAGCGTGGGAGGAAAAGGTGGAGTGTAAAAGTGTCAGGACGGGAACGGGACTCCCGGGGGTCCACAACCGTTAAACTAGCAGCATGAGCCGAACCTTGGAAGCCCTAGAGTATAACCGAGTTAGGTCTAGGGGACTTGAAAAAAAAGTACGAGGGAAAAGACGGGATACTACATAGGTAGTGAATCATGTCAAGTAATCACCCTGTGGTCTGAAATACTCCACTCTGAACGGGCACCCCCGGGAAAATCGCGCTGGTACATACATGTACCTATATGGGTCATTTATTTTTCCTAATTTCATACTTCTCATTTCTTAATCCACCTACAGTACATAGGTAAACATTTGTTGTCAATGCTTTCATGCGTTACATACACATGTAGATACATCCATAGATGTTTGCCATGTTTGGCTCTTGATACAGGCAAAACCCTAAACTACCCATCCTTCCACTTGACCATCCTCAGAACGAGGCTCATCAGTCACGTTCAAGCTCATTCCATAGGTTGAATCAAAGCTTGCCTCCTCCCCAACACAAATCAAGTAAGCCATGCGAGCGTACGGTTCCGCCTGCATCGCCCTCTCAGGCGCAATCTCAAGCAGAGACTTGCAAAGAATCATCCACGCAACAACAAGATTATCCATAGCGAGCCCCCATTTCTTAACAACGAGTGGCCCATTCACGCCTCCCTCAAGCACAAATCCAACCGCCGCGAGAGCCCGACCCACAGCCTCCCTAGCTTCAGCCTGTTGCCTCAGGCTGTCATAAACCCCAGCAATCAAAGTAAGCGGCTCCCACAACGCAAGACGCAGCACCTGCTCCAGTGAGTGCGGATACGTTTCAGTCAGACGCTCAATGAGCAGTTCAGCGCGCTCGCGGCTGTTATTTTCCAGTGACATAGCGATCTGTGCGCGCTGTCTGATCCGTGTCTTGAGAACCCGATGCTCAGTCGCCCTGATGTCGGTGCACATGGCGCAGCAGCAGTCAAAGCCCCAATGGCGGAAGTCCATGGGTTGGGTTTCAGGGGTGGGGAGCAGGTACCAGATTGTCAGCTCGGTGTTTGCGGGGATATCGGTGGCTGCGCGGATGATCATCATGTCGCCGATGAAGGCGCGGTGTGCGTTGCTCGTGCATGAGTGGTTGATTGTTGAGGCATAGGGCCATACGCCGCAGTTATGCGGCGTTTCAGGGTTTCCGCTTGCGTCGCACGCGTCGTGGATATGGTCTCCTCTGGAAGAGGTTGGGCTGCCGAAGCTGTTGAGGGAGATTATCCGGGTGATTTGAAATCTGCAGGGTAGGAAGAGGCATTTGTTAGCTTGGGGTGTTTAAGATGGAGAGATTTGTTTCTTAGTTACGTGTCTACCACCGGATTGCCATCAACGGGGCCTGTTGGCACCTGCTTGAATCCATTGCTGTGGAGGTCAGTTATTGCTGATGCTAATGATGGGTTCTTGTACAGCTTTTCGATAATCGATGGTGCAAGCGCGAATTGGCCTCCTCGGATGGTCGTCCGGGTTTCGGTGTTGATATGGAGGGTGCTGCTCCACCTTGGCCTGCTAGGGTGCTCGCTTGCATATGCAAAGGCTTTCTCACAGAGCAGTAAATCACCGGCCTTGACTGCCTCTGTTGTGAATAGGCCTCGTCCTTGGGACTTGGTTTGCCTGACCGTCACTGGGCCAATCCATGTCGCATGATCCAAGAGTGGCGGGTAGGTTTTCGATGCTTTCTCCTGCATCTTCTTGAAGTTGTATCCGCCCTTCTTTTGCTCTGCAAGGCGTGCAATTGCTTCACGAAAATCGTTCTTGGCACCGACGTCTTCGGGGTGTTTCTTGCAGAGCTTCGTGAATACATCACAGCTTTCCCGGAATCTTTTCAAACGGTACAGGGTTTGGGCTTTGCCCCTAAGCGCTTTGTCGGATTTTGGGCCTGTTGGAACGGCATCGAGATCATGCAGAGATGCATCCCACTTATCGACCTGGAAGAAGGCCAGGCCCCGGTAGTACAGAAGGTAATGCGTCTCTTCCTCTGTCGGTGAACACTCCAGTCCTTTGGAGTAACTGTCACTGTGGTCAGCATTATTCGCCATCAAATAGTCTACTGGGACTTTACTATTCAGTGGCAGAGTAGAATTTGCCCCGGTTGAGATACTCGTTACCTATGCTGAGCCAATCCCCGGCCATCCACTGAGAGGTTTCATCCTCTGGAAGCCGCTCTCGCCAAGCCGATGGCACCATCTTGTCGAACATTGGGATGAACATGATATCAGAAACGTGATCAACTCTAACTCCGTATTCGGTATCGGGTATCAAAGTCAGGATCTGCCCTTTATCAACAGAGCCATCCTGGCAGCGGAGCTTCTCATTCAACATTTGAAGCGGGATTGCATCTTTCTGTTCGTCTTCCACAATAGCCACAACTGCAGCCGTCTTCTCTGTCTGGGTGATTGATCTGACTAGAATGTAAGAGCCTCTATGATGAGTTTCAAGAAGCAAATCCTTGACCATGACCTTTTTTAGGCCTTTCAACGGAGCGAGACACGGTGGATAGATCAGAGGGGCGAAAGAGACATCCACCGCGCTGGCGCTACCTCGGCCGCATGGTTTATCTTTGTTCATCTTCCGCCGATGCTTAAATCTCTTCAAAAGTTCATCCCGTGTTCTATTTTGTTTGAATTGCATACCCTTGACGGCCTCGGCAGCTTCGAGAGCCCGGTTGTGCTCGATCAAGAGCCTCTCGCTCTCTGGGTCCTGTAGGAACCTGTCCATCCTCGAAGTTTTTGCTTCCTTTTTTGGGTTAGTCTTGATGGAGCAACAGCTGATGGACCTTGATGCTTACCGATGCTATCGAGGATAGATTCGAAATAGTGACGATGAAGCAAAGTGACCGGGCGAAGTGAAGGCTATCTGCATTTGAACAAACAGCGAGAGAGCAAAGCACGTGAGGAACAAATGTAGGTAGACATTGGACTATTTAGTCTAAATTGGCAACTACGACCTTCGAATGTTCGAACTGGGATGATACAACCTGGTTTATGCACGTGAGATCTATATCATCTGAGAAATTTGCCTAGAGATGGCTACAAATAAGAAGTCTTTCCCTTCTTATTTCAGTATATAACTACATATGTACATACCAACCAAGATAACGGTCGAAGAGTTTCATTGCCCTTGACATTAGAATTGGGACTACAAGGTATAGCAATCAGTTGAGCAAGACAGGGAGTACATATGAGCGATCTGGATGTTCACGGATAATAACATGCAAGTCTATCACGGCGTGTGGTATTTAGTATTTGGCTTTGTCTATGCCATCCGTTTGACTCGAGCTTCTTTTTTCCTTTATCTCACCATGCTGCCATATTAATTCCATCTTTCTTTAACATCTTGTAGAACATATGGTCTACACTGCATACTCTCTTAAGCAGTTGGCACTTACACCAAAGTACTTTACTTTCAACAAAGTCTTTGCCTACCTGTGAACTTGTACATAAGCTACAGTTATCCTTTTTACAATGAGTTGCATAAACAATTCTATATAGGTAGATAATTCTCTTTCCTGCGGAGTAAACAGGGTAACAACATAGTCTTTAGTCCACTTTTGGTTCATTGTAACCGCGTAGCCTGGCTTTATTCACTGTGCTCTATCAAGGGCAGAATTACTTTATCATTGCACAATGCCCGCTTCTTCGTATATGGATTTCTAACTTCTCAGTTTTGAGACATGTCCCTGACGTAAAGTTATCCAGCATCTCACTCAACCACAGGTTTTCCACGACAACAAAAGCCATCCTGGGTAGTCTCATCCTACACGACTCATTTCAGGCTTCACACCACAATCAACAAATCGCCCTGCCAAAGTTCACAGAGAAGGGACACAACCAGTGAGTACAAACAGGCATTCTACTTCGAACCGTACTAACACGAAATAGAGCTGTCTCAAGGCAGACGGACAGACAGCAATTAGGCTCGTGTGGCATTCACACAAGTTGGTTCAACATGTGTCTATTTGTGGAGACACACTACTCCAATTGCCAGCATACGTGCTTCGAGCTCTACCTCTTTTGCCGCGAGATCTTTCGCCAACTGAACCGTATCAACGACCCGGAACAGCTCCGAGACCACGCTTTGCCATTCGACCCTGATTGCCCTACCTGCCAACCATACACAATCACCATGAGACCAGCCACCTATCATCCAGATGTGGATTACTTGAGTGTACTTTCGGAGAGCAATATTGTGCACCAGATGATGGATTTGGTGGAGAGCTGTCCTGATTGTACTACAAAAGCAGGATGATTTCGATTTGTGCTTTGGTTGAGATATGGGTTGTGGCTGGAGACGAAGATATTTGGTGAAGTGACATGTATGTGTATTGAAGATGATTTACTGGGCAATATTGAAGCTGGAGGAGGGAATAGCACCAAAAAAATAAACACTTATTTCTACCAAGACCAGTGTCAGCTGTACACGGATATTCGAGTAAATGCGAGACCTGAATTGGATATGAGTATGTATGATGATGATGATTATGATGATGATGATGAAATGATGAAACCCCGAAATATTCAGTGCTGCCTAATACAGAAATCCAACAGAATAGGAAAAGTGCCGTTTAATGACTGGCGTTTAGTGGGCAGCACCACATCCACAATCATCAGGAGATCGCTTCCTGAAGTCTCCATGGTAAGTGTCTAGACCATCAGGAGGGAAGTTCAAGCCTAGGCGATCACCCATCCAGTCGTATGATTGCAAGGCTCCAGACTTCGTGTCCTGTAGCAACTTCGTGACATTGTCGACATCGAGATCAAGATAGGCAGCAAGGAAGTCGCCCACGTCGGTGTTCTCGTTGTTGCCAACCAATGGCCAAGCGTCCTTGGTAGACGACGCGTAGATGTTGACGTCAACGGCTATAACGAAATTAGCATACTATCATAGGTCACTGCTCGAGACTATCTTACCAGAATGTCCATGGGTACTCCAGCCGACCTGGGCGCGGCGGCTGATCATGCTCGCGAGCACATATGCCGGAGTGATTCCGGGAACCGGGTGGAGCAACGCATCTACTTCATCGTCTGTAGCATCATCGATGCCAAGCCCATCTTTAACAAGGGTTTTCCGGACCCAAGACTGTTTAGTCGAATCGTCGGCGTCCTTACCTGGCCCAGCAAGATATTCTTTTAGTTGCGCGGCAAGGTGTTCGGCAGAGTGGCTTGCCTTTTCCAGGACACTTGGAAGCCACAAGTACTCAGGGTAGGTACTGTGCAGCTGTCGTGCTGCGGAAAGACCGCCGGTCTCGTGGTCAGATGTGCTCACAATCACGCCAGGAGTGGAGTCATTCTCTAGGAACTCGAGCGCGGCAGCAAAAGCCTTGTCGTATGCCAGTACCTCGTGAACCTGAGCGGCAGGATCATTGGCATGGCCGGCGTGGTCGATGCGAGAGCCCTCGATCATGACAAAGAACCCTTGCTCGCTGTCCTCAGTGGCCTTGCTCAAGGCCTTCAAGGCAGTGCGAGTCATATCCTCCAAAGATGGATAGGTATCATTTTGAGTACGTCGATCAATCTCATAAGGGATATCCCCGCTAGCGAAGAGACCTAGCAGTGGTAAAGTGACATTATCACCGCCCTTGAGGCTATCGAAGCCCGCGCGGTCATCGATATAACCAAACCCATTCTGAGAAGCAACCTTGATCATGTCATGATCATCAGCACGGCAGCTGCCACCCTGTGAGTTGGGCAAAAAATGGCACCGCCCACCGCCAAGCAAAAGATCTACTACGCGACCGAGAGGGTGGTCTCCAACTTCTTGGGCGGCAATCAGATCTTCGTAGTTCCGTAAATTGGCATGCGAGGCGAAGCATGCTGGAGTCGCATCCGTCACACGGGTGGTCACAACCAGACCTGTCTTATAACCCGCCAACGCAGCCGCCTCGAGCACAGTCCCACAAGGCGAGTGGTCGGGAAGCACTGAGATAGCAGAATTGTAGCTCTTGCGACCGCACGAAAAAGCGGTCGCTCCAGCCGCAGAGTCCGTCACCAAGCTAGAGCTTGACCGTGTTCGCGAAGTCCCAATGTGGTGTTGATCCAAGACCAAAATGTTGTCGAATGGCAGATCGTCCGTGTATTGCCGGAAGCTCCGAGTCAGCGAGAGACTAGTAGGGCCCATGCCATCAGACACCATGAAGATCATGTTCCGCTTGCCCGTCGGCTTGCCTCCAGGGCCCCAGGTCGTATTTGACGCATGATGGTCGTGAGGCTGTGCTGACTTGTATGGGTAGATCACGGCCAGCACAATTACCAAAACTGTTGCAATAAGGGCCCAGGAAAATACTCCGATTTCCCGCCAGGAAGGCCAGACTCGTCGTTTGTCTTGAGGGACTGCTCGCGCACCAGTCAGAAGAGCGTACTCCTCCTCTCCAGTTTGGATCGACGAGCCGTCGTCGTCGGACAGGCGCGGAGGTAGGAGGGACTCTTCCCGCGCCATAGCTGGTGTAGAGACAGAATGGGAAAAGTGCGAAGACAGATGTACGAGGTCGAGAGCTCCGATTGAAGCCTTCTAAGGTTGTGCTGACTCAAGTGGACCCTAAGCGGGCGGGCCTGGGGGCGGAAGTGAGGAGATAAGGATAGTTAAGATAACGGCTCACATGATACGCACGTTCAGGCATCCCAGCCCTAGAGGTCGCGTGACATGTAACTATGCAACGTATAAAAAACTACATCTACCCTTTCGTACAATTAGGGAATGTAAGGAGAATAATTGGTTCATTTTGAATCAGCCTAAGCCAGATACTTACAAACTATCTATATAATACATAGTTACCATTCTCAAGACAACCTATAACTCCTAGAGAGGTCTAGCCTTCCACCCAATAGGAATCATGGCAGCGGCAATCTCAGTTACACCACGCTCCGTAGCAAGCAGATTAAACTGCGCGGCCGCATTCCGGGTATCGAGGATATCCACCCGAATGCCCAACGAGTTGATGTGACGCCTAGTTTCGGGCGAGAGCGGGAACATCGAGCCACCAAGACCAAGAATGAGCATATCTGTGGTAAAACTGTTAGAAGATCGAAGAGTGATTTTACAGTCAGGCTCAAGTATGTCATATCCGTGGACGAAAGTACATATCCAGGAACAAAAAAGCTAGAAGTAAGAGCCAACATACCAGGCTTTGGCCAGACAAGATTCAACAACCCCCAGACCGACTCATCAAGCTCAAACTGCCCTTTAGCATTGAGCATAGCATCCTTAGCGACACGATCGCTCTCTGCGCCCTCGGCAGCCTTCCACGGCCGCCATGCAAATGCCTCACCGCCGACCAGCAACAGCCCATCGCCGTTGGTAAGCTTCACGCCATTGTTAAGATGGAACCCGGAGTCGAGGCATGCATCAATGGCTGTCGTTGGCGCAGGGATGTTGCCCAGCACGTTCAACGCATCGAAGTTGGTCTGAGTGTCTTCTTTGGACTCTGGGCCACGGTCGCGGCTGACGGGTTTGTGCGCGTGCGAGCGAGGAATCATGCGGGTTGGTCGGATGGGTGAGCTATAGTTGCGGCGTGTTGAGGGTATTTCGGTGCTAGGATTTGAGACGAGGCATGGTGCTGCGGTTGCTGATGGGATCTGGCAGAATCGAGTCAAGTTCGAGGTGTGGCGGGTGTGGACTAGGGAGGTGCGCAAGACGCGCAGGAGTTGCGGCGATGGCGAATGCATTGATGCGATATGTTCGATAGAGTGGCTGGTTTGGGTTGGTTCTGTATTATATAGCCTGGTGATGTAGTGGCTCAGATGGAGGTGGCTGTCACGTGAAGTAAAGCTTTCTCGCCCAAGGTCTTGGCTAAGAGAACTAGCGGCCCCGGGACCTGGGCCTACATATCGACAGGCACTAACGTGCTTCTGCATGAAGTTAAACCTATCACGCACTAACTAACACATAGCAAGGATGTAGAAAGAAGCACGGTTGGACATTCTATGGAAACCGAGAGTGGCTCTGTGTACAGTGAGCATGGACTTCATGGACTTAAGTTGAAACCCTAGTCTATCATATCTAAATGCAGGCAAACAAGCAAAACTAGGTATGATCCACGTTAATTGAATTCTTCTTATATTAATATTGAGGCTAGCAATTAATCTATTTTGATTTTGCAGGAGTCCCAACCCTGACCCTCTGCACCTGGATTCATATGGAACAAGAACAAGAGGAGAGACGATAACATCGTACGCGTCGTAAACCCAAAACGCCAACAATAAAAAAAAAAAGAGTAATGGAAAGAAACGATACCTGGGAGAACGAACGAACCGAAAAATGACAAATAAGTCAAAAAAAAGAGTGTGTGTGCCATCCCTCGAGATGAGACATCAAACTTGATCTCATGCTGCCTCCGATCATTACTGCCTCTGGGTACTTTCTTGTAAAAGACATGGAAAAACGTATGCACATGTTGAAGATTAAACAAGTCAATCCCTGTCCCTATTTTAGCGGTTTGGGCCTTGCTGATTTAGTTGTTTCGTCGACCGAACAACGTTGCGGTCTTCATCCGATTGACTAGAGCTGTCATCGCTTGTGGTTGCAGTGCGGATTCGCTCGGCTAGAACCTGAGCTTCTGCCATAGCCTTTTGGGCGCGGATCTGCTTACGCCACATGCTGGCGTATCGACCCTTCATAGCCAAAAGCTCTTCATGGGTGCCGCTTTCAGCCACTTGACCTTCTGACAAGACCAAGATGCGGTCTGCGGTAGTGATAGTGCTAAGACGATGAGCGATTACCAGCATGGTGCGACCCTGTGAAAGAGTAGAGAGCGCCCTCTGGATATGCTCCTCGGTATCTGTGTCTAGAGCTGCGGTTGCCTCATCTAAGAGAATGATGCGCGGGTTCTTAATGATGGTGCGAGCGATGGCCACACGTTGCTTCTCGCCACCACTAAGCCGTAGGCCACGTTCTCCAACCTTGGTGTTGTAGCCGTCGGGGAAAGCAAGAATCTTGTCGTGAATGCTGGCAGCACGGCAAGCCTCGAAGACATCTTCATCGGAAGCGTCCTGGTTGGCGTACTTCAAGTTGTACATCAAAGTCTCGTTGAAAAGTACAGTATCCTGAGGCACCACACCAATGTGCTGGCGGACTGAATCGATCGTGACATCCTGTACATCATGCCCGTCGATACAGATACGTCCATTCCCGGAGTTGTAGAATCTGAACAAGAGGCGGAAGACGGTGGACTTACCTCCGCCAGACTCACCAACTAAGGCGGTGGTGGTTCCCGGCTGGCAGTGGAAGGTAAGGCCGTTCAACGCGGGCTTGCGCGCATCGTAAGCAAACTCAACATCTTCGAACTTGATGTCACCATTGCACATGGTCAACGGGGTGGCACGGGGGCTATCGACCACAGTTGGCTGCTCACGGAACAATTCTAGCAGGCGTTCGGCATTGATTAATGCAGATTGGATAGATCGATAAAACGTGCCAAAGAAATTGAGCGGGCCCTGGAGTTGGACCATATAGGCCAGCAGAGACACGAACTTGCCCACAGGGCGCTGACCAGTAGCAACCTGGTATGCACAAATGAAGCACATTACCAATAAGCCCATCATAAACACAGTGTTTTGACAGGTGTTCAGCAGTGTTAGAGAGAACAGCACGTGGTATTCGGCCTTCTGGAAGTCACCCACGGCGCCCCGGTACCGGTTGAATTCGTACTGTTCGGCGTTAAAGTATTTCACTGTCTCATATGAGACCATGGAGTCATTCCTAGAACGAGTATAGGTTAGTCCCACATATATCCGTATAATAAATATCCTCGTTCTGACTTACTTGACTGCATCTTCTTGTCGCGAGGCATTGACCATCTGTCTTCTGATCTCTGCTCTCCACTGGGCCATGCGAATAGTGACATAGAGATAACCAAACGTGGAAATCCCGACAACTAGAGCATAGTATACATCGAATGTGACCATGAAGTACCCAACCGCAATCACAAGATCGGCGAGCATTGGCACCACCTGAAAGGTGACCTGTTCAAGGAAAGTATTAATCGAACTGCCCTTGCTCAGGGCGGACAAGACTTCTCCGGTCTTTTTTCCCAGATGGAAGTCTAAGCTGAGACTATGGACGTGTTCAAACGCAGCGGTGGAGAGCTCCATGTAAGAATACTGGCTCACGGGAATCCAGAGGCTAGAGCGCAGAGAGCTGAGTAAGCCCTGGCTGCCCTGCAACCATCGGTACAGCACATACAGGCAAATTTGAAGCCATGGCACTTGGAAGTCCTCACCCTCATCACCCTTGGTAAGAGATCCTGTAATGAGTCCGATTTGGTGGGGTACCAAGACGTTAACGACTCGCTGGAATATGACAAGTCCAAAACAAAAGGTGACAATCAGTTGCAGGCGGCGAGATTTGGACGGCCACAGGTATGGGAAAAATAGCGAGTACCCGCTCAGGTACTCCCACCAACTAGTGGAAGGAATAGTCGTCGGACGCACCCATGGATCGGTAGGTTTGGAAGTTTCGGGGTGAGGAGCTCCGTTCGTCGAGCCATATGAATGACCATTGGCAGTTCCGTTCCCATTTCCATTCCCATTGCCGTTTTCTGCGCCACCGGAATCCAAAAGTCCCGTGGCTTCCGTAACTCCATCCGCATTCGCCCGTTCGCTTGCCTTTCCGTGGCTCTTCATGCTGAACGATTGACAGGCGTAAAGAAGAACCAGTGCGAACAAAATAAGGATGCGTACACTGTTCGATCCCACTTCGAGGGACTCCCAGAATGTAATGCTTCTGCGGACCCGCCCCCCTTCTGGGTCTCCAACAATTGGCTCATGGTGAACCGAGGTGTAGATTGAGAGGGAGGTGCTAACAATAACCAATTCGATAGGGATGGCGATCGACCAACAGACAAACTGGGCGAGAGTAGGCGAGGGCGATGTGTCTAGCATTGCCATAAGCAGCACTGAGTAGACGAAGAACGAGCCGACGACGTAAATCTGTGCAAAGTGTCAACGGCCGTCAAGAAACATCAAACCATCCAAATAGAACGTACCACAAAGGACTGTCCTCGCCACCAGTTCTCTGACCTGGCCACCATCACATGTATGATATAGATAATTGCATCCGCAAGGAAGGTCAAGAGAATAGCCACAGAGAGCAAATTGAAAACTCGTTTGACGTTCCGCGAGAACTCCTGGGATTTGTAGGCGGGCACACTTCGAGTTCGTTGAGGGAGTGGACGCCCTCCAGGGCCGAAGTATTGAGATTCATGCTTGCTGGCTTTCTTCGCAGCGATGGTAGTATTAGCCACGAAGGCGACGACAAAGAGGATAAGAAGGAAGATTGGGTAAGAGGTGCGCAAGTATTCCAGCAGCTCAAGGGCTGCATGGGGATCCATTGCCCACTGAATATCCCAGAAATGAGTGTTTCAAACAAAGTCCATGACAGAGTCCTCCCTCGAAAGAAAGGTAAGAAAGGGAGCCGGGTTCGGATCGGAAAGGACTGGACGACGGGTATGGCGAAAGATCGACACGAGGAATGGGAGAACTTCCAAGGTTGGATGGCGGAGAACAACCTCAGCAGGTTTTCCCACGTGGAAATTTTAGAAAGAAGTAAATTATGAAGATTTTAAAGAAGCAAACATAAAAGAATAGAAAAAAATATACTCCGTACAAATATACAGAATACTTGTTATTCTTTCCTTATTATTTTCTCTTATTGTTTTTTTCCCCTACTCTTTTTCTCTTTTTCGCCTTCTTAAGGTTTTGACTCAGAAGGAAAAGGTTGGAACTTTTTAAGCCAACCAGAAGTATAAAATAAAAGAGGCAAAGAAAGGGAGATATAAGGAATATATAAACATGAAATGTCTGGAATGACGGTGTGGATTGCAGGTTTGCTGCAGCTAAAAAAAAAAAAAAAATGGGGCACTGGTATAACTCACACTTAAGAAGCTTCCGAGGTCTCTTTTATATCTGTATCGTCGATTTCCAAGGTCTCTTTTAGTTTGTTTGTCTCGAATATTTGGAGCCCTGATATAAATTAATTAAATCTAGAGCAAGCCTTGTGTGCCCAATGGTCCAAGTTCAAATCGTCTTAGAGCAAAACAATACAGGGGGGTAGAAAAAGGATCGTCGATCGATAGATCGAGAACAATCCATATAATGACTTCACCAAAGATGCCAAGGATAAAATAAAATCAAAATGAAAAGCATATTATTTATAAACAAGATCATCTGAACCCAGTCATTATGGTAATAAAATCTAAATTTTTCATCTTTTTCTCCGTGATGTGTGTGTGACCTTCAGCTTGGATTGGTTGTCTGTACCCGTTGATGTATGTGATTAGCTGAATGTCTCATATATTTGCCTCCTTTTAGTGTCTGATTTAGTCACTTTTCGTGACCAAGGGGCGCAGTCCAATGGATTGGCCACTAACCATAGTACTCGTGATGTACGTATATTGGTAAATATGTCATATGAAGATCTATGAATATCCATGGATATCTTCCCCAATGTGTTTCGTGTTCCAGGTCCCGAAGCCCCGGTTGAGGTAAGACAAATCAGAATCGCATTCTTCCCAAGGTTGTTTTATAGTTAGTACAAAGTACTACATATGTTGTAGGTATTAATTTGGTCTTTGGACACGTTCACCTCGGAGAAAATACATCGTAAGATCACATTCCAATCTGATCTCTCTCATGTGTTGTCGTTCTAGACCGCTCCTGACAAGTGTTCAGGCCCGATGGCTTTCAACAGGTAAAGGGTTGAGAAATACATAGATTATGAGAAAAGTACGGAGTATAACTACCTGACTGGTGCCCTATATGTGAGGCATAACAACCTAATAATGTTATATTATATGCACAATGTTGTTCAATCTTGTCAGATAACAGTAAGGCAAGGATCGGTGCCTCAGGGATCTTTCCCACACCGCTTGCATTTCGGCGATCTCCAACTCTCCGCATCTTTCTCCCTCCAATTCGGTGGTCGTGTGCCAGAATGGAGACCTGGCTGTAAACGATGTCGGACCTCTCAGGTTCGCGAATTCCGGTCCCTCCTCCTCCTCCCCCTCCGCCACAGAAGTACTCAAATCGCGCCGCCAATGCCCTTGCTAGATTCGCCCAACCGTTCTTCTCGGGCTCGAGACCACCTAGTCCCCAAAGCAGTCGTGCGGATGGTCCCCGGTCGATCAGATCCAAATCACTGTAAGTGTTGCAGCTTTCTCACACCGCTCTGATACCCCTACTTCCCTGGTTTACTCCCCCCATGCTTCCCTCTTTGTTTTTACGGATGCAGTGACCACCCCCACCATTTGGTCATCGGAGCTAGTGTGATCGGGGAATTGCATTTGAGCCAATGGAATCTTCAGTTTTCTAATCATATTATTCCGTAAAGTCCAGGAGAACCGCAGACTGTGACCCACAAAACAGGCATCGCAATCACGGCTTTGGACATCTCGCCTGAACGGACACATGCGGTTATCGCAGGCAAGGAGATTCTCAAAACCATCCAGGTCTCGCCAGACCGCTCGTCAGAGGAATTCAATATTCGCAATGCAGTCATTAGCTATGCATCTACCCACCACGATGCGGGCGTTTCGATGCCACACAAGGACCAATTGAATGTGAAGGACGTAAAGTGGTCACATGGCAACTATGACCGGATAATCGCAACTGCAGTCGCGAATGGTCGGATTGTGGTTTACGACCTACAGCGGCCCGGCCTCCAATTATGTCGTTTCCATGGTCACAACCGCCAGGTGCACAGACTTGCCTTTAACCCTCATCTTCCTTCTTGGCTCCTGTCTGGCAGTCAAGATGGCACAATTCGGATGTGGGATCTGCGATCCGCCTCTGCAAATCGGGGAACTTCCACGTGCGGTAGCAAACATTCGTACCAGGGTAACAGCGATGCAATCAGAGACGTCCGGTGGTCTCCTAACGATGGAGTCATATTTGCAACTGCTTCAGACAGCGGCGCAATCCAGATGTGGGATTATCGAAAGGTCAACGCCCCACTGATGCGAATCGCCGCTCATGATCGCCCATGCTTCGCAGTCGACTGGCACCCAGACGGAAAGCATATTGTCAGTGGTGGCACGGATCGCCAGGTAAAGGTCTGGGACTTTTCTTCATCTGCAGAGCGACGGCAGAAACCTGCATTCCAGTTCCGAACACCCCAGGCGGTCACAAATGTGCGATGGAGGCCTCCTTCTTGGGTTGGTGAGTCTCCTGCCTCGGGAGAATGGCAATCGTCTCAAGTTGTCACGTCCTACGACAAAGAAGACCCACGCGTTCACCTTTGGGATCTCCGTCGCCCGCACGTTCCATTCCGCGAGTTTGATCGGTACGACGCACCCGCATCGGATCTGCTCTGGCGCTCTAAGGATCTTTTGTGGACGGTCGGCGAGGCCGGGGCCTTTACCCAGACCGATGTTCGGTATGCGCCAACTGTGGTCAACCGCCGACCGATGTGCTCCGTAGCCTGGAGTCCCAATGGCGAGTTTGTTGCGTTCAGTCAACAACGGCCCAGGCGACGTCCTCTGGGAGTCAATGCCGCTGAATTTCTACGGCCCGAAGAAGATGAGGACAGCACTGGCGAAAGATCACTAAGTCAAAGCCCCGCAGATGACATCTTTGATGAAGCCATTTTGGCCACTTCCCTTCGGAATCGGCACACTAAATCGGCCACGATTCGACCATCCAAGTCCTTGGGCAGTACTCCACCCGGAGCAGTGGATTTCACACCCGTGCTCCCTCTAGAACAAGCATTAGCTAAACTCGCAACCCCAATGCCTAGCCAGGTGGGGATCATTACAAGTATTCCGGGTGCCACAAACGACTCAGCCGTCTTTCGGTATTTGGCAAGCCACTATACACCGTTGATGGATGAGCACAGTGAACATAGAACGCAGACCGACGTTCTGAATTCTTTGATTGAGTCATTGGACCATAACGCTGAATGCGCAGATGAGGTATCCCTGGCCAAATTGGCTCAGACTTGGAGAATTGTCAAATTCGCTATTCTTCAAGAACTCCAACGTAGAGCTAGAGACCATCCAACAAAAGGTGGTCTGAAAGACAGGCCATCCAAGGATGGAGGCTTGATAGACAGGCCACGACCCGATGATGGTCGACAAGACAGAGTTAAAAGTCGGTTGTTCAAAGGGGTCATGGATGCGGTCCCCGAGGCTGAGAGCTCGTCGAATATGACCACCCCTCTTGCGCGACCATTGCCCGATTCCCCGAAAGACTCGTGGTCGAGCACTGATTCCCAAATCCCTTCGTTGAGCGATGGGGCGATCGACCTTGACCCTCTCCCGCCATCAGTCTTGAGTGATCATAATGGCTGGGGGTTGTCAGAGCGTATACCCTTGCCACGTGGACGACAATCATCAACTGATGATGCTCATTCATCAAAATATCTATGGGACCCTACACAGGAAGACTTGGACATAGAGCAACGGTCTGCGCCTCGGGCAATTGCCGGCAAAGCAGATTGGCGCCGTCGTGGTCACCCAGACTTCCCTCGGGAGAATTCCGAGGATGACTATGACCAAAAGCTGGAGGATAAACGTGCAGCCATTCGTGACTACAAGCAATTCCCCAAGAAACCCTTGACTCTTGAATCGCCAATGGAATCTAATCGGCCTCCTCGTACCGACCGCTATAGTCGACATGATTCTTCGGAGAGTTTTCCCATGTTCTCTACATCCACCGACAGTTCGCACCCCTCCAAGTCTATTGGTGCGTCGTACTCATCTACTGGACAACTCGAGGCATCTAAATCTCTGGATGCTGGGCAATCTGCCGCAGCGCTGAGAAGAGGATCGATTCTAGCCTCTACACGCGAGGAATCCGAGGATGAGCACTTTGACCAGGTCGTCTCAGAGACTGATCGACTTCATTTGGAGCGCCCGTCGAGCCCTCCCCCTTTGATCACAGAGTCAACCCCTCTTGAAAGACAACAGCAACCCTTCCCACCAGATGATTCGTCCTATCTCGGCACCATGCCTTATTCAACAATGGGCGGTATCTCGCGAGTCGAGATCCCACTCACGCCAGATGGAACAGACTTGAAACCGTGGGGTATTGAAGCGATTCTCAAAGAATCCGTCCGATATTACCACAGCAGCAGTAGCTTAGTCGATATCCAGGCTGCGGCCCATCTTCTCCAGAAGCTGCACGTTCTTTTCCGGGACTGCGAACAAATTCTTCCATATGAAGAATGCGAAACGGTCTTCAAAACTTACAATGAGCACCTGATTCGGCACTCAATGGACCTCGAGGCAGCAGAGCTCCGGTTATTTTGTGTATCAACATATCCTGCCGTCTATGAGTACGCTCAGACAGATTCATTCATCAACGTCTACTGCTACACGTGTCAACGGCCCTTTGAAAATCCGACTCAAGATAACAGCCGCTGCTATCGCTGCAGCACACCCCAAGCACCATGCTCTATCTGCATGAGCCTTGATCCACCCCCAGAATGGGTTTCAGAGAAGCAAACTCCACCAATCACTTCATCTACCCTCACGAGTCCCGACCCAGACTCCGAAACCACTTCAAATCATTCGACACAATCCTCAGTTCCTACTGAACCCGTTCCAGCGTCGGAGATCGAGATTCTCGAGCCCTTTACTGTACCTCGGCCCAAAGGCTCCGCCCTCTGGACCTGGTGCCAAGGCTGCGGCCACGGCGGCCATCTAGCCTGCATCACAACCTGGCTCGTCGACATCCCAACCAGCGAAGGTGGATGTGCCACAGCCGGCTGCTCGCATGACTGTGGGCCTGGCCCACGTCGCGAACTAAACCGCCAAGCCCTGCAGGTGGAATCCAAGCGTCGCGACTCTGCTAGTCGCTCCGCCGGTGTTGGACTCGTCAAGCGTGATCCCTGGACTAAGGGTGAAAGTAAGGCCGTCGAAAAAGTCCGCGGCATGCTGGGCGTTGCCGGAGTTGCAGCTGCCACCGGTGGCAGTGGTGCTGGCCCGATCACTTCGACAAGCAATACTTCTTCTCCGGCGCCGGTTTCGCCCGGCGCCATGTCGCCTAAGAGGGTGCGGCTTGTTACCCCGAATGAGCAAGAGAAGGAAAGTGTTGCCTCGGCTCGCACAGGGCCTCCTTCGAAAGACTGAGCTTGAGTCTTGCGTAACACTTGATGTGTACTATTATTAGCGCGGGTTTTTACTTTTACGTCTTCACTTCACTTTCTTGTCTTCTCCTTTTATTTGATTCCCCAATCGCGATATTTTCAATGAATCATTCCACGAATTTAAGCACATGCGTATGGTGTATAGCCCTCAAATGCATTTCTTCCCAGTCACATACTACATGTAGATAGAATGTGTTGTATGCACGCGCATGGTAATTTCCGCCGGATCGCTTGGAAAAGCATTTGAGCACATTCTTAAAACATACAATCCCCACTCTTCCCCCTCGTCTAGAATCTCCGCTTCTTTGCAGGAACTTTGCCCTTAGCTTCGAGCGACCTCTTCAGTTCCTCGCGCTTCCGGTCAGCCCGCTGGTCTTCAGTCTCCGGTTCTGCAGGTGGAACGGAAGGGACTTTTTCCGCTGCTGGTGTGGGCAATGCAGACTCCTCCTTTTCAGGAACTTGTCGGTCAGTCTTCGCTTTAGCAGGTGTAGCTTTCTCGGGTGACATGACCACCGTGTCAGATGTAGGTAGTGGAGACTTGTCTCGAGCTGACTCGGAGGCTTTGGCCTTAGCTTTGCCGCCTATCATGCCAAGTTTCCCGGATCGTTTAGCTTTGACTGCTGCTGGTGCCGGTGTCGACGATATGGGAAGAGGAGGATCCTTGTTAATCTTTTCTTCCTCTTCTGGTGATTTTGAAGGCTCCTGGGATTCTGGGGTATCGCGGGCTTGTGCTGGTGGGGAAGGGGCTGGCGAAGGCGATGGCGATGGCTCTTTTACTTGCTTTTTCTTGCCGCCTATCATGCCCAATCCGCCCTTTAGCCTTTTCGGTGCCTCTCGGGCTTGCGCTGGAGAAGGGGCTGGGGAGGGAGATGGCGAGGGCCGGCGCTCTGTATCTTTCTTGTTCTTGCCGCCAATTTTACCCAGTCCACCCTTTGTTACTTTCGGTGCTTCTCGAGCTTTTGGCTGCGGTGCGGCAGGCTCTGGCGACCTTGAAACGCTGGGAATACGTATTTGACGCGGTGCTGGTTCAGGTTCAGAATCGGAGTCTGATGCAGTGGCTTCGTCTTCCTCTGAAGGCAATACCGGCAGAACAGGGCTTTTCTTTCTGGGTTTTTGCTTGGGTGGTGATGTTTTGCCTTTGCCATGTTGGGACTTTAGTCTGGGAGGGGTTTCTTGTCGCTAGATGAACGGGGTTAAGCTATACTTGTTATTTGTGATTAGGAATAAGTTGTAGCATACCTGAAACTCATCGACATCGCTGCTTTCCGTTGAGTCCCCTCCTGCGTCGATGTGCTTGGTTTCAACCGGCTTTTTTCCCTCTTCGTCGTTGGGGATTTGCTCTCCAATGGGCGAGGCTTCTCTGGCGCTAGTGTCAGAGCGCCTCGCAAGTTGATGCCACCATTCGCCCTGTGGTTGGGTGAAGGTATCTAAATCATGAGAATCACCGGATTCCGAGATCTCCTGGAGTAAATTGGTGGCTAATCCCGCCCCATGCGATACTCCTGTCTCAGCAAGCCAGGTCTGTTCCTCGAACGGCGCAATACCCTTGACAAATTTAGCAGCCTCGGACCGCGTAATAGCCTTGCGAGACGTGCGCGATCCTGCGGCGCTAGGGAACACAGACCCTAGGTCAACACCGAGTGTTTCCATCTTGTCAAACAACTTGCCAAGTACGTAGTCTTTCTGTTTGATTTGGTTCAAGAGCAAACGTTGGCGGGACTCCCACTCCGCTTCCTCTCTCAGCAGCGGAAGTAATAGATTAGTGGTCAAAGAAGACAGAGGTTCCTTTGATAACTTTAATGACCACTTAAGAGGCTTCAACGGGGAAGGAAGCTTGGTTGTTATCATGATTTCAAGGGAGTCGGTTTGCGTTCCACTGCTTAGGATTGCGCTTTCATTGCCCTTGTGTAAAGCCTCTCCAATTTTCTCCAGGAGCACATTGAGCTGTTCTGGGTCCTCTCCAGGATCGATTGTTGTGGCATCTTCCTCTGCTCTCTTGCTGATAGCTTTATGGGGCAGCCGCTCTAACCAAATATAGGTGAGGTCTGTTATATGGATCTCATAGCCTTGTCGGGTCCAGGTATACTGGAAGAGCAAAGGAGGTAATCCCTGCTGGGACGAGTGAAGACGCTGCCATCTCGAAGGCATGGCTTGAGTGACTCGTGGATTTACAACGCGAAGTTGTGAAGTTCCAAAAGTTGTCTCATATAGCTGCCTGGGCCATAAGGGAAGGTTTGCCGCCCGCTTGACTTTCCCGCTGATCTCCCGAACTTCTAACTTCGCCTTCGACATCCAAATTACATACGTTCGGGTCGCTTACGCTTTAACCCTTACTCCTCGTTATATCCTTACGGTTTTTACGATGTCTGCGCGATTTCCAGACCGATCAGACTCAAAGCGCAGCAGGTCGCGATCGCCGTCCTCGTGGCATCAGCCCCAGAAACATCCCCGTCGGGAGGACGGAGAATGGCGCGACCGACAAGACTCGGATCGCAGATGGAACAATGAGAGATCGGGCCCTTCGCAGCAGCCTCGCAACATGCGCGATCAAGTCCGGCTCAACTTGATCCAGGAAGACCAGCAAGAGCGCGAGTGGGTCGCGCAGGAGGATTTGTTCGTTCTGAAGCAGGCCAAAAAGAAGGCAGAGATTCGAGTCAAGGAAGGGCGCGCAAAGCCTATCGACTGGCTGACTGTTACTCTCCGCATCATCGATCCTACGCGTGATCCCTTGGATGACGAGATAGCAGACTCCGATCTGGATGTCGTGGACCCGGACGGTGTGTTTGAGGGACTATCGCAGACCCAACTACAGGACTTGGAGAAGGATATTGATACATTTGTTATCCTTGAGACAAATGCGAAGAATCGTGAATTCTGGCAGGTAATGTTTACCCACTCTGCTATCTACTGAACACCTCTGTTGACCACCGTCCACCCTACAGACTATGAAAGTCATCTGCCGAGATCGTCAAAAGACCGTTACACCCGAAGGTCGCGCATTGAATTCTGTGGCTGCCGACATCAACAAACTACTAAGCCCAAAGTCCTACGAGCAGCTTCAAAACCTCGAAGTACAAGTGAAACGCAAGTTGAACTCGAACGAGCCGATCGATACAGATTACTGGGAAGAGTTGCTGCGCAGTCTGACTGTGTGGAAGGCCAGGGCGAGTCTGAAAAATGTTTATCAGGCTATTATCGATGAGCGTGTTCGCGACCTGAGGAGGCAGCAAAGACAGGAAGCCGAATCAATTCGCGAAAAACTAGCGCCTCTTGCCCCGGTTGTCATTGCGGGTGATACAACAAATCCTGCTGAGTTTGAAGGCCTGGATCCAGATCCAATGCTCCAGATTCGCCCGGAGGACAAAGGCTTGGAAATCATGGACGAGTCCGCATTCCTTAACCAAGTGGTAGGTTTTGGGCTTCCCCTCATTTATCCCAATCCACATGCTAATCAACCGCACAGGCCCGTGAGCGCCAGAAAATTATCCGCATGGGCTTTGTCCCACTACGTCACCGAGCTGCAGAGAAGTCATCAATAGTAGTGTCGAATCCGACATCTACCAACGCCCCCGCGGCCTCTGTATCCACGCGGTTCTCGTCCATCCCGAACGAGGACTTCTCGCAAGCGACCAAAGCGCTATATGAAAGGGAGCTCGCCAAGGGTGTCAGCGAGAATGAGGAAATATTTACGGGCGAAGAGGCCGTGAGCACGAGCTCACAACCCCAATGGGCTGGTAAGCACCGGCCTCGAAAGCCGCGGTACTTCAACCGAGTCCAAATGGGTTACGAGTGGAACAAATACAATCAAACCCATTACGACCATGACAACCCGCCACCCAAGGTTGTACAAGGTTACAAATTCAACATCTTCTACCCCGACTTGATTGACAAGACCAAAGCCCCAACTTATCGAATTGAGCGTGAGAACGGTCGGAAGCGTGGCGAGTCATCGGCCGAAGCCGGCGAGGAAGACACCTGTCTCATTCGGTTCATGGCAGGACCTCCGTACGAAGATCTTGCCTTTCGAATTGTCGACAAAGAATGGGATTATAGTGCCAAACGAGAGAGGGGTTTCAAGAGTACATTTGACAAGGTATGTCGTACTACCAAATGGTCCCCCCTGTTTCTCAACTGACGTAATCCTTTCCTTTCAGGGAATCCTTCAACTTCATTTCCAGTTCAAAAGGGTAAGTCTGTTTTTTTTTGGTTTTACGAAGATAATACTAACCTCTTGTCTCAGATCTATTACCGGAAGTAACACATGCGCAACCAACGATTTCCACGTGGATGTCATATCGGGATGGAAAAAGTGGGTTACGATGATGTATGCAGGGAGATGTTCGGGGGTGTATTTTCCAGTGACTTGATACCCAGTGAATCAGATCAGACCTGGATTGATTGGACTGGAAACATTTCCCCCAAGGTTTTCGCAGAATAAGCCAGACTTGACCTCTGGAGATATCAGATGCTTGATTCAACAACCACTTCCTAAATTTGACGACCCTGTCACCTTTTTTTCCCCAAGCACTATGATCGTCTTTTAGGAAGAATCCGAAACCTCTTCATTCGCCTTGACCACGACTAGCGTATCAACACTATATGTCTCTTTTTCTTTTCTTTTTCAGTCACCAGGGTACTTGCAACATGGGGGACGTTGGCGGTGTCCTTTGGGTGACACTATCCCGGCCTGCAGGAGCAGGATGTATTCCTGACTTCCAGGTGGTTGGATGCAGGCTATGAAAAAAGAAACCATTGGACTAGACAAAAAGTAGAATACAGCACCAGTTTGCAGTTAACTTCCAGAAGGCCCGGAATGAAGCCGGTGTAGGTGAATGGCGACTTCTGCCCTGCAGGTTCCCATTTGACCATTTGAGCATTTGACCTTCCTCTTCTGGCTCTAGGAGGCCTGACCCATTCGTTCTAGTCGCATGTAGCATGTAGCATGTAGCATGTAGCATGTAGGACCAGATTCAGCCACTTTGACTTCCCGGTCATTGGTCATTGTCTGTACTATGAATCTCCGTTGCACGACTTGGACGTCTAAGGCGTTTTTCGAAATACGGAGTAGATCTTTCTATAATACAAGAAAAAAATTAATTCCCTTAGCTCCAGACCGGCTTTTGCTTGGACTCAAATGCATCTATGAAGTTATTTGCAGAAGAAAGGATATGATGTGTTGGCATGGGATCTTGGAATTATACAGCTCCAAATCCTCTTAAGGTTGAACATACATATTCTTTGAGGCTGCACTCTTGTCTCTTGTTTTCCCCTTCCAATTCTTATTCTTATTCTTATTCTTATTCCATCTCTCTCTTCCTCTCTCTCTCCCTCTTCCTCTTCCTAGGTTTACGTTTGCCTTCTCATGTCCTCTTGCTCATCTTTCTTTTTCCTTTTCTACTCTTCTATTATCAAACCCATCAAGTCACTCCCACAGCCGGACGTTGCCTTGCCCAAACATGGATTTCTCATTCCCTTCACGTCATTTCGACAGAGCGCAGATTTCAGACCAAGAGGATTCCAAGCCTGATCCCCTGTCACAACCAGAAGCGCCATCTCAGGGCACTGGTAATTTCACGATGAATCAATTCAGTGTACCTGACTGGGCAAGATGGAGATCTCAGCTAGCTCCCATGCCTCACCATTATCAAAGTTTGAGCTTTCCTCATGTTGCTGATGGCGAGCCCTACGGCTTGGGTCCGTTGTCTCAGGAGCTCATCGGGGATTCAAACGGGTATCTTGATTCGTACCGCTCGCATGTCACCCCCACCATGGCTGGCACATCCTTGGATTTGTTAAACCCTCAGGCTGGAGAGAGCCACTCAGATTGGCCACTTTTGCAACCTTCCCATGTCTTCAAACCCCAGCCATACAACTATCCTCAGTTAGAACCTCTTCAGCCTCCTCCAGACTTCCCGCCGTCGCCACTTTCTGAAGTCTCCTCCTATCACTCTCCGCAGTCACTCGCTGCTTCGAGTCCAGCAATGACAGCTCATACGGCAGACCGTCTATCTCCACGTTCAAGCACTGGTGATAATAAAGAGGAGCGTCCCGGCCACCCTCCCTATTCTGTTCTCATCTACCAGGCCTTGAAGGAGGCCCCGGGAAACAAGCTTCAGCTCCAAAGCATTTACTCTTGGTTCGAAGCGAATACAGACAAGGGAGGGGACCCGAACGCGAAGGGGTGGCAGAACAGTATTCGCCATAATCTCTCGATGAACGCGGTAACTCTCACTTCTCATAACTCATTCTTTTGGTTCCTCGTTGTAATATGTTTGATACAACGACTGCTATATTTGATATCAATACTAACCTTAAGTCTAGGGATTCGAAGCAGTGAAGGAAGAAGTTGGACCAGGCAAAAGAGCAGTGAACTTCTGGAGGCTGACGCCGGAAGCCATCCACAGCGGTGGCATCCAATCAACTACCCGCTACCGCAAGCTCCAACACCAAAAGAAAGGAATGAACTCAGGCCATCGTGGGGCCACACGTCAGCCGTCGGAGTCTAAGGGGGTCCACGCCACAAAAGTTGTCAAATCACGCAGCACAAACAGTCCCCAGAGCGAGCGCGCCGAAGCATATCATCCGCAGCAAATAATAAGCATGAACCCTAGTCTGGGACATGAATACGGTCCCACGAGCCTTCCAGCGATGCAAAGATACATGCAGCACCCCATGGGACCTGTTGTCGGATGCACCCCCATGATACCAGACAGCAATACCCTCTTCATTGACACCGCGGAACCAGGACCGGCATTTGACGTGGGCCATAACCATGATTGGTATGCTCCCGAGTCGGGCTCCAATAGGGTCCACGACCCACTCGAGGGTCCCGGTCGATCATTAGCATGGGATTTGAAAAAAGAAATTTAAGCCAGAAAAAAAAGGGAAGGGGGAGGTGTGGTGGAGGGGATGGAACAAGATTCACCGATGAAAAAGCCCGGAAACCCCGACGTGCATGCTGCTTTTTTTCAGGTTTCGTTCTTTTCACACCCTTTTTTTCGAATTTTCAGGGCATTGGTGGAGACCATGTTGGCCATTGAGCACACTAGAGGCATGGCGTTATGTGAAGTGCCTATTTATTTGCTATTTGATTTCAGAATGTATTTGGCGGGCGTTCCACAGAGTGAGCCTCATGGCAAAGGAGATCTATCTACTTTTTTTTCTCTTGTTCTCGTTATCTACTTTGCTTTTTTTTCCTATTTCTTCTCTGATTTTCAGTCATTCTGGCATGAGCAACGCATATTTTCTTTTCAAGTGTACCATAAGTTAGTAGTGATGTTTGTGAGCTTTGAATCCGCAGGATCTAATCGAGATCTATCACAAAGGCAGGTATCAACCCTCGTTCTCTGTCATGTTCGTCATTGGATCTTCAATGAGGCGCTTGGGCTTAGGCATGTACGTATCTCGTGTGGCCTCGCTTCTCTCGAGTCCCACATGTCTCTAGTTCATTACAAATGTACATCGTTGGTAAGTTTGGGCATGAAGAATGCCAAGAAATGGAAATTCACAATTCTACTACTTGGCCCCTGGGTTTCTGTACCGGATAAACATTGACTGCTCCGTGTCAATGCATTGTCATTGTTCTTGTCCGTAGCATGGACCACATGCTGTGCTGCTGACAATGCTTCATATGCTTGCACAGCGGTGTCTCAAGTGACAGGAATAGCCTCCAACCATAATAAAAAGAAAGATTGTTCAGCGACCACCTGCACGCTTCCATAGATTGAACCTGGGAATATTACAATGGACTTTACTATTTACGGAGTACAACAGAGCGCATTTGCCGCCTTCTTTTCGCTAGTCGTCTTTAGTCTCTTTTGACACCCGGGTTCTGTCCTTAATTAGCCATGCTGGGCAACCCCACCAACACCCCGCTATATCATTCTACTTACTTATGCAGTTGGCCAGGGTGCTGGAGTAACGCAGGCATCCTTGGCAGCATCGGCAGCATCGGCAGCTGCATGTTGCCTTTCCCATGATCATCTTTCCTCCCTGTCATTCTCCACTTCCCCTTTTGTCGGTGTCCCAGGAGGACGGAATCTGATACCCTCGTTTTCAGCTAACAGATCGTGGGTAGGGCACTGACCTTGTTTTTTTACCAGGGTGTATTCCAAAGTAAATTAACACTGAAGAGATCATAGACAAGATATAGGAGTTCAATTGGAGATATGGTATATGTTATAATTAGGGCATAATAACATACTATCTTGGGTTATCGATTTCCCAACTCTAAGTCACAAAATTTGTTCCTCGCGAGGACACTTATTCACGCACTAATTAGGTTTCATAGTGCAGTGTCATAGCTATGAGAGGCTCGTGCGATAGGGAGATCGGCAATGACACCAGTGAAAGGAGCGACATTAGCAACGTGGCCTACTATGTTTCCCGGATATTTTATGGATTTATCACTGTTTTACATATTTGCAGGTGTTATACTGTTCCCTATCTAACTATGGGGTATGCAGGTACTTACTTGGAAAGATACCACTAAGGTATGAGCAGCTTGCATCCGTGGAGCGTGCAGCGTAGTAGCTTTTGTATTATAAGTAAGAAGACACTCACATTAGATAGTATGTACCTGTGCCCCGTTATACAGGTGGCAGCTGCAATGCCGTTCACAACGCGGCTGAATATGCCAGTATCTAAAGTTGAGTTTCGGAGCTCCCCTACGGGCCGTGCCGACTGTGATTTATTTATAGGGTATTGTTAACTACACCCCCCTTTGGATAATCTCACCCCCCCCTGCCTGAAAATCCAGGCTTCATAGACCGCCTTCCTCACCGCCTTCCAATTTTGTACACCGCCTTCGTGTCAAACAACCCATATAATACTAGCAAGACGGCAGATACCTACAATTTGTATATAAACCACTAACAAAATTAAGTCACTTTTGTCACATAACACCCCGTACATATATGTAGATAGGATCAAAGAAATTGATACTCCAATTCTGGTTTATATACATTAACCTACCTTCTTCAAACCCATTTTTTCATCACTTTCTGCCTCAATTTCATCGATTTTATCGCCAAAACCGTCAATATGGCCTCCCTAGGCCTTGTATATCTGGAATCAGATCCAGATTCCGATCCGGAGATCGTCCCCGAGTCTCCACCGGCCGTGCCAAGCACCGAGTCTTTCTCTCCCGCCATGCTAAGCACCGAGTCCCCCGTGCTTTATACTATACCTCTCCCCCCTATTGGTTCAGAGTATAGTACGCTAGAGGAAGGTCTCGCCGCTATCAATGATCTCGGCCGTACACATGGGTATGCGGTTTCATTAATTCGGACCAAATTCACTAAAAAGGGCGTGAAAAAGACTGTACGCCTCCGCTGCGACCGAGGTCTCGTACTAAGAGATCGGCCTAACGACGGCCTAGAGCGGAAACGACAGACTACCACACTATAAAATGAGTGTCCCTTCGGTATATCGCTTCGACTAAACCAGACAACGAGTGCCTAGTTTCTTACGGTCGAAAATGTATTATATAACCATCGACCTTCCCCTATATCAACTCACGCCGTTCAACGAAGCAATAAACTTTTATCTATCAAGGCGGATATCCAGAAGTAGCTAGAACAAGGCCTTCCCACTCGCCAAATTCTCACTAGCATTCGCAACGAAAACCCAGATTCATGTATTATCCCTCGGGATATCTACAACTTCCGGCGGTAGGTCCATATAGAGTTCCTAGCCGGTCGTACCCCCCTACAAGCGTTGTTAATAGAGCTCCCGAAAAACGGCGACTAGATCTTCCGGTACGAAGTGGATGATGACAACCATATTACTACTTTGTTTTGTATGCATAAATCTGGTGTTGCTATGCTGAAATCCAACCCCTAGGTCATTTCTATAGATTGTACGTATAAGATAAACCGGTACGGGCTACTATTACTTGACATCGTTGGCTTTACTGCCACCGGAGCTACTTTCCATCTTGGCTTTGCATTTATGAAGGACGAGCACTAGGACTCGTACGAAGTTATCCTCAACTGCCTCGCCGAAGTATACAACTCCCTAGGTCTCAATCCCCCCTATACAATTCTTATAGATAAAGAAGAAGCGCTGATAAATGCAATTGAAGCTGTCTTTCCTCTAATAAAGAGCATGATTTGCATCTGGCATATCAATATGAATATCTTGAAAAAGGCCCGGCCAATTCTTCGGGATCAGATCGCAAAAGCACGGAGCGAGTTAAGCACCTAGTCGAACACCACCCAGTCGAACACCACCTAGTCGAACACCACCCAGCCAAGCAGCACCTAGCCAAGCAGCACCCAGCCAAGTAGCACCCAGCCAAGTAGCACCTAGCCAAGCAGCACCTAGCTAAGTAGCACCCAGCCAAGCAGCACCCAGCCAAGTATATAGCGTCAAATAAAGGCCCAGCGAGAGAGGGAGCTCACCCAGAAGGTTGACAAAGGCTAGGAGAAAATGCTAAAGCGCTGGAACCGAATTGTGTACGCTACTTCCTCTAAGGTTATGAACCAGCAGTGGGAAATCTTCAAAGAGAAGTATAACGATCCAATCTTCCAGCCGTTAATTGACTACATTCAAAAAGAGTGGCTTGATGACTGCCCAGAGCGTTTTCTTCATTGCTATACCGCTCAATATCTCCATCTCCTTAAGATTGCGACTTCTCGTATAGAGGGAGGACACTGGCTGCTTAAGTAGGATCTATAGGTTGTAAGAAATGATCTCCTCGTTGTTCTCTAGAATTTCCATCGCGTTATTAATCTACAATTCAATAAGATCACTACTCAAATCGAGAATGAGAAGATCAGAAGGCCAACCAACTCTCAGAACCTATACAACTCTCTAGCTAAGCGGATCTTAATAAAGGCAATTTAGTATACGAAGGACATTTACGACAGATATCTTCCAGAAGGATAGGAAGATAAAGCTCTAATTCCACTATTATACACTTGCAATTCGAAGAACATATCTGGCATCCCATATATTCACATTATTAAGGAGTATGAAGATGAGAACAAGAGCCTTGACCCCGAGCTATTCCACCAGCATTGGCATTTATATAGTGTGTCTGCTCCACCAATCAATCCTCTCCTTCTACTCCAAGATCCTCTACAGGTTCGACGACGAGGGCGTCCACGAGGAGCGAGAAACTTCATTAGCCAGTCAACCACTCAGCAAGCCACCCAGCAGAGCATCTAGGATATCCTCTCTTCGCCGGATTCCCTCACTTAGGATCGATCCACCCGGCGAGAACCATCAGCATTCGAGCACGTACTATCGTAGGAACGTGGACGTGGACGTGGACGTGGACGTGGACGTGGCCGAGGACGTGGAAGGGGACGTGGAAGGGGACGTGGACGTGGAACAAGCAGTGGTGAACCTAGCAGTGGTGAACCTGCCAGTAGCCAAGGACGTGGAAGGGGACGTGAGGGTGCCTAAGAAGCAGGATGATCAATATGTAGATTTTTAAGGCAGGAATCAGGCAGAATGTACGATTTTTTCTCATTAAAATGCAGGGTTTTTTACTATGTAAACCAGAATTATATGGTGGTGGCAGAATATATGGCAGAAAAGTCCGTAGTGGCAGAAATGGATGGCAGTATTCAGTGTCGCACCCGATCGGGAAGGCGGTAAAACTGTGCACCTAAAATTTCAGGCAGGGGGGGTGAGATTATCCAAAGGGGGGTGTAATTAACAATACCCTATTTATATTATGTTGGGTATTATTTTCGTATTCTTCTTAAATTGGAGATTGGAACCAAGGGGTCTAGGTGCTCTGGGGCGGGTTTCGATATTATTATTAATCTAACCCTAACTGCCTCAGGGGCTGGGGCTTACACGGGGTTACAAACAGCTGCCTAGTTAGTATGTACTTTGTACACTAATGTCCTCAGCCCTTTTTTTTACTGCCCGCTTGGGCCCTTCCCTAAACCAAACAGCATATGAGATCCTCTCGTGACAGTCTGCAGCTCGATTAGTGACCCAGCTTTGAGTGGCTATTCGTTATTAGCCAGTACATATTGAAGGTGGGTGGAGATGTCCGTCCAACTGACGGATGTGCGTCCCACACTGTTGCCAAATAGTATAGTGGCATTGCTAGCTTCCTTTGTTGAAGGGAGCCTAGCTCTTACGGTGAATCTTACTAGACTAGCAATAAACCCAATCAGCCAGTGAGAGGAGCCACACCCACTGTGAAGGTGGCAATGTCCCTCGGAACCTGTATCCTCATCCCACTGTACAATATACTCCGTACCCTGGTCTTCTTTCTCTTTCCTTGTTTCGCTTTGTTTTGTTTTTCTTTTTGACGTATATATCCATATATCACGTATATTCCTGTAATGCATGTCGTCAGAAAATATCTTCACACTGATCTTTGTGGAGAGGTCTTCCATGCAGGGTAAAGGCAGCCAGTATCAATAGTCTCAATTGCAAGACCGAGCACCGTCAGGCACAGCCCCACTGTTCAACCCGGACCCGAAAGGATCACGTTGTATGTATCAAATCAAGCCCAACCCGGGTTCATCCTAGAGCGGTTTTGATCTATCGACTATGTCGGAAAGGCCAATTGGGAACAGGAGAAAGGGGTACGGAGTACATACTCTGTAGATCTCTTCTTTTTTTTGGATCTGCATAACATCAATTGATGCGGGTACGGGAATGTCACTTGATATATGTATGTACTTAGTAGCCTATAGGTTGCCTAGTCTGCTGGAATCCGGGATTTGCATACATATCCCGGTACGCACCGGGGATTTTCTCTTTACAGTATCGGTTATGTTTAAAGCCTTTGAGAGAGCTGTTGCATTCGATATACAACATAGTCTTATTAGTCTTTTTTCTTTGTATTCTGACTTTCTGTTCCTTTGATAGAAACCACACGAATCTCGCCCGTTGGGCGTTTGTGGGATGGAACGGCCCGGTTCGACAGCTGTCAATTCTGCATACGCTCGAGCTTTCTTTCATAAGCGCTAACCCTCGTCGTGGATAGCTTCAGGGAGCAATGCGACACAGAACAATTGCTTGACCGCTTCTTGGGTCGGTCCATTGTCTGTTGTCATCCTTATCCTCGGGTCCAGTTTCCCATCATGGAGGCGGCCAAAATTCCTCACCTGTTTGCTTTTTCACAGTAAAAGGACATTCGCATCCGGGCCGGCCACTCATTATATTGGCTGCTTCGAAGCACCGGGAGTTGAATGAATCGCAGCGGCCACGTACTTTACATATGCGTTACGTACTTAGTAAAACAATGGAAGTAGAGGGATTGATCTTCATTGGCACAAATTTAGGGGCTTCTTTCGCTATATATTGAGCTAGTGTAGACTGGGTGGTACTAGATCTCCTTTAGGGAGACGATTTATTGTTCTGTCACATGTTAGCTCATGTTGTATGTTGACTGATAGTAATTACAAGATCGTCCCAGGATCATGCTATATTTTACTTTTGTTTGAACCTTAAAGTTAAGTTGAAATCCTTCCCATGTAGTACATGTACTTACATACCACAAGTTAGTCATGAATTCAGTGTATCTTCAACCAATCTCATCTGCAGCTTCGAGGAGGTCAAGGCACAAAGCGTGCAGGATGAAGCTCCTGCCTGAAAGAGCAGTTCAAGATATCGGCAATCAAGAATAATTATGCCACTATACGGAGTATAGTATTATAATTCTTTTATTCTATTGATTTCCGATCGAGTGTAACAAGAACCATTTATTTTGTTTGAAATTCCCGTGCCCCGTAGATATATTCAGATCCGGCTAACGTTACGTGTGGATTGGAGTGATTATTTTGCAGACAACACGTTTGGGCAATAGTTCCTCGAACTAGATGAGGTATTCTACAGTAAAGGGCCTGAGAGCCTTGCCAACAAGCGGTGTTAGTTAACCCTAAACCTAACGCATGACTGGTCAGGGTCTCAATCTGCTGAAGAGCCAAACTCCGCGGACAAAGGAGCCCCCACAATGACATAACACAACTTTTTATGGACGTCTATAGTAGTAATCAACAGTAAAGACACATTTTTCAGCTATGCTTCCGAGGTTACGAGGAGCTGTTGCTTAGCGAAGAAGACCACTGCTTTACTAACTAGATCTCGACCAATTCATAGAATAAGCATTGAATTTACAGCCTACACTATAGAGTTGCTTATGGCATAGATAATGTCCTCTATCTATTTATGTTGACATTGGAAGATCGGTATAATAGAAGTGATTTGCGACCTTGGAACTTGGTATTTCGAATTTTAGTCCTTGTTGCGAGAACTATTGGGACTATTGGGACTCTGTGATTCCGTGTCTTTACTACTTTGGTGGCGGACTATCCATTGCCTTAAAGCTTGGCTATGAACTTTCGGTATAGTGACCACCGAATCTCTGATTCTTGAGCTTCCAAGGTGAGTTGAAAAACCAAAGAAGCATGTAAGATAGATAGCAAGAATGGTGCATGTTCTTCTCTTTATGCTGCAGACAGCGTTGAGATAGAAATACTATTTTATTAGCAAAAGACGGAATGGACCAAACCCTTGAATTTTTTTATAACAGTCCTTGATTGAGAGAAAAAAGATAGTTGGACTTCTGTTAAATGGGTAGTTAGCTATGCTCTACATGTTCACGATATATAGACCCCTACATTGATGCAACAAGGGCTGTGAGAAAGCCTGAGCTATCAGGCACCACACAGACCCGCAGCTAATATTTCAATTGCAGGGAAATGTCCACCTAGGGGGGCTATACGGAGTACTGAGTTGTGAGTTGACCTGACTTGGCCACTTCTTTTATTCACATCCGTAAAAACAAGGCCTAGATCAATTGAAGAGACCATGTGGGGTCCAAATCCCGCGTAGAATGCACATGCAATGAAGGGTACTAGCGCAGCTATAAATGAGATCGACACCTCAGTATACTTCAGCCCTGGAGACTAGGCGAATTACACTCGGCTACGGTGGCCAACATAGAGAACGCCATTGTTTTAACCAGCGACAACTACGTTTTGTCTGAGCCTTGAGGGCGTCTATACCTGATGCAGATCAACAAGAGATGTTGTTGGCCTGAAAGATATTGCACAACCCCATCATAGACTTACCCAAATGGGTCATCACAGCTAGATATCGGGTGCCACGATTGCTGGCCGGAATAGACACGATATGTACGAAACTTCCATCCAGGAAGCAGATTCAAGGCACCATGGAGATAATTTCAGACAACTTGATTCGACATGTCAGGGAATCTCTCATGAAGGTAAATGAAATTGATTCATTTGCTTAGCCACGAGCCTTTTTTGGACTCGCGTGCTAGCTGTTCCTGTTCATCTTTAATATTTTAAGAGAACCATTCCCAGCCGTTTTTCCCATAACGTTCGCTCCACCGTAAAAGGACAACACCGACAAAAAGCACGCTTAGCGCTTGGCGGCCTTCTGCTGGGACTCCTTGAGGACCTTCTTGACGATCTTCTGCTCCTCAATCAGGAAGGCACGCACAATGCGGTCCTTGACACAGCCAGCGCAGCGAGAGCCACCGTAGGCACGGCTGACATTCTTCTTGGGGCGCGAGATCTGAGAGTACTCGCGGGGACGGAGGGCAGGGATCTGTGAAAAAAAAAAAAAAAGTTAGTCGATCCGACTCCAAAGATTCAGCGAGACGGTCGTATGGAGATTGTAGCGTTTCGGTTGGCCATTCGTTCGCACACCCGTCCATCGAGACAGAGTTTTTTTCAAGTCGTTCGGTTGGCCCACACGCAATCGCACACATCCCACACAACCGTTCAAAAATGCATCAGGGACGCCTGGGGAGTACTCACACCGGGGAGCTTGATGCCGCAGTCACCGCACTTGGGAGCAGTGCCCTTCTTCTTCAAGTGAAGGTAACGGAGCTCGCCGCCGGGGGTCTTGATGATGCGAACCTTGTTGGACCGCGTGTTGTACCTATTGAAAGCAAAAAATTCGTCAACAACTCGTTCGAAAAGGTGATAGCCATCCCGCTACTCGAATCGTCGTATAGATCACGGTGGTGCGAGGGAGTGGCCTTTAAGGGAATTTTGAAACGTACGGGTTCCGGCGGCGCTGGAAATCGAGAAGAGTCAGATCAATAATTTTCCAGTCGGAATTTTCTCATAGAACTCACGTATTGCAGTCTGTTGTTGGTCATCTTGACTGTACTTGAACTGGTCAAGGGCGGCAGTTGTCGGAGTTGTCGTGAAGCAGAGTGAAATATGTCGAGATGGGTTTGTGTGGGTTTCTGCTTCAGCCGACGCTAGCGCAGATTTGGCGAGGTTGCGCTAGTCCCAATTCGGAATAGTGCAAGTCGGAGCCGCCACTTCTCAAAGTTCGACGGAGACAGGAGCAGAGATAGTCACATCGCGTAGGGGATCGTGGATCTCTATCTTTGTCGCGTTTGCATCTTAATCTTCCATCTCCCTATCACCCAGCTCTTTTCTTTCAGTTGTATTTCCTTTTTACTAGCTGGAAGTCTTGCTACACATGACCTCCAACCTGGCTTGACGCGACTTGGAACCAACACAACCTCTACGAGGGAGGGTTCCATCCATCAATCACCATCATGGCATCATTGCCTCCTCCCCCTCCTCCTCCCCCGGGATGGGGTGCAGCTCCTCCTTCTATGCCAATGGCGCCGCCGCCCCCGGGCTACCAGCCGCCGGCCGACCCGAATGTCGCAAAATTTGCGCAGAAGAAAAATGAATGGCTGCGCACGCAACGCAATCGGTTCGGCGAGAAGCGCAAAGCAGGATTTGTCGAAACACAAAAGGCTGATATGCCACCAGAGCATCTGCGAAAGATTGTGCGAGATATTGGCGATGTTTCGCAGAAGAAATTTACCAACGAGAAGCGGAGCTACCTCGGTGCGCTCAAATTCATGCCACATGCCGTTCTCAAGCTATTGGAAAACATGCCCATGCCTTGGGAGTCAGCAAGAGAGGTTAAGGTGCTTTATCACGTCAATGGCTGCCTGACTCTAGTCAATGAGACACCGCGTGTCATCGAGCCTGTCTTCCACGCCCAATGGGCAACGATGTGGATGTGCATGCGTCGGGAGAAAAGTGACCGAAGACACTTCAAGCGGATGCGTTTCCCCCATTTGACGACGAGGAACCACCTCTTTCGTGGTCCGAAAACATTGAAGATGTTGAACCGTTAGAGCCCATTCAGATGGAACTGGATGATGCCGAAGATGCGGCAGTTTATGAGTGGCTCTACGACCACCGCCCCCTTCTCGATACCCCCCACGTGAACGGTCCGAGCTACAAAAAATGGAATTTGTCTCTTCCCCAAATGGCAACTCTCCATCGGCTCAGTCACCAAATTCTAAGTGATGTCGTTGACCAGAACTACTACCACATGTTCGACTTGAACAGCTTCTTCACAGCCAAGGCCCTTAACGTCGCCATTCCTGGTGGACCCCGTTTCGAGCCTTTGTACAAAGATATCGATCCCAATGACGAAGATTTCAGCGAGTTCAACGCCATTGACCGCATCATCTTCCGTGCCCCGATTCGAACTGAGTACCGGGTCACCTTCCCTTTCCTCTACAATACCCTGCCTCGAAGCGTCAAGGTCGCTTGGTACTCCCATCCCCAGGTGGTCTACGTCCGCACCGAGGATCCTAACCTGCCGGCCTTCTATTTCGATCCCGTCATCAACCCGATCTCCTCCCGCTCCGTCGCGCCTAAAAATATCACCGTCAGCCATGAAGATGAAATCTTCGGGCCTGGCAATAATGAAGACGACGAATTTGAGCTTCCGGGTGAGGTCGAGCCCTTCTTTGACGACGAAGAACTTTACACATCCGACACCGCGTCCGCCATCGCCCTATGGTGGGCCCCTCACCCATTCGATAAGAGATCTGGCAAGATGGTTCGTGCACAGGATGTGCCATTGGTCAAGCAATGGTACTTGGAACACTGTCCACAGGGTCAGCCTGTCAAAGTCCGAGTCTCGTACCAGAAGATGCTCAAGACCTACGTTCTCAACGAATTGCACAAGGGCACACCCAAGGCCCACAGCAAGCAGAATCTCATGAAGACTCTCAAAACAACGAAGTTCTTCCAGCAAACAACGATCGACTGGGTTGAGGCCGGTTTGCAAGTTTGTCGCCAGGGTTTCAACATGCTGAACCTGCTGATTCACCGCAAGAATCTGACTTATCTCCATCTTGATTACAACTTCAACCTGAAGCCTGTTAAGACATTGACCACCAAGGAGCGCAAGAAGTCTCGCTTCGGAAATGCTTTCCACTTGATGCGTGAAATTCTCCGGTTGACTAAGCTCATCGTCGATGCTCAAGTCCAATACCGTTTGGGTAACATCGATGCCTTCCAACTCGCAGATGGTATTCTTTATGCCTTTAACCACGTGGGCCAGCTTACCGGTATGTATCGGTACAAGTACAAGCTTATGCACCAGATCCGTTCCTGCAAGGATCTTAAGCATTTGATTTACTACCGATTTAACTCCGGCCCGGTTGGTAAGGGCCCTGGATGCGGTTTCTGGGCGCCCGCTTGGCGAGTTTGGCTTTTCTTCATGCGTGGTATTATTCCCCTGCTTGAGCGCTGGCTCGGAAATTTGCTTTCTCGTCAGTTCGAGGGTCGTCACAGCAAGGGTGTTGCCAAAACGGTCACCAAGCAGCGTGTTGAATCTCATTTCGATCTTGAATTGCGTGCCTCGGTCATGGCCGATCTTATGGACATGATGCCCGAGGGTATCAAGCAAAACAAGGTCAACGTGGTTTTGCAACATCTATCAGAGGCCTGGAGATGTTGGAAGAGTAACATTCCATGGAAGGTTCCCGGCCTGCCCGCACCAATTGAGAACATCATTCTTCGTTACGTCAAAAGCAAGGCCGACTGGTGGATCTCAGTCGCTCATTATAACCGAGAGAGAATTCGCCGTGGTGCCACAGTTGACAAGACTGTCGCAAAGAAGAACCTTGGTCGACTCACGCGTCTCTGGCTCAAATCCGAGCAAGAGCGTCAGCACAACTATTTGAAGGACGGCCCTTACGTTTCGTCTGAAGAGGCGGTTGCAATTTACACCACCATGGTTCATTGGTTGGAGTCTCGCAAGTTCTCCCCAATTCCCTTCCCCAGTGTTTCCTACAAGCACGACACCAAAATTCTGATCCTTGCACTCGAGCGGCTGCGCGAGTCGTACTCCGTGAAGGGAAGATTGAATCAAACTCAACGAGAGGAATTGGCTCTTATTGAACAGGCCTATGATTCCCCCGGCACAACCTTGGCGAGAATCAAGCGATTCCTCCTGACACAGAGAGCGTTCAAGGAGGTCAAGATTGACATGAATGATAACTACAACAACATCAATCCTGTCTACGATATTGAGCCTATCGAAAAGATCACCGACGCTTATTTGGATCAGTACCTTTGGTACCAGGCGGAGCAGCGCCATCTCTTCCCTGCTTGGATCAAGCCCTCCGACTCTGAGGTTCCTCCTCTACTCACATACAAGTGGACACAGGGCATCAACAACCTGTCCAATGTCTGGGAGACTGCCGAAGGCGAGACGAACGTGATGATCGAGACTGAGCTATCCAAGGTCTATGAGAAGATTGATATCACTCTGCTGAACCGCCTGCTCCGTTTGATCATGGACCACAACCTTGCTGACTACATCACCTCGAAGAACAATGTCCAGCTCAGCTACAAGGACATGAACCACACCAACAGCTATGGACTGATTCGCGGTCTCCAATTCTCGGGCTTCGTGTTCCAGTACTACGGCTTGATGATCGATTTGTTGCTCCTTGGTTTGCAGAGAGCCAGTGAAATGGCCGGCCCTCCCGGAAGTCCCAACGATTTCTTGCAATTCAGAGATCGTGCCACTGAGACAAGGCACCCCATCCGTCTGTACACCCGTTACGTCGACAAGATCTGGGTCTTCTTCCGATTCCAGGCCGATGACTCCCGTGACTTGATTCAGCGGTTCTTGACCGAGAATCCTGACCCTAACTTCGAGAACGTCATTGGCTACAAGAATAAGAAGTGCTGGCCTCGCGATTGTCGTATGCGTTTGATGCGCCATGATGTCAACCTTGGTCGTGCTGTTTTCTGGGACATGAAGAACCGCCTGCCAAGATCCATCACCACCATTGACTGGGATGATACATTCGCAAGCGTGTATAGTAAAGACAACCCCAACTTGCTGTTCTCGATGAATGGATTCGAAGTCCGCATTCTCCCCAAGATGCGGAATATGAACGAGGAGTTCTCGGTCAAAGACAGTGTCTGGTCCCTGGTTGACAACTCCACCAAGGAACGTACGGCACATGCCTTCCTCCAGGTCACTGAAGAGGATGTTCAAAAGTTCAATAACCGTATCCGACAAATCCTTATGTCCTCTGGTTCGACCACATTCACCAAGATTGCCAACAAGTGGAACACTGCTCTAATTGCTCTTTTCACTTACTACCGTGAGGCTGCTGTGTCGACTGTCAACCTTCTTGATACCATCGTGAAATGTGAAACGAAGATCCAGACTCGGGTCAAGATTGGTCTGAACTCTAAGATGCCATCTCGTTTCCCTCCGGCAGTCTTCTACACCCCCAAGGAGCTTGGAGGTCTTGGTATGATCTCAGGATCTCATATCCTCATCCCCACCAGTGATAAGCGCTGGTCCAAGCAGACTGACACTGGTATTACCCACTTCCGAGCGGGTATGTCTCATGACGAGGAGACATTGATTCCGAATATCTTCCGATACATCATTCCCTGGGAAGCCGAATTTATTGACTCCCAGCGTGTTTGGATGGAATACTCGCAAAAGCGTATGGAAGCCCAGCAGCAGAACCGCCGCCTGACATTGGAGGATCTAGAGGACAGCTGGGATCGTGGTCTTCCCCGTATTAACACGCTCTTCCAGAAGGATCGAAGCACCCTCAGCTTCGACAAGGGATTCCGACTCCGTGCTGAGTTCAAGCAATACCAGCTGATGAAGAGCAATCCGTTCTGGTGGACTAGCCAGCGACACGACGGTAAACTCTGGAACCTCAATGCCTACCGCACTGATGTTATCCAAGCATTGGGTGGTGTCGAAACAATTCTCGAGCACACCTTGTTCAAGGCAACAGCTTTCCCATCCTGGGAAGGTTTGTTCTGGGAAAAAGCGAGTGGTTTCGAAGAAAGTATGAAGTTCAAGAAGCTCACCAACGCTCAACGGTCCGGTTTGAACCAGATTCCCAACCGTCGATTCACTCTCTGGTGGTCGCCGACCATCAACCGCGCCAACGTCTACGTTGGTTTCCAGGTGCAACTTGATTTGACTGGTATCTTCTTGCACGGCAAGATTCCCACCCTGAAAATTTCGTTGATCCAGATTTTCCGTGCCCATCTGTGGCAGAAGATTCACGAATCGGTGGTTATGGATTTGTGTCAAGTCCTGGATCAGGAGTTGGAACAGCTTGGTATCGAGGCCGTTCAAAAGGAGACTATTCACCCACGTAAATCCTACAAGATGAACAGCTCTTGTGCGGATATTCTGCTCTTCGCGACGAACAAATGGAATGTCACCCGACCTTCGCTTGTATTCGATACCAAGGACGTCTACGAGCCAACCACGACAAACAAGTTCTGGATCGACGTGCAGCTTAGATACGGCGACTACGATTCTCACGACATTGAGCGGTACGTTCGTGCTAAGTACCTCGATTACACCACGGACAGCATGAGTATCTATCCTTCCGCCACTGGGTTGATGATTGGCGTTGATCTTGCATACAACCTCTTCTCGGCTTACGGACAGTACTTCCCAGGCCTCAAGACTCTGGTTCAGCAGGCTATGGCTAAGATCATGAAGGCTAACCCAGCTTTGTATGTCTTACGTGAGCGTATCCGCAAGGGTCTCCAGCTGTATGCCTCGGAGAGCAGCCAAGAGTTCCTCAATTCTCAGAACTACTCTGAGCTCTTCAGCCCGCAGATTCAGCTCTTTATCGATGACACTAACGTCTACCGCGTTACGATCCACAAGACCTTTGAGGGTAACTTGACAACAAAGCCCATTAACGGAGCAATCTTCATCTTCAACCCTCGGACTGGACAATTGTTCCTGAAGATCATCCATACCAGTGTCTGGGCAGGCCAAAAGCGTCTGGGTCAGTTGGCCAAGTGGAAGACAGCCGAAGAAGTTGCAGCCCTCATTCGGTCTCTCCCCGTGGAAGAGCAACCGAAGCAGCTCATTGTCACCCGTAAGGGTCTTCTTGACCCTCTCGAGGTCCACCTGCTCGATTTCCCTAACATCTCCATTCGTGCCTCTGAGCTCCAGCTGCCCTTCCAGGCCGCCATGAAGGTCGAGAAACTGGCCGATATGATTCTCCGTGCAACCGAGCCTCAGATGGTACTTTTCAACTTGTATGATGAGTGGCTCAAGTCTATCTCCCCGTACACTGCCTTTTCTCGACTCATCCTCATTCTCCGGGCTCTTCACGTCAATATCGACAAAGCCAAGATCATCCTTCGGCCCGATAAGACCGTTATCACTCAAGAACACCACATCTGGCCATCCCTGTCTGATGAGGACTGGATCAAGGTCGAAGTGCAATTGCGTGATCTGATCTTGAATGACTATGGCAAGAAGAACAACGTCAACGTGCAGAGCTTGACCAGTAGTGAAGTTCGTGATATCATCCTGGGTATGGAGATTAGTGCGCCTTCTCTGCAGCGACAACAGGCGGCGGAGATCGAGAAGCAGCAAGAAGAGCAGAAGCAGCTCACTGCTGTGACGACCAAGACTCAGAACGCTCGTGGTGAGGACATCATCGTCACTACTACGTCTCAGTACGAACAGCAATCATTTGCATCTAAGACAGAGTGGCGTACTCGTGCGATTGCGACCTCCAACCTCCGGACGAGGTCCAACAACATCTATGTCTCCTCTGACGACATTCGGGACGAGGGCTACACCTACATCATGCCCAAGAACGTCCTCAAGCGATTCATCACCATCGCCGATCTCCGAGTGCAGGTCACGGGTTACATATACGGTAGCTCTCCCCCAGACAATGACCAGGTCAAAGAGGTCCGCACCATTGTCATGATTCCACAAGTGGGTAACACCCGGGACGTCCAGCTGCCACACCAATTGCCGCAGCACGATTATCTCCAAAATTTGGAGCCACTCGGTATCATCCATACGGTCTCTGGCAATGAGCCGCCGTACATGTCTGCGGCAGATGTCACACATCACGCACGCCTCATGAACGCCCATCCTTCGTGGGATAAGAGGACTGTGACCATGACCGTTTCTTTCACTCCTGGATCCGTTTCGCTTGCCGCCTGGGGTCTCACTCCGGCGGGCTACAAGTGGGGCGCAGAGAACAAGGACACAACCTCGGATCAGCCCCAAGGCTTCTCCACCAACATGGGTGAGAAATGTCAGCTGCTACTCAGTGACAAGATCCGCGGCTATTTCCTTGTGCCTGAGGATAATGTCTGGAACTATAGCTTTATGGGCAGCTCCTTTGGTAGCGTGGAGAAGAGACCTATCTACGTCAAGATCGACACCCCGCTTAAGTTCTACGATGACCAACACCGTCCCCTGCACTTCCAAAACTTCGCCGAGCTCGAAGACATCTGGGTTGACCGGTCTGACAACTTTGCGTAAACATGTGCAGCTGATCAGGCGCAAAATCTCTTTTTCTTTTTCCAAGCGTTCCCATTTTTTCTATCTTGTTTTTTTTTTCATCTCGTTTGGGTTCTTGTATCACGACAACCATAATTCATGTATTGCAGCGAGAACCTAGGAAAAAGGCCAGTGTGGATTTTTTTTGTACAGTACGAGTTTCCTTTTGCGAATACATTTCCTGTTCACTTCCACTTTTCATTTTATTCTTTAATAAGTCCCCTGTAAGTATACGAGGATGCGGTTGGCTTCGGAATGCACTAGTTTGCATCGCCACCTTCCCTATGAAGATTGCCGCGATGTATGTGAAGGCCTGAGCAGGAGCCCAATAGAACTATAGACATATCAGCCGAAGGCCCGAAGGCTAGAAATGGAAAAGAAAAAAATATATATATCTGTATTGAAATCGAGGTCTGCCTAAGCTCTCCGCTTTGATGCATCAGACCTTTCTATTGACAGATGACGGCCCGCATGCAGCTAGCACACGTCGGCAGTCCTTCCGAATCACATCTCCTGATCTACCAAATCCCAATAGAAAATAAAGGGCTGTGAGATTGTATGAAAGTGTGTGAGAGTGTGGCTGAAAAGTCAATGTGATCCAACTTAACCCTCATCTCCTCCAATAATCTCTTTCGATCTTTTAGAATGTCTTTGTTCCTACTTTATAGAACTCTATCAAGTCCAAACGCCAATCTCGTTTTAAGGTCTCTGTTTCATCCCCCTGTTCTCTTGTTCTGTTCTATTGGACATCTGTGATTGACTCCCGCAGGCCTTGGCTCCGAAGAAACCCGGTGCAATAGAATAGCTCATCGCTTACTTGACTAGCCTATATTGTATCAATCAGCCGATACAATATGTCCGCCTCTTTTCCAGGACGCACTTGCATGGAAGATCGGTCCGACGAATGAGCTTGATTTGCCATGTCCCCGAGCGAAATCTGACAGGCTTCACTTGTCTGCCGTGTCTTTTTCTTTTGTCATGGCTCTTGGTTCTTGGCCCTAGACTCACCCTGGTCCCAAATTTTGCGTTTGGTGTTTACCTCTATTAATAGCCGCGTTGCCAACAATACTTTTGGGGGGGGGGGGGGGGGGGGGGGGGGTTGTGTTCTACCGCTTCGAAGGTATTTTGGAACCCCTCCCCTTGACGTTGGGAGTCTGTGCGAAAGCAAAGGAACAAAAATACCTATCCCATGGAGGCCGGAAAGATGGGATACAACCTGCCTATCGCGAAAAACTTGACTATGATGATTCAGAATCCTCTTGCAGTCCGGTCCACTGGAGACTGATGGAATCAGCCCGGCAACGCACGATCCAACTTGGTCACCGGCACACGGTTGGATTTCTCTCAGGAGTTCTCCAGATATTGTTATAGATATGTCCATCTCTTCATTTTTCGTTCGCTCATAATCTAGGAAAAAATCTTTGTTATTTACCGTACTATATACATTATGTATGACCGATTCTTCTGCAAGACCTGCCTACAATTTGACCCAAAGTAACCGTATATATCCTTTTCTGCACGTCAACACATTGAGGCATTTCTCTTTTTTGTTGCGATTACATACACAGGCAAGTTTCTCTTCGCATCGTCCTCCTATGCAACAGCAGAGGCCCCTTTTTTTCGTTTGCCTTCCAACTCGAGAGAGACAGGTGGGAAATAAACACGCCCTGAAATCGTTCATCTCCCAACAGCCACTCAAGTCACTTGCTGGGGCTGCAGGCCCTGGTGTTGTTTATATATGTCTGCAACACCAGCCAACCCTTATCGAGGCTTCATGGTTAACTACGCTCCTCATGACAGTGGTAAAGATGCGAACCGGGAGGATATCATTTCCTACGGTGCAGCGCAGTTGCTCCAAGATAGGCCTACTGAAATTCGCTACCACTCTGATACAACCCAGCCACCCTTTGGGTCTCCATCGACTTTTATCACGAACCACTCGGCCACACGCCAGCCGGGCTCGCATTACAACACACACGGTTATAGACTCTCCCCAATCCAGGGTAGCAGAAAACGACGACGTACCGACAATGAGCCTGAGGCCAATGAAGACACTGATCACAATTATGGGTACCGATCTAGTTTGCAGAATCTACCCATGGGTGACCCATCGGGTCCAGGAGGCGAATCGACCGACCTGTCGTACGCTGATCATGTCGGCCCTTCGTCTTCCCATCAGACATCGAACCAGGACTACCTTCAGTCTGCTTTTCCGCAACAACAACATCACCACCATCGGCTACCATCCCAAGCATTGGTGGGTACGACCTCTGCTGATCAGGGCTCTGAACAATACCTGCCGCAAATCGACCGTAGCTTCATGAACCTTCCAGGCGTGCCTACACCATACCCTGAGCCGAAAGCACCAAAGACCAGATTCGGGCACAAAGAAGATGAGATGTTGATAGCTCTGAAGGAGCAATGGAAGTTTTCCTGGAGGCAGATTGAGTGCTTCTTTCCAGGACGAAAACAACAAACATTGCAAGTCCGTTACTGTACCAAATTGAAGGAAAAAGACGTGGTTTGGGATGATGCTTTGGTATGTTTATCCCCACCCAACTAAGAAACTGGGATTGTGCTAAGTCCTAGGATAGGATCAGAAACTGAAAAAGGCGTTAGAGGACTATGAGGACAACAAATGGGCGCACATTTCCCGGAAGCTTGGACCTGGTATACCACCCGCAGCGTGTAAGCTGAGAGCGGAAGAGCTTGAATGATGTTGGAGTGTCTGTTTTGCTGGTTTAGAGGAACTTGTTTATTATACAGTGACTTATAGTGCGTGTGGCGTAAGTTATTCTAAGGTTGTTTTCCAAAATGTATCATGCCACCCGGTGCCCTACACAGAGAAGCCCTAGGTGTTCCAAAAAGGATATTCTGCCGCTCGGAGATGACCTCGTAGGCCGTCGTACAGAGCTCCTGCCAATCAGAAAGGCTGACTCATCATCAATCGCGGTCCTATTGGATGTCCCAGCCAGCCAATTACAGGCGGTCGGACCAAAGCGGCTTCAAACTCGCCCAACCTCAAACCTCCAAACTCACTCTCCTGCCCCAAACGCCCCGCGTCATCCACCCCATCACCTCCAGGACAATGCTCCTCCAACGTACAGCCTCCGCCCTCGCAAGGCGCTCGCCTGCCCGCGCTTTCACCCTCGCCCAGCGCCCCTTCTCTTCCTCCATCGTTCGCTGTACGTAACTCCTCAAATGGCCTGATCCGACCTTCGCACAACTGCTCCAATCCCAGCGCACCCCGACCACAAGGGGTGTTTTACACTCAATTGGTCTGATCTGTTTATTATGATAACCAGCTAATGCGAAACTTTTTATAGCCAACGAGAAGAAGTGGACTCCCAAGGAGGAGGGCAAGATTCTGGCCTTCGATCGTTAGTGCTTTACCCGACCCCATAGCAGTCAATTGCTTTTCTTCCGGCCTCTGCGGTTCGAGAAATATTCATATAGTCGCCCGCTCGAGAATCCGCGTGCAATTGAACGCTCTGGAACCTCGGGTGCCGGCCATGCGGATACTTTTCCCGAGCCACGGGCCAGGCTTGTCATTCTACATCAAGTGGATAACTACAAGAATATCTACAAAAAAGCAATACTGACCTATTTCTCTTGTCGCTATATAGAGATCAAGGGCGAGAGCGACCTCCTCGCTCCGGGTGCCAAGCCCGGTACAATTCCCACCGATATCGAACAGGCCACCGGTCTTGAGCGTCTGGAACTCATCGGAAAGATGCAGGGCATTGACATCTTCGACATGCGTCCCCTTGATGCCTCCCGCAAGGGTATGACTCCTTTGACATCTCCCTTAACTTCCCATCGCAATTCCTGATCGAATGACCAAATACCGCCGCGGAATCATATGATCGTTACTTTCGGACGAAAACCGAGACATTAGCTGACCAAATGGGTGGATTTATACAGGCTCCCTCGAAGACCCCATCATCGTCAACGGCGCTGGTGATGAGCAGTACGCCGGTTGCACCGGTTTCCCCGCAGACTCTCACCAGGTCAACTGGCTGACTGTATGACCGCCCCATCCAAGCCCAACCGGGCTAATATTCCCAGCTCTAGAGACTGACTCTACGCCTTTTAGGTCTCCCGCGAGCGCCCAATCGAGCGTTGCCTCGAGTGCGGCAATGTGGTCAAGCTGAACTACATTGGACCCGAGGAGGACCCCCACTCCCGTATGTTTCCAGCTCTCTTTTTTGCCTATAGTATATGATAACCTGTTGGTTGTGCTAACATTATCGCTCTCAGACGACCACGACCACGGTCACCACCACCCCCCTCACGTCGAGCCCAAGACCTTCGCCGACTTCGTCAAGCCCGACTACTGGTACCGGTAAATCTTTAATGCCGATTTTCTTTGGTTATTGCTTGGAAATCCCAATACAGTGTGAACATTATACTGCGTGTCTGTCTCTGTTCTGTCTCCGTGACTCCTCCGTCTCTTTTGTACTATAGTGCTCTAGTAGATGAAATGAGAGTGTTGGTGGGGTTCTTACTTTTGACCTGTTATTGTCTGAATGGGTTTGTAGTTGCTATGAGATGGGATATCACTGGTGGTCTTGTTAGTAAAAGATTCTTTAGTACTGGTGTTAGGAGTACTAGTATCAAATGGAAAAAAAAAAAGAGATATTACTTTCAAGTCTATCCATATATCACTTTTGATCTAATGTACATGTATGTATATAGAAAAATGCGGTAGTATAAGCAAAGCCTCAACATCCCAGGAAGTATACTATGAAACGTCGTGCAGAGCTTCGTCCAAAAAGAAGGTCACTCATATACTTAGACATGACATCATATATCAGCCAATGCCTATCGACCAATGAAACGAAGTTCGACGAATCTGAGAGGAGGGTAAACAAGCGCAGTCCAACAGAACCCGACGTAAATTCCCATCTAGCGAGTAATTAGTTAGGATCAAAGACACACATGACGGGAAGTGGGATTCAACTTACATCAGCACCGTATTCACCGACCAATTTCGCAATGGGTCCGATGTACCACACCTGCGCCATACACAATACGGCACCAACCCAGCCAATAACAAAGGCAGTGAAAGCCGCAATGCCAATGGGCAGCTTTGACGGATCCCGCCAGATCCCCCAGTTGTACCCAGTGCGGAGGCGGAAGATGAACCGCTCCTCGAGGACAATGGCAATCCAGATGACAACCCAGTAGCCCATCAAAGCGAGGAAATTAGTAAAGATCTCAGAGAGGTTGCTGCGGCCAACTAGCGCGCAGACGGTATAGATAATGACGGCAATGGTGTTCCAGATGACGCGCGGTACTGCCTCGGCGTAACGACCGAGGATCTGGAAGTCGATACCAGCAGAGTAAGTGGGCGCAACGGTATTGGCGATCAGGCCTAGAGCGCAGATCACAGAGCAGAATTTGCCGAAGCCGTGCAGCGGGCCGAATCCTTCGACGATTAGTGCTCCTTGGCCTTGCTCGTAGGCGGCGGAGTACTCTGGGTGTGTAGAGATGCCCGACGCCAGCCCGACGCCAGAGACTAGGGCCATCGTGAAGGAGACAAGGAGACCTGCCAGGCTTAGGCTGAATAGTTTCACCCGAGAGGTGTTTTCGGGGTAGTAGACGAAGAAGTCAGCTGCTAATGGGGCGTAGGTGATGGCGGCGCTCAGACAGATGGAGAAGAAGGAAAGCCTGAGACCATGTTAGCAAACTTGGGCTTCGATTCTTAGGTCTGATATGAAGACTCACCTATTGCCAGCTACTGTCCGGGAATCGCCGACAGAGGTGGTTGACAGGTCAAATTTCACGGATGACACCCCGAAAAGGATAAAGACCACAATTACTTGGGGCAAAAAGGCGAATCTAATGTGAGGCCCGTCAGTGTCTATGTTCCTCAGGGCAATAATCTCTCAAACTAACCGTTCATAGTAGTGGAATACTTGGATGCCGAATGTGGCCACGGCCCAGCTGAGAACTGCGATGATCACGATGCCTATAATATCAGGATTAGTACCACTCTTAATGTATAAAGTTACCGAATTACTTACCGACAGCTACGGACATGCCACCAGGGGAGACAGCAGACAAGATTTGTCCACCAACGACGCAATCGATCAAGCCATATCCAATCATCTGAACAAGGTTCAATAGAACAATGATCTTGCTAGGCCACCATCCCATCGAATACCTTCCAAAAGCCTGATCACCAATTAGCTCTCTCAATCAAATAATAGTCCAACAGATACAATATGTGCTACTCACCAATGTCCGGATCCCGGAAACGGGCCCCCATGTGGCCATCCAAGAGGAGACGACGGAACCAACTAAGGCACCAAAGACAGCACAAAGGGCCGAGTCCCGGAAGCTGAGACCATACACGGCAGGCCCTAACATCCCGAGGGTAATGTTATTGGGTGCAAGGTTGATGGAGATCCAAAGCAAGAAGACTTGCAGATACGACATCCACGTGGTGCGCTTCATGCGCTCGTCCACAGCAACTCGTTCGATACCACGCGCTTCCAGGTTATACTCGATAAGCTGATTCTCAAAAGCTCTAATAACGGAGCCCAATCGTGATCCGACGGGATTGCGGCGATTGATCGTGGTCTCGGGGTAGAGTGGCTCATCCTTGTTGGCCACGCCGGGGGTTTCAGGAGCGACTGTCGTCAGGTCTTCTTTGTTGGAGTGCACCGCTAGGGCGGTGATTTCATTTTCCGAAACCATGCTGCGATTGTGTTAGTATCACACCTATTTCCTGAGGAGAGAAAAAGCGCATTGAGTCCTTTCGCTGGAATTACCCAGATCAAGTTTAACCGTATAATCTCAGAACGACAATAGTCGAACACCGGTCTTCATGCAGGAGGCTTGTCCTAGATACCTTGATCGTGAGAGAATGCCACACTACTCGTCTTCATGGTAGCCGTCCCTTGTGGTGCACAGGTTGTGTTACCTTCCGAGAAGAGTCACTATGAACACACTGTAGCGTCAGCGGACTTGGTCAGGCAATCACACAGGACTTAGTTTACCTTGGAGTCAGAGGCTTTTCAACTTCAAAACGAAGTGACAGCAGGTAACAGCAGGTAACCAATTGATGTCAAAAGCATCCAATTTCCAGTGGGGGGGGGAAAAATGGGGGAAGATTTGATTGCCGCGGGGAAAAAAATAAGATCGCCCGCTTTCCGCCTCCATCTTACCTGTGGACATACTAGTTACTACATACTATGTACCTATAGAGGTATGTACTACAACACGGCCATTGGATTTCTGATTTCTGCTTATGCAATTTCCTCATACTGGAATCAGTGGGAATCATATGGTATTGATGGACACAAAAGCGCAAAAAAAAAAACAGCGCTTGTCAAACCAAAAGAGGCAACGCCTTGGGGAAAAACATGGCTGATTGCAAAACAGGATGCGCAGGTGTTCATAGCGCATACCAAGGAAATTCAAGAATAAGATTGAAATAAAGAGATCCAGATCACCAACTCCATCTGCCTTGTAAAATCAGTGGCCTCCAGCGGCCACCGATGAAACTTGCATCGCTCTGGAATTGCAGGGAATCCGGAAGAGAGAATGCCAAATTCATAAAAACGATGCTAAGAAAACATGATCATCACTTCATCAGAGGCGTCGTGGTGGTCAGACGTTCTTGAAATGCTCTTTGGCATACTGTTCGCAGGCCTGTCGGAAAATATCGAGATTAGATGGGATGTACAATGACATGCAGGAAATTCCGATACTCACTTTGGCAGGCTTTCCCACTTTCTGACCGATCACCTTCCACTTGTTCGCCTCGTACTCCTTGATCGCCTCACGAAGTTTCACAGACTGTGCGACGTTAGGGACGGATGCGACAACGGACATTAAAAAAAAAGAAAATCGGGATCATACCTCATCTTCGGCAAATTCCGCGTAGTGCATGTCCTGCGTGAGGTGTTAGTGAGACGAGATGTGGTATTACCAAATTCGCTTGATATTGCGTACCTTATACCAATGCTTCTTGACACTGCCTTCGGTTCGGGTCGGGAAAGTCTGCGACAGGTAAAAAAAAAGCCCAGGTCAGCAACCCATAGTTTCAGCCTATAAAAAGCCGCGCGCGCGCACCTTGGCAATTTCACTCCAACTGCGCCCAGCATCGCGCATTGTCTTAAGCCTTTGCTCCTCCTCTGCGGTCCATGGGGTATTTGTACGTCCTTTTTTCTTGGGCGTAGACTCGACCGTAGGAATGGCACCGGGGTCGTCAATCACACCACCTGCAGGATTCCCTGAGGCTGCCATCATGGCTGACGATCCCGTAGGAGAAGGAGGACGTTTGCGCGAAGCGCCGGGGTTTTGTTGAGGTATAGGAGCAGTCGGAATCGGGATGCCTTCAAAGGTTGGGACGCGGTGAAATGGATGGATCTGTTGTTGAGAAAGCATATGCGGGGGAGCGCTGGTAGTTGCCGACGTCTTGAGGCGTTTAGATGTCGGGGGGGGAACTAATCGGGTAAAGAGTCAGAGAATAGAAGACGCATAAGATGAGATGAGGCAATGTAATAAGAACGCGACCAAGTGCACTTGAATTCCAACCCAGTCTCCCTCCCACAGCTGGAGGCCGGACGGAGATCACAGACGAAGGGACTTACGACATGGTGAAAGACACACGCGGTTTTCAATCACACTGTGCCGATTCATCTGTACATACAAAAAGGCCGCGTAGGGGGGTTAGCTGGATCTGGTACTGGCGCGCCTTGGTCAACTCTCGGGAAGCGTTACACTAAAGACGATGACACAGGCGCATCCCAGGCAGAACCAGATTGACAAAGGTAACAGGGACAATAGGAATAAGTCGCGACACAGAGAAGTCCAAACTCCGACCGGAGTGTTTTAACTCCTATGTGGGTGGGTTGGAAGTCAAAGGGAAGGCTCACAGGTCAAAATCGCATGGTCGAAGCGTCGATTCGGGGACCTCGAATTCTTCCGAATACGGGGAGAACATGAGGCTGGGTGATGGTTTTTGACTTGGAAGGGAAGGCAAGGTTGAGGAGAGGAACCCCCAAGAAAGAAAAAAAGTAGAGACTTTAAAAAAACACAGATAAGGGAGAAAGAGAGAGGGAGTAAGAGAGAGAGAGACAAGGTTACAGAGAAGGGAAAGGAGGAGAGGGAAGTTGTGAGGGAAGGCAGAGAGCGGGGATGGAGTCACCTCATATCACAACAACCAAAGTAATAATAGCACTTGAATTAGAATCTGTTTTTATATGATTTATATTGATTTATATGATTTATATAGTTAACAATAGTTAACATAGGTTCATGTTTATAGTGTTTAAAATGCTTTTGAATGTTTTGATTTGGATCATTCTTCTAATCTCCCCCAAGTGTCAATTTCCCCTACTTGTAACCCCTCTATTACCTCTCTCTATATCTCTGTCACTCTTAAATTCTCCCCTTTATGTTCACTTTTTACTCCTTATATCAAATGTAGACTATTCATGCAATCAAATTAAAATTCAGTGTCGATTCAAATGCGCCTCCAACCACTTCCCCCCTCCGGTGCATTCCACAACCCGTTCTTCCCTGGCCTAGGAACCGATGCCCGGACAGGGGCCCTGTCACAATTTATGACTCGTCCTGTGATCCAATTCGACCGACATCAAGATGCAGAAGCAAAGATAACCACGTCCGGCAGCCTCCATAAGACATTTGGGCCGAAGAGACCCGCGAGTGGCCTGTTCCAGAATCCGGTGACCCGGCGAGATCTCACAACACCGTGCGAGGATGACAGAACACGCCCAATGCGAGTCAACGACACGCCCGAGGGCCTAATTATTACAAAGGCATCCAGTGGCCCGGGGAACTCATCCCGCAATCACCATCATTCAATTGACAGAAGTAGAAGTCTCCGTCCAACCCGAGACTTGGCGGGCTAGATCAGCCACAAGACGGTTTCGTGTGAAGCCACCGGGGTACCATTCCCCTCTCTGCCCCCATGCAGGTCTTTGTTGAGAGCATGCACGGTATGGGGTAGAAGGTCTGGAGGACCCTATGAGCATTTATTTTTTGTCTTAATACCGCGCGGGGTTCATCTAGGGCCTGTATATATTCAAGAAGCCCCAGCCTCTCAGAATCCTGCCGGCATTTTCTTTGTCACACACAGTCCATTCCCCCTGTCAATCTCCAATTGGTAACAATTGACAAAATTGCTGTTGCCCAAAAGCGACCAGGACTACTTAATTTCCTGACATTGTCAGTTGCAATTGACTAGGAGATATCAAGTGGTAATGATCAAGTATCTCTGGGTAGGTTTGAGGATGATGCATGCAAAGGATCAGGTGTGCTTAATGTCTCCTGGTGCGGCATATTCATCAATGCAAAAAGATACTGCCAAGAATCGCTGTTGGTAAATATGACTTGCATCACCCTGTTTTAATAAATAGAAAAGGTCTCTCTGTCAAATCTAGGAATATCAAGTTCCTTGATCAACAAAGCCGAAAAAGATGTGTTTCAACAGGTGGCTCCAATATTCTTGAATTTCTTGAATCTACTCGGCTAAAACAACAAAAGGACTTCTTGAATATGACCAATTCCTTGCTGATTTTACTCGATCAACTGTTTCAATCATTCTACAATGAATTAGGGTGCTTCCTACCAGGCCAAACCTCATTCAAGGTTCTTACTAAATCATTAATCATTACTCCTGGGAACATTAATGGGGCTAATTATGAATATTGGGTACTTCTCACCTGGGTACGTTACAGCGATTACATCTGCTTTGGGAATCTTACCGCATCGCCTGCATTACCTGGAGGATCTAGGCCTTCTCGAATCCACCACGGTCTCAAGCACAAATAAACAGATCTTGGTTTTAACTAGAATTCCAGATCATCGGTATCACTCCAGAAGCTTAAGAAGAGCCTCGAATCAACTTTCGATAACTGAAATATCTATCGAGCAAGTTGTACGTCCTCATAGTATTTGCTCCTAGACATCCCCGCATCTTTCGTTGCTTTAGTTCATCTCCTCCAAGAGTGTTTGGTAAGCCTTGGACTATATGATTTGCTAAGAGCAACATTCACCACAGTATGTTTGGTCCTTCGAAGACCGATTGTCGAATTATATATATTTTGTATACTTATTTCACATGTTGTCACTACCCCCGAATATATACATTGAGACCGCAATGTTGAACAGCACATGTCAACTATAACCAGGCACTAGGCAACGAGATAAAACCCCGAGAATGTCAACTCTTTCTTTTGTCATTGTCTAATAAAATCAATTCACCATATTTCTCGCCATCACAACTACTCCAGAGCTTCGAGTTACGCGCTGACGTCAACCTCACGTGAGAGGAGCTCGGGACACGCGGCCCGAGCTCATGTGGATCGCCGCGAACGGACTCCCCCAGTCACTCCAACAGCGCCAATATACCTTCACTCTTGCATCTCCCTACACGTTAATATCATTGGAGGGAACGTACACACAAAGAAAACAAGTCCTTCCTCTTCCAATCTACTCGACGATCCTTGATTCTCCCATTCCGCCAGATAATTGGCGTCGACCTTAATGGTGATAGCTTGACAAGTGTCCACACCCACCCCGCGTCCAACACATTGGTTGATTGTCCGATCACACCCCTTCAGTCATGGTGGCCTGGAATATCTTTCGTATAATTGGAGATTTGTCCCATGCAGGCTCAATATGTGTCCTGCTCTGGGCTATCCACAAGAATAAGAGCGCCGAGGGTTCGTACACCCTTATATCAATCCGATTACCTAGGTACCTTGTCGAGCTTACTGACACAGATGTTTCATTTAGGCGTCTCACTCCTCACGCAGCTGCTTTACGGCGCCGTCTTCATATTTCGCTATCTTGATCTATTTGATCCCCACACGTACAAGAGTGGCACGTGGCACAGCATTTGGAATGTCTCCTTCAAGCTCTTCTACCTCATCTCGTCCTCATACCTGATCTTCCTGATGATGAAAGTGTACCCGCGGACGAGAGAGAGGGAGCGAGCTTGGAAGCTTGGTTTGTGGTCTGTGGCTGGGTCCGTCGTTTTGGCCCCTATCTCAGTCTGGCTTCTCGAGAGCGAGCTTTATAATTTATGGTTCCTTGAGGTAAGTTGGACAAGCCCAAAGTATTCATATTTTGCAGCTTAACTGATCCAATCACTTAGTTTTGCTGGGCTTTCTCCATCATTCTCGAGTCTGTGTGTGTTTTGCCGCAGCTCCTTCTCCTTCGCCAGACCACTGTCCCGACGGTGATCGACTCATATTACCTGCTTGCTCTGGGCTCCTACAGAGCATTCTACATCCTCAATTGGATAGTCCGTCTCTTCAACAAGGAGCCCTTCAATGATTGGATCGCAGTCGTGTTTGGCATTGTACAGACTGCCTTTTATGTCGACTTTGCGTGGGTATATTATTCGCGCCAGCGAGTCAAGCTTCGCAATGGTGGTGTCGTTGACTCCGAGGACTATGGGAACAGTTGGCTGGTGAATCGTGTGGTGAATTTCCGGGCATCGCGAGGCTCTACAGACGAAGAACAGCACCTTCAAGACGAGGAGGAAGGGGTGAATGGTCAATCAAACCACAACCGGTGGGGCGTTCGTGGTATCTCCATCGCAGCCGATGATACCCTGGAAAGCAATGGTCAGAATAAGGGACCTCATCGTGATGATAGTTTAGATGGATTTTCGGGGGACGATGACGAAACGGATGATCACCGGGTGAACAATTCTCGTTAAGTGATAATTTGCTATGAGCAAATTCGGTCACCGCATGGCATATCTATATGTCAGTTTGGTTGGTTGTTGGATGTTGCACAGAGTCTTCATGGGCTCTAAATGGGCTGACTGTACGGGAAGACCCGCTACTGCGGTTCTAGTCTGGTTATCTCCCGTGATTTGATCCCCACCTTTGATTCTCGGGGATTTTCTATGATAGAATTAGGAAATGAGAACATGTACGGAGCATTCCGTACTCTGGCCCCAAGTTTATGGGGGCCATTTTTGCTCAGGCCACACCGTTTCACGACGCTACCCGGGGGTCATTTGATGTCATTTGATGTTACTAGTAGCCCGCTATGGATCCTGATTCTCATTTAGTCTCTAACTAATCCGTAGTCAGTAGTAAATTACTGCCTTGATTCGCTCCGTATGCATGGAAACCAGCCGGTACATCGGTAGTTCTACGGACCAGATCCTCTTCGCTTTTCTTTTTAGCTGCCGGTTTTATGGGGGCGCTCCCCTTGGGGTTAGGCCTGAGAATATTACATTACTGGGGTATCTATTGACCTCGGAGCACTCCGCATTCAGACACCTGAAGGAGCATTCGGCCCCCACAAAATTATGTAGATAATCATCACATAAGTTAACATTGTCAGAAACAACAAACGTCTCCATACAAGGGCGAAAGTGAGACATAGTCAATATGGGTAGTCTATGTAGGAAATCTAAGCGTTAGGATGGTCCACCCGGCAAAGAACGCTGATCTTCAAAGCCTCCCGAGTTTCTTTCGATTGATATCTGGAGATCCTAACCAGACAGTAGGGTTGAAGTGGACACCGTGTTAAAGTCCAATGTTTCAATGAATTCTTAATGTAAACCTAATAATCAACGGTATCTAACCCCAGAGCTGAGTTGGGGGCCAAATGCACCTTGCAAACAGAAGAAATATCCTTCTCCAGGGTTGGTTTAACACTATCTAAGATTGGTGAGAGCTATCAACTCCTAGCATGCAATGTTCTTTCCAAAAATGTGATGTGCAGATAGATCAAAAAGAAGTGAGCGTATTATTCCAGCTCCAGACACGCCTGGCTTTTTCTCGGGCGCTTAGAAGCAGGACGTGGCTCGGAGAGCTGACCCCAGAAGCAAACGATCACCAGAGATGTGGGGATTTTTGAGATTGAAAGAGAAATAGAAAGAAGAAAAAAAAACATTAGTTTTGCTCGTGGATCCATACAGAAGTCAGAGAAAGGAAACAAAAAAATTAATAGCACAAAGAAAGTTCCAAGGTTGTTCTGCACCCTTCGAGATGACCGGGGTTTACCGGGTGTCTGCATCAGCGCTTAACCAGCGGTCATGAATTCTCCGTGGACAAAGCCACCAAGCGGTTCGTGGGGTCTTCTCAGCCTCAAAAGAATTTTGGATCATCTATGGCCAGTCGAGAGCCGCCCGTCTTGAACAACGCCTCTGCATGGGGAATGCATGGAGAATGCAGAAGGATCGTGATCCCTCCATCTTTCTATCCCACAACCGATGTGTTGGAATCTAGCGTCAAGTTGAGGGGTTTTTTTCTCTTTTTCTTTTCTTCTCGTGGGGGCTGCCAAAATGAAACAGCATTAGTGTAGATAGGCTGTCAACAAGGCTGACTTGTACAGAAAATCTTCATGAAGAGGAGGGGGCCATATTATAGGCATTTGGGGGTTGAACGTTTATGTCTAACTAAAACTAAATTGAAAGAACCCGCTACCTAGGTAAGTTATAATTGATGGGCTTAGTATGGATATTATGGGTTTTAATGGGGCCCTCCATAATCCACTGGACCTCTCTAGAACTCTAAGCGCTACGCTTTGTCTCCCTTGTGGAGGATCATCCACAACCCTAAGCAGCACACGTTTTTCTTGTTTTTTTTTTTTAATTTACTTTTATTTTATTTTTTTGGCCCGCCGCAGTGGGTCTGAAGTCATAGAATCACTTTAATTCCTATTCACAATGCAGAGTCTGAGCCCCCGGTCAGGGATGGGGGCGGAATATGGATATCAACATTGGACTATTGAGTCCGCAGCGCTTAAATATAGGCTCTCATCGAGTCTTCATGGGTTTCCCTACGTTCTAATGCGGCACAGCGCTCGTCGGCGGTACTGACGTCTGTTTTGGTGCCCTCTGAGCCTATGGTTAATACTTCGACTGATTGTTCACATCTAGCCTCACGAGGCATCCCGGTGCTGGCTGTGATATCTCTCAGAGTGGAGGACAGGCGGACTTGTGCATCTTTCTTGCTTTTAAATCTTCCCCTCTTTTCTTGCTCGCATGAATCTTATAAGATCGACTACCGTCGATAGCTGGGAAGGTGAATCTTCTCTTCAACATTTGGAGCGAAAGACCTTGTTGATATACACATACAACCCTAACGCCTCAGCAAACCATTATAGTCTACCAGGCGCCTGCAGTCCCACATCTCGCCTTACCTCAAGTTTCATATCTCGTTTCACATTCTGCTGCTTCGGCGTTTATTCTCCCCACTCAGACAACGCAGTGGACTGTGAATTTGCCCCCCGTGTTTTATGTTCCGCTTGAGTGCAACCAGTCAACATCATGTCTAATCGCTCGGATGTCCCCTGCTCCGAGGAAATGCTAGAGTACTATGAAGGCATCCCAGCCCATTGGCCCGTAATTCCACCGGTATGTACCGATTCACCTCTGAGATCGGACATTGTATGCTCCCGCAACATGAGCTGACCCCGTATACGATCTAGACCCCGTTCGTGGGAGTCCACAGCCCTTACTGCACAGAGCCTCTAGCTCCAGCCAACATCCTGACACCAATCAGTCTTCCGGACAGCTCGTTTCATCCCAGCCCAGCAATCAGTCACCACTCACAGGGCTACCACACACAAGACTACCAATACAGCATCAATGACCCCCTCTCAGCCCCACTAGGTCTCGGTATCTCTGCGCCCTTCCCGAGTGATTTCCCCAGGTCTTCAGCTCCCGATCCCGCTTACCTGTATGCTCCGGACCCAAGTGGCATCCGACATGGCGTGGCACAAACGCCTAGCCAGTCGCCACAGGGCCCACCACCAGCCAAGCGCGCCAGACATCCATCCTCGGACACGCCCTCGCGCGAGCAGCTAAGCAACACACCAATCAACATTGCTCCCAACCCAGAAGGCGTCCTCCGAATGGAGCAGGATCGCCAGCACACCCAGCCAACTTCACACATACTCCCAAAGATCCGGGCTCCAGGCCGCGGCCGGCGCGACCCCCAAGCAGAAGACGAAGACGCATTTGTAGAAGAGCTGCGTGATAGACAAACGGCCTGGAAGGTCGTGCGGCAGGAATTCCGGGAGAAATTTAATAAAGATGCCTCCGAGGCGCGCCTGCAGATGCGTCTTCATCGCCGGCTCCGAGAGCGAATGGTGCGCTGGGAAGAATCAGATGTGAGTATGTACCCCCCGCAACACATGGTATAAAGAAGCTGTGTGAGCTGGAGTATACATATGTTGAACAGTCCGTGTTGATACGCAAGTCTGCTAGATCAAACTCCTGATCCACGCCCATGGGATCTGGGCAAGAGATAAATTCCATTTCCTTTCAGACAAGGTGAGATTTCCTATGCTCATATGATATAGGAAAAGTTCTAATGTGTCTTTTGATCTTATTTTTTAGATGAAAGAACTTGGCGGTACTAGGCTGTACTCGCCTGATCAGTGCAGAACTCAACTTCGACTCCTAGACGCGAAAAAACAGCATCGTGACCGCACAAGTCAATCCCCATCTGCTATGTCTGACCCTGCTCCTATGACACCTACTATGTCTCGAAAACGACCTCGAGCTCAGTCCTTAGAGTTGGAGGTTGATGACGAGGAAGCGACCTTTTAGATTCATTTTTTTCCCTTTTTTTCCCCTTCTTTTTTTTCTTCTTCTCTTCCTCTCATTTCTCATTGCTCATTCATTTTCAGCTTGACTTTGTTATTTTCTTTTTCAATGGTTTCTTTTTTTCTTCTTTTCTTCCCATTCTTCACCCCGACTGTTGCCCCCACGATTGTCATGATCAATTACCCTTGGATTTGATAGGACTATGTTAGCAGAGCTGGGAGACATCGCCTGCTATTACACCATTCTCTATATATTTTATTCTTATTTTTCATCCTGAATTTCATTTCCATCGCTCTCATATTATTAAAATTTCTGTAATCGTGTTCTGCTGAACTTTTGCTTTCAAGTTTAATGCAGTAGTAGTGGCTCCGGTCCGGGGCTGTGAAGAGCTAAAATTTAATTTATTTATGAGTAGCTATTCTTGGATATCAAGTTAACCTATTGGTCATTTTCATAAAAAGAAGTAGTACTGGTAACAATGGAGGGCCAATTTCCCACCCCGCTAGGATTTATTATGCCGTGAATGCGGATGATACTCCTAGTCATGCAATTAGCCATCGAATTTCTAGAGCTCTCATTCGTGAAGGGTGGTATACCATGAATAAATAATGCATCCGAGGACGATCTTGAAGAACTATGTGTGGAGCTGATGAGGTTAGCCTGATAAAGGGTTGGTGAGTAGGCGCAGCAACGTATCAAAATTATATTGCACTGACAAGTACCTAACCATTATTTTTGGGCCATATAAAGATATGTCTAAGAGAGAGATAAGTTCCAGTTCCTCTCAGACAAGGTGTATAGCCATCGAAAAGAATAACAAAGATATCAACAATACTTATTGGAAGAAGGCATAGAAAAAAAAAAGGTCGGAAGTCTAAGACAATTTCTAGGGCAATGAGGAGGTATACCACGTGAAAAATAGCCAGGAGTATACAACAATGGCTCTGTCCTTGACGCAGAGACTCTGAGTGAGGATCTCTAGGTCTAATAAAGCAAGCAGGGTGAAACAGTCCACTCGTTTGTTATACGCTCCGTTGAGACAGCGAAGCCGTCCAAACAAAGGGATTTTACAAAAGACAAAGGCTTTGTGTTCAGAATGAGATCTGAATCGGACCTTTTCTCTGGATAGATAAAAAGAAAAAGACAGGAAAAGTGGTTCCTACCTGGAACTAGCCTAGAAAATGAAAGGCAAGTACTCCGCGATCCCAAACACAGACTCAATTTGTTTCTTCGGTGCTTTGCATAAGAAGACGAGATGGTAACCCATTTAACCATCATTTCCAGGAACACGACCATCCAATCTCATCATGGATACTCCCGACTTTACAATGCCCGACGACGAGCCCGTGAATGACGCTCCTAGCGAGAAGGTCCCGAAGCCCAAGAAGACTCGCCGCAGCCGCTACGACCCAGAGCCCGACTGGTCGGCCATGGTGCGTGCCAAGGTCACGAAGTCCCAGCATCGTGTCGGCCAGGCCTGTGATCGTTGCAAGGTATGCCTATCATATTCTCATATTCCGATATCGCGTTGGCTTTGACTCAGAACACCACACTGACGCATTTGAATTGATATCTAGCTCAAGAAGATGAAGTGCACGCCCGATCCTGGAGGCTGCGCTTGTTGCCTTATCCTCAACATCCCATGCAAAGTCACTGACCGTGTCACCGGTGAGACATGGGTGCGTGGTGAGGCTGGACGAATGCGGGCTCTTATCGAGAACCTCGAGAAGCAGACCAAGGACCTGAAGGAGCAGATCACACAGCTTCAGCAGAAGAACGCACAGCTACAGGACTGTCTGGACGGTTCATACAGAGCCAATCACATGGATCACTACGAGGTATGTTCTTCTTCTCGTCTTCTCTATAATCTTAGTGTTAACTCCATTACTAGCCGGACCTTGACCCCAGACATCATCACCATAGTCTACTGTGATTGTGATGCCTTTCTTGTCTATGCTATTTTCTAGACAATTTATCATGCCTCGTGGGCTTGGTTTCCTGTTTGTATCCGTCCTGTTCTATCCGAGATGAAGTGTATGATCAAGAAAAGCAATGGCACACGGTGACGAGAGTTGTTGTTTGAGTACAAATAAATGCTTGTATTTGAATATTGTGGACTTTTCGTCTTTTAGTTAAGTAAAGGGTGAGAGGTTTCTTACAGTAGACGGAGAAAAGCAAGTCTGTTTGTCTTGGTTCCAAAAGGACATGTCAATAGGTATATGTACTAGTAGGGTGACCATGTAATCCCAATTCGTGCACCGGGTATCAAAAATAGAAATGCAATGCAAATAACCATCGGTCTTTTACCAACTAGCATTCTTTTTCCAGCAACAACAGATTCCTTTGCTTTCGCACCATTCCCTGACAGCCGCAGTGCCAACCTCGCGATCCTCACCCACAAGTCCAAGCCCCTCGATATTGAGCCATGCTGTGAAATCTTCCAGAACGATAGGGTCGTACATGAGGATCTTTTCATGCCATGTCGGTCGATTACGGCTACCACGAGATGATGACAGTGGCGAGAGCCGAGGCTGGACGCGAACAGCTTGGGTTATCTGTGCAGATATTTCTGCCAGACTGATTTCTTTAGAGGATTCTGCTGTGTACGTGGTTGGGATGGATGCAGAGGATGGTGGTCTTTTGACTGAAACCTTAGAGGAAACCACCTTGCGCTTGGTCGGGCTCGGTGATGGTGTTTTTGTGAGGATATCCAAGGAGTGGTGTTGCACCCGGCTACCAATCTTGGATTTTGAATAGATGTCGGTATAGTGCTTCTGCACTTGACTCGGAGAGGGAATGATTTCTTCTTCTGAGTCTTGGATCTCTTCTACATCAATGAATGATGTAGAGGTCCCAGTGACAGGCTTTCCTCTTGAGTTTTTCTTTGGGCTTGTCTGGAGATTGCTTTGGGAGGCAGAAGTTGATTTTGTCGCGTCAAGTGATTTTCGGTTCTTTATAGATGTTCCAGACTTAGGCTTCACCGTCGCCTTCGTCTTCGCAGCCGAGGTGGATTTTGAAACATTGTCCATTTTAGAGACAGGTTGTTTCTGTTGGTCGGGTTGGTATATAGGCTGGCTGTCAGATTTTGGATTGCTACCGTGTTTCGATTCCCAACATTGTTGAAGGAGATCGATCATCTTCTTGCGGCCCCTGACTGCCTTGAAGCCATAAGTGGAGACCTGTTTAGACAACTCTGCATCCGTAAACCCGGTATACTGTGGCATTGAATGCGCCTGCGATGTAGTTGGCTGGGAATCAACCGCTTCAGTCGGGGTATCATTGGCTTCCTTTGCAGGCTTTGCAGGCTTTGCAGGCTTTGCAGCTTTCGCTTTGGCCATGGCCGTAGATATAGCTGCCGGGATTGGAGCCGGAGCTTGGACCTGCGTGTCTGAATCCAAGCCCCTTTCGGTTAATGGTAGTGATGATGGTCTCTTTTCTAGGGGTGAATCTATGTCTGCGAATTCAAGCTCAAACCAGTCCCTCTGAAGAGGTTTGTGGCTTGCTTGTTCCATACTCTCCTTTGTGGGAGTTTCTCCCCCATCCGTCAAGTCAACCACGTTAAGTGCTTCTGGTTGAATCAAAGATCCTTCGGTGTCTCTGGCGCCAACACACCACATATTCCTGGTGCCTGCCAGCCGTGATACAAAACGAGTAGATGATTCTGGGATCGCGCTGGGGTCCTTATTGCGCGTCCCCTGCGGATATGAAAGACCCTCGGAGGCACGGATGGCTTGCTGAGTTTCTCGCAGAGTCTGCGGCGAATCATCTCTTTCCAGTTGACTGCAGGTGCCGAATACAAGATCTTGATCATTCAAAAATTCGACAGCCGCTTCCGGGGAAAGTACAGTGAACGAAGACTGTTTCTTTGTCTCTTTGGCCGTTTTTCGTCTTCCGTTTGTCGTTCTGATGTCCGGAAGGCAATCAATCACTGACTCATCCTCTTCTGCATCATGTGTTGAATATTGCGCAGTCATGCGCGCCGTCAACGTGGTAAACTTCTTAGGTTTGCCCTTGGTTGTCTTTTTAGGCTTTCCCGAGTTCTCTCCTTGAGCAGATGTCTGATCACTTGAATCAGAGTACCTTCCATTGAGCAATGCTTGGATTTCAGGATTGACCAGCTCTATCCGCCGACGCTTTGTTGGTCCTCCGCCATTTGTATTCTGCACGAGGTCGCGGGGATTCAAAGCTGACCCAGAGTAATTATAATCGGATAGCAGCTTGCCAAACCCACCGGTAAGGCTCGGATCACGGTCCTTATCCTGGCTGCCACCATCGTTCACGGTAGCGATTTCATCGTAAGCGGTCTCCCTTGGTGGTGTCCAATCCATCCTTCTTCTCATTGCCTCGTCCAGATGCAACACCTCATCATTTCCCAAAGCATTTGATTCCTTGGGAGTAGATTTCTCGAGCGCATCCTCCGAAAGGGATAATTTTGTGGCAACCGTCTTCTCCCCACCTTTGCTGGACTTCTTTGCTGGTGGGTCGCCGCTTGTCTTCGTAACTTTCCCAGCTAGAGTCATGTTTCCTGTATCTTTACTCTTGGCATTCTTTCGAGGACGACCTTTGCCCAGTTTCACTGCGTCATCTTTTGTGCCAACAGTCTCTGGCTCGGGGTCTCCAGGCACATCCGCGGCTTTCTTCGCCTTCCGCCGCGGTTTGCTCGGTACAGTTTGGTTGGTGGTGTCTGAAGTAGGGTCCTTCTTTTTCGATCGCTTTTTCGGCTTCGTCACGTCCTCAGGACACTTGGTGCTCGCGATTGGAGTGGGAAAAAACCGGGAACGCGTACGAGGTTTGGACAAATCGGATGTCGGGCGTATTGGCGGTGGCGTTGCGCCTCGTGGCAAGACGTAAGAGACCAGCTTTGCATCATGCCTACTTGGCCCTGGCGACCGCGGTGGATTTGGAGAGGACGACAGAATGATCACGTCTGCAATGCTGGCCATAGTGTCGAGTCGCGTCTCTGGGTGTTTGCTCTATTGATCAGGGCGAGTCGCGTGTACTGCTTGAGTTTGCTATATCAGACATCTCCTTGGCAACGTTTGTACCCAAGGCAAAAACAGTATAAATTGTGTGCGAGTTGAATATGCTGGAGAAGTAGCGTTTGGTGATCCAAGTTCAATGTTTCGATGTTAAAGGTCGATCGCCCGCGGTCTTGGCAAAGTTTTGAGTTGACTATATAGTTCGGCCGGGCAACCAACTGCATTTACCCCCAATAGAGTGGATTCATATTAACTACATTTATGCTGAATGCTTGATGGGATCAATTAATTCTCAATCTGAACAAATGTGTTTTTACTGTCCAGTATCACATTAAACAAACGGCCAGGATTAGGCGCGTCCGTCGAACTAAAAAAACATGCCTTGCACATTTGGAATATTTCATTCAATTATTCATTATCTTGACTTCGTGCACTGTCTCAGAAGAGAGACCTAGGGTGTTCTCTGCTCAATCTTGGGGCTGAGGAATAGTCGACCTCAGAAAAACCATGGTCTGCTTGTTCTTGATGATGGGCATATTTTCAAGTCAAGCCAATTTGTTGCTCATGATATCCCACACTAGAGAACAACAGCACAGCTTGGAAAATGAATGCATTTCCCACTCGTCCAATGGCAATCTTTAGGAATTTGGGGCACAGTGGATTTGGTTGCTTGATATAGGCAATTGCTCATGATCCCCTCAAGGCGATTGCACTCAACAAGGAATTTTCCAGTCGTTGCTTAGCCTCATCATTCTCCTTGGCCGTTGGCGAAGGCAGAGCCCCTAGCTTGTACGCTTTCTTGATCTTGTTGATATCAGAGATTTCGGAGAGTGTCTGGTTATCGAAAGGCACAGGTGTTCCTTGAACCGAGCTGTCCAAGTGCGCCGCAACGGATTCATGTGTTATCTCCGGAGAGACAGAGACTTTGATCACCAACAGGTCTTTGGTTGAATCGGTAATACCGAATCTACGGAATGATTCGGTGATCTAAGTCCGTGTTAGCCCCGGCTTTAGTGGCAAAATCGCAACTAATTCCTAGAATTGGCAACCCACATTATTCGTAGGGTTCAATGAGAACACGATCTCGGAATGCACATTATGAGACTTCAGTCGATTGTGCATGTAATCATTAACTGCTCTGAATACTGCAGCAGTGGCGTGAGCCCTTGATAGAACCTGTCGCTTGGTGTTAGTGAACTAGTTCATTTTCTTAGTTCTCGGAGACAACTTAACATACCATGCTTGCATCAATAAATGCATACTGGAATTCTATCTGACCGGCGAGAAGTTGACCTTTCAGAGAGGCGGCATTTTGAACATTGCGATATAGAGCAACATGCACGGGCATCAATGGTAAATGTGGCAGGCTGATCGTCTCTAGACTTGAGGCCATGATTGAGATCGAACTGAAACCGAAATCAAAAGAAGATGACGTATGTGTAATCAAGCTGATCTGATAAAAAAAAATTAAAGTGAGCCCTGGAGTTCACTATGACCACTTCTTGATCCACGTGACTAATTCTGGAATTTTCCGGACTTAAGCGGTCGCGGGCGGAACATGAGTAATCGCCTGCATATCACCCGTGGGCCCGACATTTAAACATCTCCTCATTCTTGACTCTCGACATCCCCCATCACAAACATGGCTTTCTTTCTACGGCGCCCGTTCGCTGTATCCTCGGCACTTCGCCAGGTCCCTAAGCTCACAAACACCGCCCGATTCATTCACAATTCTCCCATCAAGCCCACTCAGGCAACAAAGCCTCAGGGCGTTTCGTCCTCGATCTTCGCCAAGTCCCGACAGAACTTCCAAAATGCCTTCCGCCGTACATACATGCAGCAGAGCTTCAACCCTGCACAGGGTGGTAACATGACCCAGAAACTGGTGTATGGTGCTGCCATTATTGGTGGTACGGTTCTGGCAACCAACTTCATCTTCAACCGTGAAACGAGAGAGGACGGCGGTATGCCCGCTTACGAGCGGAGCTTCTTGAACGAAACTTTCATGCACACTGGTCTTGGTATTGGTATCATTGGTGTTGCTGCTCGCGCCCTCCACATGAGCGGCTGGTCTTATCGTCTCATGGCCATGAACCCGTGGCTCGTCATGGGTGTCGGTCTCGTTGGCAGCATCGGCTCCATGTACGGCACTTTCTACACTTCCCCGGATAAGTAAGTTTATTGCCTTCTCTTTTTTGTTTCCTATAAAAACAGAATGAGCTAACTTTTCAATTAGCTACGTCATGAAGTATGGCTGCTGGACTGTCTTCAACCTTACCCAGGCTGCTCTTCTCTCCCCCTTGATGTTCATGAATCCTGCCATTCTTGCTCGTGCTGGACTTTACACTGTCGGTATGATGGGCTCAATCGCTTTTGTCGGTGCCACTGCCAAGCAGGAGAAGTACCTATACCTGGGTGGTCCCCTTCTTGCCGGTGTGACCATCGTTGCTCTCTCTGGACTGGCCCCCATGGTCCTCCCTGCTACTGCCGTTCGCACTCTCATGTGGTCTGAGCGCCTCTGGCTGTATGGTGGTCTTGCTGTCTTTGGTGGTTTCACTCTTTACGACGTGCAGAAGATTCTGCACCATGCTCGTCTTGCCGAGCGCGGCTTGATCAAACGTGATGTGGTCAACGAGTGCGTCAGCCTCGAGTTGGATTTCATCAACATCTTTATCCGCATGGTCCAGATCCTCGGCATGGGCAACAACCGTCGTTAAGCTACTTGATATCCACTGTATTAAATGTGCAACCTGATCTCGGGTTTGTCTACCACTAGAATTTGTGTTTCGCTTTTTTTTCTCGGTCATTTGACAGCCCTGCATTTGAACCAACTGTTTATTTTTTTTATTTTTTTTGTTCTTTAACTTTGATGCTTCTTCAGATGGGCAAGCGCAGTTAATCACTGTTTGCTAAGAGACATAACAGACAGGGTAGCGAATACAATCTCCACTCCCTAGACATTTCTGTTGCATCCAGAAACATTGTTGACAATGCTTCGAGTCTCCAAATTCCGGCTTTGGAAGAGAAAGGAAGATGTTCCAAGCTGTCAAAACAAAGAAACATCATAGTAGTCATCTAATAGTCAACTATTTATGTAAATAGGTAGTGTTTAGTTCCAGGTGAATATGTGTGTCTAGCCATATCAGGTTTTTAGTAGAGATTTAATACCATAACTAGCTTTCTGCAACAAGTCTCTACTACCTAACATTTTGTCGCTTGGCTTAGGCTCAGAAACATCAGAAATATCATATAGATACATGTACATATGTATACAATGCAATGGGCTCGAACTTATCAGACACACCGAACTAGAAAGGGCAGTTGTGGTCATGTGATTGCAAGCTTCTCTTGACGGGGAGGGCTGCCCAAGACCGCCCTAGAGACCGCCCAATAATACCGCCCTCCGCCCTCTGCAGACTTCAGATCGCGATACAGACCCAGACTCATTGACCACTACAAACGTGCAGACTAAACCTCTCAACGTAACCAACGCAGTCGCACAAGTCTTCTTGCTCCCCTACCTTACAATATGTCGAACGAGATGGAAATTGACCCTCCTGTCGCACAAGACGACGCTCCCGAGCAGTCGGACCGCAGTTTTGAGCCACGCACCCAGGGGAACGCGGTCGCCGTGCGCAGTATCGAAGGATGGATTATCATCGTATCTAATATCCACGAGGAATCGTCCGAGGAAGATGTCACTGAACTCTTTGCGGAGTATGGTGAGATCAAAAACTTCAGCTTGAACCTTGATCGGCGAACGGGTTATGTCAAGGTGCGCATCCTCAAGTCTCACAACTATCTCTGAACCAACCCTCAACAAACGTCCCTTCTGAAATATGGGAACCTTTGTTGACTTACATCCAATGAAACGATTGCTAACACCACTATTCCGGTAGGGCTACGCATTGATCGAATACTCCACTCTCCCCGAAGCCAGTGAAGCTATCCAGAACCTTAACGGTTACAAGCTCCTCGACCAGACGCTTCATGTCGACTATGCTTTTGTCCGCCCGCCCCCATCAGGCAAGAACAAGAATGGAGGACCAAAGGGCCGGGCTACTCGGAATCGCAGCAGAAGCCCCAACCGGACTCGCAGCCCCGAAGCTGACGGCGACCGGGAATAAGCTTTCCTAATGGATGGGAACGATAAAATTTGACCAGCATACATTGCTTGTGTTCTTCCATTTGATACCTGGGCTTTGCTTTTTCTCGCATTTTTTTCAATACCTCGCGCTGTTTCGTTCGAACGTTTGCCCACCCTTCCTGTCAGAACTTGTCTACAAATGATGGACATATCATCTAGTATTCGCCGGCATGACCCCTCCTCAGTCGAACCTGTATGGGTCCACAGGCCGAGTGTGGGTGTGCATGGGACACATACACACGAGTGGTACATGCCGGCGCCACGATAGATTACCATAATGGTATGGAAATCCGTTCTTAACCTTTGATTACAATTATGCTGACTTCGACTCAGAAATGAAAGGCCGTTTGATGAAAATTGAAAATTGGTGTATGAGCATCTGGTCAACAAAGACAACCTTGGACCTCAAAACCCAGCCTCTGGGAGTAATGTACATTATGAAGAATAGGTTTTCTTAGTTATGAGCGACCTTTCACTACGTCCACTTGTCTTGTGACTCATTTCAAGACAAAATCAAAAATGGTACATTAGTACTCTGTAATATACGATGTGATATACCTATATAGGACCCCCTTAGTTAGAGGGTGGGATGCATGATTCGAAAGACATGTGGTTCCGGAGTAGAGTGGGTAAATTATTTTTGGACTCTAGAGTCAGTATCGTAGAATCAGAAGGCTTCAATGATATTACAGGGTGATAATAAGGCTTTAATGTCCCATACAATGGATGTCCACGTGTGGATGTCCTGACCACCTGCCCAAGTGGGCAGCGGGTCTGGTGACTAAGCTTAAGCCTCCATCCATGGCTCATCGTTTTCCCCGCATGGCGCATGAGGGTATCGCTGTTCCTCTTTTTTTAGTCGCTCTCATGCGCACACTCTACTCTCTATTCTTATAGACGGACTCCGGAATCCTGTGTCTGGGGATCTGATTCTGACAGGATATATTTCCTGAGGCAGAATGGCTCCCCAACACACATCTTTTACCCCCTTGGGGCTGTCACGATCTCTATACCGTATTCTTATGCTATGCTTCCTATCGTTCTCAGTTATGGCCAATGCGCTGGCGTATCCGTCTCAGGAAACTTTGGGAGTGCCTTCATTTTCCAGTTTGATTGATGGTCCCTCAAAGGAGACTGTCTTTGGGGGTACTGAATCAGCACGGGAAGGGTCGATTTACCACCCCATTCTGAATACCTTGCAGGATCTTATCGCCGCCCTGCAGGTGATGCAAGACAGGTACTTTATGCTGTGGCAAGGCATGTGGCCAACCAGCATCGATTGGACCGCGGCGGTGTTGGGCACACACGTTTCGGCAGCGCTCTCATCTCTAACCTCAGGCCCGCTTGATATCCCCGACACAGATGAATTGCAAGGATTATCTTTCTTCAGGCTTGAGAATACGGTCAATCGATTTTTCAGCCATACTTCCGCCTTCTACTTTGGCGAAAACTCGTTCAGTATTAGAAACCAGGCTTACGATGACATGCTATGGGTCGTGTTAGGGTGGTTGGAAAATATCAAGTTCCAAAATCTTCACTCAGACCTTCACTATGTCTCCTCAAACAACAGGTCTGGAGAGCTTTGGTACGGTACCCAGTTTCAGAACTCTGCTGCGCACAGAGCACGCATCTTTTACGAGCTCGCCTCCGCTGGTTGGGACAAGACCCTCTGCAAGGGCGGCATGATCTGGAGCCCGTATTTGATCCCGTACAAGAATGCGATTACGAATGAGCTCTATATATCCGCAAGCATCGAGATGTATTTGTACTTCCCCGGAGATTCAATTGAAGCCCCGTTCCTTGTCGACTCACAAGGCACACAGCCTGCACGGAAGAACCCACATGACCCTCTTCATCTGCAGGCTGCAATTGACGGGTATGAATGGCTCAAGAACTCAAATATGACTGGGATCGGCGGTCTCTATGCAGATGGTTTCCACATCAGTGGCTGGCAAAGCGCATCAAATCCCGGCTCGGGACAATGCGACGAGCTCAACCCTATGATCTACACCTACAATCAAGGAGTCGTTCTCAGCGGGCTGAGAGGACTCTGGCTAGCCACAAACTCACAAGTCTATCTGCGCGACGGTCACGAACTTGTTCGCGAAGTACTGCAGGCTACCGGGTGGCCACATACCTCCAGTCAGCAGTGGAAGGGACTTGGTCGCGGAGGTGTGCTCGAGGACGCATGTGATTCTCGCGGAGTCTGCTCCCAGGATGGACAGACCTTCAAAGGGATCTTTTTCCACCACCTTTCCGGATTCTGTCGACCTCTTCAGCCGCAAGAGAAGCAGTTCTTGGCGGACGCGATCCGCGGACATGCAGCAAATGACGACTGGGTCGAAGTCTATGAGCAACATATGAAGCAGTGCCGCACCTATGGTCCCTGGATTAAACACAATGCGCAAGCTGCTCTGATGACTCGTGACAGCGATGGCAAGTTTGGTAGCTGGTGGGGCCGCTCATATCATCAGCTGGATGCCAACGAGATCGTGGATAGCAGCACAATCCCGGATGGTGCTGTTGACTATCGCAATCCCGATTATGAACCCAAATCCTCGACTACAGGCTCCACCCCGAATGACTACAACGATCGTGGTCGAGGCCGCACGGTAGAAACACAGTCCGGCGGCATCGCTGTGTTGAGAGCCCTGTATCAATGGCAATCCTATGATGCCCTGTGAACAAAACAAAGGAAACGCTTGGAGGTTGGTGTTTTGTGGTATAGAGACACCATTCATTGCATCCAGGGCTTCTTTGAGGCTCTTTTGTACAACCTATACAGTTTACAATTACTGGGAATGAATCATTATCATCCTTCAGGTTCAACATTGGCTTCTCTCGAGCCTTAGACACATCTCAACGCCTGCCATTATCTAGGGCTGGAACTGCTTTCACATTTTGAAAACTTCCCCTGGCACTTGGAACTGCCGAACCAAACAGCATTACTTCGGCGCTTACCTTTTGATCCGATCCTCTATGGATCTCATATCCCTCACTCATCCAAATTCCAAATAGAATGATTGGCCGAAATGAATCCCCAGCTCCCACATTCCGCCGATAGATCCATCTCCGCAAAACACGGCACACAAAACAGGAATTCAAATCTGAAAACCGGATTACTTGATCGTCGGATCTGCAACAAGTGGACACTGGTAAGCGATTAGGAAGTGTTCTGTGTTATGTGTTACCTACATTGGGTTTGGCGGGAGATATAGGACATTTTGAGGCTGACTTACAATATAAGACATGTTTCTGGCGATAGATACACAACGTTGATGACTCTTGCCATTTTGGGTCTGTTTATGCAGTACCCGTTTTGCTGGAGTATATACTCCGTACACGAGAAGCTAACAATAATATCTCTGTGTTCCCGGAGTGAAACCTACGCAATGAATGAAAGATCTTTCATATTGTTTTTGCCACGGACATGCTGTTCGTTGTTTACTCTGGGAGACGGTGAGACACAGTTCTTCGGCACATTTCCTAGGTACATAAATTGATGTCCTCGGCTATAATATGGATATTAAACTCTATTGTACTACTAGGCGGGTAATTACTTCAGGGCCATTGGAGGGGTGTAGATGATATTCAATATTCAATGCATGGAATGATCGGAAGAAGCCTCTACACATACATAAGGTATATTCCTTCGGATCAATCCTACTATAAACGGAAGTATCGGAGCGACATACCTTGACACAGCACACTAAATCCCCCAAACCCTTGGAATTCTAGTCAAGATGATTGGACCTTAAATATCCAGCATCGAAGAAAGACGGGAAGGTGGCCACTTAGAACACGGAGAGGGGCAAAAAGAAGCAAAAGGAAGGGGAAAAACTCCACCTTAGCGTGCGACTAAACATCCTTGACGCCCCCTCCGTAATGGGGGACGAAAAACGCGTTCGTATGGGTGGGGGGCTCAGGGCTCCGTAGTGCACAAATCAACGAGACAAAACGCACTTGCAGATCGGCGGGTACTTGGGTTTTCGCCATCATTTGGAGTGGATTTCTTTGGAAAGCCAAAAAAAAAAAAGCAATCTCAAGGTTCGCGTGATGTTATGATGTCCGCGGATGTCTCATAAACAAAGTATGTAATACTAGTAGTGATATAAAAATCGTCTGATATTGATTTTGTCTCAGTTGCCCCGATGACAATGTTTTTTTTGTTTTTTATTTTGCTTAGCGGGAACTATAGTTGAACTAATATAAATGCGAACCAGTATAATAAGATATAACCTAAATACCTTATGTTGTAAATACACTAATACCAATCTTAAACACGGTTCTTATCGACTTTTTTTATTTTATAGATTACGACCCAAAGCATGTCACACGCACCCCCCACCTCATGGGCATTCGGTGAAGAGGGTGTACAAGTACGGAGTACACTCTTCGTAGTTACACTTGTGTTCATGAGAGATGTACTAGATACGGTATCAGGCCTGAGCGTAGAGCTGTTCGCCTAGGGGCTAAAAGTCATCTGACAACGGGATCTAGGAACGCATCTGGTTTGATAGAGGGGGTGAGTTGGCTGTCATCAACCGCATAAGCACCAAAGCCAAGCGGGGCAGGAAGAGATTATGTACGAAATACTCGAGTATTGATATCTTTCCCTTGAATTAATCATATTTTGTTGTTTTTCGTCTGATGGGTCTAACTCGGCAACAAACCGATGTCGTCGACAAGGGCGGAAGACTAGTACATATCCCCGGACCTTGAATGTGGCGTCGGCAATTTTGATGATTAGGGTGCCTACAAAGTATTGTAGGGACCGGAGAGCATAGAGAGTCACTGAAAACGATTTGCTGAGATCGGCGCCTATGATGGCACTCAGTTTCACCTCCTTTTCGGCTAACGATCCATCGAATAATAAGGAAGGAGTGTCAAAATCCACGATAATGAATGATCGTCTGAAGCCCAAGCGTTGGGCTCACATTGGTTGTGAGGGAGTGGGCTACGGACGGGAGATGGTGACTGGTCGCGGGATATTACGACAGGCCTTGGGTGCGGAGCAAGCAAATGCAGTTGTGCCACTGAACTTTCCGTTAGTTTTCCACCCATTATTCTTCAACTGTGAATCTATGTTTTTCTTTTTCTTTTTCGGTGGCGGTGGAGGCGGCTAACGAGGGGGCAAACGGGGATTTATTCTCGGATTGTTTTCCTGCCTTCCAATACGGCGTACATCTTATATTGGCAGATGGTCAATTTATGAGGACATCCTTGTTTGGGCCTTCAGGATCTGTACCGGGTATTGGTGCTCCTTTGTCCCTCGGTCGATCTTGCCCAAGGGCGGCTGTATCTACCCCCTTCGAATCCTCGCCACGGTACCGAGGAGATGTAGAAAATAGTTATCTCCGTACGTAGCAAAGAGTGCGCGTAGTACACGAAGTATTACCATACTATAATAGGTGTAATTTTTATTCACTATGTATATCGTGAGAAATACCGTTGTAGGGGCCAATGATATCCATGGCGTCATTTGACTCTGAGGCTCGATCGACATTGCATGCCCCCCTCCTCCCCTGAAGGACGGGGGTACGGCCACATGTGCAATATTGTATAATACATTATAAATAGTACTCTATAGTAACAATATAAGATCAGATTTGATTTTTTTTATCGATTATTCCCCAGGTTACCCGTGGACGGAATATCCGGGTGAAATATAATGCAGGAAGACCCAAGTTCCCGGAGCCAGGTGGCTTGGATATAAAATAAAATAAAGCTTCTGTACTCCATCTTTCCGTACATATGTACAATAATATCCAAGACAAGATACTCCGTAGACACTGTTTTATTTTCACAATACGTGTCAAATCAACACTAGCGGTGGAGCGGTAAAAAGGAACCCTATGATGTACCGAGTACTTAATCGGACCATGGTGCAAATAGGGAACGGCGGTGTACCGGATACTTGTCGGGAAGGTGTATGTGGAAAGGGGAAAGGAGCCACCCGTTAGTTCCTGAACGCCTCTCATTTCTAGAAATCCCCTCTTTTTTCCTTTTTCCGATTCCTCACCGGTTTTTTTTATTTTATATATTTGAAATTTTATATTGTATATTGTCTATCTAGGTGATTATTTTGATAGTGTTCCACGCGCTATTTAATATATGAATTGTAATATAGTATTCCGTATATTAATCCACCACATACATAGGTAGTAATACAGAACATCTCCATACAGAAAAAGATATGAGAAAAATAAGAAAAGATCTCGGAGGGATGATCCAAGGGACATGGGTTCCTCCTCCACCTACTCAAAAGGTGCTAAGATAGACAATTATACTGGAGACTCTAGAGGTACCCCTGGGTACCGCACCCGTCGTACCACAATTCGGGTCACTCTCATGTACCCCCTCTGCCGTAACGCCAATACCGAAACTCTCTTCCTTTTTCCCCCAAAGCTCTTTTCGATTTTCTGACTCCTTCTCTCTCTCTCTTTCTCTTCTCTCTATCTTCAGTCTCTTCTCTTTGAAACTATTCCTACATATCTAGCCTCGATCCCGCCTTGTGGCCAGCCTCTCTTTCCGGAAAGAGGGAAGAAAAAAAAATCCCCCAACAGACCTTCCTTTTGAACCCACTCCGGTTACATTTCTCTCCCCTCTTCCCGCCAATCTCGAATTGCACTCATCTCAACCCACGAATTTCGAAAATACTCGCCTAGTCAGAGTCGACCACGGTCGTCTTGAAAATTGCACAATCCTCCTCTTCTTCTCGACTTTTCACCGACCCGGTAGCTACCTCAAGCGTAACACAGATTTCTCATCTGGGGTACATCGCTAGGGGTAGACCGTGGTCGTTCATCAGCCACTTTTCCTCCGGCCTCTTTTAATCCGCAAACCCCAATTGTGGGAGCTTGATCATACCGCCATCCTGGACCTCCTTTCGATATTGTGTGTCGCGAGCAGTAACCCTTATGGCACCAGATACAGAAATGACTGAAGCCTCTCCTGTTGATACTCTGCCGCATCCAAACGACGGTGGCCGCATGCATATGTCATCTCTCTCATCATCATCTTCTATATCCGACGCAGAAACCGAGCGCCGAGGCCGATCAGAACGTCCACGAATGGCGAGCCGCAAACCCAGTGCTTCGATTCTTGTCCCTCGGGACCACCCCGAAATTGAAATTGAGGAGGAAGAGTTTCCCCCCGATGACGCCCGCGCAATGAGCCCACGACGCAATTCTGCCGATCTGGAACGTTTGGGCAAGGAGGCACGACAGACCCTGCAGGAGTGAGTTGAACGAGGCATCCAAGGCGTATTTGCTACTGAATTACGCCAGTTCGAAGAATTTGGGTAGCTAACCAAACTAAAAATAACAGACAAGCCAAGGCTCTCCAATCGTCCCTTCAGGCTCTTGCCGAACGCATCGACGCGGTCAAATCGGACCATGATAAGTTGGAAAACGAGAACAAAATATTACAAGACTACATCGGTGGTCTCACTCGCAACATGACCAAGAGCGAAATGACCCGCAGTACGAAAGCACGCAAAGCACAAAAATAAATCGGCTTTCCTCCAAACAGGATGTCGCAAGGTGGCCAGATACCTCGTCCCGTGAACGTCAATCGGGAGGGATCGCCTGTTGTTTTGCGGCAGGGGGTTCCATGCATTACATACGGTCGCGGGTTTTACATTCGAACTATTTTCACTTTATTACGACGAAATCCCTGGTCAACGGATTTTTCTTCTCACCGCACATTCAAGTGGTCGCTCAATGAGTTACATGCCCAATGTCAGCATGTCAGGGTCTCATAAAACAGCAGAGTTGGGAATTTCTGGTTACAGTTTCTCTTTCTGCAATGGGATCAGCATTTAACCGGGGGGGCAATCTTACGGTTACCATTTTCGCACACATCATCTGCCACCCGACTGGTTCGAGTGGCCTCCCTGGAACACCACATTTCAGTTTAAACGCCACAATGTCATCATCTCCACAGTCCCCCTGTTCAACCGGGGTCGGCTGCTGCACCGGGGGTGAGGCTGAATCCGAATTATTTACTCAAGGGGAAACTTCAAGGGGATTGTTCGTGACATCATCGCATGCCTTGCACAGTGGCCCGCCACCTGACTTCTTGGCATTTGATTTCCGGAGCTCATTACATCATCCTCAAAGTCGGTGTGCAACCTTCGATCCTATCATCTAACGCAGTGTTCCACTCTGCCTCTCTTCAACCCTGTCGATATTATTGGCTCTTTTTATTTCCTATTCCTCGCTCTTTCAATTGGCGTTTTTCTCTTTCTGGCGGCTCTGTGAACAACGTTTCACTTGTACTTTTTTTTCACTTTTTTGTTGTCTTTCGATGCATAGCACCTTGGGCGTTTCAGGGACTGGGACTAGACTCGATTTGATTTGAATGGCTCTTGCTGGAGCATTGAAATGTTTCTTCGTCATGGGCATTGCATGGTGACGGTCATCGCCACAGCAGAACGGCGTGGGAAGTGGAAAGCATCTTAGGGGTCTTTTGGAGCAGTCCATTTATCTTCTCCTCTTTCCTCACATGCCTTCTCGATATTCGGGGGGCTCTTTGTACATCTGCATTCCAACCTTTTTTTTTTTCTATATTTTCTTCTGTCTCCGCTGGACTGACTCGTATCTCTGCATGGGGAGACAAAGATGCCGCTTTTTATCATGTTTGTTATCATTGTGGCTCTATTTCTGCTTGCACTTGACATACCCAGGAGCGTGCATTTCTCAAGTCCTATTTTCCGTTTATTATCCTCATACCCCTTTTATCGAGCCCGCGTGGCTGGTGGCATTGTGGTTTCGACCATAGCAATGGAAACTATTTCAACTGAGACTCTTTTGTTTTTGTAGATCTGTGTAAACCCCATAACACTTCAAATGTGGCTTTACCAGGAGACAGCTAACCCGATGCGATCAAGCGCGATGCTCGGCGGAACGCCATGCAATTGACTACATATCGAGTCATTACGATGGACAAATGAATAGAGGGTATGGCATGCATACTAAGTGAAGTAAATGACGATCAACCGTGATGTGACACCGGCAGGCGCACATAAGCTCGATAGTGCCCAACTAATACAGCCACTGATATCATTGCTGCTTCCTCTGCAGTACACGGGCATATGCACATGTCCGCACATCCCAGTCAGATATATGGTACCGATTCAGTCTCCGAAACAATGCTGTTTCGTATTAAGCTATGGAGTATATCTTTTCGATTGCCTATCCTGTCAGTTCAATGGGGATGTTTATACCCTGATAAAGACCTTGCTGTGCATATTGAATGCATATGGTACTATTAAGTAGGAAACAATCTCTAATTCTTCTACCGAGTAAGAATCAACCTCTAATTCTAATTAGGGGGCGCCTTTTATAGCGTATAAATGGTAGATTCGCCATTTCTAGGCAGCTACTATACTTCATACTATCTCACTTGGAAGTTAATTGGGTATGGATCTCTATTTTAGACCATTGAGAATAAAGTTTCTATATATTGTTGGTTGTTCATAGAAAATGATTAAATGAACACGTGTGTCCACCGATCGGTGATCATCAGTGGCCGTGCGGCTAACACGGGCAGAGAATGAGATAATGTGGACAAGGGAGTTGTGTTGATCTAGAGACAGGATGAGCTTATTATGGTAGCTTCATTTATATGCACGGCCTAGTTTCCTTGGACAAGACAGCGTGCTATCTACTCCGCGGCGTCAAGGGCGATGGACATAGACATATACACATAGTCATCCATGCTTCAGCGCTACAATGATTCGCGAAGTAAATTACCGGAACAGCGTACGAGGGATTATCTTCGAAACCACATCTAGTGAGAATCAAAACGCCACATGGCACATATACGGGGAATGATCAATAGGAAAGGTGAAAAGCCAGGTTAGGGATCAGCAGGGATACCCTTGTTGAAGTCCTGATAAGGAACTGATTTGAAGAAATTCTGTGTGTGTATGTGTGTTGGGCTGGGAGAGTGCGCGCAAGGGGACTCTTTGGGTAGTTAAGAGGCAAAGTAGACAAAATAACAAGGAGAATGAAAAAAACGAAAAGAGGAGACAGGATGGATATCCTCCAGGGCAGAGAACAAGCGTCGGGCTAAAGCAAAAGGCAAGTAGAGAAGATTCAAGGCAAAAGTGGCCCAGAGAGCATCAACACCCAAAGGTCGCAATATTTCTCACACCAACCCTTGCGAGTCTCTGCGATACAATAAACCGACAATCGGGCCAACGCATCTCATCGTCCTTCCTCCTTCATCTCCAATCTATGTCCTTGCACTAGAAGACCCGTCGCGCGCTCTCTTTCTTTCGGTTGTTCCATCCGTCCTGAGGACGCGTGTCCATCAACAAGGTCTTTTTAGGTGTTAATCATTTACTCGGCGGCGGGCTTCTCGGCCTCAGCGGCCGGGGCCTCCTCCTTCTTCTCAGCAGGGGCAGCGCTCTCGGAAGCGGGCTCAGCCTCGGACGAGGTCCAGAGGGTCTGGTGGGAAATGCGAGTCAGCGTATGAACAAAGTTGAATCAGCAGATGATTTGAACACTTACCAGGTTGTCACGGAGAAGCTGCATGATGAGAGTAGAGTCCTTGTAGCTCTCCTCGCTCAGGGTGTCGAGCTCTGCAGACAAATATTAGTTTTGACCAATGCACGTGGCAAATCTGCATTTTAACATACCAGCAATGGCATCATCAAAGGCAAGCTTGGCGAGGTGGCAAGCCTGGTCGGGGGAGTTCAGGATTTCGTAGTAGAAGACAGAGAAGTTAAGGGCAAGTCCGAGACGAATGGGGTGGGTAGGGGCAAGGTCGGTGGAGGCGATCTCGGTGGCAGCCTTGTAGGCCTCCAGAGAGTAGTCGGCAGCACCCTTGCGGCGGTCGCCAATGGCGAACTCGGCAAGGTAGCGGTGGTAGTCACCCTTCATCTTGTGGTAGAAGACCTTGGACTCGCCGGTCTGGGCGGACTTGATGAGGTGCTCGTCCAGGACCTCGAGGATATCGTCGCAGATCTTGGCAAGCTCGGCCTCGATCTTTTGGCGGTACTCCTTGATGAGAGTGACCTGGGACTCGTTGCCCTTGGACTCCTCCTTCTGCTCAATAGAGGTAACGATTCTCCACGAGGCACGGCGGGCACCAATGACGTTCTTATAGGCGACAGACAGGAGATTGCGCTCCTCAACGGTGAGCTCAACATCGGCCGAGGCGACGACCTTCATGTTCTCGACCATCTCTGCGTCGCATTGTCAGAGATCTGTGCAACTAAACAATCTAGAGTTGAGAAACCAACCTTCATAGCGCTCGGCCTGCTCAGCGAGCTTGGCGAGGTAAACAGCGTCTTCGTGACCCATGGTGAATATGTGTTTTCTACAGTCGAATTATGTTAGCCAATTTTTTTCTTCTCACATGGGCTTTCCTTCTCGGATAGATAATGTTTGAGATGAGGGCTGAGAATCACGCCATGGGACAGTGCAAGTAGGCGATGGCGAGGGGTAGATATCGACCCTCGACCCCCCTTCAAATATACGGGGAAGGGCCCAGTTGAATTCCCATGAGTATCACGTAGAGCGTCTCTGAATCAAAATACTGGAAGCAAAGATTAAAGACCCCAGAGATTTGGCCGATCATGACGATCGTGGCGGTTACAGGGCCCTTGGTTTTCCCGTGTGTCGTTGGGGGGTATCGCAGGCAAGCGGTCGCGGCAACGGTTCAACGAGTAAACAGGGAGACGAGAACATGTGGTTTCCACCGCAAATTGTGACGCGATTCCATGATTTGAATGGGGGAATTGTAGTTTTCAGATGGTCTCTTTCCACCATTGTTGATATGTGTGGGTTTTGCGGTGATGACGGGGGCATAGAAATAGGGCGAGGAAAGGGCAAATTCAACTGGGGAAACGACAGGAAGACACTGACCTGGTTGAAAGAGGAAAAGAAGGTGATTAAGGAATAGAAAGATGGATGGAAGATGGAAGTGAAAGAGTAGGGAGTTGAGAGAGAGGAGGTAGGAGGAAAGGAGGGGGGCAGAAGGCGGTGTTGTTGGGATTTAATTGAACAACCCACTTCTTCGGGCTTTGTGGTTTTTTGTGAAATATAAAAAAAAGGGTACTTGAGGTCACTTGAACTAGTTCTTTTTTTTTAAAAATTAAATTATTTTCCATCTACTAAAGTGTCCAAGAATATATTACTTTTTTGCCCATCTGTATACATATATCTTCTCTCATCGCTTCTGTGTGGTTCGGTGGGCCTCCTACAGCGTCATCCCCCATTCCACATCCGCCAATCGCCCGGGGGTTCCTTACTTGCGCCTCATTCGAGATCACAAAGGCAGACAAGATTGGATCGAAACAGTCTAGAACGAATTGGTATACGGTATAGAGGCTCTACTATCAGGCTATCCGTATCGTAAAAATAACAAAAAGGAAGAGGGAAAAAAAGAGTCACCTGCAGTAGATTGATGATGTGACCATCCCTGTGATCAAAGTAGTTGAAGTACAATCGTATACAACCTGGAAAGGCCCAAGTGCAAGTCGAATAAGAAGGCTGCGACTTATCAGAAATTTTTGTTCACATGACCTAGACTCTGACATAAGCTTGTTTCTCCCGAATACCATCACATGATGTTTCTTGGCACGTAACGTCATTCGCTATAAGCTTGCCTTGCTTTAGTTCTCCCTCGTACTTTGTCAACTTCATCCCAAACTCACTTCACAAATCTCACTTTACCCCCTCTACCATCCAAATCATCAACATGCTTCGTCAATTTGTCCGTCCCGCCGCTACTGCCAACCGGGCAGTCTTCACCCGCTCCTTCTCGGTAGCTGTCCCTCGCATGGGCGAAGGTGACACCGGTGCTCCCCGCTCTGGCGGTGGTGCCTCTTCCGGGTAAGTGAGATGCAGGTTGACTGCGGAGCTTACACTCGAAATTCAATGGCCATGAGCAGATGACAGCCCCATCTCTGCCTTGCCGCAGTTGTATGACATCATATCTGTATGATCGCTAACATCTATCCCTCGACTAGTGACGCATTCACCAAGCGCGAGGCTGCCCAAGAGAGCCTTTACATCCGTGAGAAGGAGCTCGAGAAGTAAGTTTCGCAGAGCCGAGAACAATCAGGTTGGAGCGGGGAGCTAATTGATTTGACAGGCTTGCTCAGCTAAAGAAGAAGATTAGCGAGCAGCGCAAGCACTTGGATGAGCTGGAGACCCACATGTAAGTTGCAAGTCTGGAAATACTCTCCTGACTATTTTCATTTTCTGTTAAATGTAAATCGCATGACTGACTGGCTTCTCTATAGTGATGGCTTGAGCCGCTAATCGACTCCACCCATTTTATCTTATGTTTAATATGAAGAGCTCCTCCAATTGCTGTGTATAATACCATCTCCGCTCCAACAAGCTATCGTACTTGCCTGCTGCCTTGAGATCGTGCCGTTTTCAGCGCCTGTTCCTAAACAAAGCACCTCTCTGCCATAGCATGTTATAGAGTTTCTCTGCTCTTGTTGATACAGTGCCCAGTAGCTCGCTTGGAAATATCATTGAGAAGGCTCGGCAGCATCTGCTAGTATTTAAATCTGTAGGCTTAGTATGTATACTACCTATACATATTCCCGGTCTTTGTACAAGCAAAAGAGGTTTCATATTTTTTGGTGGATAATGTCTATCGTTTCTTTAGGAAGACCTCAACTAACCCAAGAAAATTGTCTTGCAGTGAATATTAATCGATAATGCGTGTAAACAATGTACAAGAATATGTATAACTAGTTACTATGTAAGTTCGAATATTGTATCCATGGATGTTGCCAACCTTTGAACCGTCTCCACATAAATAAAGCGGGACTGTTAGCTACCTTGAGGCTCCTTCCATTTTACCTAGACTAGGCCTCCAATAAATACCCCGTCATGACTCTCCTTATCCTACCAAACGAGCTTCTGCTAGCCATAGCAGAGGCTCAAGAGTGCCAAAGAGACATAAATGCATTCGCAAGAACCAGTCGCCGCTGCTATACCCTCCTGAACCCCTTTCTCTATGCCTACAACGTCCGACAGCACCAAGGGAGCGCACTCCATTGGGCAGCAAGCCAGGGACAACTAAGAACAGCCGAAGAATCACTCCGACAAGGAGCAGATATCGAATCATGGCACAGGAAAACAGGAAAATCGCCATTGATACAGTCCGTTCACTGTGGTCATGCAGATATTGTTGCGCTGCTGTTGGCACATGGAGCCAACCCGCATGCCAAGAGCGGCGGGGGGACCAAAGACGCAATCACAACGGCTGTGTTCCGCAACAGAGCAGCCGTCACTAGCATTTTGCTTGATAACGGCGTTGATGTGAACTTGGCGGACTATAAGGGCAGCCTATTGCATCTTGCGGCTGAAAAATGGCACAACAGCCGCGCGGCAGTGGCGAGAGTCCTTATCGAGAAAGGTGCCAACCTGGAATCTATGAATGATGTGAAACAGACTCCGTTGCAGGTAGCGTGTGAGTCTGGCTCCGTGGAAGTGGCCCGATGTCTAATAGAAAGCGGTGCCGATCTGGATACGCGGTGTCGACATGGAAGGTCGCTCCTGCACCTGGCATCCTCCATGGATATCAAGACCACTAAGTTGTTAGTGGAGAAAGGAGCCGATCTCGAGGTGAAAGACGAGCATGGTGAGACACCACTGCATCTGGCATGCTGGGATGGCCGGGTAGAAACAGTAGCGTTCTTGCTGGACCAGGGTGCAGATATAGAGGCAAGATCGTTAAATGGGAACACACCATTGCTGCGGGGGTTACTCTGGGAGGGCACTGTATGCAGAGACCTGGGGCCGGCCTCTGTGACCACTCTATTGCTGGAACGAGGTGCCAATCCAGGGCGGGGAAATGATTACAACATCACACCATTGCATTGTGCGACGTCGAAAGCTGATATAGGACTTTTCAAGACACTCCTACAATATGGTGCCGACCTAGAGCCAAAAACTAGGCTGGGAGCGACGCCGCTGCACAAATTAGCGCGTTCTGGCTCTCTGGACTCAGCAAGGCATTTGTTGCAGAAAGGCGCTGATGTACAACCAAGGGATAGAGAAGGCAATACGCCATTGCACATGGCAGCGCAGAGAAATGATGTGGAATTCGTCAGGTTGCTGCTAGCAGCAGGCGCTGACTGGCTGATCAAGAATCACAAGGGTCAATTGCCTGTACATCTAGCATCAGAAGGAGCACAGAAATCAGAAGAAAGACACAGAAAAGTGGTGCATCTTCTGGAGGCTCAGTCCGAGCATCAAAATTAGTAATGGTGACCAGAAGGACATAATATACAATGAGCATCTGAGAAGAATTGGTCAATCCTATTGCATTGGATTCTACAAAGGTTCAAGATTGTTAATCACAAAGCGCATGCAAGCATTTCATTGTGACCGACTATTAGCATTCCCTGGCTACAACAGAACATTCCCCCAAAGCACATCGAGGTGCCAAGTAGCCGATAACTCCGAGTTCAAATCATTAGAAAAAGCCATCCACCCCTTTACCGCCCTTGCATGAACGAGCGGTAGAAATCATCAGCGGTGTTGTTGTTGCCCATACCATTGTTAGGATAGCCGTATCCGAGACGGGCAGAGATCGATTGGCCCGCTTTTTGGGCGGCAGCAACCTTGGACTGCAGGTCCGAGGTGCCTTGGTCGATGACTTGCAGCTGGGACAGGTGTGCGTTCAGAATGCGGACAATCTGCGAGATCTATAGAGATGCGTGAGCCAAAAAATTCCTCACAAAAAGATGATTAGTACTGGTATGTGACGTACCGGCTCATCTGCCTTGTTGGTCTTGGTCAATGTGGATGAGGCACCGTTGACCTCTTCAATCATGCTGGTAAGATCTTTGCCCATTTCGTCCAAGCGTTCCGAGAGCTTCTCGGCCAGTTTGTAACTAATGGCCATATTAGCAAAACCATAAATATCAGATGTCGTGTTGCAGGTTGTACTTACGTTGTCTCACGCTCTTGATCAGGTCCTTGAAGGGACTCTCCAGGGCCCACCTGCTTGGTAACCATCTCGTCGACTTCACGCTCGTATCGATCCAACCATGAGCTGAGCTCATCCTGTTGACCTTCAACCGCTGACAATTGGCGCTCAACTTCCTGGGTAGCTCGATCCGCGTCAACAGTGCTGCCGTACAGCTTCTGAACTTTGGTACCATTATCCACCAGCAGACGGTCCCACTCGGAAACCTTCTCCGCCTGCTCGCGGAAGTCCTTCTGGTATTTGCCGAGATCTGTGGCCCATCGGGTGATGATCTCATCCATGGTTTTGTTCTTCAGGCGTGACTGGGCTGGAGGAGCTGGCCCCGTGGTAGACTGGCCAAGGGCGGCGGGCCCAGCTGGAGCAGCGCCAGCAGCGGTTGTAGTCGGAGCAGCGGTCGTTTGAGTACCAAGGCCACCAAGGGGTGCTGAACTGGTGGGGGCCGCTGCCTGAGTCGAAGGCGTAGTAGCAGCTTGACCGAACAAGCCGCCCGTAGGTGCAGCAGGGGTAGTAGTAGCAGGCGCGGCAGTGGCCGCGGTACCTGGAGTAGTAGAGGGAGCTGAGGCCCCAAACAGGCCTCCCCCAAGAGGAGCCGTTGCCGGAGTAGTGGAGGGAGCAGCTGCGGATGTGGCACTCCCGGTGGAAGGGAAAAGAGACTTTTGAGGTGTAGCACTCGACGTGGCGGGGGCTCCTAGTGAGAGTGTTGTGTTTGCGGTGGAGGCAGGAGGAGCGCCGAGGGACGGGAATGCAGACTTCGAAGCGGAGTCGCCGCCGGGAGCAGCTTTATTGTTAAACAGAGACGGTGTCTGCGAGCTTTGCGCACTAGCCGCGGGTGCAGCTGCGCCGAAGAGTGGCTTGGAAGTGGTCTCTGCAGTAGTCGTAGGAGCAGTTGACTCGGCCGGCTTGTTTGCACCGAACAGACCGCCGCTGGGTGCAGCAGCGGTTGCGCCACCTCCAAACAGCGGCTTGGTTGCTCCCCCTCCAAACATATTGTTAGATGGCTGCGCCTGTGCGGTAGCAGGTGTGGTAGACGACGGCGCTGCGGTGGGGGTAGTCGAGGCTCCCGGTTTCGCAGACCCGAACAAGCTGCTGGGTGGGTTGGATGCAGGCGGGGGACCAGCAGGGGTGGTGGAGTTATTGCCAAACAGATTGCCTCCCGCGGGAGCAGGGGTAGCTGTCGGGGCCGCGTTGCCGAACATGCTCTTTGTGCCTCCGCCACCGAACAGCGCATTGCTGGCAGGTGCGGTCGATTCTGTAGGCTTGTTGGGAGTCTGGCTGCCGGCAGCGGCGCCGAAGAGTGAGTTGGGCTGCGTGCCAGTTCCGGATGGAGCCTTGCCTCCGAAGCTGAAGGCCGAGGTACCGCCGTTGGTCGCATTGGAAGCGCCTGCATTGCCGAAGGTTGGTGTACTTTGGCCACTTGCGGAGTTTGCTCCAAACATCGACGGCGATGCGCTGTTGGCGGTGGACGAAGCTCCAACATTACCGAAGAGGCCACCACTAGACGCATTGTTATCCTTGTTGGCGCCGAAAGCATTGCCCGCTGTGCCAAAAAGACTTCCACTAGAGGCGCCAGTAGAGGCCGGGGCGCCGAAAGAGAATGCCATGGTGTTGGTGATCGAGCTTTAGGATTGGGAGGGAAAAAGCTGAACGGAGAGAAAGCACCAGCGACACACGGAGCAGGGAAGGTGGGCCTGCAGAATGGATCAAAAGATCCAACAATGGGAGAATGGAGCTCTTGATTGAATGGATTGAGACAAAGAGCCTAAGGGTGGAATGAGAAAGGCAGGACAAGAAAGTCGAGACAATTAGACAATAATAATTGGAAGGAGTTTGGCAAGCACGCGCTGAAATGTTGGAGCCTTGAATATAAGGCAGTATTGATGCCTGAATAAATTGGCCGAAATTGACCAACTTATTGATAACAAGCTGGTGCCTAAGGCAGACATGTTCTGGACTCACATCGATCGAAACAAGTCGTCACTGCACACTACACACGGCCCCATTGCATTTTGAATTATTCATTTCTGTGTGCCCCTTCTTTCATGTTAACACCCTGAATTCAAGCTGCAATCATGTCGGAGGGGCCGTCCGATTTGTCTAGTTCGCATCTAGAGCCCCCCAGCAGGACTACAGAAATGCAAGATCCAGGAGCTGGCGACCATGGTACATAACCCTTGGATATACTTGAATATTTATTTGAAACTGACATATTCTCTATCAGCTTCTGAAAGCGACGATGAACACTTCTCGGACGCCAGTGAAGGCAATCCCCAACTCCAGTCACTACCACAATCCGGTCGCACTTCCCCTGTCCCACGAACCCGCGTCGAGAGGGTTGACAGCAGCACCCGACATGGCGAGATTCCTGGCACAGCAGCATTCGAAAAGAGAGAACAGGATGCAGTTCCTGATGAGATCGAGGTTATTCCAGAAGGCTCACGCAGCCAGACGCGTTCGCCCGCGGGGTCAGAGGACCAAAGCTTGAGTCCAGAAGGCTTGCCGATTCCGCGCACAGTGGTTGAGAAGGTGGACCCAGATGAACCCAGCCACGGCGAAGTCCCTGGCACATTGGCACATGAACAGCGTCTCGCCGATGCTGTGCCCGACGTGGTGACCAAGGCTTCAGATTCCGAGAGCAGCCCAACGCCACCAACATTCGACCCTACACCTCCTGAGGTTGATGGGTCTACAGCAGACATTCCTGAGACACGGCTCGAGCGGGTGGATGAAATACCCACCGAGGAAGACCTAGCGCCACACCCACAAGCTCATACAAGCGCAACGAGTGACGCATTACCCGATACGGTAGAAACCGTCCCGGATGTCTCAATAGATGACACAGACCTGGAAACCAAAAACCTCTCATTGGAGGATGACATGAACGACGACCACGGATATGAAAAGCAAGAAGCGGGTGATGATTTTGATGAATTTGTAGAAGAGCAGGAAGACATGGGAGATGATGATTTTGGAGATTTCGACGACGGCTTCCAAGAAGTCAGTGCAGAGGAAGCTCCCACGGACGATACTGCGGCATCTCAGCAATCTCGCGCACCTCCACCTCTTACTGACTTCGACTCATTCAAATCCACCTCCGAACTCCTCGATTCCCTCCAAGACACCCTCAACATCCTCTTCCCCGAATCCCAAGACCTAAGCTCACTCACCCCTGTCGAGCCAATCCCAGACTCCGCAGCAATCTTCAGCACCGAGCGATCCCTCTCACTATGGTCCCAGCTCGTGGCACCACCACCCCTCCAGCCCCAAAACTGGGTGAAATCCCGCATCCGCCGACTATTCCTCGTATCCCTGGGCGTCCCCGTTGATCTGGATGAGATCCTCCCAGCATCCAAACAGAAAAAGCTTGTTCTCCCTTCTATTGATCTTGAAGGCACCGGCGCAAAGAGCCCCGGGGCTCGCTCTGGCAGTCAAGTCCGCAAAGAAGAAGGCAACGACAACAACACCGAAAAGGGGCAAGCCCCCTCCCGCCAAAGGGCCACTCCCCGCCGCGGCGCACCGCCGGCGCCGGAAATAGACCTCTCGGCAGTTCGCCGGCTGTGCGCCACTACCGATGCTGCACTGAACGGTCTCACGGATCCAGAGTTGAAGCTGCATGTCGAGGAACTAAACCAGGTTGCTCAGCGCGCCAGTTCAGTATTGGAGTACTGGCTGAAGCGGCGGGATGGCTTGGTTGGCGAAAAAGAGGCTTTCGAGGGCGTCATTGAGAACCTCGTTAGTCATGTCAGGAGAGTCAGAAAGTAGTCTTTCCTTACTCCGGGCACTTGGTGTACTACCTAAATGCCCAATATAATATATTCTGTATAATCTAATGTCGATACTAGAGAAACTTATTCATCTGGAATAGATGTAAGCAAGTTCTTAGTCCACGGGTCTACACTACTCGAGAGGTAAGGGAAGATTCTAGTTAAAACTGGGCTAGCCGTTGAGTTTCACATAAAGCATTGGTTTCGTTTCGTTTCGTTTCGTTTCGTTTCATATCATAGCTTTTTTTCCTTTTTTTCAAGTATGTTTCCATTCTGTTCGTGACACCTTGAGACAAACAAAGAAAAAGCCGGACGCAGCCGTAAGATCCAGTCTCCCCAACGCCAGCAACGACAGATCATGAGAGAACATAAAGAAATGCATTTGAAGGTCACGCAATAAGGGGTATCTTTCTTTTCAAAAGCATGCAAAGATAAACGAAAGACATTGGAGGGCCAGGGCTGTTAGAAGAGGAGAAGAGGAGAAGAAGAAGAAGAAGAAGAAGAAGAAGAAGAAGAAGGGAAGAACTTTTGTTGGAAACCCCGATGAACTCATTAGTCCAATTCAATGACCGTATGTTCTTGAGTACGAACAGCCGGGCTGTGACTACCATGAGACACATTGTTCCTGGGGCGCATGGCAACTGGGCCCAAAGAGCCTTCAGCCTTGCGCTTTGGGGAAAAGGGTTTGTCTGCCCCGGGTGAGGTCTCATCGGTGTCGTACTTGGGGTTCCAGGTTCCATCAGCCTTGATTTGGATTGATCTGATCCCGCTAAGTCTGTTTGTACGGGCGAGCTGGGCGTGGACCTCGACAAGGAACTGATCGACAACCAAAAACTGCGGGCGTGCATCTCCCTTGCAGATCGGGCAGCGCCAGTTATCGACCATTGGAGTCGGGCCGGATACGGACTTCCTGGTGTGTATGAAAGTGTCACGGTCGAAGCATTCATGGTGGTTGCAGTGGCGCGAGCGAACGGGGACATCAAAGATGCGTGCCATGAAGGGATCCACTAGGTCGATTGTGAGGTTGTCGGTGACAACAGCTAGATCATCGTCGTCGGTGATAGGAGAAAGACGCTTTTTGATTGCTGCACGAGACTCGGCGGCTGGGACGGATTGGACCAGGCTGATTATCTGGTCGAACTCGGCGATCTCCATGACCTCCACCCCAAAGACGAATTTGGAAGTCTTGCACTCATCCTGTCCTAAGATTATATCGAGCCGTACGTCGTTTTCACCTGTTTTGAGGTGCTCGGTGATGTCCAAGGGCAGGTCTTTTCCGTTGTGGACCTTTCGACGCACATAGAGCTCTTTGCCGTTTACAGTAATGTAAAAGACACTGGGCCAGAAAGTGCCCGCGGTGGACCAGGTCTGCTCCGTCACAGTATCCGGATTGCCAGGAAGACGAATGCATCGCAGGCGAATAGTCCGGCAACCGGGCCTAAAGGTCCAAACCGAACATTGGCTCTCCTTCCCGTGAGCTATGTGTGGGAACTTTTGGCGTTCATCATGTGTGAAGGAGAAATTCCACGTGTAGATCGGCTGGTCAACGTTGACGACGGTTGGGTTCACAACGAAGGTATGCAGATAGGTGAACAAATCAGTCTCAATGTAATTGCCATCTGAACCTTGTTTTACCAGCCTCTTCATAGGATCGCGAAGATCAACCAGATGTAGGCCGAGACGTGTTGGATTTGGATTCACCATCATGGGTGCTCTGTAGCCAGGTAACGGGAGGAAGGCAGAGTTAGGTAAAGGCTGGAAGTGCTGTCCCTGAGGAGGCTGTCGCTGAGGAGGCTGTCCTTGAGGAGGCGCACGTGTGGTTGGCGAAGCAGACGACTGCAAAGTCATCGAATGCTGTCGGTGGTGATGGTTATTAGGCCTTTGTGGTGGCATCGGGTGCTGGGCCATATGGTTTGTTGTAGTCGGCGTCGTGGATATGGGCGATGGAGCGTGGAGTGACTGCACTGACTGCGTAGAGGTGGGAGCACTCGATTGAAGGGAGGTGGTGGAGGGGTTAGTAGGCGCTACTGAAGTCGGAGGCATCCCGGTTCGACGCTGCAATTGTTGACCATGTGAACCTGGCAGTGGTTGGTGCCTCCGAGAAGGTGGTACATGTCCAAGCGCTATCTGCATGTGCATTGGTGGCATCTGTGGATTCATATGTGGATTCACTGGATACCACGGTCCTTGTCCCTGCCCCTGTGACATGGGGTTGTAATAAGGAGTCTGTGGGGTATTCTGCACTTGTGAGTTTACACCAAATTGATAGGACCCAGCAGCTGGGCCAACAACCTGACCCTGGGGTGAATTCAAGGGGAAATGCTGCAAAGGTGCGCCAAGTGGGCTTGGAGCAGGTGAATTTGTGGCAGGTTGACTGACACCAGTAACCGAAGATCTGGGATAGGGTGACGGTACTCCTAGAGCGGCTTGAGATATGGGTTGATTCTGAGGTCTGGGAGGTGGTGCAGAGTGGGAGGAAAATGGTGTTTGTGATAGATACTCGGACGAACGTGGGAAGTTGAGATACTCTTGAGCAAAATTCCGGTTGTGAGCCTGCAGAGTAGTCCCAGGAAGTTGAGAGTCCCTACACTGCTGGAAAACTTTGAAATCTTTCCAGAATAACTTCAACAGGGGTTTGATATATTCCTCGTGGTGAAGGCGCCGTGCAACACACATGAACATCACCGACATCAAAATTGGAGATGGACAAGCGAGCACTCCCCAAAGATGAGACACCAACGGGGGATGATGGGCCTGAAGCCAGATGCTCTGCCATTCAGTTGCAAGCCGTGATAAAAACTCAGGAATACCGGACAGCACCTGGAGGTACCACCTTGTCTGCATCAACTGCTGTGGAGATGACGGGAAATGGGCAAACCCAATGATAGCGGTTTCATGCATCTTTCCATTGTTTTCCAGAAGAGGGATGAGCGATTCCATGCCCGCTTCAGGGGCTCTAATTTGACCCAATGTACTTGGATCAATGCTATACCGGCAGTACAATTGATGCATCACCAAATAGAAAGCGTCCTTACGACTAATGGCCTGGCGCAATAGGTCGATCCGAGGCAGAATAACATTTGTCTCCCTCGAATGAACAGGAGTCAGTGCTCCCCTTGCGTGCAAATCATCTATCAGGGCATCCAATTGAGAAGACCATTGTGCCCATGCTTCATTGGGGATAGCCACAGCCCCAGCTCCAGCTCCCCCATTCTGCTGCGGGCTAGGTCGTGACCCTGAGACTGTGTGTTCTTGTGTGCTAGCGCCAGTGCGTGTGCCTGTGATCGAGGGCGAGTTTGTGGACCAGTTGGGTCCAGGATGAGGGGACTGGGTCACACGTTGTGACGTGGCGAGCCCGCTGGGAAGAGGTTGGACCGCCATGCGCTCATCATTGCCACGCTGTGCCGTGAATAGTGTAGAGATTGGCGGCAGCGTGGAGGGTCTATTTGAGACGATCGCATCGGCGTTCACGGGACTTGGGTTAGAATTTGTACTAAGAACGGGTGAGGGAAGAGCTGTCGCGTGCGTGTCGGGGTTTTTTGCCGTATGAACAGGACCACGTGAGGGAGGTTGGGTAAGGGTCTCACCGGGCGTGACGGGGGACATCAAGACAAGCTCGTGGGGAAGAGAGTTGGGAGGGACTGGAAGGTCAACCTCGACGCGAGGATTTCGCGTAGCCGAGTTCTCCGGGGCGTTAGTCTGCGGGCCCATCCAGTTCCTCCGCACGCCGCCTAAAAACAGACTGGCGGTAGTGTTGGACTCTTCAATATGATCAGCACTAGTGTGCGATCGAGATTTAGGCGATACCATGACGATCGAGTAAGTTGTCGAAACATCAGGATGATTTTGTCCAAGTCCCTTAATAAAGGGCGCTTACAACAGTGTTTGAATAAAGAATCCTAGACTCCTTTAGCGCTTAGATACCATAATAGGAATGGATCCGTGCAGAGTGAAAGCACAATAGACGCAGGTAGTGACTCTGGGATTAACCTACTACTGCTACTACGGAGAAGGAGTACTAGTCCTCCGTAGTACTAGTACTAGTACTAGTAGTAAATCCTACTAAGTAATAAGAAATAAAAAATACAATCTATATCGGGTAGACTTGGGCAAGAATGACCGGGTTCATCTGCATATAAGCAGTACACATGTGCATGTACTATGTACGAAAACGGAATACTAAATTGTTCAAGTTATGTTGCTAATTACCATTCAAGCTAGTAATTATTATTGTAATTATATGTAATAACCTTGAAAGTTGTGCCACCCCTCAGCCCAACATCTCTCTCAACCACGGAAAGCGTCAAAGTCCAGACTCTTACAATTTCACACGTCACTTTCGCCTTTTCTTCTTTGCAATTTTTGGTATATTTTGATATTGCACATGTTATATTGACTACCTAGGTATATTCTATTTGATGTGTGTGTTTCTTCATACTTATCAATATTCTTGAACATCTGGAACATCCTTCGGTCTGGTATGATATATCTCGTGTTTGCACAGACATAATCCTTTCTGCAAAGGAAAAAAAAAAGAATACAGAAAAATACCAAGCTCCCGAGTTCGGGATCCTTCGAGGTTCGTGCTCCCGAGCCCCGCGAGTTGTTTAACCTAATCCTCTCTAATCTCTGGGATCTCTCGAATCTTTAGTTTTCTCACATTCTCTCCCTTTTGTACCTTCTGCCGAAATCACATTACTCTCTCCCCAGAGGGATACGCGATTGCAATCTGCAATTTGCAACTCGTTCCCAAAGGGTGCCATGTCTTGTGTTTCCTCTTGACTAGAAACACGGAATATTGAGAGATGGTCACCATGGGCCCACCACAGGGTGTTCGTCCCGGCGACATTCTAGAGGTTCTTCGTAAGTGACGTCGTGTGCGACACCTTGATTTCTGTGACTCCCGCTTCTCAGCGATGCGCCCGGCTTCTAACACTCCAAACTAGATGAATTTGGCGGGCGCGGAGAAGATGAACTGATCATGTTACCCCGCGACAAGATTGAATTGATCGAGTTGGATGAAGGATTTGGAGATGCCTGGTACTACGGCAAAAACCTTAGGACGGGACAAACTGGTCTCTTCCCTGCGAGTATGCGCGCCCCCTCCCCAGGACCCCCTCACCAACCTCCCGACTATTCCCCCCAGCTAATATTTGTGCGCAACAGACTTTACCAAAGTGGGCTCCCCAAGAAAGACCCTCGCTGAGTCGCCAGTACTTGTAGAGTCGCCGATACAATTGGAATCCCCTGCGCCCGCAGATTCATCATTCGCATCAGTCGGGAGCGGGCAGAGCACCCCTCAAGCATCGCGCCACGTTAGCTCCAACGATATGCAATCACCGCAAATTGGTTCTCCCACACAGCATCGATCTGCCTCGTCTCCGCTGCCTCGCCCAAGCCTGGCGGCCGATATTCAGCAAGCCTTTCGTGGTTCGATGGACAATCATGTGAATGGCGAAGAAAGTCCGGTCATGAATGAGACCTTGAGTGTCATTGACGAGCACATCACGGACATGAACACCCCACGTCACAGCGTGTCAACCCAAGAACCCAGGACGATCAATGATTCCGGCAGCGAGTACAGCAGCCATATTGGCCACAGGGCTTCTTATATCAATGGACATGAAACCGACGACGAGGAGCAAAATCATCCAACCGAGCAGGAGGTGCGGAAATGGAGTCAAACACAGACTTCGAGGTGCTTGCGCGGGCTAGGCATTGATTCAAAACACTGTGACATCTTTGAAGAACAAGAGATCACCGGTGATGTGCTTCTTGATATGGATCAAGATTTTATTTTCATGAAGGAATTCGATTTTGGAGTCATGGGCAAACGGCTCAAGACCTGGCACAAGATCAAGGCATTCCAAGAAGAGACCAAGGGCTTCAGTCAGCAGCAAGCCCTAAGAGACTCCATCTCCGGCTTCTCAGGACCTTCCGATGAACGTGCATTGTCTCGCGCTGGACACACCGGTCCACTTCTTCCTCGGATTTCGACCTTGTCAGAAAAGACCGGCGCTGGTTATCCACGAGCCTCTGCACCGGTGCAACACCCCCGACTGGCCAGCAACAACAGCTCGCCCATGACACCGCATACCCCTCCATACAGCCATGATTCCCCGAGGAGAATTTCTGCGGCATCGCTCCGTGATCTCAACCAATCGCGTCGTCATTCTTCCATTGACGCCACTCAACGCGGCATGTCTGATTCCGTTTTCGTTGGTCATCAAAAGAAACCCTCATTCGACCGGTCCTGGACTCTGAATTCCGGCCCCCAATCCATGCCCGCTCGCCCAGGGACCTCCGCGGGCACTAGTCCGGGTTTCCAGAGCGGACCGCCGACCGCTGAGTCAGATTCTTATACCAACTCTTATATCAGCACCCCGGATCAGATTGAGGACCTAGATCGGGGTTATTTCTCGGGGACCGAGGTTGACTCGCGCCGAACCCGCCGGGTTCTACAGAAACGGGGGTCCGCCGGTGTCGGCGTAAACAGTCACTCGCGAAAATCAAGCTATGCAGAAGATCCATATAAAGTGATATCCCCGGCGAAGCGCCACTCTCGCATTGGGAGTGTGGACTCAATCCGTGACGCAGCAAAGCATGTCTCCCCCGCTGCCCAGGCCTATCACGGCACGCCACCGAAGAGTCGACTGCGGAGCTTGAGCACGCGCGTCTCAACTGATAGAAGTGGGAACAACTCTCAGTCGTCAACCACCGAGAGCAAAACTAGTAGCGGTGGTGGGTTCTTCGCCAACTTCCCTCGGGTCGGCAGCAAAGGTGATTCGGAAAGCTCTTCTTCTCGCGCTTCGCCGTTGCAATTCCAGCCACTGAAGAATGCTGGGCCCAAGTTCCGCCGAGCCATGGGCCTTCGTGCCATATCCGACGTCGTTGGGAAGAAGATTGACACATCTGCGCCTCCCGACTCGCCGCAGGAGTCCGATCCTACCTCTGCTCGCACCGGATCCACAACTCCATCAGCGACATCCAAGAGCTCGGAACGGCATAGTACAGATGGGTCTGGTAAGGCCGCCACTGACGGACATGGATTCGTAGTACGTCCTCGGACCGTCAAGTCCAAGAAGGAGACAAGTGCCTATACTCGGGGTCTTGAGAAGAAGACACCGCATGAGCAGATGAACGGTTGTGACTACAGTGGATGGATGAAGAAGAGATCCTCCAACTTGATGACCACCTGGAAGCCCCGTCTGTTCGTCCTGCGCGGTCGTCGTCTGTCTTATTACTATTCCGAGGATGACACCGAGGAAAGAGGCTTGATCGACATCACCGCTCACCGTGTCCTGCGAGCGGATCAAGATCCGATCATCGCTCTACACGCAACCATCACCGGCTCAACCGCGTTGCCGGCCAATGCCAACAATACCGTGGATAGCCCTGGCGGCACGAAGCTCACCACACCCTCGGTCATTCAATCACTGACCACCAAGGACGGCAGTGGGCCGTTCTTCTTCAAGCTGATGCCCCCAAAGTCAGGCAACTCGCGCACTGTGCAGTTCACAAAACCGGCCACCCACTACTTCCAGGTCGACAATGTACAGCAGGGTCGTCTGTGGATGGCAGCTTTGATGAAAGCGACCATCGAGCGTGATCTAGGACAGGCAGTGGAATCCACCAACAAGCAAAAGACTATTAGTCTGAAACAAGCCCGACTGATGAACCAGCGGCCGCCGGAGCTGATGCCTGCTTCGGGCAGCACCAAGAACGCGCAGACCATCGATGAGGAAGAGGAAGAGCCGGGTCTCCAAATCGAGGGCTTGAACCTCAGTCAGTCCGATGCCAACTCGTTCGAGGACACGAACGGCAGTAGTATGGACATTAACAACACAGATGAAGGCCTTAAACGACCTCTTTCTAACCCCCTTGGAGACTTGGACAATGGTCACTCGTCCTTGCTTCCGGATCCTCTGACCAAGACGGAATCTAAGTGAATATTTATTGGGGCCCCTATTATTTGTGTGTGACCTTGCTTGGAATTATGCGAAGGATATCTTTTGGCCATTCTTGTTTTGTTTCTTTTTGCTGGCGTTTGATGTGATATACCCCTCGCTCAGACTTCTTCCCTTTGTTGACTCGGGCCAATTTCGTCATTGCAGGTACGTTGGTCGCTGGGGAATTTAGGTGGGAGTATGTGATTAACTTGCTTATGGACACGAAGTTGACTGGAGCTGAGCGTTATTCCTTATACTAATTGCGTCTTCAAATGTAGATACTATAATAATTCATACAACTATGGCTAGTTATTTGCTTCTACTCATCACCTTGGCACTCTCATAGTAATCACCGCCCAATATACCGCCAACTCTTACTACTGGCAGTATATGGCCACCATCCTACCGTTGTATATAAACAGCTTACATACTTTAAATATTTCCTGATACTAGGTTTATCAATACTTGGTGATATTGTTTACAATAACTCGATTATAAGGTCGTCCTTTTTGACTTGGGTAGTTCAATCCTATAGCCGGTGTCACCGTATATATGTGCGCTATCTTTATCGATTAGCGATGTCCGCACCTATGTTTCTTCTCCTTTCCACCATTCAAGACAACTCTTTTCAATATGCTGTATAGGTCTTTATAACGTTTATCCTTCTTCTGTCATTTTAGATCCCTCATGTCCCTCCGCTGGCTGCTCTCCCGCACCTTTGCGCTCCTTCTTCCACTCACAGTGACCGCCACTGTTTACCTCTATCTCTACCCAGTCTTCAACGGATGCGCCTTTCCTCTACCACAGTCTGCCTCACGGTCAAGTGAGAAGCAGCTATACCATAATTCGGTGATCAATACGCTTTTCCAACACCTTAGCGTTTCAGCCTCAGACACAAACAGTCAACCCGCCATCTTTAGACTCCTAGTCCTCGCAGACCCCCAATTGGAAGGCGACTCCTCGCTCCCTTTTCCCGAGTATGAATTATACCCCCCGCATGCAGACGCACTGGCATGCCATCCAGGAAGCAATTGGCAATGCCTCCACTTCACCTCTGCTGAACGAGGACGTCCTCTCAAACATTACAACCGGCCTCCAAACCCTCGCGACCGAAGACATTCCACGCGCCTTCAAATCAGGCCTGAAACGCCTCGACCTCTTCGGCAACGACTACTACCTCGCGCACATCTACCGCACGCTATTTTGGTGGACCCGACCGACGCACACAACGGTGCTGGGTGACTTGGTGGGGAGCCAGTGGATCTCCGACGACGAATTCGCCTGGCGCGGACACCGGTACTGGAACCGCGTGTTCCGCGGCGGAGAGCGGGTCGACGACAACATCACCAGAACCGGTGCTGCGGGTTGGAGCCAGGGCGAAGGCAGCAATGCGCCGCCATTGGAATCCCTTGGCGCGGATCGGGCCTGGGCTAGGCGCGTGATCAATGTTGCGGGAAACCATGATATTGGATATGCGGGGGACATCAGCGAGGCGCGGATGGAACGGTTTGAGCGTGCGTTTGGCCGTGCGAATTGGGATGTGCGGTTCGAACACCCGCCCATCTTGTCCTCGTCTGCGTCTGCTGGAGACCAGGTTGTTACCCCTACTCTGCACCTCATTAACCTCAATTCCCTCATGTTCGATACCCCCGCGCTTTCTGCGGAGGTCCAGAGCCATACGTATTCTTATCTGAACAAGCTGATTGCCGATCGGCTCTCGCCGGTCGAGGACCGGTCGGCTTTTACTTTGCTTCTGACACATCTGCCCCTGCACAAGGAAGATGGCGTGTGCACGGATGGGCCGTATTTCTCATTCCGCGATTCTGACGACGAGGACGGTCCCGACGGTGTGCCCCGGTGGCTTGACGGTGGTCTCAAGGAGCAGAACCATCTCAGCGATACACTCAGCGCTAGCGGGATCCTGCAAGGCATCTTTGGGCTGAGCGGCGACGAGAATGCGCTTGCTGGTGGCCAGGGCCGGAACGGGATCATTCTTACGGGCCACGATCACACTGGCTGTGATGCTGTTCATTTTGTCAACCGCACTGAAACAGCCGACGACAACGGCTTGTCTCAGGCGTGGAAGTGGGCTGCCAAGCGCTTCAATGAGAGCCAGCACATCGACGACCCATCAATCCGGGAGGTGACCCTCCGCTCGATGATGGGAGAGTTCGGTGGTAATGCCGGTCTCCTTTCGGCATGGTTTGACGAGGCCGCTGGCGAGTGGAGCTATGAGATCACCATGTGTCCAGCTGGCGTGCAGCATATCTGGTGGGCGGTCCATATCCTCGTGCTAGTGACGCTGGGTGTGGCATTGCTTCGGTTCTTATCTGGTGGTGCTCAGGCGAAGACGGCTGCTCGGAAAGTCCAGTCAGAACAGAAGACTCAGAATGGACAGAAGAAATAATTGGGTTGTAGATTTGTTTTTTATTGTATTAATAGCATTGGACAAAAGAGCGGTTGCATTTGGATACATATATTGCAGAACATATATTTTCACAACAGCGTCGACCAGATATATAACTTGATGACGTGACCTTTGTTGAAGTTGTTCCTTGTTGTATACTTGTGTAAATATAAATACGTCTACGAAGGGCCTTTGAGGGGCCTATGAAGGGTCTACGTAGAGCCATTGGTGGTCATATCAGAGTTCATATATCGGCCAAAGAACAAATAACCAGGACCAAGTCCCCTCCCATACAGCCTAAAACCTTTAGGCCAGCCCTCGAGGTAACGGGCAAGGCATTGCAAAAGGATGTGATTTTAAAGTAATACTTCCGAGAGCCGCCAGTAAAGGGAGGGCGCAACACGAAGATGGAGGATAAAACCGGCTTTAAAATAAACAGTTGGATTTCGTCAAATGGACACCACCTGTCCAGCTCCCATTTTAATCCTATGGTCTCATATGCACCGCATTCCAGGTCCCAAGCAGATTTGAGGTTTGGTATCGTTCTTTTTCTTTAAAATTCGGGTTTTCTCTCTTTACATGACGACACCGGAGTTGGAGGCAATACGCTGGAGAAGAAGTGTTAGCTTTGAGTGGGACATTTGAAAATGGAAAGGAACCCATTTCCATATGGGGTGTATAACGTACGGGCCAGAGCTCAGCAGCTTCCTTTCCGACGGGACCGGTAATGGCGGAACCCTTCATCTCACCCTTGGCGTTGACGATAACTCCTGCGTTGTCCTCGAAGTACAGGAAGATACCGTCGGGGCGGCGCCAGGGCTTGCTCTGGCGGACAACGACAGCGGGCATAACCTTCTTTCGGAGTTCGGGCTTTCCCTTCTTGACAGTAGCCATGACCATGTCTCCGACACCAGCGGCGGGGAGACGGTTCAGGCGGGCACCGATACCCTTCACGGAGATGATGTACAGGTTGCGAGCACCGGAGTTGTCGCAGCAGTTCATCACGGCGCCACTGTTTGACGAAAAGGGACCCGTTAGTGAATTGTTCTAGATCTTGAAAACGTCGTGTTTCGAATGCTGAAAGTGGAGATCCAATTTTCATTTCCTTTCTTCCCGCCGATCTTTTCGTTTTGTTGCATGGCGTATGTTTTTCTGAGAATGTTTGATCGACTGGAAATGATCTGTGGGATCCGGCGGGCAAGAAAGGCGCATTCGAAACAGACTAGACGATAAGAAATTTGTAGACGTACACAGGCAGACCGAGAGTCATCTTGAGCTTGTTGCCAGCGGCACCGCCACGACTGTTTAATCGTTAGTAAGTTTCGTTCTTGTCGATTCGTTCTTTTCCCAATCCGAGCCCCATTCTATCCTCTCGACACAAAGGTGTTGTGTTGCTTGTCCATGCTTGCAAAATAATTCTGTATCGGTTCGGAATCGAATGGGGCCACGGAGGGAATCGCTGGGAGACTCACCCTCTCTTAGACATGATGGCTGATGATCACGGGGGAAGTTGGGTGAAAAAGGTTGGCGACAAGAGGTCGAACGTCGAGGATCCAAACTGGAGGTGTGCTTTCTCGCTTAGTGGGCAAAGTGCGTAAAATCTTGGCGTTGGCAGGTGATTGGCTGCCTAGCCCCATCGACTTTGCCCTAATGCTAACTCGATTTGGAATAGTGATACGTGTTAATGCCTGAGGCATCAACTGTATACTTCTAGGGTTTAAATGTTGACATTTTGGAATCGGGATTGCATTTCACTGAATAATACATTTGCAACTTTGAAAAAAAAAGCTAGACGAAAGGAAAAGCAGATATCACAGGGATGAAGATAAAATATCAAATGATTCATTGAAAGTCCATAAAAGCAACCCGCCATCTCCCGAGACATTTCTAGGCTAAACCTCGACTTGAGTCTGTCATTCCGCCACGAGTAATGCCCTCCCAGTGTCGAGCAAGATGCGAGCACGCTGTTAAACCGATAACACCTTTCTGCCATTGTCCGTTGCGCCAGATCCGATATTGTCGCCTTTGCACCAGAGCTACTCCTCTTTCTTGGGTTCTGCCAGGTGTTCCAGGTTCTCTTCCTTGGTCGCCGTTGACTCGGTGTCCACAGTAGGAGCAGAAGCTTCGGCACTCTTCTCGAGGGTAGAATCGGCAGCCTCTTTCGGAGGGGACTGGGCCCGCACAGGGGAGGCGGTGGAGCCCCCGACCAGAGGTTTCTCCTCAATGATTGACACTTGAGCCGGAGCCTGTTCAGAGGTCGTGGGTTCAGCGACAGCAGCAGCGTCCTCCATGGTAGTATCTTCATCATGAGGGGGAGGAGACTGATGTTGAGAGGTAGTAGAGGCTTCCTGTTCCTCACTTTCCATAGCCATGTTATCAGCATCAGTCATGGGCGTTTCATCAGCGTGCGAAGCGTCTGGGGCGGCAAAAGGCGCCTCGGGCCCAGTGCGTGGGACATCGGCCATCTTAGCATCAAGGGCGAAATCCATTTCTCCATCAGCCGCAGATGAGCCATCTTGCGGGGTTGCCATGCCACTATCCAGCCCAGAGTCCGGCTCGAGGGTTCGGTAGTTGACTTGGTTGCGACGGCGCATGACGCCTGGTTGACGACGAACACCGTTGGCGGCGTTCTCGTCTTCATCTTCGCTATCACTGAGCTCGCCAGCCTTTTCTGTGCGCTGGTCGAATCGTCGTTGTGTGAACCGCTTGTCTTTGTTCTCATCCTCATCGAGGTCATCCATAACGTCATCAGCATCGTCGTCCATGCCATCTAAGATGGGGTTGCGCGGCACATCCGTCATTTGGACTGAAGGAGCAAATGCCGTGCGCTTGAGGTTTTCGACAACCTGGTTGCGAATCTTGTCCAGGTATTCTCTGGTGTTGGCGTTGTCCATGTTGGAGGGGCGGACATCAAGCTGATAATCAGGAGCGAAATACTAATGCAGTTAGTATTAGTTAGTCTGGAAGGAACAAGAATCATACCTCATAGTAGTCATTGTATGGCAGCTCCGATCCGAGGGGCTCTCCGACAAGGATACCGGTCTCATAAGCCCATGTCCGTGCAACGTTACGCATGGTGTAGCCACCACCGCCAAGAACCAAGGTTGGCAGATCAAAGCTCTTGACGAAGTTGACACAGTTCGCGTGTCCTCGCATACTGAGGTTGAAGCAGCCCAAGCGATCACCGGATAGACTGTCCCCACCGCACTGAAGGACCACGGCCTCTGGGCGGTACCACTCCATCACGCTCTTAATGACGGGCTCAAAGATGCTCTTGTATGTGACATCAGTGATGCCATCCCGGAGAGGAAAGTTAACTGCGTAGTTTTTGCCCTGCCCAACACCGATGTCGCGAAGCTCACCGGTACCAGGGAAGTACTCGCCGTACTTGTGGAAAGAACAGGTCATGACGCGATCAGTCGTGTAGAAGGCCTCTTCGACACCATCGCCGTGGTGAACATCAATGTCGACGTAAAGAACTCGTTGTTTGAAGCGCAGAAGCTCCAGAATTCCTAGAACGATATCTTTATGGATGTTAGCTTCTGAGGCAGACATTTTGAGGATCAAAGCACTATACCATTGACATAGCAGAAGCCACTTGCTTCGCTCTTCTTGGCGTGGTGAAGACCACCAGCCCAGTTGACGGCAACATCGCATTTGTTGCGGTTCAGTCGCGCAGCGCCTTCCATGCTGCCTCCAGCGCTGATTCCGCAGAACTCAAAGAGACCGTCAAACACGGGGCAATCGTCTCCAACATTGTATCGGCTCTGTTCTTTCGAGAAGTGGTCCATGTTGTCGGGTGTGACCTTGGATAGGAAGTCGATATATTCGTCGGTGTGGAATTGGGTCATCTCGTACTTGGAGGCAGGTTTCGCACGCTGATTTGTTAGTGCAAGGGTCAACCAGAAGAATAACAGAAGAGTGCTCACGTAGATCTCCATTTTCTTATAGAGGCCATAGTTCATCACCAAGCTGTGTGTCATACGTATGCGATGAGGCTTCATGGGGTGGCCCGAGACATAGGCATAGTTGCCCACATCGGAGTCGTAGAAGTAAGCGACTTTCTTATTTTTAGACCCGAGAAGCCTATCAGAGATAGGTTCCAAAGCCATATTGCAGAGAGCGACTGGGTGATCACTAGGTTGAGAGTGGAAAAAAGTTGAAGTTCAAGAAGTGTAAGTGAGATCCGGGGAATGATGAAGTAGCGTAGTTGCAGGCGCAATGCAGATATACTCCCAAGAGGGTAAATAGGCAGTGATGGCACCTATTGTCACCAGATCCCGCAATGCGAAGATTAGGTAGTAGAACTTAATCACAATAGCAAGCCAATGTCATTGTTTAGGCTATTGAAGAATAGATAGAGGAGAGAGAATCGCCCGCTCCTTCGCGGAAGCCGACCGAACCACACACCGCCCTCGTCAGGCAAAGCTCCCACGGCTTTGCTCATCATCACTTAACACGTCTTCGACAACCTTGTTATCTTCTCGCTAATATCACATCTGTCGGGGATTTTCGCTATCTTGTATCTTTCTTTGCATACTATTTCGGCAATACCAAGCTACTAGAGACAAATCGATTTGCCCCGGAGCTTCCAAATAGCGATAGCTTCGCCCTCTCTACTCTCGTTTCATCAAGTCTTGTCGGATATCTCTTAACTATGGATCGCCTTAACCGGATGCTCCAGGCCGCTCAAGGCATGGGGATGGGAGGCGCTGCTCCTGGTGGTGTAAGTTGAATAAGACCTCTAATCTCCTTGTTGGGAGGCATTAATGGCAACACCCTAGCCTAGCTTCACCATGTTTCTCTACATTGACTAATGAGAGCTATTATTTAGGATACCCCAAACCTGATTGATAACTCCGAAACTGTCCACATCTCCTCCTTGGCTCTGCTGAAGATGCTACGACATGGCCGCGCGGGTGTCCCGATGGAGGTCATGGGCCTGATGCTAGGCGAGTTTGTTGATGAATACACAGTTCGGGTAGTGGACGTCTTTGCTATGCCCCAGAGTGGTACTGGTGTCAGTGTTGAGGCAGTGGACCCCGTGTTCCAAACTAGAATGATGGAAATGCTCCGACAGACGGGACGGTAAGCCTATCAGCTGATATATAATAGAGGACTCCCCCATGCTGATAGTTTCGTACAGACCAGAAACTGTTGTTGGCTGGTACCACTCGCATCCCGGTTTCGGCTGCTGGCTCTCCTCGGTCGATATCAACACTCAGCAATCCTTTGAGCAGCTCACACCGCGTGCGGTTGCGGTTGTCGTCGATCCTATCCAGTCAGTGAAGGGCAAGGTTGTCATTGACGCCTTCCGTCTTATCCAGCCTCAGACGGTGGTCATGGGTCAGGAGCCCCGCCAGACTACATCAAACTTGGGTCACCTCAACAAGCCTTCGATCCAGGCTCTGATCCACGGTCTCAACCGCCACTATTACAGCATTGCGATTGATTACCGTAAGACGGGATTGGAAGAGAACATGTTGATGAACCTTCACAAGCATGTATGGACCGAGGCCTTGGAAATGAGTGACTTCCACGAGGAGGGTCAGCACAACGTGGAACGCATGAAGCAGCTTGTTCTCCTTGCAGAGGGCTACGAGAAGCGGATCAAGGAAGAGACGGAGCTGAGCAAGGATCAGCTGAAGACGAGATACGTTGGCAAGCTTGACCCCAAGAAGCGTACGTTTTTTTCTTTCCTGGACAATAACCCCAAAAATATAGACTGACGGTTTACAGACATCGAGGACGTAAGTCAACAGTTGATTGAGGATAACATTGTTGCCGTCTCGCGGCAGATGATTGACAAGGAAGCTTCGGTGGCACGGCAATCATCCAAAGAAGACACAAACGGTGCTGTCATGGAAGTTGATGAAGACCTCTAAAGAGTTAGAAAAGTGTGCCAATCAAACCGCTTTAATTATTTCTGATTGGTTGGGCTTTATGTTACCAAACCAGACCAACAGATGAATGATTTCTACTCAAATTTTCACATAACAATAATAAATTCATTGTCAACAAGAATGGCGTTTGGCCTATTGTTGAAAGTAAGTGTCTATAATTCTGTTTCATGTAATCTATGCGCCGCGCAATGTATCTAAATCGTAACAATATGAACAATATCCACCGAACAATGGACTATCATGACTCCAACTTGACTGTCTGAAGCGAGTTGCTCAAGGCTTCGACAACATCAGGGGAGTAGGCCCGCAGGCCATCAAAGGCAACATCCACGTCATTGAGGTCATGTTTCTCGTGAGTCTCATCTTGAGTGTCGGTCCAGCCTCTATCAGGGCCCCAAAGAACCTTTTTCTGAGCATCCCGGGTTTCCGTAAGCAAGCGAGTCATCAAAGCTCCGTTCTTCTCTACAGAGGGCCAGGCATCAAATTCGACCTGAACTAGACGTGGCAGTCGTTCCAGGATTTGATGTAACAATTTGCCACAGAAGTCGGTATAGTAATTCTTGGAGATGCGAAAGCCCTCGAACACAGGGTGCGAAGGGTCACACTGCACAAACACTTTCAACGTGCGCACCAGTTCCATGTCGTGTAACCCCAAGCCCTGGTTTACAACCCATGACTTTGGGGGTGCGGTCCAGCTTGATCCCACAATCAATTCGATTGTGGTGATCGAAGAGCGGTGGCGTCGAGGCAAAGCCCTGATCGTTGGCATGCGCAAGAAGTCCTGGATGGGGAACACACGGAATGTCTGGGTTGAATAGAAGTAGTGAGTGGCTTCGTCGTGGATTTGTCTCGAGACAAGGAACAGAGCGATGCGGTGCGAGGATGGTGCTAGAGGTTTGCTCTTCTTCGCCGAAGACCCAACACTGCCGCCAGTGCGCTTCAATGCACTCTTCCGAGTTGGCGTGAACAGGACATAATGATAAATGTGCAGGCGGATCTCGGACGGTAGATGGAGGAAAGGGAATCGCAGTAAGATCGGAGGTTCAGCGTCTGGTTCGGATTCGACATCGGAGAGTTGCTCCTCAAAATGGATCATCTTCTTTTTGAACCCCATGATTGGAAGGTATGCAAGTGAATTCTATGAGATACGAGCGAGTCTAAATTTGGACAGGAAGATCATATTTCTGGTAATCAGGTAAAAAAGAGAAAAAAGAAAACTAAAAAGATTTGTGTCCCACGATCGGAGCGCAGCTTCACGGGAAAATCCTTTGCTGCGCTCTTGGTAGTGGGAATGAAGAAGATCTTCGTTGGTCTCCCCAGCTAATACAACCCGGCATGCAGAGAGAAATTGCTTGATAGGTCAAATTAATGTCTGGGTGAACTTTCTGAAGAAAGAAAGAAAAGAAGGAGAAGACTCGATGGCCGAGGGGGTCGATATATAAACAACCTGCACGGGTGGTCCGGATCCGCCACCGTACCGACTCGCGCCGACTTTTAAGAGACTGTGGTCCATCCCATCATTCAAGACATTATTTGTTTCAACCAAATACACAATGCTTCGTCGTGCAGTCTTGCCTCTAACGAGGCCAAATGTCTTCGCATCTGCCGTTCGAGCATCAACCCTGTCAGCCCGGCCTTCGCCGTATGCTGCTTACAAGCTTTCCCCGTGTATCCAGCTAAAGGCGAAGTCGACCAAATCAAAGTCGAATACTCCCAAAGCAGCTCCAAAAGATTTCACCGCAGAGCAACCCGAGTTTGGCACAAAAGCCGAACCTACACAACCTTCCGAGCCTGTAAGACTTCTTTTTTGCTTTCACAGAAAGGAATCTCCTCTGACGTTGTCTTTCTAGGCCGAAGAACCCCCACAGACTCCTCTTCCCGATCTGACACAAGGTATTCCATCGACGCTGGCCGCAGAATTGGAAGGGCGTATGAAGAAGGGACCGTTGAACCTTACAGAAGACCCTGCCCAGTCAGAAGAATATGGCGCGGAAGGCAGAGGAGGAGGTGACATCCCTAAGGGCGGATATGAGACATCTATCGACCGCCGCAAGGCCCGCATGGCCAATATAGTATACGCAACCATGTTGCTTGCTGGTGTTGCTGGTATTGGTTACTTGGGTCGCAACTGGGAAACCGAAGAGGAGGAGCGCCAACACCCTGAGATCCCATCTGGATGGAGTCCGGGTCTTTGGTACAGCCGTATGAAGGCCCGCACCAGCGATCTCACCAGCTACTACAAGGACCCTGCTTTCCCCAAGCTGCTTCCGGATGAGGATGCCGAGATGCGTCAGCCATACACCCTGGTGCTCAGTCTTGAGGACCTCCTTGTTCACAGCGAATGGACCCGTGAGCACGGATGGCGGGTTGCCAAGCGGCCTGGTGTCGACTACTTCCTCCGCTACCTGAACCAATACTATGAGCTCGTCCTTTTCACCAGTGTGCCCAGTATGATGGCCGACCAAGTCCTGCGCAAACTCGACCCTTACCGCATCATCCGCTGGCCCCTGTTCCGCGAGGCGACCCGATACAAGGATGGAGAGTACATCAAGGTATGCCAACTTCTCTTTCGTTCTATTCTAGTCATGAAATGCTAATTGCCTTCTAGGATTTGCAATATCTCAACCGTGACCTTTCCAAGGTTATTCTCATCGACACCAAGGAGGAGCACGCCCGTTACCAGCCCGAGAACGCCATTGTTCTGGACAAGTGGACCGGTGACCCGAAAGATAAGACGCTGGTCGCCCTCATCCCCTTCCTGGAATACCTTGCTGGTATGGGTGTCGAAGATGTGCGTACCGTGCTGAAGTCATTTGATGGCACTCCCATTCCCGTCGAGTTTGCCAAGCGCGAGAAGGCGATGCGTGAGCGCTTTGAGAAGGACCTTGCCGAGGAGCAGAAGAAGAAGCCCTCGCGTGGTCTGGGCAACTTTGCTGCTGCACTTGGCTTGAAGTCTTCTGCCACCCTGAACGGCGAGCAAACGCCCTCCGAGGGTCTGGCTCAGGGCAAGATGCTTTGGGATCAGATCCGCGAGCGTGGTCAAAAGAACTACGAGATGATCGAGTCAGAGATCCGCGCGAACGGCGAGAAGTGGCTTGCTGAGATGGCAGCCGAGGAGGAGAAGGCCCGCCAGGAGCAGATGCAGAGCATGAAGGGCTCATTCACTGGCATGTTCGGTGCTGGCTCTAAGGATCAGTAATCGGCGCGAGTCAATTCCTGTTTTTTTTTGTGTCTAGAAGATCATCAGGGGTTCGTTCTGATCATTAATGAACGAGTGTAACATAGGGTTTGGGGTTTGTTTTTTTATGTACAAAATTTTAGTCAGAAATTTTAATATGAGAAAGACTGAGATTGGACTGATATCAAGGTCGTTGGGCTTCGCATCCCAGGGTATATTGTTGAAATAAGAATCTAAAAGTATATGTTCAATGATCTTCTGATCATGTCAGGTTCACATCTTGGAAGACGGAGACATCCCATATTCCTGTCATGTCAAAGGGGAAACCGTCCATCGTTCCAAAAGTATTAGATATCGACATCATGTCGTCAACGATATCGTTATTTGTTTGGGTCTCGGGCAGCGATATTGCGGCAGGGTTGACCAGCCCGCTGTCTGCCATCGTGGTTGTGAATGCCTGGTCCATTGTGGCACCAGTTCCGGGAAGTCGGTGCATAATGCGTTCGCAGTGGTCCAAACACATGTCTGCTACATCCCAGTCTTCTTCTTCCCGCACTCGACGCAAGACTGAGCGCAGGGTTTCGACGTTGGAAAGACAGGATCGTGCAACATCGCTGTCGGTGGTCTCGAATGCACAACGAACTAGCAATGTCGCCGTTGATGTGAGATGAAAGGCGCTATCTGTTGAGAAAATTAGAAAAAAAGGAATAATCAGAGAGAATGCTTCAACGTACAGGGTAGCCAGAACTCTTTGAAATTATCCTTTCGCAAAGACGTTATGAATGCAACAATCTCCTCTGCTGACCTTCTACATTCCGTTTGGAAATAGCGACGTGCCTCGGTGTTTTCTGTTTCGGAGTTGTTGACTTCCTGTAAAGTTGTTAGAGACCACTCCTTTCGATTTTCCCACTCTCAAGCTTACATTTAGTTCGACTCGGCTGACAAGCATTTTGACAGCTAAGAAAGCCAGTTGCAAGCTGCTTGCTCCATAGATTCGTTCTCCGGGGTGGATTGTGGGTCCTCTCAACCAGTCCGGTAGGGAGTCTTCCCATATATCTAGATCTGTTCGTATTTGTCTGAGCTTCTTGGATGTCTCGCGTGCGGGTTTGTGTTGCAACCCATAAACCAGCGGTAACAGCTCGCCCAAAGTCTCGGTCAATCGGCATAGGTAGATGTGGCAGTGTGCTGCTCTCACACGTTCTGTAGTGCGGAGGTTTGATGGGACTATTACGTCCACGGTGGGTAGAGGCACGTCGTATTGATTTTTAGAAATCTGAGGTGGAACACCATGACCAAAGCTTCCCCTATTTATTGTTAGGTGTGTTGCAAGCCAAAAGCAAAACGGAACAATCTTACCAACGATCGTGGATCACAACTCCCCACCACAGACGAATCCGCTGGTTTTTTTCTGCTTGTGAGAGCTTCCAATTGCTAGGATCACGGTTCAAACCAAGGCAATTTGCCAAAGATAACATGCGGCCACAGCTGACGGCGTTGCCAGTCATGGAGAAAATTGGTCGTCCAGTCAGGTCGATAAGCGCGGCGCTGATTGTGTCCAATCCGGGGGCTGAGAATTCCTCATGCAACGCGGCGACGGTCATGTTGATCGCATATCGAACGTCCGGCTTCGGGTGACATGCAAGTTTTTGGGTGTGTTGCCAATATACGAGGGACATGGAATAGACTTGACACACTAGTGCAGCTGGTGGGTCGTGCAGGTCATCGGCCATATATGATTCCCAGAACGATTCCCCGTCGAAGATCGGAAAAGAAACGTTAAAACGATCAATGAAGCTAGAGGGGGGATATTAGCAGGGTAGAAAATGGGGGTGGGGGAAGTCCAATGGTCAACATACAGTCTCACTAGGTCATGTTTGAACGGCCCGAGTATTTGTTCGAGGACCTCCTTCTGGTTCTCACCAGGAGGCGTTCCTCTCCGCATACCTTTCCTTCGTCGCGAGATTGTGGTGTAAAGGACTGGTTTCCGCGGATCACTAGAGTAGATATTGTACGGGTGACTATTGGGCTCTTCCGATTGACTCATCCGCTCTGGGGGCATGTGTTTTTCGATGACTTGGGCGTCTTCAGCGACCATAGGGCCAACAATGAGAACCGACTCATTCTGGGGATCGTCCATGTCTTTCCGCCGTGGATCACTTGCTCGACGACCACCCGACGAAGTCGTTCCATGGGGGCTGGGCCCATTGGGTGGCTGCCGCGGCGGGATATTCTGGCCCATGTGTGCGAGTCCATCGGGACTGCGCTTACGCTTCTGCCCCGGCACGGCCTCCATTACAGGAGGCCCCGGCCAGGATTTTGAGTCCGTGGCACTCAAGACTGAAGCATCCGCGTTGGCCTCCTCTTGATAGTGACAGTCGGCACCTTGCACGCGACATAGAAGACAGGATTGACCGGGGATATCAACGGTGCATCGAGACTTGCGCTTGCGACACAAGTCACAGGCGCGGACCTTGTGGGAACGGTACGGTCGGGCGCCGGCATTGAATCCGGGAGATGGGAGCTTGGACGAGGAATTGACTTGGACTGGTGCAGGCGACATGATGCGCGCCCAAGTGTGAGGGAGTTATGCTGAGGGGTAATACCGGGAAAGCGAAAATTGGTGATTTGGAGATTTTGGTCGGGGTGTTCTCGGAGTCGGCCGATTAGCGGTTGGACAGAGTGAGGGGTATGAGCACGAGGCCTGCACGGCAGGGAGAAGAAGGCGAGGATGAAATTGGGAGCTCTAAATGGCTAGGGAGCTGTATCCGATCAAAGAGCTACACGCACATCATCTTGTACAAAGTCTCCCCAGATATCAGAATCCGGCGATCTCGTTTTCTTATCAAAAATTGAACTGCGGGCATCCATGGATGGATCCATGTGGGGAATTCTGACTCATCCCACGTGAAACTGCTGACATAACTGCTGACATAATG